AACAAGGGCCCCCCTCTTCGTCGGAGTCGGGGGTCAAACTCGGGACAGGTCAGGTCAGGTCGAGGTGAAAGGTGCAGCGCAGCCAGGGCTCCAAGAGAGCAAAAGGTGGGGGAGGAGGGCGGGAAACGGTACGTAGGATGGTAGACGTGGAGGGGCAGGGGCGGTAGACGGCACATTTAGTGTTGGATTGGTTTACAGTGGAGGCCTGCGTGAGGTTCAGTGTGTAAGCGTTCAGTGCAACTCGCTGTAGTAGTGGGGAATAGCAAGGCAATCCCCGCCCCTTCCTCCAAATGGAAGATAAAAAAAACATCGCACCCGCCTTCGCATATTCACTGGAGAAGAGCTGTCTGTGTTGGCGAGCCTTACATCAAACTGTAACCAGGTCCGGGACCCCCCGTTCGGTCGAGAACGTCTCTGAATCCGACGGCCGCGCCACCATGTGCTCCCAGGCTTGTCGAATCCTTCCAGCAGCCGTCATGTCACGTCCTGCGCTGGTGACCAAAAAGAAGGTCCCTCCACGTTTCTCGGATAGTCCTACCTACGTGTGCGCATGATTCCACTGCTTCCCCGTCGAACGGCACATGCGTTTGGGTGTTCGTCAGGCCACCGGCAGAGCCGACACACAAAACTCACGCAGCATAGACCACACAACCAGTAGTGGCTCCAGCGGAGCGGCCATCTTCCGTCATAGCGCGTTGCTTTGGGCCCCTCCCACCACTGACCGTGCCGAGTGTCAGTGTACGGTGTATTACTGTTGTTGCTGTCAATAAAACATTGTTCTGTATTGATGCTGTGAGCTCTATGTGTAGTGTATATCCCGTCAAACAGTCAATCCATCGAACGAAGAGGGTATTTCCTGCGTCGTAACCGTCCCCAATGCTCCCAATACCCCCTCTGTAATGCACCAGAAACGCCTCTAACCGAGCCCGTCACGAAATAGTCCCAACCAGTACATCCGTGGCCTCGTGCTAGGATTCCTCCTCAGCTGGTCGTTCGCCATCATCGTACACCTTGACCTTGTCGGCATATTCCATAATGTTGCTGACGACGTAGTCCGAAATCGTATTGCCCTTGCCTGCCGCGATCCTCAGGATGAGCTCATTGAGATGCTGCCGCCCGAGAATGTCCACGTGGTCTGCCGTCTTGGGCCCACCTCGCGGGTTGAATCGCTCGGGCTCGTGCTCCATCTCGACAACAGTCACCTTGGCCCCGGCCGGGTTGTACCGCTTGTAGTTCCACCCCCGGTTACACATGTATCCTGTACTGAGCAGGTTCACCGTTCCATCGCCCTCGCCCATGACGACGCCGTGGTCAACTTCTCCTTGCGTGAGAGCCGTGTCGATTGTGATATTCAGGTTTGTCAGAGACGGCATCTCTGGCGACCGGTAGTAGTATCCCCGCTCCGTGGGCTTTCCCACGCCGTAAAAGCAGTAAATCTTCAGACTGGGTGCTAATGGCAGTCGTGTCTCCAACGGGTTGATCCATTTTTTAGGGTCCTTTTCGTTGGCTTCAACCTCGGCCTCCGTGTGCGCTATGCCGTGCGAGTACGCCCCCTTCACATTCCTAGAGAACCAATCTTCGGTCGTGTTGAAGAGGTAGTCCATGGCAGACTCGACAGTCAGGTTTCGATCCGGTGTCGTCCAGTTCATGCCGCTGCGGAAGTTGAGGAGAGACCCATACGAGAAATCCTGTCCCGGTAGGTCGTCAGGAGCCCAAGTAGAATTGCCCCAGACAGCGTCCCCGCCGATGGGGAGCATCGACGAAATACCGGGCATCGCACGGAACAGCTGCGCCCGTTCGTCTTTGCTAAGGAACTTCTCGAGCCCGTAAACGGCAAATGCGTTGAGCTGCGCGGTGTCACGCATCTCACCCGACAAGACAGCTGTCAGGTCCTTGACGGCCCCGAGCATACATCCACTCACGTTGATCCAGGCCTCGACATGCTGCTCGACCCAGTCGTCGCCTCCCCGGCCGCCACTCTCAGACGCCACCCAGTGAAAGAAGTAGAACAGAACCTGTCCCCCATGCTGTGAGACACGAGAACAGCTTTCTTCCCCGAGAACTCATGGGCCGTCTCGATATAGGACTTGAGCCTCGAGAAGTATTGATCGCGAGTCTCAAGATTTGGGTAGGCCAAGCGCCAGTCGTAGGCTGCCGTGAAGGAGTTAGTCGGGTCGTAGCCTATTGATGCCAGATTCTCGAATATTTTGTTCCAGATCCAGTACCCGGTGATGAAGAAGTCGGTCGCGTCAAAGCCCTGGGCGGCCCGTAGTTTGATATGCGGAGGATCAAGGCCGGTTTCTTGATCCAGCATGATGTGCCTTTTCCAATTCTCCTTGTCTAGAACCAGCGCCCTCATCATGCTCCAACTACCCCAGAGGCGTTTCCGGAAGTACTGACGGGAGACGTTGGCGGTACCCCAGGATTCGAGGCCAGTCGAAATGACGCCTGGGACCATTATCATTGGGTGATGGGCATGGAGGCCCTCAGCGCGGGCCTGTAATCCTACAGAGAAAGCATCGTAGCTATCGACGAACTCGCGCTCGCCTTGCTTCACGAGCAGCCGGGTTAGCTCAGGCCAGCTAGGCGCCAAGTCCCCCTCGAAGCTAAGAAACGAAGTGTTACTGACCACAAGATCCCGCATGTCCTTGACCAAACCGGCAGGCAGGACATCAAAGAGACTGTCCATGCTGAGCTCTCCGAGCTCAGGAAAGTCTATGAGGTCATTGCTTTTTGCAAAGAAACCCGCAGCTATGATGCCGAACAAGCTTCCGAGCAAGAAGATGGCGCCATTGCGGCGCTTCCGTGTCTTGGGCTTCACATGATGGACGACGTGGGCGGTGTTTTCCGACTTTTCGGGGCTTTCGTCTCGAGGGGTCGATGGTTCGCTGTCGAGTTGCGTGTCGACGGGAAGCGCTCGGCGCCTGAGGGTGGAGGAAGACATGGCCGCAGTCGCAGTGATCGCGAACAACCGGGTGATGCTGGTGAGTTGAGGAAGTTAGCTTGTGAGGTCAAGATTGAGACGGCCGAGGAAGACCAGTGCAACCGGACCAAGACAGGGTCAAGTAGTCCGTACCTAACAGTGGAATGCGAGGGTTTGCGGCGCGCTCGGAGGGGGGTGGCTAGACACTTATCAGGACGATCGGGCGCGCAATGTCAAGCAAGCGGCAAGCAAGGGATGTGCAGAGGGGACAAGGAGAGACAGCGACAGAAACAGAGCGGTGCGCAAAGCTTAATTGCTGTCCATTAGCCAACAAGATGAAATGGCGACAGCAATGCCGACGCTAGCAAGAGTGAACTGCGCAGGGTTGGGTAAGGGTGTTCGATGTGGTTGAGAGGAACCGCGCAGCCAAGCAGAGTCCAGCAGAGCAGGGTACCTAACAGAGCGAGGTATCCGGAGCTCGGGGGGTGGGATATTGGAGGCGGCCAAGAGAACGATATGACAGGCGGGACTTGGGCCAAAAAAGGTACATGAACGTATACGGCTGGCTGCGACCACTTGGGAGTGTCTAGCGTGACGTCAATCTCCGAGTGGCCCCAGCGTCTAATTGTCTTCTACCTAAAGTATTCACGATTTGCAGCTTCCAGTCCTCCGTCCGTACACTACTACAGTAGAGACGCATGAAAATGCGGCAGATGGACAGGTACCTTTCCGCCTTGGGCAGGAGCGACTCCACTGGTCGAGGGCTTGCGGCCTTCCGCTAGAAGTAATTCAGCACCATGTGTGTATCTTTCGCATCAAACAAGGCCGGAAAATACATCCGTCACAGGAACTTGACCCGGAAGCGGTCAGCAGTCAGTCCACAGAGATCCATGTGATAGACGGGATCAAGGGAAAGCACCCTGAACGCACGTGTATAGTATATGGTGGATATGCAATGAATGAATCGATCTGCAGTGCGGCATCTTGTCATCATGAGCACGACAGTCTTTAGGCAACCAAGGACACAGCGGCGACAGCATATGATTGAGCCCTCACAACCCGATCTGCTTTCAACTTCGCATCTCATGACTACCTAAGCCCGATAAAAAACACCCCTCTCTAGAGACTCTTCGAGTTGGCGATTTTGACAACCCCCCATAGCCAAACCCAGCGTTACGTCGCGCGCCAGTTGCGTTGGCAAGCGTGGAATGATTTCGGTTTGTCTCCATTCCGAACCCCTTTGCATCGATGGTCATGCGATGTCTACCTAGGTATGCACAGGTCCAATAAGACGGCGCATGAGGTGGCACGAGGAAAGCGTCCCCCCCAGGTTCCCTGAAGAAGTAGGTCGTCGCGACCGTTTGGCATGTGATTGTGGAAGGAGTTTGATGGATGCATGTAGTTATGGATGGCACTTGGCTGACAGTGGAATGCACTCGCTCGGCGAGCCCCACTTTGGCAACGGGGCTCTGGCCGCTGGACCTCCGAACACTGAATTCGACAGGGTTCGGGACACGGACGTGGGGCTGGAGCTGACTACCTACCTACCCTGGACTGCATTGCACCTGAAGCGCTGCAGCCAACAGCAAATAGCAGGCAAACAAGCAGCAAGCAAATAACTCAATTGTCAAGTCCGAGAAACACACTGCAAGACATCCGATTCACTTTTTCGCCCGCTACACACATATACATCCGCCCGTCGCTTCGATCTGCAAACGCACAACCCTGCGACCGTGGTTCCAACTCATCGGACTCGTTCCATCTCATCATCCCCGGGTTTGCGGCAGAGCCGCGCCTCTACATTCTTTTCTTTTCTTTTTTTTGGCATTCTCTTCGCTGCTGCGTCCTACCGCCAAGTCGTCGGGTTTCCTCTCGCAGCCTCTCCCCCTCACCTCTCTCATCAACCTCTTCACAGTCTGTTTCTCGTTGCGCTGTACAAATTGTCATGAGTTGAGCACACCAATCGTCTGCCGGTTTAGGCTCGTCCGTAACTCTTCACGTTCTGCTGTATTTTTTTCTTCCGCATTCCCACTGCAGCTCGCGGAGTTATCTCTCTCTCCAGAGCCAAGTTGTCAGCATGGACGTTTCCAACATCACACATTTCCCCGCGAATCTGCGATATATCCAGTATGAACATGGTCTGGAGGCAAAGTATCTCCCTGCCATCCGCTCGCTGATCGCGAAGGACTTGAGCGAACCTTACAGCATCTATGTCTACCGATACTTCCTCTACCAATGGGGCCACCTGTGCTTCATGGTACGTGTCTTCCTACCCACCTAGCCACTGGGCCAGTGTGGCGTTACTGACTACAGTCCAGGCATTGGATCCCGCAGACTCATCTCTCATTGGCGTCATTGTATGCAAGCTGGAAGTCCACTCATCACACTCGCCGCCAACGCGCCGCGGGTACATCGCCATGCTGGCCGTCGCCTCCCCGTATCGCGGCAAAGGTATCGCCACGGCCCTCGTCAAGAGGGCCATTGACGCCATGGCTCAGCGGAATGCCGACGAGGTCGTTTTGGAAACCGAAGAAACGAACACCCAGGCCATGCGCCTGTATGAGCGTCTAGGCTTCCTGCGCTCTAAAAAGCTGCACAGGTATTATCTCAACGGAAACAGCGCCTACAGATTGGTCCTGCTGCTGAAATCTATCGACCCGGACGCTGTTCTTGAGGACTCTGACGGCCAGTCTCCGTGACTAGGGAGTGCATCCGGCGGTCTACTACTCGAGTCTAAACGACTCCTAGAGAGCGTTTGCGGCGTCATCTAGCACCCATGCCATTGATTCGGTCGTAGATAGGGACAACACAGGCAGTCGCCATGACAGTAGCCCGAGAGCGGTGTAGGGGGCTCTCTTCTTCTGAGTGGGGCATTCATCTCCTTGACTACACGATAGCGATATCGTATAGCGCAGGCGGTGGGCATGTATTCTGATACTTGAGCAGATCCGGGGTACAAGGACGGTGGGCTGGGCGAGCGGTGTTTCAAGGGAATAGATGGCATTGATTTATTGGTAGCTTGGTTTGCTAAAACGAACATATATTTTGATCGCACAAGCATTCAAGAGTCGTCTACGGGTGAGTCGACATGAGTGCCAACATGCATGTATATCGGAAGAAACCAGGAAGAACATGAACACGAAGATAAGGTCGTTATGGTGTGCCTGGCATCCCTCCACCCTCATGACAATTGACTGTGTACGAACTCTTCAAATCTCCCCATCCATGCGCTCATGGCCCAACTGGTTTTGAATGCTATAGTGCACTGCTTGTTGCTGGAGTGACAGGTCGTCGATAACCTCAATGGCTCCTACGAGATGATGTTGTCGTATGGCCTGTGGACGACGACTTTGTCAAGAGATCTGTGGAGCTGTAGATGGAGGCTTTGACGCCCCAATGATTTCCGGAAGCGATACCGAGGTATGTGAAAGCATCTTGGCCCTTGTTAGTCCGAACGTATATGCAATGGCACTAGAGTACCTATGTACGCACCTGGCTTGTAATAAATCGGACGTCCCATGGCCTCGACTAATCTCAGCTCTCTAAGCTTCTGCAAAACCCGAGTAACGTCTGCCTTGTCACTGAAGTCGGCTGTGTAGACGCACACGATCCGGTCTTTGCGCCCAGTAGGGTCATTATGTGGATTCCACGGCGCGACTTTGGCTGCGACTCCCAGCTCATTGTTGGCCGTAGCCCTCGCAACGACACGCCAGACTTCGTCGACGTCCTTGGGTTGACAGAAGAGCATCCACTGTTGACGAGGGTTAGTCACCATGAGAATTACATCAGCGAGACCATGGAATGCTTGCCTTGCCAGCTTTGATCTTACATGCATATGCAAGACCTAAGATGTCCTGGATAGCCTCTCTCTTTTCCTGATCTATCTCTCTCGACTTGGCTGTCATAGACTTCTTGGTGTTGTTGATGCCTTGCTGGAAGCTGAGCAGGATGTTCAACCTCTCCATGCCTCCCTCGATCAAAGTGTCAAGCCGGGTGCCCTCCTCCTCGGGTGCCTCGTCCTCGTTGCCCCTACTTCGTTGATTCTGCGCTTCAAACTTGACTTTCCGATTGATATACGGATTGCAGATGAAGATCCATGGGAGAAGATCGCTGTGCTCGGTTGTCTCGGGAGGGATACGGGCAAGGAAATCGTTGACGGTCTCTGTCAACTGCCACGCGTAGGGGACGCCGGCGTACGGGTTGTGGAGCTTGGTACTGTCAAGAGGCTCATTTTTAACTCTCCGGGTAATCTGGACAGCATTGGTCTCCTTCCACCACTGAGCAACGTCGAAGGATGTGACTCGAGCTTCGAGCCCAGCTACTACCTCCTCGTCTCCTAGCCCAATGGTCAGTTATTGAGTGTCAACTCATTCATGTCTCGGCACCAACCGTAAAAGTCCGATTCATCTGAGTCCATTCCGATTAGCGGGAGTGCCGACAAACGCGCGGTGTGGTCGACGGCTGAATGCAAGGCTGACGCGTTGTGTTTTGCAGCGCAAGGCGCGGTGTAGTAACGGTTTCACAATATGCCGGAAAGCAAAGAGCGCTCTAGGGCATTGAACTTGCCTCGATACAATAGACTTCCGCATTCAGCATGAAGGAACAGACTGTGGCAAACTCCTAGGTCATTGCGCGCAACTGACCGTGTTGCAAGTTGCGTGAAGTTTCGCAGCTATTGGGAAGAAAAAGGGAGGCCGGATGGATAGCCGTCATTTTGGGAAGGATAGCTAGGACGCCGATCCGATGAGCGGCCGCCAATGCCGGGGTGTAATGTGCGGGATCCTTCCGAGTTCCCCGGAGCGCGCGGCCGACCCCCTCCCGGAAATTCTCTGGCCACGACACTCCGACTTTCTTTTTCCTACTTGGTGCTGGGGTCTTGCGCCAAACCACGCGCTGGGTTTCGACGCAAATTTCCAAGACAACCCCACGACCACTGGGATCGCATCACACGCCGCATATCTTTTGAGACAACGGTGACATATTCTGCCCACTTCGACGGCCAAGGGTTTGCTCCTTCCCTTCTATCCTTGCCCCTCGACGCTTTTCAATCCAACAAAGAGGGGGTTTGTCTCGACCTAGCGATGAGCCACTCAAGAGACGCCATTGCATCCAAGCAATCCCTCGTTCTTGACTTGCCTCCCAGCTGCATCGAGTTCTGCTTGTCACACCCGGAATATTTCGTGGTCGGAACCTACAACTTAGTCAAGGACGAGGAACCACTGGATGAGTCAGTGAATGCAGAACCCTCTGTCGCCAAGAAGACTCAAAACCGCAACGGCAGTCTCATTGTGTTTCGACTAGAAAACGGCGTAGTGTAAGCTGGCGAAGGTCCTGCCCATTGTGACTTGAGATTGACTTCCTCCCAGACACCATGTTCAAACCGTCTCTCACCCGTCAGCAATTCTTGACCTGCATTTCTGCCCCTTACCGAGCAGGCATGACATCATGGCTGTGGTATCCAGCACCGGAACACTATCCATCTTCCAACTGAACCCAGATGCAGACGCGTCACAACCGCTGAAGCACTTGGCCACAAGCGGAATACCTGACGTCCCCGAGGGCGTTCTGTTTCTCTCAGGAGTTTGGGACACCAGCGACGCATCTTCCATCGCGATTACAACCTCTGCTGGCGAAGTGCGCGTTGTGAAGCTTGATAACTCATGGCGGATCATTGACGACGATTCGGAGCCCGTGATCACGCACTCCCTGGAAGCTTGGACGGTGGCTTTCTCTCCCCCGGAGGATCCTTTCGTCGTTTACTCGGGAGGCGATGATTCTGCGCTTCGGTACACATCATGTGCGCGCAACTGCGGGCATGGCGATGTAGATGATATACAAATTACGGCCTTGAACTCACCACTCAGCATTCCTGGACATGGTGCTGGTGTGACGGCCATTCTGCCGGTTCCTGTTAGACTTGCAGACGGCTCGAGGGTACTGGTGACGGGCAGCTACGATGACACCATACGAATCTTTGCCGTTCAGCCTCCGCACGAGACGCACGGTCTTCGCAAGTTCAAGGCTTTGGGAGAGAAAAACTTGGAAGGAGGCGTCTGGAGGCTGAAGTCGATCGAAATACAGGAGAAGAACGGTTGCTGCAACCTGAAGGTTCTGGCATCATGTATGCACGCTGGCGCCAGGATTATCGAGCTGGAGGGGCCACTTGACGGCGGGGAGTGGGACATAAGCGTCCTGGCCCGGTTCGAGGAACATAAGAGCATGAACTATGGCAGCGACTTCGTTCCCAGGTCGGGTCATGGACGCCTCGAATGCGTGTCGACGAGTTTCTACGATAAGCTTTTATGTCTATGGGAGGCAGATATGAGTTAGGGGAGCATTGTATGGATCTAATGTCAGTCTTGGACATGATATTATGATCACCACGAAAATGGCGCAGTACAACGGACGGGGGAAACAAGCTGCTTCCCTTCACTGAACAAGCAACATCGCTTCGATCCCAGGCATCTAATGTGCCGGAAGTGGTCAGAGTGACGAGGCAACGCTTTCGTGTCGTAGGAATGAGAACATGGGCAGAATAGCCAGTCCTTATAAATTTATAAAGAACTTCATTTGCCATTTCACAGGGGTGTGGTGAGGGGCCGGAAGGTTAGTAGTGAGCTTAGGTGTTACGAGCTTTAACATAATGCTGTCAGTCACCTTCAAGGCGATGCATGAGTTGCTCCGAAACCGTCGAAGCGACAACTGCTCACCCCATCTAGCTCGGGAGTGGTCACCGTTTTCTTTTCTTGTTATCCAGTTGGAGGTGGACAGTCTCCAGATAGGCAATGACCAAGACACGAAGTCCAAGACAGAGTTGGACCTGCTGCAGCGTTTTAGATGGATGGAAATTGTAGTTGTAGAATCAACGGTCCCAAGGACATTGGTTGTGTAACTCTCGATGCGAACACCAACTCATGCGGCCGCCCCCCTTTTTCGGATGGCGGGGTAAGTACGGTACGGATACTTTTTCCATGCCTCCCTCAGTGATCTTAGACTCATTCCAACAGGGCGGGAGGGGGTCAACGCTGCAGTTGCTCATTCAGCCTGGAGGCGACTGCCCCGAGAAGGGTTGAATGAAGCCTAATGTAGAGCCACCGTACCCAGGGCAGACTCCTGTGTATCGGAAACCGATGCAAGTCCCCGCTTCCCAGGTCCTGGTGACAAGTACCCTCCACATTCACCGTGTTGCGCTGGCTGCGTCGCTTCACATGGGAAGACGAGTGGAGGTTTAGATGGTTAGGCATCACAGGCGATTGGGTCGGGGCCCAGCCTAGCCCAGCCCCAAGTACACGGTTCGCAGTGGCCCCCTAGCTGACCACCGGACAGCGGACAGCGCGACTTATCCCCACTACCAACCTAGCCTGAGACCATGGGTACCTTAGGCAAGGTACCGACCGACACCTCACGCTGCATTTATTCCATTATTTGCTTTCTCTGCTTTGGATGATGCAAATCATGCTTGTCGCTGCTGCTATCGTTACTGCCGAGTTTGCTTCCACCTTCGCCCCTGCTACCTTATCGCGCATCTACGCGACTGTATGATCTTGCTCTTGCCATTGCTCTTGCATCTACCGAGTCCCATCTAATTTCTATTATCTCGACACGTTTCGATAGCTCCAGTCTCTGCCCGTGTACCTGGGGACGGGACCGAAGAAAGCACAAACGAGCTGTCTCGTTTGCTTGTGGAAGAGCAAAAGCTTCGGAGGGGTACTTTCAGGTACTTGCACACCCTGTAAGCCGTGCCGTTCGTTTTTCCTGACCAACCGCAGCCTTTCACTAATTCTAGCATTTGCTTCTTGGGCAGCAGTTCTCACCGAGCCCGTGTTCCGACATTGCCTTCCGCCTTTTCAACCTCCGCCGTCGAGTCCCCCGCCGAAACTACGTCCGACGTATGATCCAATACTGAGTCAACTGCTGGACAAGCAGCTTCCAAGGCTGGGCTTTCCTGCCGTACTGCGACCGATTTAGCCCATCATGGACGGACAGATGGCCAATGGCGCATCCGCCGTGGGTCAGAATGCTGCTTCCGTGAACGGCGGAAATGTCGATATCATCTCTCAGATCCACCAGGCGCTCGAGGTCATACACAGTCCTTATTCGTCCAACGAATCTCGCCGAGACGCCCAGCGCTTCCTCGAGAACATCAAGAACATAGACGAGGCCCCCTTCCACGGCTTCACGCTTGCCTCCAACAAGTCGCAATCCCCTGTCGTGCGCCACTACGCTCTGTCCCTCCTCGAGCATGCAATCAAGCAGAAATGGGCCGAGTATAACGAGCAGCAGTCCACCATGCTGCGTGAGTGGGTGCTGGAGCTCTGCCGCAACCTGTCAAAGGACGATCCGCTATACATCAGAAACAAGACGGCTCAGCTGTGGGTGGAAGTTGCTAAGAGATGCTGGGGCTCCGAGTGGATGGACATGGACGAGCTTCTGGTTCGCCTGTGGCAGATACCTGATTCCCCCGTCCACAAGGAGCTCGTCCTCTTTGTGCTCGAGACACTTTCCGACGAGGTTTTCAACGGCGACGACGCTGTCGTGGCCATGCGCGAGGGCGTACTCAGCAGAAGCTGCGTCGAAGTCTTCACCCCGGCCCCCGTCTTGAGAGAAGCTTTCCCCAACAGAGCCGCTGGCCCCGAGGTGCGCTCCGGGGAAGAAGGATGGCTTAGCAGAGTATCCGAGTTCCTCAGTCAATGCCTCAACGGTGACGCCCAAAACAACGACCAGATCCGCTCTTGCGCCGTGAAATCCCTGTCCGTCTTCTATTCCCTCATGCCCTGGGCCATTCCCAAGTCTGTCGCCGTCGCAAACTGCGTTCCCGTCATGTGCAGAGCCCTTGCGACCCCCGAAGTCTCTGTTCAAAAGGTAAATACCCGGAACTCCTTTTATTAGTCCAGTCAGGGGCAAGATGGGCAAGAGCTTACATGTGATAGGCCTCGCTGGAAGCTCTACATGCGCTTTACTCTCGCTCAAACTTCTCCGAGCAGGAGTTCAAGGACCTCGTCGCACCCATGTACGATGCTAGCTCAGTAGATCTCCTAAAACGGCTCTTTGAATGGTCAGCCGTAGATGTCGAGGATATCGACGAAGACAAGTACCAATTCGGCAAGAAATTCTCAGAGGTATAGATGAAGGCATGTTACCATATGGGCTTTGTTAACCTTATGCGTAGATGTTATCTCTGCTTGGTAACTACCTCGACCGGAGATTCTCTGCTATACCAACAAACTCGGACGTCAGCGGCTTTCTCAACCTATTGCTCCTAACCGTACAGAGCCAAAGTCTTATCGTTGCAATTCCTGTCCTGGCAACTTGGACTCGCCTCCTCAACAACAGGCTAATCGGACAGAGTCCGGCCAACAACCATCTCGTTGGCCCGCTCCTTGAAGTGTGCGGCTCTCGCTTGATCAGGTACGAGAATCTGCCTGAGGACACACAAGACCCCACGTTCTTGTTCCTCATGGAGGATACCGACACCGTCCCGGAGAGGCATGCGTTTCTTGGCAACTACAGGAGGTACAGCACCCAGGTCATTGAGACCATTGTCCAGCTGAAGCTGTCCGATGCAGTCTATCACGTTCTCGGCCAGGCGGAGCAGGTTTTGCAGCATCTATACGATGACAGTCCACCCATGGACGGTAAGTCTATCCCTTTTTCTGCCCCAGAAGACAGAGCTAATCTTGTAGTCACGAAATACATCAAGTATTCGATGCCTGTCCTGCGTGTCGACGCGCAATTCACCGTTATCGAGGCCGCGCTCAAGGGCTATATGAAATGGAGAGCAAGCACCACACAACAGAGTTTGCCAGACTATGTGGGTTACGACTGTATTTCTTGCTCAGGGCAATGCTAACAACATCTAGGAGCAACAGCGCGCCGCCTTGGAGAGAGACTTAGAATCTTGGTGCACCAAACTCCTTGAAATGAAGTTTGAGGATCCATTGATTCGAAAGAGAGTTTTGCAACTTTTAGTGGCCTTCTCGACCACAGCCCTCGACAAGAACCCGGGATTCATGCTCAAGGTTCTTGAGCACATTCTCATGACCTGGCCCGCTCCTCAACCGGAGCATCGTTCCTTCAATGAGGCCATCAAAGACTTTCAGTCCGAAAGCATGGTGGAATTGCAGAGGCTCGCGTCAAAGGTGCCTGACCATTTGCTTGCAGTATACGACCAAATAGAGGCACGGGTTAACGATATGATCTCATCGGGCACGTTGGATGAGAAGCGCCAGATTGCCTATCAGAGCTTCCTCTTCATCATCATTCACCGGGCTTCCAATATCGATCCTGCCACTCAGGTCCAGCGATTACAAGAGTTTATCAAGCCTGTCACATCTTCGTGGCAGAACCAGGAACTTAAGAATTCGCTGTCTTCTTACTCGGGCTTCTGCGAGCTGCTGGCTTTGGACAAGGCCAAGAGGTATCTGATGAGCCATCGTGTCCACGAGGTCAAAGACTGGGGTTCCTGCGAATTGGATGCTGAAGGCCTGGCTTTGCAGACCGAGCTGGAAGAGAGACAAAAGGTGAGTTTTTGTCCAGACTTTTCGAGGCTCAAAGTGCTTACTTGATTGAAGATGTTGCCGCTTCGCCCTACGAAGTCTTTTCTCTCGTTCTCAGTCGAGAAATTGGAGAAGTCGTCTACCCCTTTCCAAATCTCGTATCGCTTGTGGAATGATAGCTTCCCCGTGATCCTACCAGATCTATTGCAGTTCCTCAGGTAAGGGCATACCACCACGTCTATTCCAACGTTGGCTGACTGGTTGCATTAGCCATGCGCATGCCTCGCATAACCCGGACAACTGGACAGAACTGCCTGCCGAAACTCGATCTGTCGTTGGTAATGTACTCAGCGACCGTTTCTGGCAGGCGGGCATCTCAGAGGGCAGCAAGGATGAGTTTTACGCTCGCGTCATGGACAAGAAAAACACTCTCGAAGGGTTAGCCTCGACTATCCGCGGAACTGTAAGGTTTGTCAGGGAGACTTGTTACGCCATTATCTACTGCATGAGCCGCTTGGAGATGCAATTTTACGGCTTTAGCGAGCTACCTGGTCCGCTTGCGCAGGCCCTTTTCCAGAACTCCTTCCATCTCTCGGCCCACCAGCAAATCAACCTGCTCAACCTTGTGAGGTACCTGGTGGACGACTGTCCATTGGAGCAACGAGAACACTTCCTTCCCCCACTGCTGGCAGCGTGTTTCCAGCAGATGGATGCCAAGATCAACGCGGAATGGGAGAACCTCGAGCGCCAGCAGGCTATCCAGGCCGCAGCTGACGCTCTCACAGAAGAGATGAAGTCTGAAAGTATCTTGCGCCAAGTCACGTATACCGCGGTGATCATGGTGGCGGATTTCTTGGACCCCACGAAGAGGAGTGAGTCTATTCTTTTCCACCCTGGATTTGCTCGTTTCCTTACGCCGATTCGTCAAAACACCGTCTCTCCCTTCCCTCGGTGTAAAACCCCTGATTGAACTAGTCTATCTACCCTCCGTCTGCTACCCCGCTCCTCATCCTCGCCATATGCTCAGATGCCTCGGCTTGGAAAGTGGCAGAGTGGGTGGGCATGATACAAATGATTCACAGCCTTAACCGGGCGGGACACTAGTAAATCATGGCCGTCGAGCTAACTGGAATTTAGATCCTCCGCCTTTGAGATCACAGAATGGTCACGAACAACCACGGAAATATCCATCACTTAGGAAATTTTGCTTGATGCAGTCGACTATCGTAGAGCCTCTGCTGCTCTTTTGTACTCACGCCATCCGCATGCGAGATACTCGGTGCTGCAGCATAATCTTGCGAGTGTTCCGCTCGATTGTTCCAGACTTTCACTTGACAGAACCGCTCTCGCCGAGATCCCTTCCGCAGGATGGCATTGAAGGAGGACCGCCTAACAGGGACCCTTACCTTGACACCTCGCCAGTCTCTCCAGAGGCAGCCACTGCCATCCGGGAATATATCGCATCAGATGTACTCCGGGGTTGCATTACCTCCTTCCACGAGCCTTACTTTGTAGATTTGCAGAAGGATCTGGCCTCTTTGATTGCTGCCATCGTGGTATACTACAGCCCAGTCACCAGCACACCTCGGGACGTGCTCATGTCTCTGCCAAACATCAGACAAGCAGACCTCGACAGGCTGAACGAATTTTCTTCCAAGCCGGCTTCTCACACACGCCAACAGCGTGCGCTAGTACTTGACCTCCTCAAGGATCTCAAAGGGGTGAGCATCGCTGAGATGGGGAAGCTCCCCAAGAACAGCAGCTTCGGACGAAGCAAGAGGTCGAACCGCAGCAAGATGGCCCAGGAGTTTATGACGCCTGCCAACGAGACAAGAACTCGGGGCGGCGGAGTTGCTGACACAGGACGGGCTACGCCAGACGCCCTTGAGGGAGTGGCCAATTTGTTCGAGGGCTAAGGTGGCTCGTTGCCAGCCTTTCATGAGGACCGGCTTCCTCTGTAGAGGATCCCGCCTGCAAAGGCAGGCCCTCCTGGGAGACTCTGATCCTCTCTATAGACTCGCACCCCTTTGAGGGATAGACAAGTTCTGTAATTGGACATATCTAAGGAGGTTGCGGATCACATATCCGAGAAATGGAGCCACTAGAGAGATCTTGCCAGCGGACGTGTAGGTTGGATTGTGGCGGAGGGGCAGGATGGCATAGAAGTACCGCAGAGACATACCATAGGCTACACAGGATGGGATTGAGGTTTCAGCCCAAGTTCAAAGGATAAAAAAAAAGAGATACCAGCGTTTTTCAGGAGTCGCATCTCTGCTTCTTCGCCATGCTGCCGGCCGTTTGGAGTCCCGAAAGTATTCGTGTCTATTGCTCGCCCGTATATTCACCTGGTGAGAAAGGAACGTTGGAGATACACAAGCTCCAAGTTCGCCGACATCGTCATTACTGTTTATTTTCCATCAATCTACTATGCAAGCCTCGAGCATACACCGACATCGGGCGAGAGTGGAATAATGTGGACAGAACCTCGCCACGGGCTCTGTGCTGGTACAAGTGACCAGTCTTTGGGAACAGATTCAACAAGTATGGCCCAGAGACACAGCCAGGTACGGTACCGCAAGACACCATACATACATACGCAACTGGAGAAATTCGGGGGGGTTGGATGATGCAAGTCTACGGACATTGCCCATGGCCTTTCCAAGCAATGACCATCATTGCAGTCACTTGACAGCGAACAGGAGTCGAGATGGGGGAAAAACCAAGTGAATGCAGGTACATGCTACAGGTTTAGAACACAAAGCCCGCAAGCATTTCCGGACTGAGATAGCTTCTCCCCGGGATCCCGGGCGCAGGACTGGGCAGGCTGTTTGTGACTGGCTGCCTCAAAGGAGGGGGGAGAGAAGCGGAGGGTGGGAAGGGAACCCCCGGACCCCCATCCTCGCACGGCCGATCCATAGATTTGGGCAACATATGACCACCGCCAATGCTGGGAGCCTGGGGTCCCATGGATATTCTAGGAGAAGAGGAGGAGGGGAAGACTCACAAGGAGAAGGGGGAGGGGGAGTCCCATCATCCATGCATGGTTATCAATTTTCGGGGTTGGGACGGGATCGGGACAAGGCACAAGACAATAATATTCACCGATAGGTAGGAAAGGCGGGAGTCCAGTGACCAACCTCGGCGATCGCGGCACATCACATCAGGGCCTTTGAACATTTGCCCTATCCTGGCTTGCTTTTCCGAACGATTTACGTGAGATGGCGTAGCGTGCTTGCTGTAGGCCAGTGGGGAGGTCCACCAGTATGTCAGGAACGTCCTTAAACCTGAATAAGAGACGGCGGCAGCAGGCACTTTCCTGTCTTGATGGGCGCTCGTCCATGTGGTTTCCAGGTTCATTCGAGTATGGAAAGAGTCTGTTCCTAGTGATGTGTCGCAGTCATCCAGGCCATCCGTCCACTCGCACAACTTGTTTATCGGGCGAGAGGGAATGGTAGTCCGTCTTGGCCCACCCTCCTGTCTCTATCCTCGGCCGAGGCATTGAAGAGACGAAACTGTGAGACGAGAGAGGATGGTCAACGTCATGGCTTGCCACACCCGCACGCTGCAGTATCCTCAATCTGTTCAGAAATAACTGGACACAGTTTCTTGTTGAAGGGGCATTCTGCTCGTATACCGTGGTAGTGTCTGTTCCATCTGTAAACAACAATGTGGCTATCGAGTGTGTTATGGTCCAAGTTTGCCCCATCGGAATGTGTCGACTTGGGGAAGGGATCATCCCATCGTTCTGGATCGGACAGCGGACAAGACAACTAATGTGCTTGCAAAAAGAAACGAAGCCTCATGCAACACCGGCTTCCCATTGCTAAATGCGGTAATACAAGGCCGATATCTGGACCGTACGGAACCAACACGGCCACCGATGTGTTTCGAGCGCCCAATCATCCTGACATTGACAAATTGTCCCTGGAGGTAATATCTACGTGCCAGGGTCGAGCAACCTAGAATAGAAACCGGCATGCTTGATGCGTGTGATAGTGGGCCAACTCAAGGCATGCATGGCAGATACAAAGCCCGGTGAGCCAGGTCCTGGGAACAAGCAGCCACCCGCACATCGATGTGAAGAGGTGGATCCTGAGAGTGAGTGATAACTCGTCGTTCTAGAACAGATTGAGACAGGACCAAAGCAAAGGACTGCGGCGTGATGTGATCGGTTATGGGACGATGCATGCAGAAGCAGTTGCAGCGGCAGATAGTAAAGGCACTGAACTGCTCGGCCGCCTAGTTTAGCTACGGCTTCCAACCTGGTCTCTGATTCACATGGGAGAAAGTCATCAACGTCGACGGGTTGAATGGCCTAGTTGGCTAGTAACGGAATGTTGCACAAACTTGAGCAGGATGCCAGCATGCAACTGCCCTTCTAAGAAGTGCCTCCTATCAGCGACCGAGCCCAATGACAAATACTTGCTCGCCTAGTGAGTTTGTGTCGACGAGGGATGATTGAGAAACAGCTGTCCTGTAGCCTTGGCAAAGTCGCTCAAGGTTTCCGGAGACAGCAACTCTGTCAACTCGTGGGTGTGAGGGCAGAAAAGAGCCATTCGGAAGGTCATGGGTTGAAGACATTGACGTGTCCCGTGCGATAGAAAGTGTGCGCAGCCGCGAGTAAGGTAATTGTCCGTTGAACGTCGACATGGCATGGGATGGCTCGCTCTACTACTTTTGAGTTGCAGTCTTGGTTGTGGTCTGTGTAGCGCGACCCGCGGGATAGACCGCCATGTGGATAGTAAAGTGACATACGTGAGAATGATGCGCGACAGCGGTTGCAGGCACTGCGGACATGGAGTACCCATGAACATGAACTTTCGAGGTTATCGAGGGCCGATACAGTATGCCTACCAAAGACGATACGTTATACTTGACTCAACAACGCATCGAATCAGTTAGTCTTCGAACCCAGCCCAGGCCAGTTTGACAGAGGCCACGCAGAGGGGACTGTCAAAGAGGACCCTGTGGCTATCAAGAATGATCTGATGATGACATTTGGACCACAATTGCCCACTCTCTTCCTCTCTCGTGGGCAAATATGCTCATCACTGCACCGAGGACATGTTCTAGGGAGGAATTGAGGCGCATTAGGTGGTTGGGGTAGTTGCATCTCTCACCCTCACGCACCACGGCAATATTTGGAGATTTGGGAAATTCGGTACGGTTACTGGGATCGATTAGCCATGCCTAGCTATTTCCAGAGACCGGAGACATTGTGATTGGGACGACATGCAACATCCATCCAGTTCCATCCGACCTTAGGTAGGGCCTATCTGGGTTGTTTTTCGTGTTGTTATTCTCTTGGGCTTGCGGTGACCCGATGGAAACCCGGTGACGGCGGCAACGGGTCAACCCCGATGAATCGAACAGAGCGCGTCGTGAAGGAGGAGTGGCATCAGCAGCGACGGCGCGATGGTTAATGTCGACAATTCTGTTCCTCGTCAGGGGCCTTGTGGGAAGTGGACTCGGCCGGAGTCTGCCTCGGTGCGGCGCGGCGGACGACCAATCTTTACCGCCGGCGTGTCTTGCCATGTTAATCTCACAAACCCCCGTCTCCGTTTTGACCTTGTTCGACTGGGCGTCTGAACTAAGCTTCTGACCACAAGAGACAGCCGTCAAAGAGACTTGATGGGCTAGGGGGAGGGGCAGGCCATGAAGAGCACTCCTGATTGAGTACGGGTAGTCCCCCCTGGAGGCTGATGAGCGTGATATGATGAGATGGCTAAGGAAGTTGCCGTCACTCATCACCGCCGTCGTCGCAGCAAGAGGGGATCGAAGGGCCAAGAAGGATGGAGACGAAGACTGCGTGAGGCAGTTGGGTTTCTTGTGCCCCTACGCACTGGCGCAGTGGTAGCATCAACCCAGTCAGCTCCGACAAGGAGGCTCCAAATGCACCCCCATTCCTTCCATGCCACCTCTTTCTGTAGCTGGGAAGGGGCTTCTTCTCGCTCAGATTTTCCCCAGCGGTAAGACTAGACTGTTTTGTCTTACCGCAAGTAGTCTTGCGAGAGAGAGATAGAGAGAGAAAGACAGAGAGGGTGTAAGATCGCAGAGGGTATTGACAGTGTGGGGCGCGTGTGCTCCTTTGCTACTTGGATATAGGAACCAGGAACTAGAGGTGCTTCACAGCGGCCGCCTCGCGGGGTCCGTGAGCTGAAGACCGTGCGATGATACCTCACCTGATGATATCCAACCAACCTTCAAAGATTGGGGTACCTCGGAATGTACTTCGCATGTGGGCGGTCGGGTCCTAGTGTGTGTCGTGTCATCGAGCTCTCTGACAGCCCAACGCCTGTCAACTAGATGCTAGGGAAAACTCTCTTGCCCGAGAGGGCTGGATGCTGCAGGCGTTTCCGAGAAGCAGAGAAGTTTCTCCATCAACCGTCCAGGCAAAGGGGACTTCCAACTGAGGGGAAAGAGAGTGACTCTTGAAGAGTTGTACTACCTTACGCAGTACTGAGAATCGACCGTGCACGCACGTCAGGGTAGAACGAGGTGGCACCAATCGTGTTGCCTATGCCGTTCGCTTTGCGTCAGTTTGTCAATCCGTCAGAATACGCTGCCGCACCATTGGCTTCCTGAATAGTCGGGTCTTGCAGTAGGGCAGAACAGTTCAGGGCCCAGCAAGGGGTTGCCATGTCGTATTGGGGTATTTCCATCCTCCATCATGTTTGCTTTTTGTCGAGCCATCACCGAGACATGTAGGGGTTTCCAACACAGACAAGTTGATCGACACCCTCGTGACTCGGCTTGGCCTCGTTTTGTCCTGTCTTAGATTGGCTCGCCTTTCCTTTGGCTCTCCTGTTCTCTGCATTGCCATGGCCATGCAGGGCTTGATAGACCAACAGGAAACGGATCAACCGCCGTGTCGTGACTGTGCTGTACTGCACCGGAATGAGCAAGGTTGCAGACTGAGGCCAGACTGGGGAGTAAGTACCTACGGCAATGTCTTGCTCACTCTTCTGTCTGTCTCGGCCTCACGCCGTCGTCGGTGGCACACCACAGTACCACGGGCACATTAATGCGGGCTATCTTGACGCCATGCATTTCACAGTGCGCTCAATGTGTACGGACGCGTCCTGTGGCAGAGGTGGAGGCAAGCCGGGGATCCGCAGATGAGGTACTTTTGGAATACATATCGGAAGCTCTCCCTCTCTCTCTGCCTTTGTTTCCCCTGTCAATTGCGCAAAGCAAAAAAACAGCATGGCCTCGGGAAAAACCCGCAGGCTCAAGAGAAGGTACGTACCGGTCGCTGGGATTGCGGAGTTACCCGTTATTGCCGCTGTTCAATTTGAGTGTGTGGTGAAACCGTCCAAAGACCAAAGACGGCAGCGCTAGTCCAACGCCGTCGAGGCAAGGCTGCCGACTCGCCCGCCGCCACCGACCAGAGCTCTGGAGACTGGACCAGACATTCAGAGTCGGTACCTGACGAATGCGGCCAGAAAGATGTTTGCCAACGCTTGAACAACCATCGGTTTCTTTGGTCCCCTCAAAGGCCACGCTGCCTTTCCTTCGACGGCCAAGCGCCCCTCAGCAAGCCATGCCTCAGCCCTAGACCTTTGCCGTGGTAGCAGCTTCAAGTCTTCGTTCGCGCCAGCAAGCCCAGCTGAGGTGGTGAGCAACAAGGTCCGGATCGTCGGGGCGGGGCAGGGAAGCAAAGCCAAACCAACAAGCAAGGCAACGCACGCCAAAGCGAAAGAGAAGCAACCACTACCTACTGGTCCTACCAGCAAGCAGTCCTCGGCCGAACCTCAATCTGCCCCAAACACACTGCTCTCGTGCGGATTGTTTCTGGGAAACCCTGGGAGCTTAAGGGAATGTAGATCCGCAACGTTTGGCAAGGCAGGGCAAGTCATGGCAGTTGTGGTGAGAGCATCTCACTCGCCTTTCCAAACACCCCACTGCATTACGGTTCCCCCCCGATTTCCGATTCCCCCATCCCCTCAAGATACCAGGCGTATCCTAGCTGTCGGGAAGACTTAACCGGGTTATATCCCCTTTGCTGTCACGCCTTCTGTGACAGCCACTGCCAATATTCACCAGAGCTCCTCTCAGCTACCTGCAAAACATCTTATTGAGGCGAGAGTCGCATGTACCCAAAACCTCCATCCAACTGGATTAAACAAATGGGGTCTCAACAGCAGTGTGCTATCACGGCAATTGCCCCCCCTGTGCCCCTCGGAGCTGTATCCCGCACTCTCTCGACATGCACCGCACTTCTCCTCGGCCACTGACCTCTTTTGTCTTTGAGTGTCGGATCTTCGCGTCTGCATCCCGTCGTCAAAGCGGCTCCCCTATTTCCCTTTACCCAATGTTTCTGTGCTCTCCCCTCTGCTCTGCTACCTCAAGCCCCACATCCCTGTTCACTCGCTACCCCTGCTCATGCCTCCTCTGCTCCTCCCCTCTTCCTGCCCCCCCCCACCCGTATCTAGAAGCCGTGGAAGCCCATGTAACGCATCGCCTGGCATAGGCTAGCTACAGGCGCTAGCACTAGCCAAGGCCTAAGGCACGTCTAATCTGATGGGAAGATATCCCAGGTCTCCATTGTTCACAGTGGACTCTTCTTCTCTTCTCAGTTAGACGTTCGCAGGGTACCTGCGGAATACAAGTGTTTTCGTGTGCCTGGCCATCGGTCTCGAAAGGAGGCAGACCCTCTCCAACCGGGGACCCTCATTTTCCCAACGCAACTTCGCAGAAGGACCACCAACCCAAACATAGAGGCCCCTCTCCTCCCCCGGTTCTGGACGGCATTTCCCGTCTCTCGTGTCCCCTTCTGCCGATGTAAGGACTTGGCCACAGAAACACTTCACACAAGCGACATGCCAAAGAAGTGTTGCACACCATTATAACTACGTCCAACCGCCCGCTCTACCTTAGTCTACCCGTTATTGCTCAACTCCAACTTCCTGACCCATCCAACTCCCTAGCCGAACGCTACATCCACGGCCGCATCCTGCAACATCAATCCCATCTAGACACTCTTCACTTGCCGTAGCTGGACCTGGACCAGGACCAGGACCACCCTGGGTCGTCTTAACCACGGCCACCCCCGGACGTGCCAGGGAAACAGGCCCAGTGAGACTCGCAACAGCGCCGGTTCTCAAACACCACCGGCGTGGCTTGGAAGCTTTCCATCTATGCGCTTTGCCTGCCGTTCTTCGACCTTACCATACGTTTTCCTTCCAAACCCCGTCCCTCTCCCAACCCTTCAACCTCCCATCTACGACTGAAGACCACGCATAGAAACAATCTCAGTCTGTTCTTGCCACTCTCACAAACACCGCTGCCACCAATTGACTTCGCGAAATCGATTTGGCCATTACCGACCATTTACGTCTCCGTCCAGATCTGCCGTTCAGAGACCTGGTCTCGTTACTGGCGTCTCGCCGTCTCGTGCGACATACTTCTTCTCTCCATCTCAACACGAACACGCGGCTCCCGGACCCAGCTCCTCCCCGACACTTGGTTCCAAACACCCAAATGGTCACTGGTTGTTTCCCCCTCCCACCTCGAGCAACCATCGCCTCCGCACTCCAGAATAAGCCGCTTGCCTCCGGGTTTCACATCCTAGCAGTTCTGATCCAAACATCACCAGTCGACCTTTCACGTTCACCCTGATCGGCCGCCAACGTGCTCATCATACGCTGATTCACCTTTGAATAACCCCACGACTCCTCCAACCGGACGAACTTCCCGACTACTCTTGGCTCCATCTTTACCGCACAAGACTTTAAAGACATCCGCCAGCCGTTCTTACTTCGGCTGCACTGCTTGATCGTTACAACCACCCAGCGCAGCACGATATCGATAACTACGACTTAAATCGGCATCATGGTCTACTGCGGAAAGCCCTCTAGGGGCTGTCAGATGTGCAGGACTCGAAGAATAAAGGTAAGACAGAGATCCGAATTGTTGCAACGAGAGAGGTCACTTGACAGACGGAATCTGTGTACTGACAATACGTTTGCCTAGTGTGATGAGACAAAGCCTACATGCAACCAATGCGCCAAGTCCCGTCGTCAATGTCCTGGCTACAAGGACGAGTTCGACCTCGTTTTCAGGAATGAGACCAAGGCGACAGAGAGGAGAGCTCAGAAGGCAAACCGCAAAGCACTCGCCCAGAAGGGGAAAGACATTGACTCCCCTACTTCTGGTTCTGACAAGAGCATTTCGCCCACATTTAAGAAGGAGATCGACTCGCCTGCGGTGGTCATTCCTGGTCTAAACGTTCCTGTGGAACAGATGGCCAGCTGCCACTTTGTCGCCAACTACGTCCTACTACCCCGACAGGGCAGTACTCGTGGGTTTATGGAATACTTATTACCGCTGCTGAAAGTCGAGCAAGGAAACCATCATCTACAACATGCCTTCAACGCGTGTGCACTCGCATCACTGGGAAACCGACCGAACGCCGCGGGAACGGGCTTGAGTGACAAGGCCTTGGGACACTACACCAAGGCACTAGCCGAGACGCATATTGCGCTCAAAGATCCTGATCAGTCAAAGTCGGACGCTACTCTCGCTTCTGTCCTCATGCTCGGCCTCTTTGAGAACATGACTGCTCGTCAAATGGGCATGTTCGCTTGGGGTTCGCACATTGAAGGCGCCATCCAGTTAGTCAAGGCACGTGGTCGCAAGCAGCTCCGGACCAAAACCGGGTTGCTTCTGTTCATCGCCGTTCGGACCCAAATGATCATCCACACTCTCAGCACGGGCACGGCACCTATCATGGGTGTTGAGTGGTGGCTTAGTGACGCTGTCAAGGATGAGTGTGCCGCTCATTGCCAGAGACTCAACATCAAGACGGCAGAGCTGCGCGCCGAAGTAACGCGGCTGATGTCGACAGTGGCCCGAAGCCCGGAGAACATCGACATCATGCTAGACATGATCCGCCGGGCCCAAACTGTCGACCAAGAGTTAATGACGTGGATGAGGAATACGCCAGACTACTTCCAATACACGACGGTGGCATGGGAGGACAACGTTCCTAACGGAGACTACGCCAAGGCCGAAGTGTTCCCCGGCCGTGTGGACGTGTACCAGGACTTCTGGATTGCCAGTGTATGGAACATGGCAAGAGTGTCTCGTCTCATTCTCGCTTCGGTCATCGTTCGCTGCGCCGCTTGGGTCTGCTCGCCAGTAGACTACCGCACGACGCCCGAATACGCAACGGCTGCACGCACTTGCGTCGACACCATTAGCGACATTATCGCATCAGTGCCGTACCACCTGGGCTGGCACCTCAAGAGACCGGAACTTCTCGAGAGAGCAAACATCTCGGGCTTCGCCTGTGGACTGGAAGAATCGCAAAAGGGCCTGCCCGGATACTTCCTGACCTGGCCCCTGGCATGTTTGCATGGCCAGGATTACACCACAGATGCTCAACGAGCCTGGGTGGTAGGACGCTTGAAGTTCATCGGTGATGAGCTGGGCGTCAAGTACGCTCACATCCTGTCACAGGTAAGCTATAAGACTCATCCCACGTCAGAGTCGGAACTAACACATTCGACAGATGCAAGTCCGTATTCCCTCAATGCTCATTAGAAGGGACGGACTGATGGCCCAGCCGTACCCTCAAGCTCACAACTTTGAGAAGCTTCTATCTGCGAGGTTTGCGCCGCCCTCTGCAGGCTATTCGATGAACCCTCTGCAACAGCGCGAGGCTATGCAAAAGGAGTTTGTGGAGAAGCACAAGGCTGAGCTGCTCGCCAAAGCCACTGGAACTGCTGGCCAGGCGGGACAATGGGTAGCACAGAATTGGCTGACGGTGCGGCCTGGGCCTCAGTGAGTTTGCAGGGACTCGGCTTGTAAGGATACCTCTTTGGGCGGTGGGAGCACAAGATCTCGACGGGAGTCCTACAATGTCGTTGATCATCCACATCGTTATGGTGCTTACGTTGACAAAGATGAGACGTGCGGAATGAAACTGGAACGGTAGGAAGGCATGCGGACATTGACGTTACGCATCCTCGAAGAAATCGAGGAAACAAACCAAAACCTGGGGTGCGGCTCGCCGGGACATTGTGTTGGGAATGGCGGCAGCCAAGTGTTGATTTAAAGGGATTGTGATACCACGGCGTTGGATTGTTTTTCGTTGGCTTCACAGTTGATATTCTATCTTACGTGACACAGCCCGATCCTTACCACAAAGCATTCGTTCCTGTCGCATCGGAGCCCGACCTAGTACACATGTAGATTAGCAATGGAAATACACATCAGCATTTACGTATAGCAAACAGAGAAAGTTTGTACATCATCTTCAATGACCTCTTCCACTTTGTTCATGGTCATTTGCAAATTTCGAATTAAAACCGAGCATACGGTTGCAAGCGGTTGGGTCCGTCTCCGGCTACTACCTAGCTGTGTCTCTGCGAAGAAAGACCGGATAACCCCCTCCCCCCCACCCCCTCAAGAGCAATAATCTCGGTCACGCCAAGTTGGCCACCTGAGTACTGCATGGAAAGTGTCCCGCTGAGGTGCCATCCCAACTCAAGCCCGTTCGGCGCTCAGGCGATGCACGTTGCCCGTTTCCCCTCTCCCGCCATGACTATTCTGACCACCGCACCACGGACTCAGCCGAGGTATCTCGATGGCCCCTTACCCATCATCTGCGCTCGCTTGTGGGTTCCGTATCCCCTTCATCGCGTGGGGTGGGAACGACGCCTGTACTCCCGTCGCGCGTTGCGCTGTTCTCAATTCCCTTTTTCGTGTTTGTGTTCAAGTCCTGCGCCTATACCGTGCTTGCAAACCCGCTGCCCATTCGAGGCCGTGATTCCAAAAGGCGTATCCTCGCTCGCTACTTGGTTTTCTTGATCTGACCGACTGTATTCCCGCTCAAGTTCCATGCCTTGACGACCCAGCTTTGGGTCTGGTCGACGTAGTTCTCGGTCGAGGTGTGCTTAACGCCGACTCTCACGCCGTCTTTTGTAATAACGACGTTCTTCTTGCCCATGCGCTCCGAGGCCGTTTTCCGAATCTTGGTGACGGAGATGTAGACCTGCCAGAGCACCCAGGCGACGCCCGCGAGGAAGACGACGGTGATGATGAGGGGGAGGATTTGCCTGCAGGTTGCGCCAAGAGCATTGGGTCAGCGCAAAACGTTCTCGAATGTGGCGTGTTATAGACGGTATGCGCCTTGTCGCATGGCATGGCAGACTCGAAGGACCAGTTTTTGAGGGGGGGGGGACATGCACAGGAGTCCGCATGCGACGCGCAATTTTTTTAAAAAAAAATTGCGCCCGTATCACGGATCCGTTCCTATTCTTTTGCGGCTCGGGATGTCTCTCACCTAATAGTCGAAGGAGGCGGCGGGTGGGCTTTCTTACCCCACGCCATGGTTGCGAATGAAGTTGTGCAAGTGGTGAAGTTAATTCGAAGGCCTCTGGGCTTCTTGGGAGGATGTCCAGCCCGAAGAATAGAGGAGAAGAACCCGCGACGGTGGGAGGGAAGGAGTCAATGTTAACAACAAGTGCCTTCCCAAGTGGATATAACGACGTCGATCTCGAGGGACAGGTCGAAAGGCAGATCGGCGGAGGGACTAGACTTGAACAGTTGAGAGGGGGGAGGGGGATAAAAGTGGAAGAGGGAAAGAAACTACAATTGGTGACGGGCGTTGGACAAGGAGGGGATATGACGGCCGGGAAGCTAAAGCAAGTAGTGTAGCTCGGCCGGGCAGAAGAAAGCAAGCAAGCAAAGAGAAAGGTTCAGGTGAGACCTCTCGACCAAACCCTACAGGACTAGAAACGAACGAACAGGAAGGGCAAAGTGGTGGAAGGCGAAGCGAGGTGATCAAGATACGAGCATCCTTATTAGAGTAGGGCGAGGTAAACCTATTAACTAGCGTCCACAGTGCCTCCGTCTTCCCACGATCCCCCGTCTTCCTAGCATATTTATCAGGTACGTCGGGTGGGATACCTCGAGATTGTCATGTGCCGCGTACGCACTCGAATGCGCATCGCAGACCGAAAAGCTGAGTCGCGACGACACGCAATCGAGCAACAGGCCAGTGCTCGGCGCAGGGCACTTGAAGTGATCTAGGGGGTGGTTGTGTGGAGATACAGGGCCCTGAGAGGCTGAGAACATGGGCGGGAGGTGCCACCATCCGCCCTAGTGCGCCTTTTGGGTGATGCTAAGCACCGCGGCGGCCCCGCTGACGCTGGGAACACGGCACATCCTGCTGGGGGGGCAGGGGAGGGGCAATGACTGACAGTACTATGTAAGTGCTGGATATCCGATGTTGGCCTGTGTGTTGGAGGCCGTTCGGCTGTTCGTGGCTTCGTAGACGATGGAACAAACCAGGCCCAGCAGCTGAGATAGACACAGCAGGTTATCGGCGGGCAATCAACCAGGCACACCGGTCTTGTCAAGTTCTACTCTCGTTCCACCCTCTCGCCATGACTGCGAAACCGCACGAGATGCGGCGATAGCTTCCAGGACTGGGAGGCACACTCTAGGAGCTTCATTGGAGGCCAAGGTCCATCACACTGACCCGCGCCACCACCGCGGAATTCAGTGCCGCCCAAAGGGGTACTGTACATAATATGTACTTGTAGCAAGCCGAAGGTATATATCAGGTCTGCCCCACAACGTTTGAGATGAGAGTGAAAATCCCCTTCATCACTTGTGGTCCATGGGGCGAGCTTTGTTCGGCGGCGTAACAGGAGTTCGTATGGCGCACGGGGCCGCATATATGTATATGATCGGTCGGAACCCCATTCTGGACTGATGGGTTTCTTTGTTCGGATGCTCGGTTGTTTGCTAAGCCTTGAGACGGTTGTTCTGTGCCGCCATTTTCTCGGCGTGTCGCGTCCACTTTTAACTCGGAGGCCGAGGGGCGATCGCGGTCAGATCCAAGTCATTGGGCCCTTCCAACGAGTTCCAGATAGCGAATGTTTATCAAAGCGACCAATGTCGAACAGCTGATGTCCAAAACGACGGGATCCCAGGGGGCCATGGTACGAGTATGTACTGCAAATGATTGGCATTGCTGGCAGTCACCTCCCATTGACTTCCTGCACCAGCTGCAGCAGCAGCAACAACAAATGACCGACATCTGTGGATTGCTGTGGGCCACCGTCCGTGGCTCTGGGATCGCGCTTGATTGTGAACGAATCCCCCCTCCCAAGGCGGGTTTCTTCATCTTCTTCGGTGATCCGGCTCTACAATGTCCCGAGCCACCGGCTTCTCCAGCCTCACATGGGCCGTGCACGATAGCTGTCAATTACAGCCACATGTTCTGACCGCCAGCCGCCGCCAGCAGCACCAGCAGCAAGCCAGCACGACAAATTAGGCCAATTAAGCCCTGCAGCGCGATAGAGGTGAACACCTAGCCGACTTGAAGCTGGAATGACTACAGGTTGAACCACCTGTCCATTCGACTCCTTCTCAAGGCTGCCTACTGCATCTTGCCTCTCGCTCCTTCAATCGCCTGGGGGCTCGGGTATTCAGGTCAGCCTACTCTCGACACGATACGGTTCCCGTCATTCATCGCATTTTGTCATCTGGCTGCTGTGGACACATCTCTGTTGAGCTGCCTGCTGTCCTCTTGACCCCTCGCTACCTGACGCCGCTACGCCACGCCGCCTGTTGCGTACCCCCAAAACCCGGCACCGGCCACATCCAAATATCCCGATTTACAAACATCCACCTTCTCATCCATCACGACGCTGCTTGCTCAATCCCCCAGCGCAAACAAGAAGTAGCACATCCTCTACCCCCTGCACACTGCCCACCATGTCGGCGCCGAACGACGGCTACGGCCAATATCCCCCACAGGAGCAGCCCTACGCCGACCAGCCTCAGGATGGCTACGACGCACAGGGAGCCCAAGCTCCTCAGCCGGCTGCCGCCGACCACGGCAAGAAGAAGAAGAGAGGGTATGCTACCCAAGCCTACGAGTTTGGAGCTGGCGCCAACTCCGCTGCCGGCGCACCTGCTCAAGCGCAAGCTGCCCCGTACGGCATGCCGCAACCTCAGGTCCCGGCCTACGGAGGTTATCCCCAGCCAGATGTTCAGCCCGCCGCCGCAGCTTATGGCTCCCCCAGCCGCAACAGTACGGCATGCCGCAACCCGCCGCCGCCGCCGCCGCCACGGCCGGAGGCTACGGCGGCTATCAGCCACCTGATGCCGGGTACCCTTCCCCGGCGGCGTTCCTGCTGCTCCCGGAGTCGCTGGCCTCAACCAGCAGATGGCCGGCATGAACCTCGGCGGCAACCCTCAGCAGCCACCTCCTGGCCAGCCGGCAGGAACTCGCCCCATGGCCCTTAACCAGCTTTATCCTACCGACTTGATGAACCAACCGTTCAATGTCTCCGAGCTGGATTTACCCCCTCCCCCCATCGTCCTGCCTCCTAATGTACGTCACCGCCTTGTCCCTTTTCATGCGGAGCCCCTTGCTGACTGTTGGATATGTAGACCAGCGTTACTCCCTCCCCCGATGCGAACTGCGGTCCCAAATACGTACGCTCTACGCTCAACGCTGTCCCGACAACACACTCTCTCCTGAAGAAGTCGAGATTACCCTTTGCGCTTGTCATCCAGCCCTACGGCGCTCTCCACGACAGCGAGGATCCGGTCCCCGTAGTGCAGGACCAAGTAATCGCGCGTTGCAGACGATGCAGGACATACATCAACCCATTCGTCACTTTCCTCGACCATGGCCACCGCTGGCGCTGCAACATGTGCAACCTGACAAACGACGTGCCTCAAGCTTTCGACTGGGATGCTGCTTCGCAAAGAAGCACCGACCGATGGGGCCGCTACGAGCTCAACTACTCCGTTGTCGAGTTCGTTGCGCCTCAGGAGTATATGGTTCGCCCGCCCCAGCCGCTCGTCTATCTGTTCCTCTTCGACGTCAGCTATGCCGCTGTCTCTACCGGCCTCCTCGCTACCAGCGCCCGAACTATCCTTGACAGTCTCGACAGAATACCTAATGCTGATCGTCGCACTCGCCTTGGTTTCATTGCTGTGGACTCTAGCCTGCACTACTTCTCGGTTCCCAAGGACGGTGAGGAGAATGCCGAGACCAGCATGCTGGTCGTCAGCGATCTTGATGAGCCGTTCCTGCCTGTGCCCACAGACTTGTTGGTGCCCCTGACTGAGAGCCGCCAGAGCATTGAGGGCTTCTTGACCAAGCTGCCCGAGATGTTCCAAAGCAACCAGAACAATGGCTCTGCCATGGGCTCTGCCCTTAGAGCCGGTCACAAGCTTATTTCGGCGCTCGGTGGAAAGATTGTTGTACTCAGCGCCTCGCTGCCCAACGTTGGGGTTGGCAAGCTGGACATGCGCGAGGACAAGAAGCTGCTCGGGACGAGCAAGGAAAGCAGTCTGCTGCAGACCGCCAACAGCTTCTACAAAAGCTTTGCCGTCGAATGCTCCAAGAACCAAGTCTCGATCGATATGTTTCTGTTTTCCTCGCAATACCAAGATGTCGCGTCTCTGAGCAACCTGCCGAGATACACCGGAGGACAGACTTGGTTCTATCCCGGCTGGAACGCCGGCCGTCCAGAGGATGCCATCAAGTTTGCTTCCGAGTTCAGTGACTATTTGTCATCAGAAATCGGTCTGGAGGCAGTGCTCCGTGTTCGTGCCACCACAGGTTTGCGCATGAACGCCTTTTACGGCAACTTCTTCAATAGAAGCTCGGATCTTTGCGCATTCCCTGCGTTCCCTCGCGATCAGTGTTATGTAGTCGAGGTCGCCATCGATGAGAACCTGACCAAGAACGTTGTGTGCTTGCAGACGGCGGTTCTTCACACGACTTGTAATGGAGAGCGTCGTATCCGCGTCATGACGCTCGCTCTGCCGACCACCACAAACCTTGCCGACATTTATGCTTCGGCAGACCAGCAGGCGATCACCACATACTTCAGTCACAAGGCGGTCGAGCGCGCCTTGAGTGGAGGCTTGGAGGCTGCCCGTGACTCTCTCCAGAACAAGCTGATTGAGCTTTTGCAGACGTTCCGAAAGGAACTTGCAGGCGGCAGCATGGGCGGTGGCTTGCAGTTCCCCTCCAACCTTCGCGGACTCCCCATTCTGTTCCTGGGCCTCATGAAAAACGTTGGCCTGCGCAAGTCGGCCCAGATCCCGTCAGACCTGCGGTCGGCTGCTCTTTGCCTGCTGTCAACGCTTCCCGTTCCTCTCCTGATGCAGTACATCTACCCCCGCCTCTACTCGCTGCACGACATGCCCGACAATGCAGGCGTGCCCGATCAGGAGACGAGCCAGATCGTGCTCCCGCCGCCATTGAACCTCTCATCGGAACGTTTTGTTCCCTACGGCTTGTATCTCATTGATGACGGCCAGACGCAGTTCTTGTGGGCCGGTCGGGACGCTGTGCCCCAACTCCTGGCTGATGTGTTTGGAGTTGACGACAGGACCCAATTGAGGGTTGGCAAGGGTGCGTTGCCGGAGCTGGAGAATGACTTCAACGAGCGGGTACGGGCGGTCGTCCACAAAAGCCGGGACCACCGTTCCAAGGGAGTCGGCAGCATCATCCTACCCCACCTCTATATTGTCCGAGAAGACGGAGAGCCGAGCCTTAAGTTGTGGGCGCAGACACTGCTGGTCGAGGACCGGGCGGATCAGGGTATGAGCGCCGCGCAATGGCTCGGAATCCTTAGAGAAAAGGTAAGTCCCCTTGGCGGCTAGTCTTACGAACAGAAGGCCATGGCTAACATTCTTTTGTCTACTAGGTTGTGACTTGAAAACAAAATGTCTACTAGGGAGAAGGGGGGGGGGGGGGGGGGGGGGGGGTGTTGCAAGGGGCTTCCGGGGGTGTTGGGTTCATTTAGACCAGTCTCGGTGTGAAAAGTAGAGATCAATACGCATAAACACTGGCCGAATGTTGTTCTACTGCTTCCTTGGTGTGCCAAACTTGCTTTTGAGTTCGTATGTAATACCGCTGCATGTTTCCGTTGATTGCGAGTGGCTAAATGGGCTTACTAGTAAGGCGCGAACCATGACAAGTGACAGGGTCCGTGAAAGAGTTGTCCGGTTTCTTGGAACGCTCCGCCTTGGGGTGATGAGCTCGCCTCCGTCTCGGAAGATTGATAAGTTTGTGGGCTTACATTTGAAGCCCGGCCCTGGTGACCTGTCACACACCAGGGTTGCGGGAAGAGCAGTAACATGTCCTCCTCGTTGGCAAGTGTGGTAGGAGGCCATGATGCTCTGGCCGGCGGCGCTTTCCCTTTTCAAATGAAGACCCACCGTTCCGTCCTTTTCTCGTCTCTATTCGTACACCAATGACCATTGATAGGACGGGGAGATTGGACGGGGAGGGAATGGAAGGGGGAGCCGGTTTTGAGGGAGGTTTCCAGTGCCAGGATGGTTCGAAATCTGGGCGACTGAGATGAGCGAGTAAAGCGGGTGGGTTTGGTGGTGGTGGTGGTGAAACTGGTACCAGTGGGAGGTGAAACACACGCGCCGAGGGGGAGGGAAGACCGGCTCGGGGGCCAATGGTAGGCGGGGCTAGGCGCCGTTGGACGTGTGCCGTGGCTGCAGAGTGCTGACCAATGCTGGCCGAGAGATGGACTTTGGGGGATGATGGGAGTGTTTTTTTGGTCCATCACATGGCAGGCTTGCGCGTTTTTTTCTTTCTTTCTTGCCGTCCGTCCAGCAAACTACCGCCCAACAAGACGTCATACAGAAGAGTCAGACGGGCGGTGTTGTTTGATTGACTGACTGGGTGAGAGGATTGGAAGTACAGGTACCTTGCCAGGCATGCGCTAACCAGGCGAGAAACGCAAGATACAAGGACGTTCCGCCACCCCTGGAAGGGTGTCCCGGGTAGCAAAGCATCGGGGATATGCATGTACCAAGGCTCCTGCTGCTAGTGTGCACTTTACCCGCCGACTTGATGGGTAGCTCTCGAGAGCTGGGCAAAGATGAGATGGTGGAAAGATGTGGACAAGCATTGGCAATCACTCGTGCAGGCAATCTGTTCGCAGCAGGCGGGTCGTCCATCCCACAGCGAGCCTGTCCAGGGTCCAGACCAAGCAGCAGGGTCGAAATGGGCGACGACAGCATCGAGTGGCGTTGTGGGACAGGGAAGAGAGTATCGATATGCGGTCGCTGTCATGCGTGGATTGGAGCGAGTCGGGTTTTGTCCATGGAAGAGGGGTAGGGAACCGGGAGCGATAGAGGAACATCGTCTATTTGAGGTTTATTCCAGGTCTGGACTCTCCCCGCCGTGGGGGGCAAATGAGAAAAAGGCCGGAGGACCGAGAACACACCCACAAGGTTTCCGTCTTCCTGCCCTGGTTGGCTTCTGGACATTGAGAACTCTGAACTTGCCCATTTGTTCTGGAGCTGCGATGTGCCTTCCAAACGGATCGGACGGCGGAACTTGCCTCGGGTTGCTTGTATTCAAGACTGTGCTGTTTAATGACGCAAGCAAGTAGATTGGATGGAGGTTCTGGACCATGCGAGAGCAGTCTGTTCATGATTTGCCTGGGCGCGAAGATTCTGGAGACTCCCGATTGCTCCAGGGGTTGCGACGGAAAAGGTGCAAGTAGCTTTTGACTGCCAGTAAAGCGTTGGTGTCGCCCGCGTCCTTTTTCGACCCGGAAGAAATGCGTTTTATTACAGTATGGCCTCGACTGTGACGGTCACAGTTAAAGAGATAAACCAAGATGGAACAAGATTAGAAGCTGGCCTTGTCTGCACAGCAATTGGCTTCGTGGGATGCCGGGATGACCTTGGCAGGGTGCCCCTAAAGCTCCCTCCCGTCGTACGCAGAAGCAAGTTAGGGTTCCCTAAGCTGGGGGTGTAGATCGTTTTTCCATCGGACAGCCAATGTTGACTTCTGATTCATTGAGGTTTTCAGACCAGAACACAGTGGCAGGTGAACACGACGTAGAATTGGCTCGGTGGTCGAGAACAAGGCATTGACATCGCACGTTGGCCGTTTCCTACTCTGCTTTTGGGGCGGAAAAGGAGTCAGTTCCCCCTCATATGCCACTGACAACGACAACAAGTCTCCGGGCGGAATCCAGCTTCTCGTGTAGATTGTATCTGTCTGTAACCCGCTTGAAGCAATGGTCGAAACGGGTCGAATGTGGTTTCCATCATTGCCTTATACGAAGGCATCGTAACCCGCTAGTTGCTTGTGCCTCTTACAACGTAGTTGGGCTCTGAACCCCGATCCAGTCGTGAGCTGAAGACTGGTGGATGAAGGACGGTTGAGGATTTGTGGTCCTCTAGCGGGGGTTCATGAAGCAAGCACGTTTCCAAACCAAGGTACCTGGACCTTGGCCAGGGTCTTTAAACGGGCTCTAGTAGATACACTACACTAGTTCAGGTGCCCATACATGCATTCCTCCGACGTTTAGGTACTGGTTGTGTGGTTGGTGTTCACCGTGAACCGCCTGCAACAATACCGCCCAATCCCTGGTCACATACCTGGTGTATGTACCTCTGCTACCTAGGGCAGGTAGGTCCCGCGACTCTGTACACTACTCCCCGCTCCCCCTCCCCTCCTCCCCCTCCCCCCTTCTCTCTCTCTGCCCTCCGCTCGCGTCCCCTTCTCAGTCTCCCAGTCGCAGCTTGTCGCCAGATTGACCCCACGACATCACCCCGCCGTCCTTCACCTCACGACCTCTTCGTTTCCTCTCTACACCACATCTCCCCTACCTCAGTCACCTCTACTACTGTCGACCCGACGGGAGTTCAGACGAATGCAATACTACATAGAATAGCCCGGGCCAAGAGACAACCACTCCAACAATTCGACAAACGGCCTAGCACTCAACTCTCGGAGGCATCTCCAGACGAGCAAAGAGAGGGTCGAATCTGCAGCGGGGTAAGACCGATTACCTGACCTGACCTGAGCCTTGCCCGTCTCATGCCTTGCCCATTCCACCTTTCTTTCACCCTACCTTACCTTATTACCCTTAGCTTCGACCATCCATCTCATCGTGGGCTGACAGGAACACCTCTTCTTCTCCAGCCTCAAGCTACCTCACCTTCCTTACCTCTCTCTCTTTTCACCGAAACATTGACACGCCCATCTCGCCCTGCTTCACCAGCGCGCAGGCATCTCACAGACTGCCCATCGCAGGTTTCCGGTACGTACTTGGACACCGGCGTCTCTGCATCATGCCCTTTTCACCTCTCTCCCTGGCCGTGCCTACCGTCTCCAGCAGCCACCATCGTCGTGTCGTCGTTTGTCGCCGCATTGCTCGGTGCTTCGTAACCTTCGTCTCCCACTTTACCCCTCTCGACTTTTCCCCCTTTCAACCTTCCTTACCACTTTGGACCCGAAGATCATACAGGCACATGCACAATTCGATCTCGCTTGGCGAATACGCACCCAGGCACAAGTGGTCGCGCCCGTCCATTCAACCTGCCCTTGCGCCCCGGTCCAGGAGCTCGTGAAGCTCAGGTGCAAACTGCGCTGCTCATCTCTCGGCCTGCTTACCGTGGTGTGGTCTTGACTCTCCTTTTGCGCGCGCTTCTTGGACTTCTCTCGTCTGAAGTTGCGTCGCAGGGGGGTGCTCGGGTCATCGCCCGTTCCCCTTTCTCTTTGCCTCGTTTCGTTGCGTCGCGACCCGCTTTCCCTTCTCCATCGCCATTCGCCCTCTCCTCTTGCATCCGCAGCTCTCTGGTGTGGCCACGCTCTCTTTTGTGCGTGCTCTTTGCGCTATCCCGCTCCTCTTCTGGAAGCTTGTCTGCGCTGCAACCGCCTGTCGCGCCAAACCTTCCTTGAGGCTCGATCGCTTTCGAGAAGGCACCGAAGAAGAACACGACGCGGGCAGTTCAGAAATGCCTTTGGTTCTTGTCAAGATCTGGCTTTGACCTGCCCTGTCTGCACGCACGCCTCAGCCTGCCCACACTCTCATTACCTTATCCTACAGTACATGCTGTACCCGCATCCGTCCCCCCCCGACCCCAACCCCGTTCCCGTTCCACGACCTAGCTGTTTTGGACCCTCTCCTCACTTGCTCAACCTTGCCCACCCCGGGATGCCTGCCTGTTCTGTCACTTGACCCGTTGGAGCTCCTTCCAGCTAACACCCAACTCTGATCTTGCAGTCCCTTGCCCGTTAACCAATCCCTCTGCACCGGGGTCTTTCAATCAACCGACAACTCGTTGCCGCCTACCGTAGAAAGCCGCAAACCGCAAACCGCTCCGTACCGCACTGACCAAAAGGGGGAAACGAACGACAGAACAGATAGAAGGAGAAGAAGACGAAAAATCTTCTTCTGCGTGTCTTCCGCGATCAGAAATCCGAGACGTTGGCCAGAATCAAACACGCTCCCGCCGGCCTGTGACAAGCGGACCTCACCCAGCACTCAAGGCCCGAGCGGACCCAGGAAACACGGCCCTCGCCCACTTTCGAACCTCCGACGACAACTCGTCGTCCCCTTCCACCCTCTCCCGTCCGTCTCTCTTTGTCCCATCCCCCCCTTCTCGAAAAATACTTCCAAAAGCCGATCTGCCTGTGTCTGTTCATTGACTGGACTGACCTGGTATTCTTCCCTTCCCTCCAGCCAAAGAACAAAGTCCCACCGGTCTGCGAAGCTTTGTGTCTGAACGCCCAGCAGTGGTGGTTTTTTTTTTTCTGACAGCCGTCAATCCCACCTTGTCTTTCGACAAGTCACAAACGGCCGCCCTCCCGCCAATAATTATACCCCCGCAGACCGCGATACTAAAAGACTCCTGGCTCCTTACCGAACCACGGCTCAAAACAGCAATTGTGGTTCTGCAAGAAGGCCTTATTAGGACGACTTAATTCTCTCCTCCCTGAACCCCCCTTTTTTTTTCTCCGCCCAAGGTAGTAGTATCTCCTTCGCGAGGGACCCGCCTCTGGTATTACTTCGTCGACAAACCACCTCGACAACTTCCACTCCACATCGATACCAACCGTCGCACATCGCCAACAATGTCGCGCGCGAATCCCCCCAACGCTTCGGGCTCCCGAAAGATCTCGTTCAACGTAAGCGAGCAGTACGACATTCAGGATGTCGTCGGCGAGGGCGCCTACGGAGTCGTCTGGTACGTTGATCCCCGTCTGTTTTCACGGTTGCGGAGGGACCATTTCACTGACTGGGCGCGGAACAGCTCTGCGATACACAAGCCTTCTGGTCAAAAGGTCGCCATCAAGAAGATTACACCCTTCGACCACTCGATGTTCTGCCTGAGAACTCTGCGTGAAATGAAGCTCCTGAGATACTTCAACCACGAGAACATCATCTCCATCCTAGACATCCAGAAGCCCCGGAGCTACGAGACCTTCAACGAGGTCTATCTTATCCAAGTAGGCATCGCTCCGCGCACTACGACTCACATAGCTGGCACACCTGCTAACAGAACCCTGTTCATTAGGAACTCATGGAGACGGACATGCACCGTGTCATCCGAACCCAAGATCTGTCCGACGACCACTGCCAATACTTCATCTACCAGACTCTCCGCGCCCTCAAGGCTATGCACTCGGCTAATGTCCTTCACCGTGACTTGAAGCCTTCCAACCTGCTTCTGAACGCCAACTGCGACCTGAAAGTCTGCGACTTCGGTCTGGCTCGTTCCGCCGCCTCGCAAGAAGATAACTCGGGTTTCATGACGGAATACGTAGCAACACGTTGGTACCGTGCTCCCGAGATCATGTTGACGTTCAAGGAGTACACGAAAGCCATTGACGTCTGGTCCGTTGGTTGTATTCTGGCTGAGATGCTCAGCGGAAAGCCTCTATTCCCTGGCAAGGACTGTGAGTCGAACGACGAGCACCGGCTACTATGGGCATACACGCTAACAAAGGAATGCGACAGACCACCACCAGCTGACCCTGATTCTTGACGTTCTCGGCACCCCGACAATGGAGGACTACTATGGCATCAAGTCCCGCCGTGCGAGGGAGTACATCCGTTCGCTCCCCTTCAAGAAGAAGGTTCCTTTCCGCACCTTGTTCCCCAAGACGTCCGACCTGGCTCTCGACCTCCTCGAAAAGCTCCTCGCTTTCAACCCTGTCAAGCGCATCACGGTTGAGGACGCTCTCAAGCACCCCTACCTCGAGCCGTACCACGACCCGGATGACGAGCCTACCGCGCCTCCTATTCCCGAGGAGTTCTTCGACTTCGACAAGCACAAGGACAACTTGAGCAAGGAGCAGCTGAAGCAGTTGATTTACCAGGAGATTATGCGGTGAGCGATAGCGCAGGAAACGACCGAAGAAAAGAAACAGAAGACATGGCCAGCATTGGGCGCACGCTTTTGTATGAGGGGAAAGACCTGACTTGTAAGGATGAAGAAGCCAAGGGATTCACTGAGCAAAGCGGCTGAACCAGGGGGGCGAGGAGGCGTGGACCTTATAGACGATCAATGTGGAAAGGGGGAGAATTGAGCCATGAGGCCTGCAGAGGTCTGGAAATACAAAGTAACATATGCGATGCCAGGCAGATTCGACTAGAATCAGTCGAACGAATGATGGATAGGCAAATATTTCTCTCGTCTAAACTTGGTCATTTTCTACTTGCTTGAGCGGTTTGGCCTGTGAACAGTACTTTGCATGGCGCTCATCAACACCTTGTACGCTTCTTCAACACCGCAGAGAGACCAACTACAATGCTTGGTTACGGTGCGTAGCAGCAAGCCAACCTAGATGATGTACCTATTGTCAAGATGGCCAGTCTAGACGGGCTATCGAGGTCCCAAACACATCGTTCAAGGGACAGCCGAGGCACCGGCTGGATAGACTGCATCTTCCGTCATACCGGGGGGGGGGGGGGGGCTGCGAGGCTTTTTGTCTTGGGAAAGAGAGGGGGGGAATGGCTAGTCAGTCTCGTTGGACTGGGCAGTCTGCTCCGGTACGACGTCTTCTCGCCGCTTGACGCCGGCGCGACCGACGCCTTGAACCTGGCCTTGGCCTCGGTGGCGGCGACAAGACGCAGCACAGTCACGACGCGAGGGGGGGGGGGGGGGGGTGTAAAGGGGCGGGATGCCGGTGTCACTTCAACTCTAGGGTATCATTGTATCAATATCTGTGTTTCTTCGTAGCCCAGTTCCCCAGCCCTGTGCCTCTTGTCTCTGCCAATGCCGGGGTAGGAGGCCACTCTCGTCGTTGCCTCTGAGCTCACTCAGCAAGAGGAGTCCGCCTGCGTGGCTCATGGGCCGCCGTCAAGCGCTCGTCTCGTGCGTGTGTAAATTCGTAACCCCCCACCCCCGGCTTTGGCCCCAACGCTGTTGGTGGAAGAGTGGCGCGCTGTTGTTGCTGCAGATTGCCCTCTTCGGTCGCGGCGGCCCCAGTCCCTGCTCCCAAATAACGCCGAGTCCCAAACTCCCAGTCCAAAGAGGCGTTTGTGTTTTCTGAATGACGCCGTGACCCCTTTTTGCTTTGGAAACCATAAACACTTGTCGCCCGGTTGTGCGGGCGGTACCGCTGTCTTCGGTGTGGATATCTGCGTCCTGTTTCCTCCGCTCTCGTCCATGGCCGTGCCCGTTGACCCGTCTGCCGTTGTTTGTCGGTTTGCGGTGCTTCTGGTTCACCTCTGAGACCCGAGCACCCATAGCTCGACGCCCAGCACGCCAAACTTCTCCCCCTCGTCGCTCAAGGGCTCGTTGCCAAAAGTCTGGCTGCGTCCACTGTGGCCGCGGTCGAGGCTGTCGTCGAGCCACAGGCCGTAGTGGCCGTCGCCGGCGCCGACGCTTAAGAAGCCCGTCTCGCAGTTGATGTAGTAGTCGTTGACGCCCGAGTAGGGGAATGCCTTGAAGCGGATGGACTCGCTCGGGGCCGGGGACGCCGTCAGCCTGTCGCTATCGGCAAAGGTAGAGCGGGTCGGGCTCGCCACGGTGGTGATGCGCGTGAGGTTCGTCGTGTCGGCGGATGGCGGCGGCGGGAGGGGGGTGAGGGTGGAGGCTCGCCAGAGGAAGCACTCGCCATTGCCGAAGTACTTGGGCGCTGGGTGTGGGTATTCGGAGAGGTAGGCGCCGAAAGTCTGATCATGGACACTTGATTAGCCGTCAGAATCCCAAAAGGTGCCAGGTGTCCTGGCGACGCAGTGATCCGTCCAGGGAAGAGCATAGGGAGAAGAAGCGAGGAAGGTGTTGAAACTTACGCCTCCGGCATCGTCCCTCACAACTAGCACAAAGCCGACACGTTGACCCTGGTAGTCGGCTGCCTTCTGGTACAGCGTCGTCAGACTGGCGCCGTCCTGTTCCAGGCTGTAGATCAACTTCCAATCCTCCATGATCCGCAACCTCTCAGGCAGCATGATGCGGATCTCCTCGGCCACGCCATGGCTCAGCAACCGAGCGCTCGGCGGGGTGCTGTCTTTGAAGCCGTGTAGGATAATTGGATCGAGGGGCGGGGGGCGGAATGGGCTCGCGGTGCGCTTGATGTTGGAGGGGACGAAGACGCCGTTGACGCCGTCCCTGAAAGCGGCCCCGCCAGCAGGCTCAGTATGCGCGTGGGCGAGGTGTGATGGCTCCCGCGAATAGCCGTCATGAGGGTAGGACTCGGGAATATCGGAGGAGAAGCGGCGGATGAGACCGGACCACATGGTCGTGATCATGGAATTCGAAAGCGACGGAGCGGTGGAAGAGTGTGTCGGGGTGTGGGCGCCCGAGGAGGATGGTGTTTCCGGAGGGCTCTGGTAAGCCATCTTTCAACGTTGTGCGTGTCGAGGTCGAGGGGTGGGTGCGGTTTTAAGCGTGGCCGCGGAGGAGGTAGTAGGACATATAGGAGAGGAAGTCGGTTGCGGTTGCGGTGGCAGAACGGGGGCTTATCATCGAAGGAGACGCTATGTCAGGCGTAGGGGGTTCGAGAGGGAATCGTGTCTAAACGGAGTGCGGGATGAAAACGACAGTGGTGACAAAGATGTGGTAAGCACGATAAAAAGCAACAAGAGGTTGGCGGGCAGCCCAGCACGGGGTATTTGGTAAGACAAAGAGGGCGGCTAGCCCGCCGGTAAGTGGTAAAGTAAGGCAAGGTGATGGAGGTGGTTGATCAACGGGTCTGTCGCCGGTGCAACTCTGGCGTGCGTTCGGCCAGCGGCGGTGAGTTCGGGTCGGTCCCGCAACAGAGGAGCTGGGAAGCCGGACAGGGCCAAGAAATGCCTGTTTGTACGTGGGGTTCTCGGGGAGATGCTCAAGGCAGGTCGTGTTCTGGACCAATATTGAGTCACGCTGACTAGTATTGCGGTTTGTCGTTGGTAATAATGTTGCACCCTACATCGCACATTTGCTGTATGTCGTTATTGATTGATGCCAAGTGCAGCGTGGTCTTGTCTTGGGCAACAACGGCGGCCATCCGTCGGGTTTTCTTCCAAATTGGACTGACACTTTGACGCAATGCCTACCATGGAGCTGAATGAAGGACGAGCCCCCAGGCTTGACGTCGTCAGTGGTGGTTGACGCTGCATGGACGCAACGGATGAGGGGTAGGAGTTTGGCCTGCACCCGCTAATCCTATGCCCAAGGCCGTTTGCTGGCTGGCTGGCTGTCACCGCTGGGCCCGTTCCTCTTCCAGGAGCCAGCGTTGGTGCCGAAGACATGACGGCACAATACGTACCTGATGACAGACGTCAACTGGGAAAGAAAGTGGTGTGGTCGTGTTCGTGCGCAGGTGGCCAATAAGGGTACTACGATGTGCAATCCTGCCGCCACTGGCGGGCAGCTGTCTATTCATGAGACCATTTCTGTTACCTTGTCATGGGTACCCATTGTCAACTGAGGCTCCACTTCGTCCCAAATTCATGCTTCTTTCCTGCCGGCCACCCCCGGCCGGGCGCCCGGATGGCCGGTCTCGTCTCCGGTTACGTACAAGTCGCAGCCATCTCAATGCCATCTTACCCTAGCGTTACCTGATGGAATTCGGCCCGCGTGCCTTTCCAATGCTCAACTTATGGCTGTACACCGATATACCACGAAACAAAGCACTAAGCACTCAAAATGTTGGTAACAGTTTCGTTTTTGTAGGATTGATATAACATAATCATTACCTTAGAACAGGCCTTGTGCTGTTCCCCGCCCTTCGCCCCGACTTCGGTAATGTAAGCTGGGGAGCAGGCGGGAATATGTAATCTCACGACCAAAAGCTCGCTTTGCTTCGTTGAGATAAAATAAAAGGGACACAGACAATGTGTGTGTGTGTGTGTATGCGTGTCCACCTCCCCTCCCCTCCAACAAAAAAAAAAAAAGAATAAACACCAAAAACACCATACCCGGACCCGGCTCTGCGTCCGTTCCTTTTTTGTTCTTGGTATCTTCGCTTGCCCTCCCTCTCTTCATCAGAAATGCCACCGGTGGCAGCGTTCCAAAGCTGCGTATCGCGTAAGACCGTCACTCCTCCCTTTCCTTCCTATCCCTTCCCTCCCTCGGGTCCGCCACTCCGACCAACGTTTGTACAAGTAGTGAAAAGAATGAAAAGATTTGAGTTTGTAATACAAGGTTCGGAAGTGCGTTTACAGCGCCTTGCCGACGCTATTCTGGCTCCCTCCGCTGGGTCTCCGCCCAACCGTCTTCTGCTCGCCAGGGCGGTATCCCGCAATCGGGCTCTCAGTCTCGTAGCGATAACTCGGTCCGCTCGAAGATGGCCCAACATCTGGGCCTGGATCGCTCCAGCCGTCCATGCTCACCCCGCTGCTGTACTTCGAGCTGAAGCTATCGGCTCGTGTGTGGGCTGAGCCTGGCACTCGAGGCGGGCCACCACCGACCTGGCTGTAATTGCTGCTTGCCTGCGTCGTACGGTTCCCAAGTAGCTCAGGCCGCTCCAAATCGAACGGGTCGGATCGGAACTTGTTCCGCCTTGTGGCAAAGCTTTCCACACTTTGCATTGAGTCCCGGTACATGGATTCCAGACGAGGTGAATATGTCGAACCACTGGGCGGCCTTGTCGTGCCGCCGCCGAATGATGTTCCTCGAGACCGGCGCAAGTCCGCAACGTACGTTGACGGCGGCTTTGCTGCTGCGGCCGGCGCCGAAATGGCGTTAGCATCCGAGAAGGGATTGTTGCCTGGGTTGACCACGGTGAGCGGCGCTGGCTTTGCCGAGTCGTGAGGCAATGCGTTGACATCCGAGAAGGGGTTTGCCGCAGCATTATCGAAGTTGAGCCCAAGGCCTCCGAGGAAGTGGTCTGCTGAGCCGGCACTGCCCTGGCCACGGCTGAGCCGCCTTCGCTGCGCCTCCCTCTCGACTTCCTTGTCGTCCATACCCAGAAGCGTCAAAAAATCGGGCTGCCCACCCACGGCCGCTTTTCGATCCTTCACATCGCGCGCCGAGACAAGGGCGTCCTTGTCCACGTCTCTGTCGCCGCGGAGGCGCCAGTTAAAATTCATATCCGCCGTCAACCGTTCCCACCAGTCCTTGACCCGATCTTTTGTCGTGATCACATCCCGTGGTCCAGTATGATTCGACAAGGACGAGCTATTACGGCTGTGCTGAGAAACATTCATGAACTGAGAACGGTTGCTGGTCGGGCTGCTGTCCCGATTGCGCGAAACCAACGCTCCCAGTTGGCCGCGGAACCGTTGGAAGTTGTATCCGAGCGCCGCCTTAAGCTTGGCTGAGCGTGGTGTCGGGCCCAAAGATCCCCTGTCGATGATATATGATGACTTCTCGGCATGCCTGAAGCTGGGATCCGTCGACAAAGGCGTGAGGAGAGTGCTCCGGCGCTTCTTAAGCAGTCTCTTCCGCCAGAACCAAAGAAGGAAGCCAAGCAGGCCAAGCACTACTACAGCACCAATTACGCTCGAGGCGATGATAACCGGGGTACCCACGCCGCCAGATCTGCTGTTTCCAGAGGAGGTCTCACCAGATGCAGGAGAATCGCTGCCAGCCTCGCCTGCAGCTGTGCCAGGATTTAAAGGAGGTGAAGGAGCGATTGCGCCGACGCCTGCTCCTGATCCCGCGCTGTTCGTGGACGAAGATGACGACGTTTGAGCGGGAGGCGGTGTTGGGACTGCGTTGGCATCAGTCTGGCTGGTTCCTGGTAATACAACGGGTACGGGTATCGGGGAGGATGAGAACACAGGAGGGGTTATTTGCGCAGGAGTAGGCGGTGAACTCAGCACGGGAATGATGGGTATGTTGTTGAAGGTAGGGAGAGTGGCCGGAGGCTCCGCATCAACGAGTGGCGTGGAAGACGTCAATGCTGGCGCAAGCGGGGGAGAGCTTGAGACCACGGGAGCAGGCGGTGGTATTGAAGAGGAAGTCGCAACTGGAAGGGGAGGGGGTGGAGGGGGTGATGAGGAGCTCGTCGTACTCGCTGAAGTGGAAGTCAAAACGGCTGCTGGCGGTGGTTGTGTTGTCGACGACGATGCCACCGGCGGCGGCGGCGCAGGAGAAGGAGTTGCAACTGGCAGAGGCGCTGCGCTTGTTTTCGGTGGAGGCGTCGCTTGTGGCGTCGAGCTCGATGTCGAAAGCGACGTACTTGTCGACCGTTGCTGCTGATTATTCGACCTCGTGTTGTTTCCTCCCTTCGGCCTGGCCGTACACCTTTTGCCGTTGAAGGTCGTTATGAAAGCCCCACCCGGCAGGTTTGCATTCCGATTTGAACTCGACATTGTTGTAATATGTTGCGATTCCAGTCGCAGAGAACCGAAGAGTGTAAGAATCGAAAAATGGTCCCGAAACGGGAATAAGAAGAAAGACAGATACTAGGAGAAGCCTAGCCGGCCATCTAGGTCGGTTTACAAAGGATCATGAGTGACCTGTTTTGTAAATTGAAGACGGCAAGAAGCCGTTTGGAAAGGGAGCCAAGTTGGTGAGAGTCGGTGGTGGGCGGCGATATCGAACAGTCGTCGTAGTCGTCGTAATCGTCGAACCGGGCAAACAGGCCTCGAGACCGACCACCAGGCTAGTGGAGGAAAGAAGTGAAAAGTTGAAAACGTGAAGATCACGGAAAGAATCGAAGGCGGTAGTAGGGAGAAGATGAAGGAGAGGGTCGGGGTAAAGGGAAAGTGTAAGAGACTAGAGGAGGGTAAGGTATGGAAAGCAGGGTATGGCATGGGAGGGGGGGGGAAGACACAGAAAAGGCCTGGTCCGGCCTGGTTTGGAGTGGTTTGGTATGTATGGTATTGGTACGGTATGGTCCGGTCTTGTCTGGTACGGCAGGGTCTGCGGTCTGAGTCTTGGACTTGACTGAGGCTCGCGGGATGTCTCTCCGATTGTGCGGGACAGGGACCACACACACCTCTTTCGAGACCTCTCACAAACAGAGACGGACAACCAGCATGCTACATGCTACATGCAAGCAGGCACTTGCGTGTTACATGGTGATGGCATGGACCACATACGTCTTGACATTGATACCGTTCGGCTACCCTGGGGGGGTGGGTGGTCGGGCATAGGCAGGAAGTGGACGGTAGGCGCCGAGCGACAGCGTTACTTCGTTTACCTCTCCTTACTTTAAACGAGGACGACCGAAGTGACAGACCCCAGTCCATGACCGAAGCAGAGACACACAGCCAGACCAGACCAGACCAGACCAAACCAGACCAAACCAAACCCATAAGTGGACGGCGATGACGGGCATGCAAATACGGGGCTGCTGCATCTGCACACACAAGGCCAAAGGGGATGGGCTTTGCGTGCTTGGTATATCGTACACTAGTACGATTGTAGACATCGTCTCCCTCGAGTCCGTGGTTGACTCGACTCGTAGCGGCGACCAGCCGCAGCAGAATCGACTCCGGCAGAAGCGGCAGAAGCGGCAGGAGCACTTGATGCACTTGATGCACTCACTCTTCACTAACCCAGTGTGTGCTCCTGCTATCGGCCTTCGTCCCTTCCTCCCAAAGCAACCGCTTCAGACACGGTCGCCAATGCCCAACCAGCCAGCCAATCCTGTCATGGGGGACGCCCGAAAGAGACAGAGGAAGAGACGCAGAGATCCATCAAACATTGACCAATCCTTCCATGCTGCGACAGACACCATCAATGCTCGTGCTCTGCTGCTGCCGCTGGGAGCAGTGTTGCAGGGATGCCTCCAGAAAAAAGGTGCATGTGTATATGCGCGAGTGTGCGCGTGGTCAGGGGAGGCTCAAGTTGGCGTGTTGTCCCTTGACGTTCCTCATCGGCTCTAAACAATGGGAATGGCGCCCCAAAAACGGCGAGCCCCTGGTCTGTAACACACCTGAAGCACGAAAACCCGCCCCCAAGCGACCCCAGGTGTGTTCCAGGCCAGGGGTCCCCAGCCCCCCTTCGGGTGGCACTTGGACTCAAGAAGTCAAAAGGTGTCTTGCTCACGGGAACCGATTTAGGGGGGATGGACGACTGTGAATGGCTGCATCTCATTAGGTACTCCCGCCAGATCTGCGACAGCCTAGCCCCGAAAGACTCGCTAGGCATGATCCCTCCCATACATTTCCATCTTCCCATATTCCCGCCTTCCCTTCCCACCTTTCCTATCATCAGTCGAACTTTCTCAATAGGTGGTGTAGTGTACAGTACGTTCCGAACCTGGAATTTACAGCAACCGTCGGGTCACGGCCCGATCGTTTGGCGGTTTTTTTTTTGGTTTTTTTTTTACCCCTGCATGATCCCCATCCGCTGGCGCCGAATCGGCCACACAGAAACGCTGGAAGACCCTTGAAAGGTGGGGGGATGAGGTGGATCCTACCGTCGGAAGAGGGAAGGAAAGGCGTATCTCTCCGTCTGCCCAGCTGTTTCCTCATTTTCATGCTAGGCCAATGTCGTACGGTACTCTCTTCCTTTCGCTTGTTCTTGTACAACGGGGCAATCCTCTCCTTCTTGGGTTGAGTCTGAGGCAGAAGGAGATGTTTCGATATTGCATCTCCCCGCCCCTTCACGCATTCTTCGTCACCGACCTTGGTGTCTGGCGTCATCCAGCAGCAAGTTCCTCTTCGGCCTGCTCCTCCCCATCTCAGTACACACGATATACTTGGTCCCTACACTCACCAGCCCAAACTGTTTTGTCGCACAAGCGCTCCTTGCCCCGTTGAAGCCAGATGATAGATGGACGACTCATGGCCGCGCCCAACCCGGCAGCTGCGCGTCTGGCCACCACCAAGAGGCCAACCGCGCGCATCCTCTACCTGTCAGCCAATCTATTCCAGATTTATTTCTCCGGCTGACTGCAAACTTTGTGGCCCTCAACCCCCGGCTAACCATCATCTTGGCCTTGTCCTTCTCCTCCTCCTCCTCGCCCGCTCCGCTTGGTCTTTCCCGTCTGCGGTCCACCTCGTCAGCGTCAAGGTCGTCTGTAAATAGCATCCAGTCTACGCCCTGTGCGCCTTCATCTCCCAAACAAGATGCGGGCCGTATACCGCTGTCCCTCTTGTCGCTCGTAAATCCGGAGAAGCCCTGCCTCGACCGTTAACCAGAACGCATCTCGCTCCCATTCCGGCCGCATGAGGCAACATCGTGCAGCCATCCCGCGGTGTGCACGCAAGCCTGTAGGAAACAGGAAACAGCTTGCGTGAAGCACGCTCGAGTAGAGAGAAGCGGGCTCGTCGTCCGCGCTTCAACCAAATTGCGAACACATCAACCATCCACCTGCCAGAATCGTCCTCATGGCCTGGTTGGCGGTGCACTCGGTGGAAAGCGTCCTCAGTGACACTCAACTCGTCCCCTCTTCGGCCAACCCTCGTCGTGTGTTGCTTCACCTCATATTCTGAGGGTGAACGGTCGCAGCCAGCCAGAGGTAGCGAGGAACTATTTTCTCGGCATTCGCGTGCTTCGATTATCAGAAACTCAGCGCTACTCTTCTCATTACCTTTCCTCCATCCCATTCGCCTCCATGTTCGCCCACCGAGCCATTAACGATCCTGGTGATAGTCTGAGAATCAAGACAGTCGGAGCACTGGCGGACAACTAGTTTGCAGTAAGACAAGCCTTCAATACAGCACATAACCTGTTACCGTCCAGGCCCAAAGCATTACGTACTACGTAGTGTGTGTACTATGAAGCTATCACAGGCAACACCCTGGCCGTTCGGCCTCGTGGCATGACCACCCAAAGTGGACGCTTGGGATGGCAGCTCGCAGGCTCTTCCCAGTCCGTACACGAAAGCGAAGCGCACCCCGCAGCCGTTTGCAAAGTGCGCATCCTTGGTCTTGGCCCCCTTCTCCCTCCCCACTACCCACCGAGACGTCAAACACATAGGGGCTAGTTGGTCGATCAACTTGACAACCCGCACGGGGTATTCCTTGAAAGTATGCCAAGATGTCTTTGCACGCCACGCTCTTAACCGCTTGCCCTGTTATTCGCGCCGCTGCCGGAGTTCAAGAATAGGACCTTAGCTGGGGACCGTCTTATTGGCGCGTCTCGGATATCGACATGACGAAAACACACGTCTTCCAAACATGCTAGCAGCACAGCCCATTCCATCAACTCGCTCTCACCGTCAAGTTTGCCCCCAGCCTAGGTTCGGTTTGCGACTGACTTGGGGAAACGAGAAGAACAAAGGAGCCAGACCATGATGGTTTCGGTTGTTCAAATTCGGTTGTTAACCCTCCTGCCAGAGTGGATGCACATGATGGAAGGGACCCTCCGTTCCGGGTGCATAGGGATGAGTAGACGGGACAGGGCTTTGACGAGAGACACTAGCTTAAGAAGAACAGGTGGCCGGCTGGCAGATAAGCCGAGTCATTCTCAAGGCAGTACTGATTCAATAACGAGCCGCTGCTATGTTTATGTGCATTTTCTCCCGTGCAGGATCCACGGATCATCAAACAGTGGCTAACAACCATAAATGCAGAGTGAAACTCGACGGCCAAACATTATCGTGGTCTTCGGGGAACAAGTCACCGAATAGTTACTAGCAATCATGACCGTATCGAGACTCGGCAACGTATGGCAGAAGGTAGTAGGAATCGACGGCAACCGTAGTGTCAGAATTGTTGCCTCGCGTTCGCCTAAAAGCGATTGGCCCTCGTAATGGTGAGACTAGTCAGATCTATGTTATACACTTTTTGTCGTAGATGTCAGATGGTTTGACGGGCTGCCCGACGGCTCAGTCCACCAACTTTGCTGGGAGAAAGGATGAACGTGCGTCGAGAAGCAAAGTCAATCAACCTTTTTTGGTGACGGAGGAAATGGCTGTGGATGATTGGGGGCTTTTTCGTCTTCTGATTTTTTTTCTTGGCTTGCAGACGACCGAAACATAGTTACGCGTACATGACCGGTGCGCTCTCATGTCCGTGTACTGGATGTGCTCGGGGCCCGGGTAGTATCATGAAAAGCAAGGACGAGTAAGCTTAGGCGAGGCTAGGACTACCTAAAGCCGAGGGGACGCTTAGGTAGACAACAACATCCTGAGACCACAAAAGTGAACCGGGGCAAACGAGGAGGAATAGCGCAGTTTCATAGCATTCGCAATGGCTCGTCTACTCTGGTTTTCCACCGGGAACGGGAGGCGACTTGGGTAGCAAGTAGGGAACGTCTACGATGGCTAATTTTTATCTTTCCGCAGTGTGTTTGGTTTTGACGAAGCTTGACGTGATGTGCAATCAACATGTTGCACCAGAGACAAGACTTCTGCACGTCAAGCCCCCCACCCACGGAAGCTTCTGCACCACCACCACGTCAACCACGGCCACCATCAACCAAAGGCAAAGCGATAGCAGGCGGACATCATGGTTCTAGGGGGGAACCACCCGCTGACCGTTCACGCTTCCTCGTGGCGTAGGCTCTCGGGTGACCCAAAAATGTGCCGCTTCGCCGGCTGCTGTTCGCAACCTGCTCTACTCAAAGTAGATCGTTCCGACGCACTTTTGCTAAACACAAGTAGACGGGCTTATAGAAGACGTTCTGACGCATCTAGAGGTACTGATTTTGTTACATCAGTGGGTGTCTTGTCTTGCGGCAGCTTTGCTATCGACCTCTGAAAAGCATTGTGTATGAGGTTGATACATTATTTTGTCACAACCCCGGCAGCTTTGCTGGAATGGCTAGCTGGCACTCCGGTCTGCGCGCTAAGAGAAGCAACAGGGCCTCCATCCCGAAACATCGAAGCCGCACCGTCCGGCTGGGACGGAGATCGGTAGACGAGGAGAACAGGCGGCTTGAGTTTCCACCTGCGTAAAGACTCCGCTCTTGGGCCAGGTTTGATCAGAGCGACAGGGCAACATCTAACTCGCGGCGCAGCGGGCAGAAGGATCCAGTGTACAACATCCAGGCAATATATAGGCGTCGCCAATGCAGGAGGGGTCTGCTGCCCAGTCTACGTGCCGTGAGTACAGTGTTGCAAGTTAGCAAGGTGAGTAGCCCAGGCGTAGCAACGGCCCGTAGTTGGAAAATCACAAGTCACATCTATATGACATGCCGCATTTGAACGTGCTTTTGCAGAGGCTAGCATATTGGCAAGGCAACAGGCGCTGTCGGTTGCACGACATTGGGATTCGACTGGCCGTGAATTGCTGACTGACTCGGCCGGCGCTCCTCCTCTCCGGGTCACGCCAGGTTGACCATGCGACGGAGCGGCAAGCGTCAGCGTCCGGAACGGTCGATCCCGCCCTGTCGGCAGGACCCACTCCAGCTCACCACGAAAATGCCGCCATGTTTCTCCGATCCGGGGATGATTCAGCAGCCTGCGCACCCATGTCGACGTTGGAAACCCCCTCACGGAAACATCGACCGCTATCCGTAACCAGTCCCAGATAGAATCGGGGCCAACCGCACAAGAGCCACCGGGCGCAGGGACTTGACTGTTGGTGGTTGGAAGTTGGAGACTCGGGTGCTTGGGCACTGCTCCCCCCCCCCCCTGCTCATGTCTGTCCCAAAAGCCACAATTCTCAGGCGGAAAGAACCCCGAAAGCAGGCACGGCAGGCAGCTACTCGCTCCTCTTTGCCTCGAGGAGCAAATCATAGCTCTTGCCTCCATCTTGTTCCAGGGGTCGTGGTAAGCCAAACCAACAGACAAACTGCTAATTGACCGGTTGGAAGCTCCCTGACGAGGAAAAGAGCCCACAAAGGTGCAGCGACGTTGCATTGTACGTGTGTGGGCCACTGGCCATCAGGTCCAACAAGAGCATGCCTAACGGCTGTGATCAGCACCACAAACAACCCTGGGAAGCACATCCAGCACGCCAAAGGCACCAACCACCAACCAGTCGGCTGCACACAGCAACGGCCGCCAAGTTTTCGCTTCTGCGACTTCTGCTGTGAACTCCCCATCTCGCCCACCTTACCTTACCATTCGCAGCATTCGTGATACGCAACGCCGTATGCACACTCAGAGGCCGTTCCAGGGGTGCTATGTAATTGCTCCATTGCCTTAGGACTGACAAGGCAGGTAAAGAACAGGAGGGTTTTCGCTCTGGTACCAACCAAATGCAGCGTCGCTTCTTTCGGGTTGCTGCTCCTCTGGTCTCCTGCTTTTCCGGCATACCATCTCTCCTTCTCCCAATTGCCTGGGGTCGAATTGAATTTCTGTGTCCCCTTTACTCATCTGCACTCTGTCCTTTTTCTTTTTTCTTTTCTATTTGATCCCACCAGACAAGAGAGGTGAAGTCAGTCGATCCGGCCATCGTAAGAAGTCAGACCCGAGTATCAACCATGTCCCTGATCTGAGCCCGAGTTGGAATACATATCCCTTCTCTTTATCCATATGTCACCAAATTGACCAGGCCTTGACCCCGCTCGCCTTTCGCGCGCTCTCCCTCCCTCTCCACCACCGCCACTCTCGCCGCTGACAGGACCTCCTCTTGCCTATCTACTCACCTCACCTCAACTCACGACCGTCGAGAGGCAATCCATTGCCGTGTCATCACACAATCAGACAACTTGTCTGGGACGTTCACGACGCCATGTTCGGCACATACCCCGCCTTGGGTGAGTTTAGCATTTCCATCATTTCCATTTGGCCCGATCAGTGCCAGCTGTTGCCATGTCTTTCTACCTGAGCGACGAAGGAGACAACTCGGCTACTTCCTACGCCAGAGTCAATTCTGCAGCCTCTGCAGCCTCGCCTTCTTCAGCATGAGACGCGTGTAGACTTTCCAGGTCTCTTCTTTTTTCTCTTCACTACCTCAACACCCCCTCCCGTCCCTTCAACCGCCCCTTTTCTCACTTACCTAAACACAAATTCCGTCGTTCAACGCCATGGATGCCTCACCGATGTCCAAACATAAGCACGCAAGCTATTCATGCCGTCACGTCTCGCGATCCTGCAACAGGAACACGCCCCTCCCGTGCCTGATCTGCTTCGGTTCTTTGGCGCCCTCTCCTTGGCGGACCGCCCGCGGGGTCGCACAGGCCCGGCCCCATCCACCTCCGCCGCCCGAAAGCATCACACACATCACTGATCAGGCCTTCAGCCAATCAAATCCCCGAGATCGCCTTGCCCTCTTACACACTTCTCATGTCTTGTGCCGTCAAAGCTGCTGTCACATTCATATATCCATCCAAAGATCGAAGAACATGTCATCCTAACTATGGTCCCCTAGCAAATCTGCCAACAGGTGTCAAGGTCGACCCAAAGGATGTGCCCCCTCCAACGCCTGTCACCCTTCCTCAAAGCCGACCCCAACTACACGCCCCCTCGGCGCCAACCGATCAAGCGAAGCCACTGACTTCAATCCTGCAAAATGTATATCGCCCCGGAGACGTCACATCCGCCATCTTTGACGCCTTGGGCATACATCTCATCCCGGACACCCCTCCCGCAGACCTTTTCCCGGACTCGACTTACCTGCCCAGCTTTGAGGGATGGGACCGGCTCTCCCCAGATGAAGCACGTGAGAAGAATGCAGAGACGCGCAACGTTCTGAACAACGGCGTCCAGTCCCCTGGCTGTCAGACCTATCTCGATCGTAAGCGTGAGCTGTCTCATTCCAATGAAGATGCCTTCCGAACAGTAAGGCGCATTCCCGCGCCCAAGGGCCAGCAGCAGGCACGCCTTGGCAACTCGTACGAGTTTTTCAGATGCCTCGAGGCCTTCACTACTTACTGGGACGATACGTCCAACCCTTCAAAGCCCCTCGAAGAGACGGGAGACAAGACCGTCGTTGATGCGGACAAGTCTGAGCGGGACAACCCGCAGACCCCGGGCCACCAGCGTGTCATCCGCACCTCAGCCGGCTCATCAATGCCTGGCGAGTATCGCCAGAGCCTTCTGACAGCCTTTCTCAAGCTCGTGGCATATGACTTTGGTTGCAACGTTTCAGCTCCCCGAACCGAGCCCCGTCTGCACATTACAGCCGCACCCTCCCCTTCGCAGTCCTCCAAGTGTCAGGTTGAACCACTGGCCCCGAGAAGCTCCTATTTTGCTTCTGGGTGTACCTTCATCTTCCGCACACCCAGGACGCGTGAAGCTGCTCGCCAAGGTGTGGTGGAAGGTCCCCTGGCGGCCGTCTCTGCTCGCGCAACCACGTCCTTCGAAAACGAAAACGACCAGGCCATCGACTTGGCTCGTGAACTGGTAGCTGCCCTCGTCACGGCGCAGCACCGTGCGAGAGAGGGCAAGACAGAGAAGCGGTTTGGTGAAGGTGCTTGGTGGGCTACCAAGCCTCGTTGGGGAGGAGGCTCTGGGGGCCCTATCGGCCGGGAGGTTGAGAGGGATGCCATTCAGGGCGACAAGGATAACGTCGACGCTGAGACGGGTCAGCCCGCCAGCAAACGACCGCGCAAAAACATGTCCATCTACGACAACTATCGTATGATCCGCCCGCCCTCGGCCAGCTGGGACCGCAAGACTCGCTACGAGGCCATTGGCAAGGTCAAAGGAGCTGGCTACGACGACATTTATGTCATCAGCTCCTTGTTCCACCATGTTAGTATCCTGCGCGTGCGTGTGCCGGAGCGTCTTCTAGAGGTGCTCGAAGGCGCGGGCGAGGATGACACCCAGCGTAGGTGGGGCCAGGTTGAGGTGCGCCGCAGTCCCTGGTACGACTTTTTTGTCCTGGAACAGCGTATCGAGGCCATGAAGCTGGTGTGGTCCTTGATGGCCTGGCTCATGAGAAAAGAAAAGGAACCGGCCGAGAAGACGGAGGAGGACGTTAAGATGGCCGATGCATGAAGCATTTTTATTTTTTTGGCTAGCGAGTGTCCTTTGAAGCGGATAAATACCTTTCTCGGTACGGTGGATCGAACACGCGGCCGTTGTCACCAAGGCAGATTTCTATAGACTCGTTCCCCCGGCCCGTCATAATGATTGACCGTAGTGGTTCACTGGTGCTGTCTGGGATCATGGCTTGAACGGACCCGAATATCTAATGGTGTCGCGTCTCTAGCTGGATTTGCATGCCAATATGTAGCTCTATTGGTCTATTATTCTGTTTTCCCTCTCTCTCTCTCTCTCTCTCTCTTTGGACAAACGCCTTCCTTCTTCGATAACGAGACCATGACAATCCCGTCATTGGCCTGGCGTGTGAAGTTGCTAGGCCGTGAGACGATGAGCCAGGCCCAGGAGCTGCTGGCTCCGGCAACAGTCTGACCGAAAGGCGTCGTCACATACCTCGCTAGATGGTAAACACAACAAAAAAACTCCTCGTCGGCTCACGCTCCGCGTGCGACGTTTGCAGGGTGGCCTTGACGTCGTCTCACCGAGACGCCCATCCAGCCGTGGCAGGTCGGTAAGGGTTCCCGTTGATCGTCGAGGGGCGCAAACTGGCCTCCTTTCCTTTCTTAAAGACATGTTTCTGAAGAGTCAACGGCGGCCAACTTGACCAAATCGGTGTCTTCGGGGCGTGTCAGCCCATTCCGCTCCAAAAAAAACTACTAAAAAAAAACTCTAGTGTCTTTCATGACAGGTTGCGGGAAGGTGATAGCCGACTGACTGCTCGAACCAAGACGCGATGGCTGCCGGGGCAACTTGATGCATTCTTTTCGGCCTCCGGCTGTGGTTCATGTATATCAAACGATGACCAGGTGGACAGTACCTTGGACCGCGGCTTGCTTCATAGGCTAGCCTGGTGGTCTGGCTAACAGTGAAGAAGCCAGAATATAACGCACTTGTCCCTGAACGCGAAGCGTCGACACTGCGCCGGGTTGGCACGAGTGCTGGGAAACTAGACCCGACTCGCAGCTTCATTTCACGCTGGGGGTCATGATTGACGACGCACGACACAACACCGCAAAGCAGACGACCAAGGCACCCCAAGGGAGGCCCGCCGCGGTGCATGCCCTTGCATGGAGATCACCCGAGAAGGAGTAGCGCAAGGCTCATGGCTGCATGCGTTGGGTAGGGAGGTTCCATCTTCGCGATCCGTCAGCTGAACGGGACAGAGTCCTGCGAGCCGCGGGTTTCCCACTGGCCCTCCAGGCTTTGAGCACAAGGAAGAGGCGGTTGAACTTGACGGAGAGTGCCTGGCTGTGGACGAGACACCGCCGCCTGCGCCATTGCCTAGCATGCCGTCGCATACTTCGGTCTTCGCCGCGGCGCCACGCTGCTGAACTTCATTACATTCTGCCAGATTCCCTGTGCGGTTGGGTCATGATGTTGAGGGGCATGGGCTCGCGACATCGATCGGGGGGGTGTTCAGCAGACGCATCGGTCAGAGATGCTGTACAGAAGCAGTACTCTATTACGGGGGCTGAAAGCCTAGAGACAAACAAGTCTCTAGGGGGTCCGCGCCAAGTCGATGGTATTAGATGTGACTGCATCGGATTCCGGGATGGGTGTCTTTCGCAGGCTTCCCAAGACACCGCTAAGGTGACAATGTGGTCTGGCTGGCAGCCTCTACGAAGACGGCAATTCGTATAGACAGCATTGGAGACTCCTAGGGGAAGTTTACTCCGAGACTCAACTCTGGAGCATTTCAAGGCACATAATCTTGCAGGACACGTGAAGCACAAGCAAATCGAAATCTAGCCGGAATGCGGAAGGATACCAGAGCCTCAAATAAATGGGGGCCAAATGTCCATGTGGCTTGTCAACGTCGTGAGGGCTTGCCATAAGCTCTGACGCCATACCTTATCGTCGGCTAGACAGCGCTTGCTATGTCTGATATTCAGGGGAGGCGCCACGAGGCCACGAGGCGTCGATATAGCATCCCAAGGTCTTGGGGCGATGCATGCGGTAAGTAATGGCCCTCTCATCGCGGGTCAAGCAGTCCCAGGGGGTTGGCGCCATGCCGCCATGCACCGGAGGCTTGGTACCAGACGGCTCAGAGGCTTAATAAATGCTATGCAGCCGCCTCAACGTTGAATTCTAGCTCGTGTCGGCGTCCTCTCGTAAGTTGATGGCTTGATATCCAATCAATCGGACTAGCGTCCATGCACGGCAACAGCCGCCAATGCGTTCAGAGACATTACCTTGTGCTTCTTGTTGGGTTGCCAGTCCAAAGATGGCGTCTTCTGCAATATGAACATGGTTCCTTCTGACACATTGAGGCTCCTTCACCGTCATTGGAGGTTGTTCATACGTCTCGGTTCGTTAAGACAATGCGATCGAGACGTCTTTAAGAGAACGGAGGCATCATAGGCGTGGCACTTTGTGTAGCGAGTTGTCGTCGAAACATCAAAGACATACATCTGCAGTCGATATGGCCCGTGCAATTGAGGTTGTCTTAGACAGGCGGTTGGGATTCGAATTTGAATAGTTTAGATGCCGAGGTCGCTTCTGGACCCCAAGTTGCTCCGATCGAAGGGTCCACGGATCAGGATGAGGAACGACTGTCATTCGCCGGGATCCGGTCGTGTCCCTGTCGGTCAGGTGCGCCACAGTGATCGGCAATCCCGTAACCTTACCTGATTGGGATCGGGGATTAATGGGGTGCGTACTTTGGCTCCTGTCAACCACAGATGTCGTATCTTTAATTTCTCGTGGCGTTGGTGGCGGCGAGCCAAGTGCACGAATAGCTTAAATGGGGGAAAACACACCCTCGCCCGTCGTGAACAGCGCATCCGTCACTATCGACACCATTCTCTACTAGATTCTGCGCCAGTAAAACTCCGTGAGACAAAAGCAAGACTGAGTGTGTATGAAGTTGCGAACAGATCTCTTAATGGCATGGAAGCGGTGTTGTGGGTGTTCTGCTGGTGGAATATGGCTCCAGGTTACAGGCTCTCCGCGAAAGGCAGGGGATATGGCCAACTCCGGACCGCAACTAGGGTGCCGGTATCAGTCTGCGGGCCGTCCTGAAGATGGGTACGATGCTTCTGCTTTCCATGGCCTGTGGTTGGCCCAGCTCCCAGAATTGCCAATCTGTCCAGCGATGGATGATGCCGCTGGGGATGAAGCGATGTAGCACCAGTTTGTTGAGCCAGTCAGGGGCCGGATCTGGACCATATTCAATGTGGCCAGCGCTAGGAGCCGAGATTAGCACGTCGTTTCCGACAGAGCCGCTCAACCGCTATTGCAAGGCGGATGGCCTAACCGCGCAGAGGTAGCCGGCCGCCGAACCGTAGCCTCAACTCTGGCGATTCCACAAGGCGTTTTTTGTTCTTGTATTTTTGGGCGATGGCCAAGCCAGCGCATTGTATGGCCCGATTGACGCGAGACGGCGCCTAGGCTGTCGTCTCGCGCAGGTAGCGCGGCACAGCCATGATTGATCAGCGCAGAGCCGTCATCGCTGGCGGCAGTCCCTCAGCTGGACTAGGGGAGAGGTTCAGCGGGACCGGGTGGGGAGTCTGGTAATACCAGGGTTAAGAACAAGGCTAAGACGTGAGGGCGAAGAGGAACGTCGATTGAGACAAGCGCGCTCCGAAGCTGTGGAGAGGGAGGGCGAGGCGGTGTTTCACGCGCGACTTGGAAGTGCTTGGTACGATTCCGTTTTGGTGACTTCTGCCGAGACTGACTGGCTGGTCCAGGTCGGGGTCGAGTTGGAAACGTGGAGTTGAGTTTTGCAAAAGTTACATTCACAGACGTTTTGAGTGGAGGGGCGCTGCGGCTGACGACGGCGCAGGGACCGAGGATCGCAAAAGGAATGCGAAGACTCTGCGTCTGCTTCTGAACGATGGATATCGCCGTCGCCATCGTCGCCGCGGGGCGTCTGAGAGACTACCTTGGGGTAGATTGCCATGGAAGAACGTCGCCAGCCCAAGGCCGGAGACATGACGACGATGCAGAAAAAAACCCGACCGCCGCACATGGCATGGCAGGAACGATGGAACCGAACCCAGTTACCCAGGAAGGTGGAGAGTTGCAACACCGCCATGTCACAGGTGACAAGACAAGCCACATGGACACATATCGTGGTACACACCCGCGACCAATGATACTTTCAGGGACCCAGCATTGCATCGTGGCATCGCAGGAGTTTAGTGATGCCCGTACCAGACGAGGCCTAGCGTCGTTAGCTCTGCCCCCCACTTCTCGGCTCTCACCGGGAGCAGGATGGCGCTGATATGGCTCGTGCCCGTGGCTGATGTCTGCACCAACAGCACCTCCCCCCCCCCGCCCTTGTTTTGCTTAGCTAAAGACCACCCGCTATCTACGATACCCGTCGCCTTGGTCAGGCAAACACAAAGTCTGCACAGAATTTGGGGTTGGGGGAGGGGGGAAACAACACACGACCCAGGGCTAACAGACAAGCAAGTACTCGGATCCACCTCCGCTAGCAAAAGACTCCTGGGCATCGAGGCCGTGTCTGCCGTCTCCTGCCGTCCCTTCCGTTTAAGCCCAATAGCCATCGTGCGTCCCTTCTGCCACATGCCATCGCCTCCCTCGGCGCCTACGACGACTGAGCCAGCATTACGTAGTCCGGGCTGTTAACTGCTCTGACTCTGTGTACCTCCACTTTAAAACCACTTTCACGTTGTTTCTCGCACGTCAGCAACCCCCGCCAAACAGTTGTATCACACCCGACAACCTTACCTTACCTATCCGTACCTAAGCTCGAACCCCTCCACCACCGCAACGCCGCGGCGCATCTCACGGTCCCTTGCCCACCACCTCCTTATCCGCCAGCACATTCTATTTGCATTCCTCACTCCTCACTCCTCACTTCCCCTACCCGAACACTCCGCTTGCTACCTCTCTACGTTTCTTGTCACTCGCCTCAGCTCCGGCAACTCAAGGTCGCAGTGCATCGTTGCCGTTTCTACTACTGCCACCCCCGACTCACACCTTCTCCCCTTCGCGCTAGCTCCGCAACTACCTACTCCGTACCGCCGACTCTCTCCTTCTGCCGAAGACAACCTCTGCCCCAATCCGTCCAAAAGCCCGATTCTCAATCATCAGAAAGAGTCAGCTAGCAGGGCCCCTAGCCACCCTTGCTGCATGGTCCGTCTGCTGGTCTAGCATAGTTACTCAACTAGTCCTGGTCCTCGTGCTGGTAAATTTGTTTACGCTGCTTAAGCCGTTTTCGCCCTCCCGGAAGGCTGACTCTGCTCTTTAGGTTACCAAGCTAGCCTCGATACCTAAGCACGCGCATTCTCGTCCCGTACTTGTACCTCAACTCTACACCCCTCGCTACTATCCACTGTCTCTCGATCTCGCGACAACCGCACACCGGCGTCGTCGCCCGTCTATAAAGAAGTCCGGTCCCCGAACGCTCCTGCTGCCACCACCTCTATCTCTCTAGACCATCTCGTCGACCTAGAAGCTTTACCGCCCACGGCGTGCTGGCCTTTGGTCGCCGAAAACACCCAGACCGAGTCTGTATACAGCCTCATCGTCGCGACAACATGTCAGGATACCCAGGTCAATATGGAGGATACCAAGGCGGCCCCCCACCGCAGCAACAATACGCGCCTTCTGGCAGCTACTATCCGTACGATCGCCGACCTTCTCTCGCGCGCACGCTCTCAAATGCTAACATCGAGGACATGAAGTCCACCGCAGCAAGGATATAATGGATACCCCCCCGCAGGATCGGGATACGGCTACCAACAGCCGTCGCCTCAACCCTATGGTTACAACCAGGTACGGCTGGCCTCCAGCGTCGTTCGAATCTCGACAGCTAACTTCGGCTTCAGCCTCCTCCCCCACAGCAATACGGCGGGTACCAGCAGCCTCCGCAGCCCAATTACAACAACCGCCCAGGTGAGTTTAGGAGTTTGCACCTTATTGTTAAAGAAGCTTGCGGTGCTGACAAGTTCGTCATCAGGAGTGCCGACAGTGAATTCGAATGCGTACATGCACGGAAATAACCACGCTCCTCCTCCGCCGCCGTCCGCTCCGCAGCAATTCGGACATGGCGCGCCCAACGGATATGCCTTTCAGTACTCCAACTGCACAGGTCGGAGAAAGGCACTGCTGATTGGAATCAACTACTTTGGCCAGCGCGGCCAACTGCGCGGATGCATCAACGATGTCAAAAACATGTCGGCATACCTGGTTGACCGTTTTGGATATAAGCGGGAGGACATGGTCATTCTTACTGATGACCAGCAAAACCCAATGAGCCAGCCTACAAAACAGAACCTTCTGAGAGCCATGCACTGGCTGGTCAAGGACGCGAGACCCAACGACTCTCTCTTCTTTCACTACTCAGGTAAGCCATATTAGAGCAACGGCGTCCGCTTTCAGAGGCTGACCCCCGCAGGCCATGGCGGGCAAACAAAGGATCTCGACGGCGACGAGCCTGATGGGTATGACGAAGTCATATATCCTGTGGACTTCCGCCAAACCGGTCATATCACGGACGACGAGATGCACAGGATCATGGTGAAGCCTCTACAGGCTGGCGTGAGACTCACCGCCATTTTCGATTCTTGCCATTCGGGTACTGCTCTCGATCTGCCTTACATTTACTCAACCCAAGGCATTCTCAAAGAACCCAACCTTGCCAAGGAGGCTGGCCAAGGACTTCTCGGCGTCATTTCGTCATACAGTCAAGGCGACCTTGGCGGTGTTGCAAGCAATATTATGGGCTTTTTCAAGAAGGCCACCACCGGCGATGATGCATACAACCGCACAATGGCTACCAAGACATCACCTGCCGACGTAATCATGCTGTCTGGAAGCAAAGACGACCAAACTTCGTATGCAAACCCTTTCTTTCCTTTTCCGTGATACCCCTCTTTATCTCATAATTCAGCATGGGGGAAGTCATACTGTATGGAGCTTGGGCTCAAAGTTGTTGCCTCTCCTGGCGAGATGGCTTGTTCTTGCAGGTGGAAGCAAAAGCATGGAGTCGGGGGTTTCCCCAGGAAAAGTAGACCCTGGGACATTTACACTTTGTAATTCGGTGTCTGTGTAAAGCAGGCCCGCGATACTTTTCAAACGCTCTAGAGCCAAGTGCAACCTACCAACGGTTGCGTTTTGTTTCTAGAGCAACGAGTCACGTTGGAACTACCTTGAACCACAAGTGTGGTAACGGGGGACTAGAGTCGTGCCAGCGTCCTCCTGTAAGACTGCAGAGTTGGATTTGACATCTGCTAACATTAATTACCAGGGCCGATGCAACGATCGCTGCTCAAGCCACCGGCGCAATGTCGTGGGCTTTCATCACCGCTCTCAAGAAGAACCCCCAGCAGAGTTACGTGCAACTCCTCAATAGCATCCGAGACGAACTTGCGACTCGTTACACGCAGAAGCCTCAGCTGTCATGCAGCCACCCTTTGAGTATGTGTCTTTGAAATGCCACATGTATCGTTCCATGTCACTAACCTTGCAGATACCAACCTCCTATTCATCGTATAATTATACCCTTGTGTGTAAACGGCCGGTCCGCCCTGTACATGTCATAATCCCCTACTTTGGCCTCACAACCATGAATATCAGGGCTCGGTAAACTTAGGTAAGACACGGATGTCATCATTGGAAAGGGAACGGTTGGGCTGGCAAACAAAATAACGATTTTGATTTGGGGTGTTACTTTGTTTGAAAGGTTCAAAGTCTGGGTTAAGGAGTCTGTCTGTCGTGTTGCTCTCTTGCTGTCCTGGTCCTTTACTGCTCCATTTGCTCCAATAACGCTGAGATGCTCAGTTTCTTGCCTTGACTAGCTCTCCAAAAATGGATTTCAATAAAAGCTACTGTCACCGCATCGGGACAGTCACGAGAAAGGGGTATTCAATATTTGCTGCATACGGAAAGCGCTGTACACGTATCTGGATGCGCTGCGATCCTGTGTTGGTCTAGCGCGCGTCCCACTCGGCTTAGGACGCCTCCTGCACCGGGCAACGTGGAACGAGAACGATTACTTCAGTTGAGGTACTCATGTCCTATGCAATCTATTCGTCATGCCGTGCTGTATGATAGAAACCCAGACAAGTAAACAACTCATGATGAATCCAGACTCCTATTTGTCCCCGTTCCCCTTGGGCCCTGTCCAATTAACCAATCAACAAACAACGGGAAAAGCTACGACTTCTCTCGAGACGCCAATCCCCATGTGTATAGCAACGTTTGATAGGCCACCAACAGTCATTCAGAGACGTCCGTCCCTCCAATCATCCCCCTGTTCACCCTCCCTCTCTCCCTTCCTTCATCCCAATCCTGTCCTGTCCTGCCCTAGCCTGTTGTTGATCCTTCTCCAAAAACGCGAGTGATAAAAACTCCAGAGAAGGGTCTGGATGGTGGCAACTCCTCCAAACCATGTATCCTTTTCGTTTCCGCTCGCTGCCGCTACAACATCAAAAGGTAATGCAGCAAAAAAAAAAAAAAAACAATGCAATATGTATGAAAGACTCTCCACACCGTTGCTCATCCAGATGCGTAGGCATGTCCGTGGAGAAGGAAAGTGTGGGTGACTGGGTATGAGTAGCTGGGTGCCGATTCATGCAGCAACATCTTCAGCTCGGTTGCGCCGCGGCCCAATGAGGAAACCGTTTCGCAGGCGAAACCACACTTGTCATCGCTCTTTCAAGACCGTCCTGGCTGTCCCGGACCTCTTGGAGAGACCGAGAAGCCGCTGTGGCCCCATTAGGCCGCGACATCGTCTGCCGACACCACCTTGAGCTGCTTCCGTCTCTTGGTCTTACGCATCTCGTCGACGCAGTTCGCTAGCCTCTGGCGTGTAGCCTCGTGCTTGGCCCAGTCACGCGCCGAGATGCGCATCCTGGCGATGAAGCGCGCCATCGTCGCCACCGTCTTGAGCGTCGGCCGGCCGGATGCCGTGGTGCCCTGCTTCTTCGCTGTCGCCGAGGACGGGGGTGGCAGGGCCTTGCGGCTGCCGAGAAGCTCGCAGCGGATCTGTTCGAGTTCGCGCAGCTGCGCCTTGTTGCTGTTTCGAGTGTTAGCCTCGCGAATTGCTACAGTCACTTAAGGGGCTTTGGGTATGTACGTACCATGCGTTGGCAATGTCAAGCTCCAGCTGCAAGAACTTCTTCGCGTACGCCGCGTCGGCGCGCATGCTGACCTCGCGCTTCCACCGCGCCTGCATCCACTCCATTTGCAGCGTCATACCGCGGAGCTCCTTGGTGTGTTTGGCTTCGGCATTCTCGGCGGCACGGATGACTGTCTCGAGCGCCTCATCCGTCTCCCTCATTCTCTCATCGGCGAAGCGGACTGCTTGTGGGTCTTTTTGTTCGGCAGCGGCAATCTTCTTGAGGTCCCTAATGTCCTTCTGCAACTTCTCTGCAGTCAGGCGATAGGCTGCCCGCTCACTGCGTGCCCTGTCTAGCTTCCGACGGAGGGAGCCTTCGGCGGCCATCAATGCATCAATGGTTTCTTGCTGCTGGATGACGTCGTGTTCAAGCGCGTCTGCCTCAGTCTGTGTTCTGCGAAGCATCTCCTGGAGATCTCTTCGTTCAGAAGAAGACATATTGTCGATGTTGTGGCGGCCGTGAGCCACAAGTTGCCGGTCTTGCTCTGCTCTCTCGAGTTTTTGCTTAAGTCGGCGGAGAGCCTTCTCGTGCAAAGCAGCAGCTTCCTCGGCATCCCGCTGAGCGTCCTCAAGGGCCTGCTCGAGAGCAAGCTTTTGGTCATCTAGATCGTCCAGCTGTGTTTGGAAGTCTCGCTCAAGTTGCGAGGCTCTGCGTTCGGCTTCGCGAGCCTTAGTCTTGAGTTCGTGGATCGACTGTTGTGCCGAAGATAGTTGGAAGCGTAGTTCGGACACTTCAGACTTCCTAGCCGAGGGGCTGGACGATGCAGGAGACATGACCAGTCGGGACATCTCAGCATCATGAGCTTTCCGTTCGAGCTCCGTGATTTGCTTCTTGAGACCTTTGACGACATCCTTGTGGGCTGCCTCCCTTTGAAGGTATTCCCGTTCCTTCTGCCGTGCCGTAGAGAGATCACGGCGAACGATGGATATTTCGCTATTGCCTTCACCGCTGTTAGCGGGAAGCTGTTGTGTCAATGCCAGCTGGTCCTCGTAGTCCTTGATACGCCGCTCAAGCTCACGGATGGTCCGTCGGGTGGCAACGGATTCATGGCCTTCAGAAGAAGATACCTCTCGTAGCTTGGCTTGAAGATGGCGGATCTCCTGGTTGAGGCGATCTTCCTCTTCGGCAGCCTTCTCGATCTCGTCCTCCAGCGACTTCTCGACTGACTGCATTTGCTCCATCAATGCGGCATTCTCGTCCTTGAGTCGCCGTACTTCGTTGTCGAGCTTCAGTTTTGACGTTCTCAAGTCTAGTCGCTCGCGGTCGATGCGCAGAGTTTCTTCGCCGTTTTGGTGTAGACGCTTCATCTCACTCTCGACCTCGTCGCGCTCCGCTCTTGCTTCGGCCAACGAGCTGCGTAAGGAATGCATCTCGAGGTTCAGGTTGGCGAGTTGGTCCTGGAGCGATTGTTTCTCCCGAGAGACCTTGTTCACCTGTACAGTGGACTCTGAGATCTGGGTCTGAAGCTGGTCCTGGAGCGACTCCTTCTCCCTGTTCAGCTTGGATACGAGTGATGTTGCCTCGTCGAGTTGAGCTCGAAGACGGTCGATCGTTTGATTCGACTTGGTGCTCTCTTGTGAGACCGAATCCGTCCCACGACGCAATTCATCCAGTTGCTGCCGTAAGCTGTCGCATTCTCTTCTTGCAGCTTCTACCTCCTCGCGAGAGTGTTCGGACTCTTCGTCCAGAGTCGTTTGGAGAACCTCCACTTCATCCTCCAACGCTTCGACCTTCTCCGTCTGCGCCTGGTAGTCCAACTGAGTCTGTCGGAGTTCGTCCTGAACCTGTGACAATTCGTCCCGGAGCTCAGTGAGCATGGCCTGACGAGACTCGAGATTATGCTGAAGGTCCTCAATTTGCCGAGTGAGCGATGTATGCTCATCTTTGTGCCGTTGGGCCTCACTCTCGAGTGCTTCTTGTAACCTTGACTCCTTGGTTGACAAGTTGCCTTCTGCTTCGCGTAGCTTCTCAATCGTCCTTTCCAGTCCAGCCGCCTTTTCCTCCGCCCGTTTGCGTTCTGACTCCAAAGTTTGGCGGTCTGTCTCCCATTTCTCACTGTCGTTGTCGTATAAGTTGTCCTTCTCGCGAATTTCGGCCTGGAGGTCAGAGATTTCATCGTTAAGCCTGTCGATTTCATCTCTGTATTGACCACGAATATCCCTTTCAATTTCCAATGCGTGGTCCCGTTCTTGGGTAAGGCTTTCTTCCAACTCATCAACGGATTTCTGAAGGCGTGCCACGTCACGTTGCAGAGAGGCAGACTCGCTCGTCAACGCCTCATGACGGCTCTGCAATAGGTTCTTCTCGTCTAGCCTAGATTGCAACTCCTGTTTGAGATCTTCCACCTGAGTCAATAGCGATTGCCGTTCTCGGTCGGAGAACTCCCGCTCTTGACGGCCCTCCTGCGCGATGCTCTTGAGGTTGTCTTTTTCTCTCGTCACTTCGGACAACTGCAGTTCGATTCTGGCGAGCTGAGACTGATGTTCCCGGTCTGCTGCTTCGCGTTCGCGACGGCTTTCCTTGGCAGCGGCCTTGAGACTGTCATTCTCCTTGATCGTTTCTGAGAGCTGCTTTTCGATATCAGCGAATCTAGCGTCTGCCTCCTCCAGCTCAGTCTGTAACCGTATAAGCTTTTCCTCCTTTTGGCGAGAGAGGCCTTTGGTGACCATGGATTTGTTCGCCAGTTCGTCTTGGAGTTCTTCCAAATCGCCCTTGGCCTGTTCCTTGTCCGCAATCGCCTGGTTGAGCTTGTCTTTCATGTCGTTGACTTGCTCCTCCAGCCGACGGACATTGGTTTCCAGCTCGTCGATGGTGTCTTTCGCTTCCTCCAAGTCGTCATTGGACTGCGCGTTCTGTTCGAGTTCAATCATTCGCCTTTGGGTATCCTTCATCTTGTCCTCCATTTCTTCCAGCTTCGTTTTGAGGTCGTCAATTTCGTCTTCGTGATCACCGAGCAAGCGCTCCTTTTCGCGAAGTTCTGCTTCCAGATCACCAATCTCGTCTTGCAGCTTGTCCACCTGACCTTGATCTTGTTGTCCCTGGTTCAGTTGGCGCTGCATGTCGTCCAGGTCCGCCTCTCTGTCTTCCAGGGCTTGCTGCAGGCGCTCAATCTCTGCCAGTTGTTTCTGGTCTGCGTACTTTCGCTTGGCTCTCTCCTGCAGTTCCATCATCTGTTGTCGGTAGCTCTCGAGATCCTTTTCCGCTGATGTAAGGTGCTTCTTGTACTTGTGAAGCTCCCTCTGCATGGTCACTTTATCGACCTTCAGCTCGGTATTCTCCTTTAAAGCCGCCTCACTGAAGCCAGGACCGGCCTTGCGGAGGGCTTCCTCGAGGAAATGGATCTTCAGCTTGAGACCAAAGTTCTCCTTCTCGATCTTATCGATTACGCTTTCCTGCTCCCGAAGCGACAATTGGTTCCCGTCCTGTAGAGGACCCTTTCCATCGCGTCGCGGAAGCACAACAAGCGGTGTAGAGGCAGTGCTAGTGCTGTCCACTTCGGGAAGGGGGGTACGATCCACGAACGAGCGAGACTGATACATGGAGGTGTCGATGTTGGGGATTGGTGTCATGTCCTCGTCGACTCTGCCGAGTGCGGGCGTGTTCGGCACGGCGCCATTCTCCTTGCCAGATCTACGGCGGATGCTGTTTCGCGTAGCCGACTTGAGCATAGGTGTGAACTCTGCTCCCCCAAGGCCGGCGGGCAGGTTTTTTCGGTCTGCGAAGGGTCCGCGACCGCGCGGGGTTCGAAGGTTGATACCCCCAGAGCGCCCGTTGCGCAACTGATGGAGCACATTATTTTCTTTCGCTGGAGGAGACTGGAACGACGCCTCTTGTGAAATATCGAAGTCGGGCTGTCTGCTGAGGTATGTCGCATCACCAATGTTTGTGCGCGGCGTGTCAAGGCCGCCAATGCCTGGTGCCACCATCTCGACCGCGTTCGACTTATAGAGGGGGGGAATCGGAGCGCGGATTAGGATTGCAATCTCGTGGTTGTGATCATGACAGTGGTTTGCTAGTCGTATATAGGAATGGCGTGCGCTGTTGCAATGAGGAGCAAGAAAACAAATGGCGTGACGTCGGCGAGGTTATAAGTTGTTTTGAGGTCGCGATAGCTCAGAGCCTTGTCGGTCGCAGTGTTGATAACGGACGGAACTTAGTGAAAGCAAGGGACCAAGGGTGCGCGGTCACATCCCAGACCGCGTTGTTTACTCGAAATCCTCTTTGGGACTAGTGAAGTGGGGGATGAAAGAGGGAAGAAGCCGCAATTTTTCGACCAATAAGATGAGTGCGCATTTTGAACCAATCATCTCAGCGAAAACGCCCATATCCCCGCAGTTTAAGAATCCCATGGCAGAGTTCCCACTTTTTGGTGACAAAACGTCAGTGGGCGTGGACCTTGGTCGCTGTTGGCTTGAGACACTCCAAGTGGGAAGGAGCTTCGGTTTGTGATGCAACCACTTTACACCGCAAGCGTAAACTCATCGGTTGCCTCGCCCCCTCGCAGATGCCAGCTCATGGCACCACCGGATCCAAAGTTTTGACCAGGAGTATTTCTCTTCTGTGTACACAAAGAATCGGTTGTTCCAACGCTTTGCGTCCAAAACCAGTATAAGTCCTTTGCAACCCCACCAGACCGATTGCGTTTACGTTTGCGAGTACGGCTCGTTCTCTATTCTGCACCTTGATAGTGTGCGCAGGAGGCTTTCGCCGCCATGCTCTCACTCCAACAGATCCCAGAAGAGATCATTCACCAAATACTACACTACATCTCACCAGAAGACAACCTGCTTGCAGTGCATCCTCTCTCCAAACGCCTGAATCAGATTGCCCAAGAGCCATTATTATGGCGGTATTACTGTTTAAACGCCTTCAGGTTCTGGAGTCCTAGCCACAATTTCACGGAAAAGCTGCAGGAGCCTGCGTCAAGCGTATGTTGGAAACGGCTATTTCTTGTTCGCAAAAGAAGGGACGCCAAGGTCGCCAATCTCTTCGATGGGATTTTGGCCACTAAGCACGGTCGAGTCAAGAAATTTGAGGAAATATGTTTACTCGGTTGCGACGCCAAGGACTTTCTCTTGATCCAGGCTCAAACTCCAGACACTGCCGATGATGTCTTGGCCAGGAGGTTGGAAGCACTGGCTCCCGCAAGCCCCTCAGTCTTTGGCTAATCCACTGTTCAGGTATTTCAGCAATGCCATTCTATCCAGCATCCGTCGAGGTACCGCTATACAAATTTGGGACGACCTCCGTAGCGAGGAAGCACGCGAGGCTCGGAGGCCTAACCAAGTTCCGAATGTCGTGCCTGGAAGATTAGAGCGCGCACTCGCAGCCTTTGACATGTTCGTCATCCCAGATGACGTTGGCGACGTGAACGATGTAGGACAGCCCAGCTCACCAATCTGCTCTTGACTAATGTTATAGCAGGTATCGAAAGTTCTGGACAGTCTAGCTGTCGAGTTCCGAAACAACCACTTGGACTTTGACAGCCTTTGTATTCGGGAACAATCCCTAACTTTGAACCGTTGGCTAAGGTCCAACAACCTAACCGGCATGGTCGACCCCGAGACCAACTATCGCAATCTCCGAAACTGTCTCATCGGCCACGCGCTCCGTGACGAAACTCATCAGTCACTCCCCATGGTCTCGGCCGCCATTTTCTGCTGTATTGGTGAGAGGCTAGGTTTGAATGCACATTGTTGCGCGCTTCCAGGACACGTCCTTGCAATGGTTTTTGCGACTCAGGAAACAACACTGGACGGTTCCATGGTCACAGACTCCTCACGGCCTGTCGATAGGATGTATTTAGATCCGTACGGGGGCGATGCTGAGTTCAACAAAGAAAATCTTCGGCATTTCATCGCCCAGGTCGGATGGCATAGCCTGGATGTTGACACAATGGCGCCGGCTGCAGTCTCAACCATGATCGGGCGACTAGCTCATAACATCAGGCATACAAACCTATTTTTGACGTCTCAGGACGTCTCGGTTGAGAGATTGGCCGGCCTTGGAACCGGAACAGCTCTCCAGAACTTGGAGTTGTCCGTTTACGCCGCCGCCTGGGCTACCACACTTCTTGACCCGGGAGCATTTGTGGATGTCACGTCGCATTTCGCACTCCGATTCAATTCGCTTCGCTTCGATGACGCCTGGCTAGTGGAAAAAATTTACAACACCCGGCCTCAACCACACGGCGACGTGTTCCTTGCCGCTCCGAATCCAGAGTACATACTTCGCCTCATCCGGCGAGCGGATGAGCAGCAGCCTGTCCTCCGTGAGCCTCAGACGACCATGGAATTTAAAGTCGGAAACGTTGTGCGTCACGGTAGATACGGCTTTCTCGGGGTTGTAATCGACGGGGAGGTGCCTCCTCAGGGATCTGTCTTGTACTACAGGCTGTTGTGAGTAGCCAGTGATCACAGAGTGACGAGCAAGACCATACTAAGATCTTACTAGGACGCCTCCAAACATGCAGGGAACTTTCTCTCTTGTCAAAGCCTCAAGCCTGGAGCTTGTACGGGATGCCGAAGAGGCGGAAGCGGCAATGTTCCCTGACACAGGACTCTTTTTTAAGCGATTCGATAGGGAGAGTTGTACCTTTGTCCCATCGAATAATGAGATGGTGTACAATCCATTATGATGCAGACGTCATTTTAATCGGCGGTTCGATCGAGGCATGAATAAAACTCTAGTAACGATTATAAACGTACTGCGCAGCTGCATGCTTCCCTCTCCTCCCTTCAATACTACACCCCAACGCTCGCAGAGTTGAGTGCCGCTAGAAGGACTTACTTGCCACCGATTCCCATCCAAATGCATCTGCTTTTCTCAGAACCAAACGCCCGGGCAGTGTAAACTTCGTATCATTCCTTCGTGTACCACTGCTTCGTGCTGGCTTCCTCCACACGCCTCTCTACGAATCGGTAGCCCAATCGGCAAGGACACCGTGCTCTGCCAGCTTCTGCACCCAACAGTTGATGGCAGGGGAGTGGTCTTTCTGGCGTCCCTGTACGCGATCCTCGTCTTCCTTCACGAAGGCGATCTCAGCGTTGTACTCTCCCATCAAGGATTTCTGCTGTGTCACCAGGTCGCTATAGAGTTCAAAGAGCTCCATAGCCTCCATGGAGGGATTGGTAACCTTCTTCTCGAATGCTGGATCGACTTCAGTCTTTTCCAAGGTTGATTTTTCAATGCCGAAACCAGCGAGGCGCTCTGTTTCGTCACCTTTTAGCGGTTGCTCGTTCCCGGCCACGAGACTTTGCCAGCCGTCGAGCGTTTTTGTGCGGTTGTTAAGGAGCTCAAACGCGTTGATTGTGCGCGCAAGGATTCCAGAAATGATGGTCAGGGGGCTCTTGCACAGCGCAAGCAGGTTGAATGACAGGGCGCTCTCTTCAAATTGGAGCATGCGTGCCTGAATCTCGGGGCGGACGAGGTTTGCCCAGTGGGCGCCGTCTTCGAGGGGCCCTAAACAGACGGGCCTTGTCTTGAGGCCATCCAACTCCCATACCGAGCCATTAGCTGGTACATAGGCGATGAAGTGGTAACCCGACTCTGAGTCCATCTTCTGCTTCTTGGTCCTCTTGGTCTTCTTGGAAGGTCCCCTGCGTTTCATTTTCTTTGCATCGGCGGCTTCAGTCTCAAGGAAGAGATCCGCGTTCAGATGGTCCATTCTTCTAGTGAAGGAATTGTGGACGGAGCGGATGAATGTGTTTGAGCCCAAGGCATGACCGCGGAGTGGAGTACTGAGGTTGCTTGTGGAATTCTTGAACACTTGCAGATTCGTACCGAGATCGACATCCTTACAGTTCATGAGGATATTCGTCATGGCGACGGTTGCGCAGGCGTTGTCTGTAGTCTGTGTGTGCGTCAGTGTTTGACGTGGGCGGGGAAGAGACATCAAGAGAACAGACCTGGTTCGCGAACCAAAGATCTCGGCTGTCAACAACCTCATCGTCCTCATAGTTCTCCGAAAAGTACTGATAGAGAAAAATGAAACCGTAAACGGGCTGAGGAAGAGTCGCAACATAATCTTCGTCGACTGAGAAAACCTCCTGAACCTTCACGTCCTTGACGCCCATCTCTCGGAGCATAGCATTGAAGAAGGCCTGCAAGTGATGTTAGACGTGTATGTCGGATTGGTTGTGTGGAAAGCTCACCGGTTCAGATTCTACCTCACACCAACCTTCCCACTCCTGAAGCTCATCCTTGGTTATAGGTGCTAGAGCTTCACGGAGTAGCATCTGATAATCCCTCGCCTCCTGAGCGGCGGCGGCGGTGGTCGCGGCGGCAGCAGTTTCGGTTGCCTTCCGCTTAGGATTCCGTCTTGAGTCAGCCATTGTAGCTTCACCGTCGACCTCAGAGGGCGAATCCTTCCTCTTCTGGGAACAAGAGCCTCTTGCCTGAGTAACAGACCAGCCTGCTCCAGCAACAATGGCGTTGGCTTCTGGACTTTTCTTAGTAGTGCACACGTCGCCTTCGATGCCTGCGGTCGAAAATTTGTTAGATTTTGCTTGTAATTCGGTTGTAGCCGTAACCGTGCCTGCCCGCGCCTGGCGGCTTCGCAATTGCCGCTGTCCCAAATTGGGCCGCGGAGGCCTTGAAGACGTCATTCTGGCTGCAACAACTATGCCAGCGTTTTCGATTGCGTTCTTGAAGACTTCTCAGCGTAAAATAATGAGGCTTTTGGAAATATTCAGAAGAAGTTGTAAGAAAGAGGTTCGAGGTAGCGACAGTGCGGTAGAACTTTGGCAGCAGTGAAGAAGAATATCCATGTAAAGCCTAAGGAAGGGAACAGAAGGCCGGGTGCTTTTAGCAGACCAACTTATAGAGGGACTATGGCAGACTTTCTCTGGTGAAGACCAACAAGCATTTTGTTGCCAGATTTGTGATGTGAAAGTAACTTTGACGTAGGGAAGGTGGTTGAGGGCTGGCAGACAAAGTGCTTCGTCATGGGATGAGACAGAGGTGCAGAGACAGAACAGTACACAGTCTTTGGCGACTCCTTGTTGCCATTATCAGAGACGAAACAAAACGACAGATGATGATTGTATGGAAAACACACAAATAACAGCGGGCATCATTTGACGTTGGGGCACCATAGGAAACAAGCGATGTAGACATACCTGTTGCAGATTAGCCTCAAGTCATGAGTCTAAACCTAAGGCAAAGACAGCCGATAACAGTTGGTGATAATCCAGCTACTTCACCATTTGCATCGAGCGTTTAGGTCCTTTAGCTGAGGTTATGGTTCGCGTCTCAGCTACATTCTATGCAGTTAATAGGTAGTAATGCTGTGTCAAGATAAGCTTCGGAAAGCCGCGGGGGTCGTGCGTCCTCAATAGCTCCCGCCTGGGATGAACACGCTCCAGCTCCAACGACGTCAACCTCCACTGTTATTTGGCCAGCAGCCTTAGCGGAAGCTAACACTTGGGCAGAAGCTGGGTGGGCGTCCAATTTCTGATTCGCACAGGCCATCCCCACTGCCGAGAAGCCCCGACCCTGTTAGTATCCTGGTAGGACCCACTAAGCAGCCGATATGCCAATCACAATTCTTCAGGTCAAGGCGGGTGGGTGTTGTTGCCAGGCGCGTTTGGACGTGACGAGCACTCGCTGGAAATTTTGAAGCTTTGGATTCCTGCCTGCAGTTTCTTTACCTTCACGACGTCAACAATAGCTTGCAACGCCGAGCAAGCACATCTGATGCTCTTCGGTATCCCCTCGCTCCACCCGAAGACTCTTGCTATCTGCCGGCGACCTTTGCAGACTGTGATTCTTATGAGGCGATCATAAGTACGGCATGCGATGAGCGCAACTCCGAGACAGCGGACTGGTGGTTTTCCACAAACACCAGCGACCGCAGCACCGGGCAGATCCCGACGACAGGACCCCGACCCGAACTCCTCCGTCTCCTCCCAGAAGAGCAGCCGATCGTCTGCGCTTCCTCTGGCTCCCGAAAATGCCTCCCGAGGCGGTGCCGCGACCGAGCCAGTCATCCCTTTGACAATCCTTGATGCACCCCAACAACGCTTCTACGCCTTCGCCATATACGTCGGTCTGTTGGCATGGAGGTTCTACGACTGGATCAAGCTGGTGGAGGATAACGACACCTCGGCTTGGCTGTTCCTCAAATGGGTCTTCATTGATTTTGGATTCTTGTTCGGCCTCCCGGAGATGAGGATACCATGGCTAGAGATGTCGCAACCCGTGGTTACGGCCATTTTCCTCTTCCATGCCTTTTTCAACTTCATGTTGATGTTCAATATCCCGGTACGTGGGAGGAAACGAATTCTCGGAGCTGGATTATGGACGAGACTGACTAACCGACAAACAGCTTCCACTGCAGCCATGGCTCGTCGGCTTTTTCAAGGTCTTCTACGACCGCGAGGTTGCCGTTTCAGAGCACACCGTGAAGGTCTCGAGCATCCTGCATAATCACTCCTTGATCATGGGAAGACAGATCATCAACATTTTGCCAGAGGGGTATATCTCCGCTTACACTCAACCATGTAGCCCACATTGCTAACATGGCTATTTAGCTCTGCGGTTCTCAATTTCGAGCAAACTCCTTTCTGCATCGGCGAAGGTCGTGAGACCGTCCGGCTGCCGATACAATTCAACTCAACGGTGCCTGCCGAAATGGAACTTACTCGCATTGATCTTGATACCAACCAAGAGGAAACCATTAAACTGTCTAGTCGCGAGGTTCGGAAGATTGCGAAGCAGATTAAAGACCAGACGACAGAGTCCAACCCATTGGCCCACATCATCGAGTACCCAGTCAAGAAGACTGGTGTTTACCGTCTCGGCAAAGTTCTGGATGAGTATAAACTCGAGGTTCAGCGCGCAACCCGGGACACTTACGTTGTGCCATGTCCCAGGGCAAAATTCCGAACCCCTGACAATGAAGACCGCTGTATCAGGGACCTGTCCGATTTGCTTGTCGATGTCACCGGGACCCCGCCCCTGAAGATTGTCTACAGCCGGACAGTGAAAGACAAGGACAAGAGCTTCCACTTCCAGAGTCTGCAACCCGAAGATTACACATCGCCCTTGCTAGGCTCGCCTGCTTCCTCTTTGACGCACGCCGGCGACGAGGATACGTCTTGGGTCAAGCCACAAACCGTGGCAGTACGTCTGAACGAGACCCTGGATGAGCCAGGTCTTTGGCAGTACGCCGTGGATGAAGTTACGGACGGGTTTGGCAATGTTCGGAAGTACGCGCCTTCAGCGGAAGAGACTGAAGCCCGTACCCGGCCGAAGGACCTGGCCCGCACCTTCAAGGTAAAGGAACGACCCAAGGTTAAGCTGGTAGGCTGCGATCTACGCAACCCAATCAAAGTTGCCAAGAAGACAGGGGCACGTCTACCTGTTCATTTCTCGATCGACGGCAACGCTGCAGACACTGCTCACAACTTGACGTGGGACTTTTCGCCCATCGACTCGTTGACCAACAGTGGAGACCACGGCGACAAGGTTTCTGTGGTGTCTTACCGTGCTGCCAACTCCCACGATCAGCCTCTTGTTTCGGAACCTGGGCTATACACGCTCAAATCAGTTTCAAGTGGCTTATGCGAAGGAGAAGTTCAGGAGCCATCCTCATGCCTTCTGCTCAACCCTCTGGAGCCGCAGTTGTCGATTCGCTCTGAGGAGATACCCGACAAGTGCGCCGGCAACTCTGTGGGACTCCGTGTGGACCTGGACCTGATCGGAACACCACCGTTCGTAGTACGGTATGATGTCGTTGATGAAAAACTCAAGACCAGACATGAATCAGTTCAAGTCAAGGGTCTTAGACAACAAGTTGAGCTCAGACCCACGGCAGCTGGACACCACAAGTACATCTTCAAGTCCATTGACGACGCGATTTACACGGGTCAGCGTTTGAGTCCTGATATAACACTGGAAACGGACGTCAAGCCGGCGGCTTCAGCGGTCATTCAGCACACTACCGGATCCAAGAGCGCATGTCTGGAGGAACCAGTGGAGGTTGACATACTTCTTCTTGGCGATGCCCCCTTTTCTCTCGAATGGGAGCTTGTGCACGACGGCAGGCGCAAGTCTGAGCGCGTCACTGATATTCAAGACTCGACATACAAGATCAAGACCAAGCCCCTCGCCAAGGGAGGAGAGTACACACTTTCCCTCAATAGCGTTCAAGACAAATCAGGTTGTCGCACATTCCTCAAGGATGAGCTGAAGATCTCCGTCAGGCGTCAGCGTCCGCGTGCCGCATTCGGCCTACTCGAGAATAAGCGAAGCTTCAAAACGATCGAACACGCAGAGGTCAAGCTGCCGTTGCGTCTTCAGGGAGACGGGCCTTGGACAATTTCTTACCGCAATGTCGATCAAAGCGATATCGTTTACCAAAGGGAACTGAGAAGCAACAACGACATCCTTCCTGTCAAGGCACGGGGCACGTACGAGATTGTCGACGTCCGAGATAAACAATGCCCCGGGGTCGTGGACCCTCAGGCGTCTAGATTCGAAGTCGATTGGTATCCTAGGCCAGAAATTTCCCTGGTGCAATCCGACACGGTCATCTCGAAGGGTAATGAATATGTCAAACGTGATGTTTGCGAAGGAGACATTGATACGTTTGAAGTCAACCTCAAGGGTGAGTCAACCAACCCCTGATAAGAATTATCTACTGACAAAAACCAGGTTCTGCTCCCTTCCACGTTGACTACAATGTCAAGCACGTCCCCTTTCCTGGGACTGCTTCTAAGGGTCATGCCTCCGGCAGTAGCAGCAGCAAAAAGGATCTCGACACCTCTCTTAACAAAGCGTCCATTCCGATGGACACTTCGAAGCCTGGAGAGTACACATATCAGTTCTCCGACCTAGCAGATAACCTCTACGACAGCGCGACGAATTCTCGCTCTTTGACTGTGGCTCAGCGCGTTAACGCCAAGCCATCCGCTGCTTTCGTTAAGCCTGGGCAGTCGTTCAAGTACTGCAAGACGGAGCAGGACAGGGAAGACACAATTCCCATCACACTCAACGGTGTTGCTCCGTTCTACGTCGAAATCGAGATCAAACATCACAGCGGCACTGTCCCTGAGACATACAGAATCCCGTCGATCCAGACTAACTCGTACGGCATCCACATTCCGAGACAGCATCTGCGCCTCGGAATCCAGCATGTTCGCATCCGCGAAGTCAGAGATGCCCGCGGATGCCAAAAGAAGTACGAGATTGGTGCGCCATCTGTACAGGTGCACCTTCACGATGCCCCGGCCATTTACCCTCTCGAGAGCCGAGGAGATTACTGTGTTGGTGAGCGTATTGCCTACACCCTCTCCGGCACGCCTCCCTTTGAGATCTGGTATGATTTCCAGGGCCAGCAACGCAAGGCCAAATCTGGCACAACCAATTTCCGCCGTATCGCCGAGTCTCCTGGCGAATTCGTCATCACATCCATCTCTGACAAGGCCTCGGAGTGCCGTGCCTCAGTCGACATCACCAAGACCATTCACCCTCTTCCGGCCGTCAAGATTAGCAGAGGCCGACAAACCCGCGTGGATATCCACGAAGGCAACGAGGTCGAGATCCTCTTCGAGTTCTGGGGCACCCCGCCGTTCGAGTTCACCTATACACGCAGCTCCAATGCTCGCAAGGGCCAGAAGAGCGTGGTACTCGAGACGCGACACGACGTCTCGTACGAGAGCAGCAAGATCATCCGCGCAAGCCAAGAGGGCACGTACGAGGTAGTCGCCATCAAGGACAAGTTCTGCGCCTTCTCCACACAGCAGGTTGCCGACACTGGCAAGGACCAGAAGCTGCTGCAGTATTAGCATGAAATAAAACGAACTCAGGGGCGTCTTTTTTTGTTTTTTGAAAGGTGGATACACTTGGGCTTGCTGCATGACGACGAAAGAGGCAATGTTTGTGTATACGTCAGTTGGTGTGCATAGACATTTATATCATGGCACGGCGTTTCGTTCTGGGGAAATCAGGGTTGAATAGGGCTATAATCAGCATGACCAAAGACAATTTCTTTTAGTAAATCGATTTTCCATACTGTAATGCGCATGAGACTTGGGAACTTGAAACTTGTGATTTGCATTGTGATTCCGAGATGGCCAGAGTTTTGTGGCCTAAACTTTTCCCCAACCCGCTATTCTAGTGAATTACTGCTACGTCTACACCACCGCCAGACTCTCTTCCTTTTTTCCTCGCTACTCGGTGATCTCAATCCTCTTGATCAAGTCGCCGCCAATTCTGGCAATCTCCAAAAGAACAGCCGGCTTGTTCACCTCGACAACATCGCCCTCCTCATCGCCGAAGTCCCCGACCTGTCGGAAGTTGTACGGCAGACCGACGCGGAAGTTCTGCCTGCTGCGCAACTTGGGCTGCCAGATGGCGCCGATGACAGCGTCGTCCGGCGCGCCGTGGAAGAAGATGAGGGTATCCTCGTACGCGGCCTCGAGCTCGCGCAACAGCACCGTCGCCGGGTGCCTAGCGAGGGGCAGGGGCACCTTGCCGGTGCGCTCATCGAGGTTCTTGAAGAGCGAGTGCCGCGTGCCGGCCTCGGAGGCAGCGTCGCGGGCGGCGCGCTTCAGGGCCGAGGACGAAAGGTGGAAGAGCACGTCGTAATCGGCGAGGGAGGGGCGGAAGAGCTCGGCGGCGTCGAGGGCGATGCCTTGCTCCTTGACCAGCCTGCTCGCGGCCTTTGCGAGGCGCGTCATGCGCGTCGCGAGAAGCTTGGAGGGGCTGTGGCGGGTGTAGGCCAGACCGAGGTGGTCGTGGGGCGTGGCGACGAAGAGGACGGCGTGGTTCATGTTGGGGTCGCGCGCGCGCCAGGCCTCGAGGTGGTGCGAGACGATGGCGCGGTCATCGGCGGACATGTCGTCCGATGAGTCGACAACGAGGGCCTCGTCGCGCCAGTCCCAGCGGGACAGGAAGAGGAGGGTGCGGAGGAAACCCGACATGGGGCTCGAGGGGACCTTCCACGGATGCGGGTTGAGGAAGACGTGTAGGACAAGCAGCTCGATAAGCTCTTCGGTGACATGGCCGGCAAGCTTGTGCGCGTTGAACCAGTGCTTGACAAGGCGGATCGTTGTGGAAAGAGTGGTGAATCGCGTGCAATAGGTCGTGATTGTCTGCGTATGCAGAGGCAGGTGCTTGGAGCGCCAGTGCAGGTCGAAGAGGGCCTCTTCGGCCTCAGCTCGAATCTGGGGGCTGAGAGTCTTGTTCTTAGCCTGGCGATCGAGGAGCGTCTCCTCGAGTTCGGCGTAAATGCGCAAGCGGAACGCGGCACCGGTCTCGTAGATGATGTCTAGGTAGGCCAGGTTGTCGATGTCGCGCGCTGCGTTGTCGCGGCCCAGGCTCGTTGTGATGTTGTCGTGGACGGCTCGTAACCTACGGTCGATGTCGAGAAGGAATTCAATCTTGGTTTCCTGGATGGCGACTACGTTTTCCGGCCACTTGCTGGAGGCCTCGAAGTAGAGGTTCACGTCCATGGGCGGAGGGCTGGTCTTCTGAGAGAGTGTGAATGGTGGCTTGATCGAGGCGGACCGTAGCTCCGGAACGACGGGAGAGATTTGTCTGACTGACAACGGCATGTCCTCCAGGCTGCGGATATCCTGCTCTAGGGTGCCAAAAGCCTTCCTCGCCGCATCAAAGGCTTCTTTGTCCAGAGGCGAAATGTCCAGAGACGGAGGTAATTCGGCGTCGTGGAACCGCAGGTCGCCAGCGCCGAGGCTCAGATGACGCTGGAGGATATATCGGACGATCTCCTCGCAAATACCCGCCGCCGTCTTGTTCATCCACTGCACACATTCGAGGATGCTGCCGTCCTGGAACCGTCGAAGCTCGGCCTTGTCCCCCCAGAACTTGCGGAACTTGGCGGCCTCCTTCTCCAACTCGGCCGACGGGCCATACTCCATCAACCGGCCCATGTTGGCGGGGTCGAAGATAATGCCCACTTGGATGTTGGACAGGTTCCGGGGCTGTGTACCAGTGATTGACCAGGGCGTTGGGTCCTGGCTCGAGAAGTGAATCAGCTGGGATCTCTCCTTCAGCGCCTTCTTGAGAACTGTATTCGCCTTGAAACTGAGGTCCCAGACGGCGCCTCGGCGGTCAGGATTGTTGCTCTTCGAGTTGCTATCGACGTTTTGGATCTCGAAAATGGCATCGTACAGCTGCAGCGGCATGTCGGCTTTCGTAATAAATGTCGGCTCAAACTGGTTTGCCAGAGTATCGTTGAGCACCTCCATGGTCGTGCAGGCGTGAAAATGAAGGAGACTTGCAGACCACGGACTCATCTTGTACAAGATGTTGACTTCGCGGTCAGGATCGAACATGACGGGGCCGTTCTCGCGGATGACCTCGGCGCCCTGCTTGTAGGTCCCAAACACAAAGGGCTTCTTGGAGAACTCGGTAGAAGCGAGGAACTGAACGGTAGCCTTGAACAGCTCTGTGCTGCTCAGAGCCGAGGAAAGTGCCGGCTGTCCGTTCCGTCCACCCGTCTGCAAGAGCAGTGCCATCATGATGGCCCATTCAAAGTGACCGAAACCACCCTTCGACAGCGAACTACCTAGACCCCGTTGTTGGAGCCAAATCCTTCCGAGAATGCAGGCGTCCGCAAAAGCTTTGCAATCTGTTTTGGCTCGGGTCAAAACACGAAGATAGGTAACGAAGGTGTCTTCGGCCTTGATAGTCGAGTTGTAGAACGGCGTTGCGGCACTCGAGTCTTTGGCGTCGGCCTGTCCACCCTTGTTGCTGTTGAACGACGGGTTCAACTTTGTCTTGGGGAAAACCTCCTCGGGTGCGCAGGGGATGATGCGAATGACGTAGTCCGCTTTGGATTGCTTCTTGTCGTCGCTTTCATCGTCGGAGCTCTCGGATGTTGATGCGGGCCTGATAGAGAGGATGGGTAAGAGGGCGTTTCCGTTCAGGTATTCAAATTCCAAGTCGGCCGACCCTCCAAGCTCCTTACGCAAACTGGCCGCAATGTTGGCAATATAGTACGCTCGCCGGTAAAAGTAGCGCATGTTCTGGTGGTCCTTCTCTTGGAAAAGTGAGGCGGGCATCTGTACGATCATGTCGATGCCCTTGTTGGCCTGGGCCTGGACCATTGTCCTCGAAACGTAGCTTCCAACGACATTGTAAGTCGCGGGCTTTTCGTAGGAAAGCTTGTACGGCGCATCGTCGGCGGGCTTCGGATCCGGGTAGGGAATCTTTATGCGATGGGTCTTCTGGAACTTGCGCGTGGCTTCGGCGATCTAGAATTCTGGTCAACTCATGTCCTGGCGAAAGCATTGCTGGATCAACGAACGGGAATGGGGCCATGGGACTCGATGCCTTCGATCAAGTTTCTGATCTTGTGCAGCAATGTGTCGGCGCCGTCCAAGGCCTTGGCGTAGTCAACCTTGACCTCCTTCAGAAGCTCGTCCGTCTGCAAGACAAATGGGCTCGCAGTCGCAATGTTGGCCGTGATCCTGGAGTCGCCTTGGTGGGAGACCTTGCGGCGCTTGGGGCTCTGTTCCATTTTGACGACTTGACGGGTCAGCCCAGTAGTCTTTTGTGCAAGCGGGCTGTTCGATTCGTGGCTGACGAGTGCAATGGTCCAGAAACGCAATTACACTGTGAATACGGCAGCGACTGCGAATTCCGTTTGCACCAAAGGCCACTCGCGATCAAGGGAAATTTTTTGAAGCGTGGGGCATTCTGCAGGCCGATAAGCAGCTGGGAGAAAACTTATCCCTGGCCGACCGCCCGATAAGACATGAAGTCGGTCTCGGACCCGCTTTAAACCATCCACTGTCCCAGACACGCAGAGCCACCGACCCAGCCAACCCAGACAAACAAGAGACGAATTGCGGATACTGCACCAAGCCATGGGGTTGGATAAATATTTAAAGAATTCTTTCGTTTTGTCGACGGTCGTTGAATGATCAGTTGGAAAGGCTGCACTCATCCCCTGATGCTTTATGCCTATGATTCTCTTTCACACGTTGGGTTCCAATTGCATCCTACCGAGGGCAATGGCAATGGAAAGCAAGCGGAACGCGCCGAAGTCTCTCCACAAAATCGGATGGCAAGCAGAGCTCAAGTGCCGACCACGTACCGACCAAAAGGCCAAAAGTTAAGACAAGTGACAAGCGTAGAGGATGATGGAGCTCCAAACTCGCCAAGGTGCGCCCCAGCATAAAGTCGCCGGTATCGCAATGTGGAACTAGTACTTGGATCGAGTCTCTATACTCGAAGGTCAACTTGCGTCGTGAGTGGCCCGAAGTCTGTTCGGAACAGGAACTCTAGACTTAATTCCGCTCTTCGGCACAGTCTTCGGCAAACGGCAGTGCTTCCCGAACCGGCTCCCCTACAATACCTACAACCCCTATCCGGTTGGCTACATCGTGGCAGTTCACGGCCATAGTCAATTGACAATCGAACTCTGAAGCCCAACACAGATGCTCCGTCACTCAACGAAAGGCGGCTGTTGTCGTCTTTGCCATGGGATTGACTTTGCGGGGTCCGGACGGGGATGTCCCCCTCAGGGGGAAAGCTGGAGTTGAGACTTTCCCCAGTTTGGCCTTCACCCCAGAGCACAAAGCGTGGGCGCCAAAACGTTTAGCCCCGCCACTTTCCGAGTCGCGGAACTCGAGAGGGGGACGACCGCTAAAGGTACCTGTCAGTGCTGCCACAGCTCCAGGCTGCACTAAGGTAGGGTAGGGATACCGGGAGCCTCTGAGAGCGAGACACCCCGGCAACGTCCCCAGGTCCAAGCTTGCCTTTGCTCTTGCCGAGCTCAATCCCGAAGGGGCGGAGCAGCATACACCCCCAGACACTCTCCGAATCGCCCACGGCGCAATGGCAACGGCAACCCACGGCCTTGGAAGCTAAAGGGTCCATGGTCACGTAGATGCAATAAATTGACCCGGGCCCCTTCGGAATCCCTCGTGAAGGACCGTCTTTCTTCTCCCCCTCCTCACATTCTCTCTCTCTCCCTGTCTTCCCTCCCAATTGCTCTTCGGCTCCTCTGCTGCCTGTGTTGAAGCTTCTTGGTCGTCATCGTCTGTGACACGTTCGGCCCCTCCATTTATCCTCCTGGTCCTTACGATCCCGACTGTAGCCAAGTCTACCACACATACCACCCACTTCCCATTCACGATGCCTTCAGCAGCTCTTTGTGCGCGCTCATTGCGTGCCTATGCTCGTCATGGCTCCAACGTAGGTCCAGTTGTGATCAGGAGTCCATAGACACCTGCAAACCAGACTTGGCAGCTTTACTGACCCTTCCCTCATGAGTAGCACACTGCCATTCTTGCCCGCGCATTCTCTGCCTCAGCGCGGAGGCCAGAGATCAACAAGGTCTACCCTTCAGCCACCGAGGCTCTCAAGGACATGAAGCCCAACTCCACACTCCTCTGCGGCGGTTTTGGTCTCTGTGGTGTCCCTGACACTCTCATTGACGAGGTTCTGAAGAAGCCTGAGATCACCGGCATCACCGCCGTCTCCAACAACGCCGGCACAGACACTTCTGGCCTCGGCAAGCTGCTGAAGACGAAGCAGATCAAGAAGATGGTCGCCAGCTACATTGGCGAGAACAAGACATTTGAGAAGATGTACCTGACCGGTGAGGTCGAGCTCGAGCTGACCCCCCAAGGCACCCTTGCCGAGCGCTGCGCCGCCGGCGGCAAGGGCATTCCTGCCTTCTACACCCCGGCTGCCTTTGGCACCGTTGTGCAGACCGGCGAGCTGCCCCTCCGCAACAAGCCCGACGGCTCGGCCGACCAATTCTCCTACCCGAAGGACGTCAAGGTCTTCAACGGCAAGTCGTACCTCCTCGAGCACAGCATCGCTGGGGACTACGCCTTCGTCAAGGCCTACAAGGCCGACAAGCTCGGAAACTGCCAGTTCCGCCTCGCCGCCAACAACTTCAACGGTGCCATGGGCCGCAACGCCAAGATGACCATCGTCGAGGCCGAGCACATTGTCGAGCCCGGTGAGATCTCTCCAGAGGCCGTCCACCTTCCTGGCATTTACGTCAAGCGCGTCATCCAGAGCACGAGCGAGAAGAACATTGAGAAGTACACCTTCGCCAAGGACGAGAACGATGCCGACGCCAAGAAGGCCCTCGGCACTGGCGACACCGCTGCCAAGCGCGAGCGCATCGTCCGCCGCGCCGCAAAGGAGTTCAAGAACGGCATGTATGCTAACCTTGGCATCGGCATGCCCATGCTGGCACCCGGCTTTGTCGGCCCCGAGGTCGAGGTCCAGCTGCAGTCCGAGAACGGTATCCTCGGCCTGGGCCCGTACCCCAAGAAGGGCGACGAGGACGCCGACCTCATCAACGCCGGCAAGGAGACCGTCACACTCAAGCCCGGTGCCGCCGTCTTTGGCAGCGAGGAGAGCTTCGGCATGATCCGCAGCGGCCGCATCAACCTCACCATCCTCGGTGCTATGCAGGTCAGCGCCAATGGCGACCTCGCCAACTGGATGTTGCCTGGTAAGGTCAAGGGCTTCGGTGGAGCTATGGACCTCGTCAGCAACCCTAGCGCGACCAAGGTCGTCGTCACGATGGAGCACACGGACAAGAAGGGCAACGCCAAGATTGTCAAGCAGTGTGCTTTCCCCTTGACCGGCAGAGCCTGCGTGTCAAGAATCATTACCGAACTGGTAAGTTACTTCTGCATGATCCAGGCCCATGACACTCGTCAGAGACTAACAACTGCGGTAGGGTGTTTTCGATGTCGACTTCGCGCACGGCCTGACCCTTATCGAGATTGCGGACGGCGTCACGGTGGATGAAATCAAGAGCAAGACCGAGGCGCCGTTCACGGTTGCCGACGACCTGAAGCCCATGTTGTAAGGCGGAACGGTTTGTAGAATATCCCGGAGGCTGAGCATGTGAAGGAAATTATACCCGTTGCGGAGGGTAAGCTGTTGTCATCATCTAGAGTACGGCGTCAAGTTAGGGACCAAAATGACTAGCCATGACTTTTTTTTCTCTTGAACTCTACTGCTATAAGCTTTGCCCATTCGCCTCCTTGGTCATCCCATGATATCGTATGTAATACTACACAACGCCGGCTTCTCCATGCGTACCTCTGGTGAAGATTCTCACTGTAATGTATCATTTCGCCCACGCTAAGTATGGCCTTGTCAGCGTTCTCGGCTTTTCCCTTTGCCAAATTTATTCCTGCTATCAAGAGCCCATGAAGGACTGGAGAATGTCATCGAGCCGCCGCCGCTTCTTCCGGTTCGGATTCAGACCCGTCTCCACATTCCCAAGCTGGACGGTAGGCTTCATCAGCTCCGCCGTTCTCCGCGCAGACGTCTGCCTGTTACTCGGCGACGAGGTCCTGAAGAATGTATACCTCGACGTCGCGAACAGCCCACGACGAACATACGACACGGCGGGTGTGATGCCCGGCCTCGCGGAGCCGCAGTGGCCCAATTGGAGACATGCGAGCGGTTTGGACGGGAGCACCAGCTGCTCTGAGACGGTCTTCTGCCCCGTCTCTAGGCCGATCCTCTTCAGATCCTCGTCCTTTGTGAACTGCCCGATAAAGGAGTACAGCCAAAACGCCCAAGTCTCAAAGGGGAAGCCCTTGCACGTCTGCGCCTCGTAGCCCGGGACGTCGACGTACATGGAGAGGTTTCTCTTGGCCGCGTCGCTTAGGTGGTCGAGGAACGGCGGCGCGTCCTGGCTGGTGACAAACTTGATGGACTGGTTGCTGCTCTGGCAGAAGTTCATCAGCCCGTCGTCGATGTTCCGGGCCAGGCCCTGAAGCTGTCTCGGCTTGCTCTCCTCGACGAAGTCGAAAAGCAACAAGTACCAAAGCAGGGAGTCATGGGGACCATGGAGGGGCTCCTCCATTTGCCAGCCCTCGCCCACCGCCGTGTCCACGGCTCCTCTCCAGTCGCTCCGTGAGGCGTTGACGTCGTACAGCGCGAGCGATGGGAATTTGGACACGTACTGCAGGGAGTTCTTGGTTACGGACTCGTCACCCCAGAGCCTGAGGATCCGCAGCAGGGGAAAGGGATCATCTATCTCGGACCAGCCCCTGACGAGGCGGTCGTCGACCTTGGGGAAGGTGGTGCGCAGCTCGTCGGCTGGCTGGATGATCTCGAGAATGGCGAGGTTCCTGAGGCGGGCAAGGGCCAGCAGCTCATTCTCGGCGAAGGAGCAGAACCCCGTAATGTTGAGATGCGTCACGAAGTCAACGGTGGGAGACTCGAGCGGTCTGAGATAATGCCGGAGGCTCTCACCCGGCTGACAAATGTGCTGGCGGTAGCGGTAGAGGCCCAGCGTCTTCTCATCGTCTTCGGCGAGCAGAAATTTCGAAAACACCTTCCATGCCTGGAAACACACGCCTCTGCGAATCCCGCGTTAGACCCTATAAGTCCGGCCAAGGAGGTCTTGGGAAGATGGACGGACGAACCTGTTCTCCAGCAGCCGCCATATCCTCCACAAGTACCTCTTGGGCAGGTCCTCACGGGCGAGGTGCTGTTCCGTCACGTCTCCAATGTTCTCTGCCACTGTGTGCATCGCCATGTCGGCCAGCGATCTCGGTCCCTTTCTCCCCTCTCCGCCGCGACCTTTCCGCGGCGGCCGGCCGGTCCGCCTCGACCAGTCCCGGCCGTTTTGGTACGCATCTGGAGGGCGCGGTGCGACGACTTCTTTGAAGACTTGCCCCGATTCGTCAAACATGGCAGCGAATCATTCGGAGGATGAGACTGGAGGACAACGTCTCTTAGTGGCCTTCAACATACACTCTTTTGATCATGAGAGACCGATGGTTGCATGTTTAAGAGTGAGATGTACGTGGGTGAGAGGCGGACTCGGTGGGAGCCCGACTGACACTGTGCGTCCACACGGTGTGTACTCATAGCATACTGTGCTCGTAACCACGATTTGCGCCGGGTTTGCAGTGGAACACGACACGGTTATGAAATAAGGTGATCGCGTTGAAGGGCAAATCCAACGTGCTTCACATGAGCATCAAAGTCACGCCAATGCCAAATTACAGTTGCCATGTGTAGCCACTGTCCAGTGGTAACTACATCAACAAAGCCAGGAGCTGAGATAGTTTGTATCGCCGCATAAAATTTCTCTGATCACCAATACAGCCGAAGCTGCCACGGGTCAGAGGGTAAGTGAGCGAATAAGTGCGTCAGTCTTACCTCCCATTTCCCCTCCAGGCACCTTCATTGATAACGTGAAAGGCAGAGTGAATAGAGAGGGTTTGTGTTTTATGATTAGGTAAAGAAGAAAAAGAGAAAGGGAGAAAGCGAAGCTTTGCGCGGAACCGCGGCCTTGATATGGGATTTTTTTTTCGAGTGGGTGGGTCGGGGGCGGCTGGCACACCCGGCACTGGGGTTCCGCCGGAGCCCGGGCAAAACCAGCTGAAGTGCCCTGAAGCCAACAAAGGTGGGCTGCCCGGCTGGCGAAGCTGGGACGAAAGTCGAAGCCGGGTGCCGGCCAAACGAATCTTGGCATTTGACGCGGATGAACCCGTCTCACACCTTGGGTTGTCATTAGGATCTGTGGAAGAGTGCAATCCCACAGTTTGACCGGGCTTCTCGCTTTCGCTCCGTGGTTCTACATGTCGGGTGCTCAGACTGTCAACTGCCGACTTCTATAACAATATTTAGTTGGCAGAATGATCTAGACGAGACACAGTCTGCACAATCAATCACACTTCGGCGACGAGTTCAATTCTCTTCTGAGAGTCTATCTCTAGTCTTGTGTCTCGCCTTCTTCCAAATTTTGATGACAAGAGTCGCACGTGTCACAAATCGCCTAGCAAACATGCACATAGATGGCTGCAAGAATCAGTCAACTTAACCGAATGAACGAACGAGAACTCAAGCAACCAGTTCTACTACAGTTGACATCAGCCTCCAGAGCTTCCCTATTCGAATCACACCGTCATCTGAATTCGTTCTTGACTGCGACAGCCACATGTGGCTGGAAACAAGAGCCCAAAGACCCTCTGCAGACTCTGGTGCGGCGTCTCAAAATCAGGGACTTGCCCGTTTTAGCGCGGGGCAAAAAGTCGTGGCGGTGAAAATGAGGCCAAACAGGCAAAGAGAGCCCCCCCCCCCGGGGACAGACCTGTCAGCGCCAACCAATAGAGACGAACGCGTTTGTGTTTGTGGTACTCTGCAGTCGTGTGGTGTGCTCCAACTAAAAAGCCCAAGGGACTGACTGACACTGAGGACTGCAGTATCGTGCTTTGCGCGCCATGTCTCAAGGATGCTGTTATGCTACGGTAATGATGATTGCCCCTCCTCTAATCTGCCGCGCCTTAGCCTGTGACTCTTCCATGTATTCGTTAGTTTCTGCCCAATGAGACTATAATTGAACGACTTATTCACTGTCGGACACTCTGATCCCGCTTGATTCAGTGATTACTACTTCTCTCTTCACATCTCTGTTACCATCTCTCACTCACTTGTACCACCACGCTTAAGTGCTGCCACCGCCCACCCAGCAGAGCACACTTTTACCCCGCCGTCCAACCCTTTGCGCCAACGATTCTCGACAGACATCCCACTTCAACCCCGCAACTTTTCGCGCTCTACCCAGACAATCCAGTCAAGGAAAACAACCCCAAACCACAATCAAGATGGCAGGCGGACAGCCAGGATCCAACTCTCGCGGCCGCGGCGGCAAGTTCAGGAAGTTTACCCGTGGAGGTTTGTTCGCACGTGTGCCCTACGACAGCGCCTCTCCAATGCTGATAATCGTGAAAAAAAACCAGGTGGCAAGCATTTCTCCCGCGACCTCAGGCCCCTCGACGCCGATGGCAATGAAATCAGCATGTGGTCTGCCGACTCAAAGAAGAATGACGACGAGAGCTCCGATGAAGACTCTGAGGAGGACTCTGAGGAGGAGTCCGGCTCCGAGGACGACGGCAAACCCCAGGCTGAGATGTCCCGTGCCGAGCGAAAGGCCGCCGCCAAGGCCCGCAAGGACGCCGCCATAGCTAAGAAGCGAGCCCAGGCCGTCGAGGTCGGCGACCTGCCCCCCTCCGACTCGGAGGAGGAGAGCAGCGAGGATGAGGCCGACATGCCCGCCAACCCCAACCACTCCAAGGCCGCCCGTAACCAGACCAAGGCGCCCGTCGCCGCCCCCGAGGTCGATGAAGCCGCCGAGGGCGTCAAGAAGCTGGCTGTCGCCAACAACCGCAAGGAGCGCGAGAGCATGGAGGCCGCGCAGGCCAAGGAGAGATACCGCAAGCTGCACGAGGCCGGCAAGACGGACGAGGCCAAGGCTGACCTCGCGCGCTTGAGACTCATCCGTGAGCAGAGAGCTGCAGATGCTGCTCGCAGAGAGGTAAGTCCTGCATGCATCAATCACCTCATTTCCACGCTTTTGATTCTGACCAATCGCCACTACAGGCCGAGAGAGAGGAGCGCGAGGCCCAGGAGGCGGCTAAGAGGAAGGAGATTGAGGCGAAGGAGGCCAAGAAGAGAGAGGCTGCCCTCGGCCCCGTTAAGAAGGGCAAGAAGTCTAGCAATTAAGGTGGCCCTCAAGATATCGGGCTCTCGATGCTCTTTGGTAACCTGGTTGCGACTCCCCATCATATACCATCGTTCTTCCTGGTCCATATTCGTTCGCAGCATAGCGTGCGTCGGATATTCACGTCTGAACCACAATATGAACAAAATCTTGCTTTTCCGATCCCGCCTGTGTCCACAGAAGACCACCCCAGACTCTGTGAGATGCTCTATATTTTACATGAAGTCGATACGCATCCCGCGTTCCATACATATACATAGGCCGTTTTACATACCGGCCAGGCCGTCTGTTCCGACGGCTTCGTGCCATACCTGGTCGAAATCGACGCCTTGTTCCTGGAACAGGTCCCGGATCTGTTTGGCCACCTCAACCTGCTTCTCGGGCCCGAAACCGCCAGGTTGCGAGGACTCGAACTGCACAATCTCGATCCAGCGGAAGAAAAGGTTTTCCTTGCCGATGGCAGCGAGAGCGTCCCTAAACTGGAATACCTGCCTCCGTCTGTCGTCCTCCTTGGCGCTCACTCCCTCTTCCTCCATAGACATCCAACCGTAGTCCTCGTGGTGCACCAAGACCAAGCGTCGAAAGGCGTCCAGGGCGATGTCCTTGCGGTCCACCATCGTGTGCGCGTCAATCATGGCCTGCCAGTCGAGATCCCACTGGCCGGTCATGGTGAGGTAGCCCGTCTTTTCCTGAAGAAGGAGTGGCGAGCAGGCCTGCCGAATAATCTGCTGCAGCGCCTCGTTCTTTTCCTTCTCCTTGAAGATGTCGCCTAGTTGCTCGTCCCACTCCCGGCTGCGCCGGACGTAGATCTCCTTTTCTCGGAAGCCAACTTTCCATCGCCAACTAACTGGGTTGCCGTACGACCGGCCAAAGACGAATTCAATGGGCCACGGCCAGACGAAGATGAAGAGCATGAGATCCAGAGTGAGAGAGGCGCCGCGCTTGGCAACCTCCCAGAGCAGCTGTCCCCAGGTTGAATCGCCAGCTGGAAAGGTTGTTTCGTTGGGGTAGCCCATGGCGGACTGGACAAACTTGAAGTAATGAGGGAGGATGTAGTACATGCGCAGAACGAAGAGCGCGGCGACAACTATGTTCATGCCAACAGGCACGAGAAAGATCTTCTTCTTGAAATCCGTAGGCTTGGAATCGATATGGGTGATGTAGACGTGTTTTGGCGAGAGCGTCTCGAGCAAGGGTTGAAGGACCTCTGCTGGTTTCTTAAAGGGTGCCGGCGGTGTGCCAGGCGACCTCTTGGGCGCCGACTTGGACTTAACGGCTTTGACTTTGGGCGCCATGGTGACCGTCGTGACACTGATATGGCGAGTTGAGCTGTGAGTTTGAAGACCGGGGTATCTAAGCTCCAAGCTGGCGATTTTACTTTAGGGGCCAGGGAATTGATTGCATATTCATTTATGCCCCTGCATAAACCCGACCTACCTTCGGTGGATACCGCAACAGGCCAATCAGGTCTCACTCATCCCTCGGGAGCAATTGCCTGCACAGGCCGACCTCGAACTGGGAGCTCGAGAAATTTCTGGGGCGACTCGAGCTCGGAGCTCGTCTTTTGTTTCCTCAGTCTTCGCAGCCTTTTCTGTTGCGCCCAACAATAGACCATGCTTCGATGTAGGTTATGGAACGTAAGTGACTTTGAACCCCCGATTGGCCTTGAATTGGAAGTCTAACCCTTCACAGGAGCGAAGCAGTGCTTACGTCTGCGCCTTCTGTCGCCACCCCGCTCTGTCGCGACAGCATGGTCTTGGTCGGCGCAACTACTCAGACGCATCGAATCCCCTCTCGAATGGCAACGACAAGACCGGCGGCTGGGGTAGCAGAAACGGCGTGAAAGCGGCCAGGGTTCCAGGCAGTTCCCCAGGACCTCGTGGTCCGGTGGCCAGCGGATGGGGCCAGCCGACGTTTGGTGCAGGTCTATCGTCAAGAGCGCCGAGAACTGATGACCAACAAGGCTCTGTCGGCCAGAGCGACTCGCTTGATGGCTTACTTCTCCCTCACGAGATTGCCGCTCGACAAAAGCTGGCGGCCCAGAAAGCGACTGAGTCCAAGGCCACGCAGATCAAACCCAACTTTGCCAAGGGCACGGCACGAACTGCGACAAAGCCGAAGCCCCTAGGTGGCCTTAGTGGTGGTTTGGGTGGAGCCAAAGGTCATCGAAGTTCTCCCACCAGCGCTCTTGGTACAGGCACAAAGAAATCGCTGGGAGGCCTCGAGGATAAGCCTCTGGCGGCGAGAGATTGGAGACATCGGCACGAGGCAGAGAGAGCCCCAACCGGCACGCCAATACCGCATCATCGACACAACGCGAAGGACGAGCGCAAGAGCTCTTCTGCACAGAACACCCCACCACAAGGGCAGGAAGGCCTTGGGAACCCGGATGCTCAGGAGACAGGTGGATGGGGTCAACTCTTGAGGAAAATCAACAAAACTTCTCAAGATACAGCTCGCGACACGCCATCAGACTCAGGCTTGTCGAAAGAGGACTTCTTTGCCAAATTTAAAGAAGTCGTGGCCGACAAGTACAAGCGACCTGACAACAAACCCTGGAAATCACGCCCCGATGCTGGCCACAACAAGTACGACAGTTTCCGGAGGACGGAAGAGGTCGTAGAGGAGGATCCATCAAAGCCTGAACGTCGAGCACGGGAGTTCGATGAGTCCTACGAGATCAGCCGCGATCCAAGGCGACGCGACAAGGCCGGAAGCCGGAGAGGAGATGCTTACGGGTCTTCTCGCGGCGCGAAAAAGTCATCAGCACAACAAAAGTGGGAGGACGAGAACGAGGAATGGGAAGATAATGGTGCAAGCCGGGAAGCTGAGCATCGCCGCAAGAAGGCCGAAGCAAGGGCGCGGAGGCTGGCTTCGGAAAAGGCTGCACCTCAAAATATCTTCCTGCCCGAGTTCATTAGCATTTCGAACCTAGGTACCGCACTCAAAATGAAGCCTCAGGAGTTCCTTAGGTCTTTGGCAGAGATGGGATTCGAGGACATTACCGAGGACAGCATCATGACTGGAGAAACTGCTGCCCTGGTTGCCCAGGAGTTTGGTTTCGAGCCAACAGTTGACACTGGTGGTGTCAGAGACCTCAGGCCTAGGCCTCCGCCAGAGGACGTGACAGCGTTGCCATCGCGACCCCCGGTTGTTACTATCATGGGTCACGTTGATCACGGCAAAACGACGCTGCTGGACTATTTGAGGAAGTCCTCCGTGGCAGCCCAAGAGCACGGTGGCATCACCCAGCACATTGGCGCTTTCATGGTGAAGATGTCCGAGGGCAAGCTCATCACCTTCCTTGACACTCCCGGCCACGCGGCTTTTTTGACCATGCGGCAACGTGGCGCTAACGTCACTGACATTGTGGTGTTGGTCGTGGCTGCTGATGACAGTGTCAAGCCTCAAACCATCGAAGCCATCAAGCATGCCAAGTCGGCAAAGGTACCGATCATTGTGGCCATCAACAAGTGTGACAAGGAAGATGCCAAGCCCGATCAAGTCAAGGCTGATCTTGCCCGTCACGGCGTCGAAATCGAAGACTTTGGCGGCGACGTCCAGGTCGTTTGCGTCAGTGGAAAGACCGGCCAAGGTATGAGTGACCTTGAAGAGAACATCGTCACCCTTGCGGACATCCAGGACATGCGTGCTGAGGACGATGGCTTGGCAGAAGCCTGGGTGCTCGAAGCTAGCGTGAAGCCATACGGCAAGTCTGCAAACGTCCTTGTCAAACGAGGCACTTTACGCCCAGGAGATTTCGTTGTAGCAGGCACCGCCTGGGCCAGAGTTCGGCTCCTGCGGAACGAGGCCGGTCAGGAGCTTGAGGAAGCACCGCCCGGCACGCCTGTCGAGGTACTTGGCTGGAGAGACGAACTTCCTGCCGCTGGTGACGAAATCCTCCAGGCACCCGACGAGGATCGGGCGAGAACAGCTGTTGATTACCGCGAGGAGATGCGCGAACGAGAGGCATCTTCGAAGCAGCTGGCCGAGCAGGAGCAGCGCGAGCGTGAAGCCAAGGTCGCTGCGGAAGTCGCTGCGGAGATTGAGGCAGTCGATGCTGAGGGAGGCGAAATCATCGCCACCAAGGTTGTCAACTTCATGGTCAGGGGTGACGTTGTGGGATCCGTTGAGGCTGTCTGCGCGACCATCAACGAGATTGGCAACAACGAGGTGAAGCCTCGCATCCTTCGCTCATCTGCTGGCCAAGTTTCTGAGTCGGACGTCGAGCACGCCGAAGCCTCCAACAGCGTGATTGCCAACTTCAACAGCACTGTTCCGGCCCACGTCAAGCATCTGGCCGAGGAGAAGGGCGTCAAGATCTTGGACCACACTGTCATTTACCACTTGGCGGACGAGGTGAAGCAGGTCATGTCTGAGAACTTGGCCGACAAGGTAACCTCCAAGGTTGTTGGCGAGGCGGATATCTTGCAGGTCTTCCCCATCAACATCAAGGGACGCGTATACAAGAATATTGCTGGTTGCAAGGTGAGGAACGGAATGGTCACTCGATCGACAAGCGTGCGCGTCTTGCGGAGGGGCGAGAAGATCTTTGATGGTAAGTTGAACCCTGAAGCCCCTTACTCACACACTGGATTTAGTCTAACACCACCTCCAGGCAAGATCGATACCCTCAAGCACGGTAAAAAGGACGTGAACGAGATCAGGAAAGGTACCGAATGTGGTATCGCCTTTGATGGCTTCACAGACTTCAAGGTTGGCGATCAGATCCAGACTTACGAGGAAGTAAGAGAGAAGCGGAGCTTGTAGGATATGGAGACGCTTGTACGAGGGGAAACTTGGATACCATAGGCATAGAACGGAGCAGCAGGCACGGAAAATGTGCTCGTCCGTCAGAACTGATCTTTGTGGAGGGTGGCTCACTCAAAGACACAACTCATATAAAACATCACTGTAGAAATAGTCCATAATGGCAATTGTACCATATGTATCAAGGCATCTTCACCCACTTTCGACTCGACTTTTGTCTTATTTTACCATCGCTTTGGTGCGGAGATGGTGCTTGACGAGAACGTCCTACTTGTCACTGTCGACTGTGACCGTTCCTTCTCGAGTTTGGCCAAGCCTAGTTTGTCGGTGACGGGCGTGGCATTGATGATGTTGTCGAAATCATCGTCATCTTCCCCATTGTCCGAGTCTGGCTCAACATCCGAGTCCGGCTTCAGGGTCTGCGGACGCGGTATCGCCTCGGGCTTTTTCTTCTCCTCTGCCGCAGGATTCGAGAACGTCTTTGATGCGAGCACCTTACGACGGATCTCCTCCATGGCCGCATCTTCGTCGCTGTCGTCTGATATAGCGTACGGGTCTTTGTCTTCTTCCTCTTCCTCCTCGTCTTTCGCAGGCTTCTTGCCTAGGTATATGCCGTCGGCACTATCACCCTCGCTGGACTCCTCCCCGCTCTCATCGTCCTCATCCTCGTCATCTTCCTCTTCATCGGAATCGGGTATAACTCTCCGATTTGTGTTTCCTCCCTTCCACATGTCATCGGCGTCAGCCTCTTCTCTGCTATCCGCGTACTCCTTATCAAGCCTGTCCAACCACTCGTCCTGAACCCTCTTCACGCCCTTCTCGTCCTCGCTCGCCGCGTACTTCTTCAGTAGACTCCCGTTGATCTCCAAGAACGCCTCGCCATAAGAGAAAGGCGCCAGAACCTGCTCCGCCCACTCGGGGTGTCCACAGATATAGAAAGCCGCAGCCAGCGCCTCGACACAGTTCAGCTTCCACGGCTTGCCGTAGTTGACCGTGTTCGCAGCCACCAAATATGGCAGCAGACGCTCGCACTTTCCTCCAACCTTGTTCCATTGCACGTCCTTCATGCGCGCCCAGCTGCACTCGACCACGGCGGCGCCGTACTGCTCCATGAGGTCGCGGTCGGCCGGGGATACGGTGTGCTTGCCGTTGGGGGTGATGATGACTCCGTTATGGCGCTGGCCAACATGAAGGTCGCGCATCATGCCCATGCGGATCAGCTTCTTGCCTGAGCATCGCTTGGGGTCGCAGTGGCCCAGGTCCCAGCAGGCGGCCTTGAAAGTCGGGCGGGAGGTGGGTGCTTCAGCGTCGTCGCCATCTCGGGGCTGGCGCTGTCGCGGAGGTCCCGAGGTGTGGTTCTTGCGACCGCGAGAGCCGAAGTTGTCTTTCTTGTGGCGGACCATTTTTCGAGGATCGGGCGGAGGGTTGAGAATGGCGCTCGAGAGGTGGAGGGAGAGACTCTGAACGAAATCCTTACGGTTCGCAGGGTCGTTCTCAAGGGACGGTTTGGCGGGGTACTTGGAGGGGCAAAATCAAGAGTGGTAGCACAAAAAAATTCGATAAACAGCATCTTCGGGCCCGCATATGCAATTAAGCGTACGCAACTTTTGGGGAGATGAGGTAGCCCACACGAGAAGCACAGGCCACCTTGTTGGAATCGAGGTGGCTCCTCCCGCGCCGCTTGTCACTCAGCAGCCCCTCGTCATTCGGCCACAGATGCCATTGTCGGTACCTATCAAAGGGTTCATGAGGGATGCCTGCGCCGACCTAATCCACTCTGTCCAATTCGCAGGCGCTTGCTCGGCCAGCTCTTGATTCCACCGGCCACCAAATTCAATGTCTTTCGTAGCTTGAGAATCCAAAAACGACGACGAAAGACGACATTCCAACCGCCGAGATAGCTCCCTTACCTCGCCGCCCAAGGCCGTACCCAATCGAAACCACCGCAACGATGGAGGCCGCATCAGCCAGAGCTGCGGCCCGAGATCGCTGGGGCGAGATGGGCTCGCCCACGCCATCGCAGCTGCAGCGCTTCATCCAAGCTGCCTGCAGTCCCGAGAATTACGAGCCGAACCTCGCTCTGAACCTTGAGATCTCCGACCTGATCAATTCCAAGAAGGGCTCCGCCCCGCGCGAGGCCGCTGTCGCCATCGTCAGCTATATCAACCACCGCAACCCCAACGTGGCCCTCTTGGCACTCAACCTGCTCGACATCTGCGTTAAGAACTGCGGCTATCCGTTTCATCTGCAGATCAGCACGAAGGAGTTTCTCAATGAGCTCGTCAGGAGGTTCCCCGAACGACCCCCGATACGGGCGACGCGGGTACAGATGAAGATCCTCGAGGCGATTGAGGAGTGGAGGAGTACGATATGCGAAACAAGCAGATACAAGGAGGATCTGGGCTTCATTCGGGACATGCATCGTCTTCTGAGCTACAAGGGGTATACGTTCCCTGAGGTTAGGCGTGATGACGCCGCGGTGCTCAACCCCAGTGATGTGAGCTTCATTTTCTTTTTCAAGGTCTACGGATGGTACTGACAGACACAGAATCTGAAATCTGCCGAGGAGATGGAGGAGGAGGAGCGTGAGGCGCAATCAGCCAAGCTTCAGGAGCTCATTCGCCGAGGCACGCCCGAGGACCTGCAAGAGGCGAACCGTTTGATGAAGATCATGGCCGGTTACGATACACGATCCAAGACGGACTATCGCGCAAAGGCTGCTCAAGAAGTTGCAAAGATCCAAGCAAAGGCGCGGTTGCTGGAGGAGAGACTCGAGGCGTTCCAGCAGGGCGATACGATGAAGGATGGAGATGTCTTCTCCGAGCTCGCTGCTGCCTTACAGAGTGCGCAGCCCAAGATCCAGAAAATGTGTGAGGAGGAATCCGATGATCATGAGGCTGTTGCAAAGCTGCTTGAGATCAACGACAGCATACACCGGACGGTGGAGCGGTACAAACTCATGAAGAAGGGCGATCTGGAGGCCGCGCAGAAGGTGGCCAGCGGGGCGCCGCTACCGTCGACCTCTGGCTCTTCCAAGAGCGCGGCACAAGAGCTGTCTCTGATCGATTTTGATGGGGAGCCGGACACGGCGAACGGCTCGTCTTCGGGACAACCGGGTTCACAGTCGGCCGGCATCGAGAACGACCTTCTCGGTCTTTCTATTGGCGGCGATTCTACAAGCTACGGTCAAGGAGGTGCTCTGACGTTAGGCTTTGGAGCGAATCAGAGTAAGCCTACCTTGTCCTTCAATGTGTGTCCTATACTGACCAGAGATAGACATCCCAGGGCCCGCACTGCTATCTTCCGTGACGGAGAACAACAGCGCAAAGGGTACTATGAGCAACACAGCGACACCCCAAGCGCCGTCCTTCTCCCAGTTCGCGTCCTTCACATCCCCTTCAGTGTCCCAATCTGGCACTCCTCAGCCTTCTGGAATGTCTGCATTTAAGCCTCCTCAGCAGCAGGCTCCAGCCTCAAACGACCCCTTTGCCGCCCTTGCCTCGCCCGTCTTTCCCTCTAAGCCTGCCACTCCTGCTCCTCCACCTGCGGCGACCGCGCCACCCGCAGCAGCTGCGAACGATGATGACGAATGGTCCTTCTCGTCAGCTCTGCCACCCGAAGCGCCTAGCCAACCCAAGGAACACAAGGCAACTGTTAGCGACTCTATTGTCAAGATCGAGATGATTGCCGGGAGGACTGGAACTGGCAATGCTATGAACCTGAGCTTTGCTTTCTCGAACAATTCTGCGCAACCCATTACAGAGCTTCATTACCAGCTCGCCGCAACAAGGGTAAGGTTCCGATACACGTCTAATCAGGATGAACAAACAGCTGACTTCAATCAGGGTTACGAACTTGGTCTCAGACCCCAGACAGGGCGCTCATTGGCCCCCAACCAGAGTCGAGGTGTAACGCAGTTCGTAGAAGTATGGCATACTGGAGACAAGAACCGCAAAGTTCAGTCTCTCAAACTGCGGTGGAGGATCTCTTACAAGGTGGGAGCGGAGGCGAAGAACGAGATGGGTGAGATTCCTGAGTTCAGCATCGCATAATTAAGCAGTTTTTCGGGATGATTTTGTGGAAAAGGGCCATGATCAGAGGCCTTAGGGGATAAGAGGCACGTCGTGAGGTGCGATAAAAAGGTATAGAATCTAAGGTATTCAAGATAGTTGAGAAAGCAGTGCCGGTTGCCTCTCCGTCAGTAGCTCCCCACGTGGCACGCATGTCGACGCGGGCATTTCACTTCTTGACTAGTCCTCCGCGTGAAAACAGGATGGGATTGAATATGTCCAATTAGCAGGAGCCAAACAGCTCGGCTGGAAATACCGTTCATCACGGATCTGACGAGATATGCCGTGAAGGCAGCAACATGGCCCTATTATCTATCGACACCCTTCGTCTCTCTCATTGAACCCGAGCAAACCGCTTAAACTTACGACGTGAGAGCGCGGCAACGAACCAATCTTCGCAGACCCTGTTGTTCGCTACTTCGCGCAAGCAACACCGTGTGACCATCGTTTTTGCCGTTCAGGGAGGTGGCCGTAGTGGTGGTGTGATGGAGGACTCATGTCCTCTTCTAGTGATGCAGGCTACAGAGCGCAAGTGGGACAAGGGCAATCGAGGACAGCCGAGCTAGACGGGAATGACAATACTGATGTCTCTCGAATGGGCAGAGGGACGGAGCCGGAGCGGGGCTCTTTTGCGTACCTGCGGGCCGGAAACACGGCGGGTGTGGGGTTGCGCCGCTGTCTATCAGGCGCCAAAGCGCACGTCCGCCCGCGGGATGACCTCAGAGTTACAGGCGGATTTTTCCCCCGTTGCCTGCGAGCTGGACGCTACCGTCTGTTACACGTCCCTTACCAGCGACTTTCTGTAGAGAACCCTGCTTTCTCACCAAATTTTCTCAGCGAAGCCCACCTTCGGTCCGCGGCCACAGAAGCGCTGCGGTTGTCGCGTGTAGCAGCCCGTCCGACGCGCTCTGCCAGGCAGAGACCGCCCTCGACCCTCAAGCCTGCGTCGGCGGCCTAGCCAACTACCAGCAAAACCCCAATCTTCTCGAGTTCGCGCTCTTGAGAAACGAAATCACAGAATGGACTCAGACGACGAGCGCCGCGACCACCGTTCACGGCGCAGCCGCCCCGACGACGACGACGAAGACACTAGACCGCGCAGGGACACCGCAGACCGTGATAGCCACCGGCGCAGACGAAGCAAAGACCGAGACCACGGCCGCGACCGCGACCGCGGCTCCGACAGACACAGAGAAAAGCGGAGGTCACGATCGCGAGATCGGCGCGAGAGACGCCGCTCGCGCACGCCGGACTCTTCCTCGCGGAAACGCTCCCGATCACGCGACCGCGACCGCGACAGAGAGCGACGCAGACGGCGATCCCGGCACCGCCGCCGCGACTCCGGCTCCGACTCGGAACCCGACGCCCCCAAACGCAAACGACCGGCTCCCGCCAGCCCCCTCCGCCGCGCGGGCCCGCTCCCCGACCAAAACGCCTCCTTCGCGGTCTCCAAGGGCGAGGAGCCCGAGAAGCCCAAGGAGAAGCCGAACCTGCGCACGACGGGCCTGCTCGCGGCGGCCTCCAACTCGGTGCAGCAGGCCGACGGCACCTCGATCGTGCTAAAGTACCACGAGCCCGCCGAGGCGCGCAAGCCGCCCGCCAAGGACCAGTGGAAGCTCTTCGTCTTCAAGGGCGCCGACATTGTCGACACGGTGGACCTGAGCGCGCGGAGCTGCTGGCTCGTCGGCCGCGAGGCGGCCGTCGTGGACCTGATGGCCGAGCACCCGAGCATCAGCAAGCAGCACGCCGTCATCCAGTTCCGGCACGTCGAGAAGAGGAACGAGTTTGGCGACCGCATCGGCAAGGTGAAGCCGTACCTCATCGATTTGGAGAGCGCCAACGGGACGGTGCTGAACGGGGACAAGGTGGCGGACAGTCGCTACTACGAGTTGAGGGACAAGGACATGATCAAGCTGGGACACAGCACGCGGGAGTACGTGCTCATGCTGGCGCCAAAGGAATGAACAATGCCAATGCCACAGGGGCTGTGTTGAGAACGCAGGACTATCTTGCAACGGGCGGGTGGGCGTCGCACCCTTTACTTTTAGACTGTTAGATTTTACTAAGCGGGAACCGGTCTTGAAAAGGGCAAATAAATAGTGAGCAGAACACCATGTAAACATTCTACTACGCTGTTTTCCTATGATAACAAGACAAAAGAAACGCGAAGCTTCCTAAACTGGCTTTCGCTACCAAAACCAAACGTGTAGTCTCCGCAATACCGCTTTTACTATGCTTCAACGCCGGACCTGTAATGTCGCTTATAGCCAGCCGTTCCGAAAACCACATTCTAGGACGAGAACCAACAGTGTAATCCCATCTATCCCAGCCGGACACCAAGTCCAATGTACGCCGATTCTGGGGGTGACTCGGCAACGTTGCCAGCTCTTACCTGGCGTGAAAACTTGACTGCCTCCTCGGACCTTCGCTGAAGGCGTTCCCGATCCGTCTGAGCCGGCCGCCGTCGTTGGGCTTCTGCAACATCGACGGCCATTTCACCAAACTCGATAATACTGCCATCCGCGAGTCGGATGCCCCCCGACCCAGATCGAGCCATACTCTCCCCGCCCGAGGCACTTCGTGGGCTGGTTATTGGACTTTCTCGCGCCGCCCCAAAATTGGGCACCCGCCCCATAGGCAGCAGACTGGACACATTGCTCCCCCCAAAAAGTGTCTCATCATGAGGGTATCCATTCTGTCTTTGTCTCCAGACACCGTAAGATGTCTGGTCCATATCAATTGGTGTGAGCCGCGGAGAAGGTTCCGTCTCAACCATTGACGGTGCCCGGGGGCGGGCCAAGCTTGATCTGACACTTCCGCTGTTGCTACTCACGGGAGTGCCCATTGAGCCTGTCACCGCCGCGAATTGAGGGTTTGAGCTCGGATTTCTCGACATTGGTTGTGATGAGTACCCATTCGGCGGTCTGGCTTTGATAAAGCTCCCTGACGCCGTGGTTGCAGGCGATGAGATGTCCAAACTTGGACGTTCGAGATTCGGGTTAGACCGTGAAAGAACCTTGCCATAAGACTCCCCGTCATGCAAAGGGTAGGGCAATCGAGAGGTTGTGGCGCCCTGTTGGCTTATAGGAGCCTGCTGCAGGCTGCTCATCTGGCTCGTAACAACCGGTAATCCTAGAGGATAGAATGCAGTGTGTTGCGTTCCTGGACTGGAGTTTGCTGTCCTGGTACCCTCGCGAAGCATGTTCGGCAAGTGTTCAGTAGACTGAGGAGCGGGTAGCACTGCGTCTGACGAATCCCCTGATCCACCGAGAGCTGTTTTCCCCTTGCCAGATTCTTTTTGGTGCTTTGTTGTGGTGGCAGAACCGGTCACACGTCGAAATAAGTCGGATAAGTATGTTTGTCGAGACGGGTGTGCTTCTCGGTCCTGTTGTGGTCCTGGTGGTCTACTCGCTCGAGGTTGGCCTATAGAGCTGACCGTATCCGGAAGCCGGTTCTCTTTCATTCTTTGCGCGATCGAAACGGGCGCGCTATCGATGGTCCGCAAGCTATTGACTGAGAGAGCATCATCGTAGGCGGCTACTCTGTCAATGCTTCCCGCTCTTGATGGTGGCGTAAGAAACTCCGGATCCAATGACGCCTCATCTTCGACGGTAGTCCCGGATATTACATTGGCATAGCTGGCCTTGCCCAGAATGGACAATGGCTTCGCGGCAGTACCTGTGCTGGAGCTTCGGCCTTTGTCTTGAATGTAACCACCGCCTCGAGGGGGAGGGGGAGAGCCCTTTTTGATGTGCATGAGCTCGGTTTCAGCCTCGCTCATGGCAGTCACTCTTGAACGACTAGGAGACCTTCCCCCTCTCGAAGATTGAGGTGGTGTAATGAGACCGCGGGCAGATTCACGGCTGATGCTAACGCGGGGATCGTTGGTTGTTGTGGCAGTTTCTCTCCACGCTCCCCCATGATCACGGTAGCGCCGCTGCTCTCGTTTTTTCACGGAGCGGTGTCTGGAAACGACAATCCACTCCGACTCGGAAGAGGTTGGGTACATTCCCTCTACCACATCCGGAGGGTACGGAGTAATGGTCCGATCCTCGGATCTCTCGTCTTCCATTCGGGGCTCTCGGTCCTCCGGAAATGGGACATATGGCAAGTGGAAATGATTCGGGTCGACGAAGGTGAGCGGAGACTCATATTCTGTATCCTCAGGATAAGTGCGGTTCGAGAAGTTCGCACCGTTAGAAGCATCTGTCGACTGTGAAGATACGCTGTTTGTGCGTTCGAAGACGGAAGTGTGCGTGACAGTCTTCTTCCCGTCTACAATATCTGTTGATATGGCTTTTTGCAACTCGTCAATTTCCCTTGGAAGCTTCGCAAGTCGTGCTTCGAGGTCCAATCTAGCCGCAACCAAGTTTCCTGAATTGTCTCTGTATCTCAGCGTTAGCGTCCTATCGAAATAGTCCAGGAGAAGCAAGGTAACAGGAAGAAGAATAAAGAAGCCAGGGAGCAGCAGTAGCGGCCGATAAGGTGTAGTAGACGTAGAACCCACAGAGTTGATGCATGGGGATGAACTTACCGTTGGAGATTGGATTGCTCCCAGGCTTTATGAGACGTGTGAGAAGGCTTGTGACGATCGAGGTGCTCCATCAGCTTCTTTCCATGTCTTATGTACTGCCTGTAGTCATCTGGCAAGCCAGTGACAGGATCTTTGTTCATTCTGGCGTCGGCCTCATCAAATGAGCGGCAGAAGACACGAACCGCCCGTTCCAGCCAAAACTCCAACTGTCCCTCTTCAGCAAGGAGTTCGATGAAGAATGCTTGCACAATGCTGTGAACGCGGAGCGTATCCAAGGGTTCGGGAATGAGGTCGACGCTTTGACGAGAACTTTGAGAGCTTGAGGAAGAAATATCGTCCGTTTCGTTCCGCTCAACGAGGGCAAAGTCGATCAACGTGACGAAAGTGCGAGTCAAGCTTCTCTTGTGGCGGGTGGTTTCCGTCTTCACCGGCGTGCGCTTGTCGAGAGCCTTCAAACCAAGTGCTAGCATTTCGACTGGCATCGATTGACTGAAGAAGGAAAGGATGTATATAAGATTCAGTGCGGCGGTGTCGCCTCTTTTTTGCAGTTGGTCTCGGATGGTCTTGAAAGCCGGAAGAATCCCTACTTTCGGCGTGTCCCGGAATGACTTTAGATACTTTGCTAGGGGCTCCCGTGTTGCGTTCATCTGCAATGCTGCCGCGTGGATCATCAGGGAGAGACGACCCATCAGCTGCACCAAATCTTGGGCACGTCTGAGATCGTCAGTCGTGTATGGTTGTTTCTTCCCCATTTCTTCGAGCAATAACTCCTGCGCGTCCTGGACCGGAAGTAGACCGAGCTTCATGACACTGGGGTTATCCAGACGGTATGCACCAGGTTCGGCGCGCTCTGTTGACGTATAGATAAGGCTGGTGTTTGGCCTGTCGGGTATAAAGTCAAGTACAGCGTTGTCGCCGAAGCGAATACCGTCGAACACCAGCAGCCAGTTCTCTGACTCGTTGAACCAACTTCTGACGATCTCCACCATTTTTTGAGGGTTCAACAAGTTCTTCTTTTCTTCTTGAGCCGCCATACTCCTGATAGCCTCGGTCTTGGCGATGCGCCAAAAGCCGTCCTCCATGTCTTGCAGCGTTGTCGATCTGATCCAGTATATGCCGCCTGGGTAGTCATCTTTGTGGTTGAACACATACTGCCGAGCCAAGTGCGTTTTCCCAGCCCCGGGAATGCCCTGGACTAGCACGGCTGAAGTACCTTCTGATCGTCTTTTGGAGTCTGTCAGCAACCTGTGGAGACTGCGCAGCTCCTCCTCACGGCCCTTGAAGAACGAATTGGGCCGAAACCGGTCAGGGTGGACAAAAAGAGGGCGAGGAGTAGAGAATTCCCGTGCTGAGCCAGATGGGGAGTAGCACATGGTGCTGGTAGTGTCAGTCGGTGACGAGGCTTGAGTAGCTTGGTTGTTTCTGAAATCTGATGCCATATTAGAATCAATCTTCAAGGTGTTTCCCAACTATCCCATCCCTGGCCATTGGTCCTTGACTTTAATAGGGGCATTCACATGGGAGTCCTACGGCAACGGCTGCGGCTAGGTTGGGAGCTATAGGAGAGATGGGTGAGGAGAAAGTACCTAGTGAAGATGTGCTCGTGGGGCTTCTGTAGTTGCGCGTCCTCTCAGCGGCTTCTGACTGGGCTCTCGCTCTCCTGTCTTCATTTTCGATTTCCCAGCGAGTGCGGATCACTGGCGGGGCTTCTTCTGCCCAGTCCCGAATGGCGGTTGATACATTTCTGTATCCAGGCGCGCTGGTGCTGTCGAATTTGCACATGCCAGAATGGGTGGCCTCGATGCCGTAGTAAGTGACGCCCGGCAATTGCGGACTTGCTGATCTGGCGTCCACCACTAACATTCTATGATGCATCGTAGATGTTAGTCATAGTACGCTACATACAGGTGCAGCTCATTGTAGTGGCTGCTTTGCATATTTTCGAATGATATTAATCTTATGTCAGAAAGGGGGAACGTTGAGAAACAACAAGAGCAGGTAACAACTGGGCGATTTCGTGCGCAGAATGAGAAGTAGCATGAGGTGATAAAAGGAATAGAAACTGGTGACACTATAGAAAAGCATAACTGATGGAATTGAGATGCCGTGGGGGAGAGACGAGAACCAGCACTATTCAAACTCCTCTGATGCAAATCGAAGTCGATGTAAGGAGAAATGTACTCACTTTGTGCCTTTGACATCCGTCTTGTGGTTTTCGTGGGCCATGTGAATCTGAAAACGCTGGTAGATGTCGAGGAAGTGATTGTTGATGATTTCCAGGGTCTCGTTATCTTTTTTCAGGGTCTTGAGAAGGACGGACTCGCTTTCAAAGACTTTTCTGGGCGCTATGGCGTCTGCCATTCTCTGCAAGACGAGCCCCCATGTTACCATGTCCGAACCGGTATGGGGAGTACCTAGAAAGATGATGCCATAGGTTGAGATGAAGATGGATCTGGCGTCTTCTTGGTTCCTGTCTCTGACATCGTTGGAGTAAAGCAGAGCCCGCTTGACAAGTAGACCGCCTAGACTGTGTGCAACGAAGATGATGGGATTGTTGGACGTTCGCTCACTCTTGCGGTATAGGGTGAGGTTGGTGACCAGAGTCTGAGCATGCTGGGAGATGAAGTTATCGCTGGCACTTTTATGGCTTCTGCCGGTTGTATAGACGTCTGCGTTGTAGCCATAGACCAGAATGTTGGCGCGGGTCTTTCCCAGGGACTGGGGTAGTAGATCGGCAGGCCAAAAGACGCCTTTACTACTAGGAGACGTCCATGTTTTCTCCGGGTCGCCGTTGAGGCCATGGACCAGAACGACGTCGACAGTGGCGTCAGGATGATTGAAAACAGCAGTGATTTCGTAGCGGGAAATGTGCTTATTGATGGACCCCTGAGTATGCGCATGTTTGGTTAGTGGGTACGAGGCAGAAGCAAGATACTGAGAGACAGCTCTTGTATCGGCCGGTCTCTCTCTGGGAGTACTACCAGTGCAGCAAGGCAGGCACACGAGAGAAGAGGATGAACGAGTAGCAAACAAAGACAGCAGGGATAGTGATGAGCGTGGGTGCGGGCCGTTCCGCAAGAGTTTAAGCCGGTGACGGGACGAAGATGAACGTTCACTTACCATGCTTGCTTGCTCGCGACCGAGTCAGCAGCAGGGGACTTTAAAGAAAGAAGACTAGTTGTCGCTCGCTCGCTACTGCAGCTAACACTTTCCAAAGATTGGCGGGTTTATATTCGATTTAGGTGTATCGAGCAGAGACAAGTAAGAATCGTAAATGCAGGGGGAGGGAGCCTGCATGGAACGACTTTATATCAATAGGGGTAAGGTTACGGCTGGAGAGGAAAAGAGTAGTCATGTTAGAGCCGCAGCTGAAGCCAAGACGAGGCGGCTCGACGCGTAACGTCGAGGTGATTGAATGGCGTCCGTTGCCTGGCTCTTAACTCGCGAGGCGCAGGCCTAAGCTGCGATGCGATACTCGAAAAGGAGGGAAATCCCGTCGCAGATGCCCTTGTGATGGAGTGTTGCACACCGGACGGACTGGTCACACTCTGAAAACGGAGCCGAAAGTGCCAGCTTGACCCGGCAGGAAACGAATGCAAGACGGGGGACGATACTACAAGCCACGAGTGGCGGCAACGGGAGGAGTTGAGTCCCAGCTTGAGGACTCAGGGGGGGGAGTGCAGTGCACGTGGGCGGCCAGTAAAGAAAAGATGTTGATTTGGAACAAGCACGACGTACATGCAATGAGGGAGAAGTGGCGCCCAGTGACTTTGCAGGCTACAAATGTGAACCGTCTTGGCCTGTTGAAGTGCCTCTTGCAAGGGCGACTGCCAGGTTTGGAGGGGCAGGCAGGGTCTCTCTCCTAGGAAGACGCCTCGAGTATGAAGCTCCATTGGTGCCCTGGTGCTAATTAGGTAGCGGGATGCCCGCTGCCTACGCACCCACGGCATATCATCTGCAAGTGCGAAGTGGCCGCGCCTCTCCACTAAGGATGTAACAATGCCTCACCCGCCTTCCATTCTCAGGACTGTAGCATCAGATTGGGTGGATAGACTGGTGAAAGTGGGAAGGCTCATTCGAGCGAACAAAAAGGTGTGTGTGTGACCTACAAACCTGGACATACATTCGTGGAGGAAGAGTATGGAGGACGCCAATCGCTAGACGCCCCTTCGCAGCGAACGCCTTGCCGTCCCGAAACACCATACGGCGCCACCCATGTTGACTCTCTAGCAGGCCTGCTTCTGAATCTGTCCTTGTTCGTCCTTCCCGCAGCAACCCGAGAGACAAATCGCCTATTTCTTAGCTTGGCAAGTTGCCCAAAGTGTCCACGTAGAATGAAAGCTCGAGTATCAGACCAGACGAACACATACCGCCCCCATGGCGAACTGGACACATGTTTACGTCTGTGCTCGGGACGATGTTGAAAAACCAATACGAACACCTCGCGCCCGATCAGGCAGTGATTTGGCGTCTGTAAACAAGCACTGCCCTCCTGCCTCGGTGAAGACAACGGGCGGGACAACATATGTGACGTAGCCGAACGCGCCCCATGGGGTACGCCCGGGCATGAGGCAAGACACAGCGGCTGACTCATTCGGCTTCGAAGAGACAAACGCGCAGTTGACGTTGAGGAGCGTAGTATGAACAATAAGCCTCACTTGGGGCAAAAGGGCCGCAATCTCCTCATAGCGGCTGCCGACAGTATGTGTGCAAGAGAGGCTGCTGACCCAGTGAATCGAGGACAGAGGGGGGTGAGAGTGTCGAGATTGGAACGTCTCCTGGGATAACACACGTCGAGATAAGGTAACATCCTAACGCAAGCCACTGCCTCTGGACACAAAACCTTGATCCCCTACCTAAGAGCAGCCACAACATGTAGCGTGGCGGCTGCCGCTTCTGGAGCTTCACCCTCTATAGGCGGGGAATCTTGGCATGTGCCATCCATTTACTGCTTGAACACACACTAAAGCCGGTGAACCTCAAAAAGAGGCTCCCTTTTGCGGCCATGCGTAGCACAAGTAGGACGGGGCAATGCATAATCCTGTGATATGTCGACGGCATCTCAATCCTACCTTTTTTTTTTTTATCTTCTCCCTCTATCTGTCTCTCTTGTCCCATCTCTCCGCCAAAACGATCGTGCACATTTTTCTGGCACTGGGGGATGTAACCCCGTAACCAGAGCCTGATCGCGTCATCTTCTACTCTTCATCAGGGAGCAATCCGATGATACGGTGAAGAGACGGCACCTGACCTCGACAAGCGGACCCACTCCGGTGCCGTGAGTCCGTGACACCGTCTTGACGCAGAACAGCGCTTGCGAACTTTCAACGGCCGCCATCGGACCCGATCGACGACGCCATCAAAATCGCTATCCTTTTCGGGAGGAAAGCGCACAGGAGACTAGGACATCCAGACCGCCTTTCCGCGCCGCATTGAGGAAGGCGTCGCTTCCTTACACTTGCGACGCACAACCTCTTCGGACGAAGCCTCGTGTTCAGTCGCTATTTCGGCCATCGATACCCTATCCACCATCAGCCCATTATCATGGTCCAAGAACGGCTCAAGAGTTCATCATCACATACCATGCAACACCCTCTGCCGCTGAACCTGGAGAGACCGCATGTCAAAGGCAATGCTGGAGACCTTGCCAGAGCTTCAACTGAAACCTCACTGCCGACATTGCCTTACCGAACAGCCGTTCGCTTCTGACGACTCGGATTGGTGTGACTACAATAGCCCGTAAAGAGCGACTGAGATGTTTCTCGTTCTAACACAACCCCAAAGCGGACGACCATATTCAGCGATCCAAACGACTTGGATGACCTCTCTTCGAATAGAGTTCATATAGCTTGAGGCTGCCTATCGAGGCTTCGGCAACTCGTAGCCTTTGTACGCGCCTTGAACCTTACCAATCGAGGGTGTGACAACTAAGAGAAACGATGCTGATGTGATCTTATTTTCCACGGCCACCCCGAAATACTGGCACTGACGTCTCGGGAACTCGAACCGTAACACTACGGGTCTCACAAAACACCATAAAGTTTATGATGAACATATCCGAGGGGCGACTGTTACCATCTCTGTCCAGAAATCTAATTTGGGAGCCACGTTACAGTCGGAAGCAACAGCGAGAAAATGAAGAACCAAACGAAACAGAAAGTCCCTCCAAAGGTGTCCGAGTGCGCGAATCACGTCCGGGCAGCCGGCTCCGTCACATTTCACCGAGGCAAGTGGCCCAGAGGTGACGAAAAGCTCACCAGAAATGACACAGGCAACATTACACAGGAAATATAGCATGCGTCTGGTTTGATGAGATCGGCAAAAGAAGCTAGGTACGAGTAGTTCGCCTTCACATCTGCGATCGTCCGTAATCATGTCCCAAGACCTCATATCACTAACTTCGCCAAATCTAAATTTCAAAATGTTCAAAGGCTTCTTGGGGCAGCCTGACGACATTCAAAGCTGTTTGGGTATTGTAATTGCTACCTTTCTAACTAACCGTTGGTCATGAGGATGGACAAACGCAAGTGTAGGTTAATTGCACGTCAAAGATCAAGTTAGAGCGCAAATTCAACGGCATTTCAATTACGCATAACTCCTCTTCCTAGTCCTCACCTAAATCTGGTACCTTTTCTCCCAGCTTGCCGCGACTTACAGCTCAACCCACAATGTACCACAAAAAAGACAGCCAAGAAACCACAACAGCCGACAACATGGCCGCGCCAACAGGCGCCTTCCTCCCAGCAGACGAGGGCACAGGCGGCGCCATCCACCACCCGGCCTCGGCCTGCTCGCCCGGCCCATAGACGGCCCACTGGACATCGACGTTGGCCGCGTCGCTGATGGCGCAGTGCATCATGCCGGTCGCGCCCACCAGCCCGCCGGCGTCGTGGTCGCGGACGGCGGTGCGGACGATCTGCGCGACGTCCATGCCGCCGACGTACCACCCGGAGGCGATCTCGTGCATGACGTCCGCGTAGGGCGGGCGGATGCCAAAGGTGCAGGTGCCGCGGCTGCGGATCGCGAGGAGCGTCGTGTTGTCGGCGAAGCCCTTTGCGTACCACAGGTGGCGCTCCTCGGCGGCGTCGTCGGCGAGGGCGATGCAGTCCGAGGTCAGGGCCGAGGTGGCGCGCGTGACGCCGGCGAAGGAGGACATGCCGCAGATCTCGTCGCGCCAGTACTCGCTGCCACGGTAGAAGCTGGGGCCCTCAGGTTCGGACTCGGCGCCGGTGGCGAGGGAGGCCCGGCCCGGGGACTCGAAGAGTTGGCCGGGGTCGGCGCACGGAGCCGAGGGCCGGCCGAGGACTGCAGTGGGGACGGGGATGGGGGGTTGGGGCCTGTGGTAGGTTATGTTTGTGCTGTTTATGTGGTTGAGGAACGGCGACATATAGAAAGGGGTCACGGGGGAGATGAGGGCGAGGGCGGCGATGAGGGAGATGAGGGAGACTGTTACCTTGGCCATTTTTGGTGGCCTTGTGCGAGGCACGGAATCGGGCTTCACAGTTGAAGATTGGTTGTTGGGTGTGAAGTGCGAGGAACTGTTCTCGTCAGCCAAGGTTGATGTGGTCGTACACTTACAAGTTGATGGATGATATTAGTCTGTGTGACTAGAATCGCTAGATTGTCAATGATAAATCGTAGATAATCCCAGAGTGTTGTCGAAGTGTCTTGGTTGAATGTGTGTGTGGGATGATGAGAAGAGACTATCCATCCAACTGAAGGATACGCTTCGGCTATATAGGACACCCTTGGAACCGCCTTCGAGGAAAAAAGTCTGCCGTGAAAGAACAGGAGCCAATGAGGCTCATCAACATGAGAATAATAGAGTTGCGCAGCTTGATTGCCTCGTCAAGACAAAAATATTGTGTACAAGTCAAACGTGTAAGTAAAGAGTGTGGCTGAATACAACCGACCGTGTTCAACTCTTACACGTGTGTTCGAGAGGTCTGCAGCAAAGACAGCGAGCTGCAGACTCGTTTGTCAAGGCAAGTGTCAAAGCCTCAGTTGTCAAATCAAACTGTCACTATGGCCTTACAGGTGAAAAACAGCACAAGTGGGAGGTGGCACTGCTTAGTCTAGGCATGTTCATGATCCTTGCAGGGCCTTTGTCTTGATTGTTCTGGACCTATCGACTTACACGGCGTTGCAACGTATCGACTGCTGCACGTAGGTTGGCGGTGTCAAATTGTCTCAACGCCACAAACGGGGTAAGTAAACCTAGCAGCAACTTCACAGAAACGGGACCAGCGGGGGGGGAGTCATATTCAAGTTGTTCGCCAATGTACTGATTGCATTGAACACTCGACCGCGGTTGAAGCAGTCTTGCTACCCTAAAAAGTGCCGAAGTTGAGAACGCCACCCAACTCCCGCCTCCAGTGAATTTTTGTTTTACCCCCGGTGTTTGGTGTATTTCCGCTTAAAAGCAACGCCTATAGAAAAATGCAACAAAGTGTCTCCGTTCTTGGAAGATCACCTTTTCCCTTGATTCATGAGCCATGTTAAATGTCATGCGCGACCGTCCCTTGAAACTTTTGGGTCGCCCCACGCTTAATCCCTTCTGAACCATTTTTTGTTGAACTAGACCATTTATCACAGCCCAATGTGGTATCATCCATGTCCTCCCTTACAAGACCGCCACACCGCTTCCTGACATACGTGACGGTTGACTGCTGGCACATAGCTTAGATGCCAGCGTCGACACGCCAGCCCTCAACAGGGAGGGGGAAGCTGGAGCTCCAGGCAGCAACCTCCTTGCGGAGGTCGTTGATCTTGGCGACCTGGCCGCCGGCAACGGTGGCCTTGAAGTCCTTGAGCTTGTTGGCCTCCTTGGGAAGGGAGCCCTGGACCTCCTTGCAGATCTTGATGGACTCGTCGATGTAAGTGGCGACGCGCTCGAAGTCAGCCTCGCCGAATCCACGGGAGGTCATGGCGGGGGTGCCGATGCGGAGACCGCAGGGGTGAGGGCACTCTTGTCACCGGGGATGGAGTTCTTGTTGCAGGTGATGTTGATCTGCTCAAGAACGGCCTCGACACGGGCACCGTCCAGGCTGAACTGGCGGAGGTCGAGGAGGACCATGTGGGAGTCGGTGCCGTCGGCGACGAGCTTGTGGCCGAGGGCCTTGAACTTGTTCTCGAGGGCCTTGGCGTTGTCAATAACCTTCTGCTGGTAGGCCTTGAAGTCAGGGCTGGCGGCCTGCTTCAGGGCAACGGCCAGAGCAGTGATGGTGTGGTTGTGGGGGCCACCCTGGTGACCGGGGAAGACGGAGAAGTTGATGGGGTTCTCGAGGTCATAGAGGGTCTCCTTGCCGGACTTGGCGTCGACGGAGCGGACGCCCTTGCGGAAGAAGATCATGGCGCCACGGGGGCCACGGAGGGACTTGTGGGTGGTGGTGGTGACGATGTCGGCGTACTCGAAGGGGGAGGGGATGACACCGGCAGCAATGAGACCGGAGATGTGAGCCATGTCAACGACGAGGTAGGCACCGACGGAGTCGGCGATCTTGCGCATGCGGGCGTAGTCGATCAGACGGCAGTAGGCAGAGGTACCGGCAACGAGGACCTTGGGGCGGAAGAGCTGGGCGTTCTTCTCGAGCTGGTCGTAGTCGATGATGCCGGTGTCAAGGTTGACGCGGTAGGGCATGGTCTCGAAGTAAGTAGAGACAGCAGAGATCCTGAGACAGTCGTGGTCAGCACATGTCGCCCAATCGAGTTTGCGACGAACACCTCCAGGGGACTTACTTCTTCTGGGGGGTTTGGTAGCCGTGAGACAAGTGACCACCGTGGGGAAGGTCCAGACCCATGAGGCGGCCGTGGACGGGCATGATGGCCTGGTAGACCTGGAGGTTGGCAGGGCTGCCGGACAAGCACTGGACGTTAACACCCCACTTGGAGGAGTCGAGGTTGAAGGCCTTGAGGGCACGGTTCTGGCAAAGGATCTCGATCTGGTCGATGTGCTCGTTGCCGCCGTAGTATCTGGCACCGGGCTGGCCCTCGGAGTACTTGTTGGACATGGGGGAGCCAAGAGCGTCGAAGACGGCACGGGAGGTGACGTTCTCAGAGGCGATGAGGATGATGGACTCGCGCTGGCGCTTGATCTCCTCCTTCTGTAGCAATTGGTTAGAGCATGGTTCGTGGTAGTGACCGAGGCGTTTGTAGAGCAACGTACCATGATCTCAGCGACCTCAGGGTCGGAGTCGATGAGGGACTTCTCCAACATCTAGTCGGTGAGTCAGTATACAGTATATCCTTGAGCATGGCGGGGCAAACGGGTAAGCGTACCTCCTTGTGGGAGACGGGGAGGGAGTAGGTAGAACCGTTGGCAGCCATTGTGATATGTGGTATTGCGAGATGTGGTGAGAGAAGTTGAGGAAGAGAGGAAGGAGTTCACGCAAACAATGGCAGTGAAGAGGTAGAAGTAGGAGAAGGACGAGAGGGAGGCCAGCAAGGTTATGAAGGGAGGGAAAAAGCTTGAGGAAAAAAAAATTGGATGGCCGCATCCTCACGCTGAAGCGGTGGGGTGGCGGGGTGTGATTGGCGGGGTCGAGCTGGGCAACGCGGGCCCCTCAGCAGGGACCAGAGAGCTTCTGAGGCGCCAAATGGGCATTGCTGAACGGTTGGCAACAGTGACTGGAACTACGACCGCAGCGCCTGCATGTGGTGAACGTAGTGGAAGTAGGCAGTGGAATAGGTGCAGACACTAAAAGGGCGCATCCCTGGCCTCACATCCCCTGTGGCGGGGTTCCTCGACTCCGATTCTGGAACGGTTCCACGAGTCATCGAGCCAACGGCCACCATTTTCGCTGTCCATACGAGAACGGAAGGGAGGGGTGGCAAGTCATGGCCGTTTGGCTGATTGAGCCCCTCAATTGTCCGTCCCAATACATAGGTTCAGTGTTTCCTTCGGCTGAGCCGGGCATATTTTTGGTTGAGGGTCGTGGCGATGGCGACGGTGACAATGTCAGTCGTGGATAGCAGACTGTGACTCAAAGACGGCATGGGATCGCATATGTAAAATGTTTCCCAACCCGTGCACTCTTCGCAATGGCGGGGACTATCGCGAGTTTTCTCCCAGCCCCTCCGTTCCTTGGAGGGTGCCGGGATGAGAGAAGAACTCCGCGACAGAGCTCGAAGAGCATAGACGGGGTATTTGAAACGAAGACACACGGTAATGCTTCTGCATTCTCCAGCCATTTAACTTTTCTTTGCCCAATGTCTCCGGCGCTCCAGGCTATCTTTGGGGCGCAAAGACTAGTGGGTGAAAAACGTTCATCACCGCTTGAAGGCTGCGCATAGGGTGGGTGTGCGATGTCGGCGAACGGTGCAAGGTAGACAGTTGCAAAACTCGAAGCTCATTTCGCGCAGAGTTCTGATAGGCCAGTGATCAATAGCGAGCGACTCTACCGGTAGATGCTGCTTTTTGGCTCTTGTAATCAAACTCAATGCGACGGGTATATAACCATACCTCTGAAACTTTAGCTAAGCTGGGTGTGGGCTCGCGACTGTCACTCCAGCTGTGACTCCTTCTTTGCATGTGGCAGATGCATTTCTCGAAAGTCGGAGCGCGTTTGGCGCTACGGGAACCTGGAGGTCCTGAGCACGAAAGAGCTGATTTTCCCGAGACCCAAAGTCTGCTGACTCATACAGGCAGGTAGAATCGCATCCTCATTACCCCCCGAGCTCCGAGACGCCCACAAATGACGGCCTCAGGTACCAAGGCGCCCAGGGATGCAGGTACCTTAGCTTTCAGGCACACCCGGATGCTACAGCAAGCTCAGCAGCCGAGCAAGAAGCTAAGGTATCTTTGGGAACCTGAGCTACGGTTAACCGCGGAGCAGGGGAACCAGGCTTATCTCATGAATCCACCTTGTTGCGTGATGCCGGTCAGGCAATGGCAATCATCTTCATCAGCGTGCATCTCGTCAGTGGAAACGAACAGTGCATGCAAAAGCTACAAAAGCAACGCGAAACGCAGCCGGACTGAAGAAGGCAGCCGGGACACGCGATCAGACACGCAAGCTCCGTTCTGGCTGCCTCAGCACCCTGCCAGTGTGTGAGAGCTGTGAGGAGCTCTAATCGTCTCGGGGTTCCAATGAGTTGCGCGCCCGCGGTCGTCCAGCCAGCAGATAAGTGGGCCTCTTCCGAGCAACCCCAGCTTTGATAGGCACATAAGGTGCTTGCGCCTATCGGGTGCACGTCATGGTCCCTCGTTCCTTGCGGAGGCGAGTGGCAGGCGCTGTCACGGGGCACAGTTCCAAGCTAGACTTAGCCGTGCTAGGTATCCGTACCTACGTACCTACTTAATAGGTACCAACGCCGCCCCAGCTTCCGCCTCTTCCCCCCGTCAACACATCATCATCCACCACCCCCATCCGCCCTTACTCGCCATCTCCCAGTATCACCAGCACGAAGACGCAGGACGCCAAAACACATTGTAAACTGGGTAATCGAGGTTGACTGCCACGATGAAGAGCACTCTCCTCACCGCGGCCGTGCTGTTGGGCGTGGCCCAGGCTGAAGTCCACAAGCTGAAGCTCAAGAAGGTTCCTCTCGAGGAGCAACTGGTATGTTTCGCCATCACCTCGCATCTCCACTGTGTCGTGTGCTGACCGCAATCATCTCAGAACGCCGTTCCCATCGAGCACCAGGTCAGACAGCTGGGCCAGAAGTATATGGGCGCCCGCCCCGATAACCATGCCGACGCCATGTTCAACCAGAAGCCCATTCAGAGCAACGGCGAGCACCCGGTGCCTGTCAGCAACTTCATGAACGCTCAGTGTATGTTTAGCATCCGCTCCCTATTGCATCATATCCCACACTAACATACCTGCTCAGACTTCTCCGAGATCGAAATCGGAACCCCTCCCCAGACCTTCAAGGTCGTTCTGGACACCGGAAGCTCCAACCTGTGGGTGCCGTCCCAGCAGTGCGGCAGCATTGCCTGCTACCTGCACACCAAGTACGACTCTTCAGCTTCTTCGACCTACAAATCCAACGGCTCTTCTTTCGAGATCCACTACGGATCCGGTAGCTTGACTGGCTTCGTCTCCCAGGATGACGTTTCCATTGGCGACCTCAAGATCAAGAAGCAGGACTTCGCCGAGGCCACCAGCGAGCCCGGCCTTGCCTTCGCCTTCGGCCGCTTCGATGGCATTCTCGGTCTTGGCTACGACACCATCTCCGTCAACAAGATCGTTCCCCCCTTTTACAACCTTGTCAACCAGAAGGCCATTGACGAGCCTGTCTTTGCTTTCTACCTTGGCGACACCAACGAGGAGGGCGACGAGAGCGAGGCCACCTTTGGCGGTCTTGACGACTCTCACTATGAGGGCAAGATCACCTACATCCCCCTCCGCCGCAAGGCTTACTGGGAGGTCGACCTTGACGCCATCTCCCTTGGCGACGAGACCGCTGACCTTGAGGGCCACGGCGCCATCCTCGACACTGGCACGTCCCTGAACGTCCTTCCCTCTGCTCTTGCTGAGCTGCTCAACAAGGAGATTGGTGCCAAGAAGGGCTACAACGGCCAGTACTCTGTTGAGTGCTCTAAGCGTGACGAGCTCCCCGACATCACCTTCACCCTTGCTGGCTACAACTTCAGCATCTCCGCCTACGACTATGTCCTCGAGGTCTCTGGCAGCTGCATCTCTACCTTCCAGGGCATGGATTTCCCCGAGCCGGTCGGCCCTCTCGTTATTCTGGGAGACGCCTTCCTCCGCCGGTGGTACTCTGTTTACGACCTCGGCAAGAACGCCGTTGGTCTGGCCAAGGCTAAGAAATAAACGCCTACTCATTACCCCTTTCCTTGAGAATACGTCGACTACTTGAACATTCATATTCAGGTGCGGCTGTAATGTATCTGCTTCGGTAGCTAGTCTGGACACCAGTGTGAGAATACCACTAGTAGCATTTTCATTTGCGATTGATATCTTTGATGGTGAGGCTTGTGACTTGAAAGTAGCGACACTGTCTGCTTGGTATAATAAATATGCTTTAAAATAGTGAAAAATTGCAATGAACTGTGAGAGACGGCAGATGTGTTGGAGACGATCCCAAAAATGTACTCTTATTTGCACATTATCATACAGTGTAAACCTCATCCGTGCCACTAGGCAAGCTGCACACTTCAAGACTCTTGATGTAGAAACCCCTTTTGAGATACGACCATGGTTTCATCAAACCTTGTTCTATAGGTTTGGTGCAACAGCAAAGTAAAGCATGGCACCCAGTAGTGTTCCCCGACCAACGAGAGGTATCATGGCAAGGCACCGTGGGTCCTACTCAGTCCGAAGTTAGTCCCACGCCATCACGTGAATGGCCCACTAAATCTGGCCAATGGAATACCGTTCTCCCTCAGCGCCATCTTAGTTTTCGAACAAGACAGGTAGGTGCACACTCTCCCAGTCGCAGCCTCCCAACAACACCCAGGGAATTGCTCCAAGAGCGCTTGCAAGGCAAAAAAAAAAACCGTAAAACGGCGACTTTGATGGACACTGGTCAAGGTACGGGTCACGTTGCTTGCCTTTGATTGTGTTCTTGGATGAAAAGGCTCCCCCGAACGCCTGGCTACGCGACGCTTGACGAAAAAAAAGGTTTCCAGGTTTGGAGTTCCACCAAGACGACCGACCGACGAACCTCGCGCGTCGCGACAATCCGCCCTCCACCGGGCTACCTGCCACCCCCGTCGCTCCGCGCAACATCGACGGTCACAAACGCCCAACACGCTCTAGCACCGCGACAATCCCGACCGACGACAATATCACCATTCACGACGCACGACGACGCTTTTCACAATGGCGCAGCCGGATTCGGTCCAGGCAAACGGCATCCCTGGACCGGACCACGCTGAGTCCCCTCAACCCGTTGTCCCTGTCAAGAGGAAGCGCGACACCGACGACGATGGCGAGGAGATCAGCACCGATGGACCCGAGAAGATGGATGTCGACGGCGAATTGCCAAAAGAGGACCACAAACCCCTCATCAAGGACTATTTTACCGTTCTGAGCAGGTACGAATGCCGCGCCCTTCTGCGCACGCCTACTCTTCCCATCTCCTTTCCAAGCGCGGTTGTATTGACTTGCAATCCCCAGTTTCGATGCAAATCCATCAATCCTGAAGCGTCGCCTTCCCGAGCCCGAGTCTGAGCAGCCCGATGCGAAACGCCAAAAGTCCGCCGATAGCCCTGTTTCCATCGCCGATAAGGTCACTCGTGACGCCTACTCGCATGTCGATGAACTTGCAGCAGACCTCGTCGAAGCTGTCAAGGATCAACTCCGAGAACTTCAATCAGCCAATGCTGAGAAGGAGAAGGAGGATATCGATGGCGTCGCTGTAGCACAAACCAAGAAGTTCAAGAACAAGGCCATGGACCTACTTCGACGGGAGATATCCTACCCGCGCAGCAGTGTCAATACCACCAACATCAAACCCGATGTGGAATCTGCCATGGGCAATGAAGTGCTTACGGTTTTCGGCAACGCCCCTCATGGCAAACAACTGTTTTCTAGTTTGCCGAAGAAGGCCTCGGGCAAGGAGAGTTCAACTGCAATGGTATCAGCCTTGGAACTGCCACCGGGTGTGTCTACTTCCTACATTGTTCCGTCGCGACAAAACGAGAGAACAGCGACTCTTGGAGAACTTTTCTCTTCTAGCCGACCTCTTCCTCCTCTGCAGCCGCCGAAGCAACCGAAGCCGGTGGCCAAGGGAAACGTACTCGGGTTTTATCATCCTGAGCCGGCACAAAAGTCCAAGTACTTCAACGATTCGTATTCGAGCAAGAAGTTGGCGGTTGGCTACTACTTGGACTACACCAACGCAGCACCCTCATCTAAGAGCAAGACGAGACAACGTGAACGAGCACAAAGCTTGGCCGGCCACAGACCATCATCTACTGAACTGGAGGTCAATGAGATGGAGTCGCTATTCCGCAGCGCGTTTTCCAGCTTTGCTCCCTGCAGAGATGACTCGGGTTCTGTCATTCCATCCAGTCATGCCGGTCGCATGTACTGGCAGCTCACTGGTCAGCGGAACTTCAACCGGATGGTTGAGTCCGAGCTGCAGGAAACCGACGAAGACGCGATCGAGAAGCCTGTCGAGAAAGACGTTGAGACCGGACAAGTTGATGAAGAGTTCGTCAACGAGGCCATTGAAAAGTGGGATGAGTGGCTAGTGGACCCGGCCCTGCAAGACATGAATGATGTCCTTGCCAAGCCCAAGGACAAGGATCCTGCTGACAAGGAGGTCGATGACTTCCTTGACGAGGTCACTGACATGATAGAAACATTGCTATCGTACCAGCGCATCCGCAACCTTACGCTCCCATCATCTCAGAATCGCTACGCGGGCGATCCTGTCAATGGTGACCTGCTGTCTCATGGCGCTGTCTCGGCGCCGACGGAAGAGGAAACTGCGACATACGAGGCACTGAGAGCGCAACTGAGTCTGATCATCAACACCCTGCCCCCTTACGCGGTGGCAAGGCTCAACGGCGATCAACTCGAGCAGCTTCTTATCAGCACCAAGCTCGAGGTCCGCACAGATCAGTACAAGGGCGTAATGGAGGACGATGCTGCTTCTCAAGCCCGTATGCGTCAGCAGCAGAGCGTGGTCGCCGCCGCACCTCCGAACCGACCTGCCCCGCACCGCACGCCTAGCGCATCCACGCCGTATGGAAGCCAATATGGCTCCGGCCAGTACGGCACCCCCACAAGGACGCCGTCAATTGCGCCCTCCAATTATTACCGGCCTGGCCAGCAGCCGGCAATGCCCCCGCAGCAAGGCTCCGTTCCGCGACCTAGCGGTGTGCCCCACCAGATGTCTCATACACCACAGCCCCGTCCTGGCCAGCCAGGCAACTACCGGCCTACCAACGGATACACTAACTATGCGCAACATGTTGGAAAGGCCCAGACGCCATACGGCCACCAAGGCGTCCAGTACGGGTCTCAACAGAGACCTCCGCAGTACCCGGGCTATCCAGGAACACCTCAACACGGTACGCCCAACGCTCGTTACCAGCAGCCCTACCAGCAGTCTTTCCCGCAACAACCGACTACGCCGTCCCAGGGTTACGGAGGCTACTATCCTAATGGCGCCAACATGCAGCAACGGACCATGTCTCCCCAGATTCCAGCCGGTCAGTATCAATCGCCGACTCCACACCAGCAGCCGCGGTACTTCGGTTCGACTCCTCACCAAAACATGCCTGGCACTCCTCCAATCAACCGTCAGCAATATCCGAATGGTAGTCACCTCCCTCAGCAACCAATAAACTCTCTAACATCTGGATACAATGCAGCCGTCGCGAGGGCAGACCAGCAGCGCCTACATGCTGAGCAAGCGAGATACCGAGCCGCAGCGCAACAAACGAGTGCTGCTTTTGGAACCAAGATACAAGGGACACAGGAGGCCGCGATGCCCCAAATCCCCGGCGATGACCCCAGCTCCCAAGGATCTCCGTACAATGCGAATGTGAGAGCCCGCATGGCTGCTGGTGGTACCCCGAAACCCCAGAGTCCTGTAGGAAACGCCGGAAAGGCAACCAACGGCACTCCACCAATCCCTCACAAAGTGACACCGGTGCCCATACCGGTTATACCTCAACAGCAGCAAAGGAAGCCAGCCTAGCAGCCTGGCAATCCTTTTCGGTCGTCAACGGTGTCGCGCTTTGTCTCGGGTTTGCAGGGTACCGCGGGTGGTGTTGGGGTGTCCAACGGAGCCAGGGCATCGCCGTATGCCGTGTCTCCATCTCGAACTATTCGACACCCACAGTGATCGATTTCTGCAGGGTTTCGATGAACACCAATACCCTCTCACTCGGCCTTCCTGCAGCTCTCTTTCGCAAAAGTCTATTTCTATTTCTCAATGGTGTCTGAATAGCAAGGGAGCGATGTTATTTCGGAGTTGGTCAGACAGGAACCTTTTCTTCTAGTTGTGCCTACAAACAACCCTGGGGGCGGAATATTGTACCAATCGATACAAGAAGGTGGCCTAATGCATGATGGATGGACAGGCAAATGAGGATGCTGCTACACTCTAGATCCATTTCGGGTCTATACAGTGTCCCCTGATATTTGGCGTTCTGGCCTCTGTGTTACTAGAATTCTTGGAGGAGAGTCACGGCTCATAGATGATCGCCGGAAGGGCGTCTTTGGGGGTTGTCGAGATGGTGGTTCAGCGCAATTGATGCCGTTGCTGCATCATTCAAGGGTCCTTTCTTTCTTCCTTTACTTTTCTGTTCACATGCACAAAGGGGGGTGTGGGGTCTGCAGCGGGTGAGAGATGGACCACGGGATTGCTGTGTTTTTTTGTTTTTTTGTTGCGCCTACCTCGGGGAAGGGAAAAAGGCTTTGGCTCAAGTGTATAGAGTGTCTGAGGTGAGCTAAGCACTTTGCATCTTAATCAGAAACAACGGCATTCACGTTATCGAGTTGTGTGGATTACTTTCGTTTATACGTGATGTCATTGCGGGTAAGATGGATAGTCAACCTAATCTCTTGGCCTGAAGCTTTGGCGACAGCTTATGCGGCTTGGTACCCATGACAGCTCTGCCCAAGACCCCTTCCATTAAGGGTCCAAACCCCCGTCTCGTTCGTCTCGTCTGAATTCGGCATTCCGACGGCCGACCTTGGAGCTTAAATCAGGGGTTCTACGGGCTAGCTCCTTCCAGGCAGAGTTTGGCCGATTCCTGAAATCAAGCCCCCCCACCTTCCAGAGGAGTTGGGGTTGGGGTAAGGTAGTCGAGAAGTTCGCTCCATCGACTGCACTAAGACGGAGACGCGATAAGCCGCGAGGTTAAGTTTAGTTCGCAACGTGCAGACGGGGAGGCATGAGCTCTATTTTGACGACGGGCATGCCTTCTTGATGTGAATGACTACGGCAGCTGGTCATTTGCTACAGATGCCAGTACAGTCCGACTCTGTCAGGTTTCAGGTTCATTCTACACAACTGGAGGGCACCCAAACGGCATAATCGTGTACTGAGACAAGCTATTGATTACTGGTTTCCAACTTGCTTTATGTTTGCATTTCCAAAAACGGTCCCAGACACGGTTCTGGCCCTTCGCCTGTTTGTCTCTGTTGGCTTCTCGACCAATTGCTTCCGCTTCTTTAACAGTGTAACTGTTGTGATACAGGCACCCTACCTCATTGGACAATAGAATGTTTGCATTCGAAAAATACTTTAATGGAATACAGTGGTTACACTAGACTTGAACATAGAGTCTGGGGTTGCGGTGTCAGACGTTATTTCTGCCACCATTTCGGCTCAGATAAAAGTCAAGTGTAGAAGTTTAGCGCATATGGTGTGGCACATGAAGAGGGTACAGGGACTAATATCAAAAGTAGGAGTGGCAGACGCGAACCTCCACGTTCTCGGGGCTCGTTATAGGACATAACAGGCTTCTTGCTAGCCAAAGACTTGGAAAGACATTGTCGTCGCTCAGGCCTTGTTCTTTGCGAACAAAATCTTCAACATCGGTAAGTCACCAACCAAAAATGACTTCCTCGGAGCGAGACATGTCGTGTTGACGTCTACACTAGTAGCCTTCGAAGGAAAACGAAAATCACGCGTGGGCTGCCACTAAGGCTTCGAGTCTCGTCTCCACGAGCGAACGCTGAACTTTGCTTGTTTAACATTCTTTCTCGGGGTTGGGAATATGCCTCTATGGCCCAAGATTTTTATTGCACATTGATGAAATGTTCAAAACCAAGAAGAAAATGACCTTGCTACCTTCCCCTTCCATTCTCTGATTCCACATGAACCTCGAAGACTTCATCCAACTTTCCCCTCTTCAATTCTCGGTTCTTTTCTCTCAGGGCTTTTGTAGTGGGCTCGTTCTCGATGTTATGGAAGCGACATTTAAGCCCCTCGAAGAGATTAGATGGGTGGCCATGCAGACCCGAGAAGAAACCTCTGGTATGCGTGATTGAGGCCCTAGACGGGGTGTGTTCTGGGCCTAGGCGGAGGGTGAGCGCGACCGGAGCAGAAAGGTAAAGCTGCAGGCGGCGAATGTTTTCGAACAGATAGTGATTGGAATCCCTGATAAGAGCCATTCATAGTCGGAGGGAGCCAAGGCGTCATAGGCTTGGGAGGAAGAAGTTTGAATATATTGCGCTCAGATGGACTGGGTCTTTCATGGAGTATAGGCATATAGCAAAATTTATCAGTAAATGGCCCGGGATATCAGAGACCCATCATAGCCCGTATACAAGTAGCGTATCGTTTTGCTCAAGAAAGGGTTCAAGCATTTCTTCCTTTCAATCATTTCTGGCCACTTAGTTTGGGCGTTGGACATCTTCACAAATAAATGTAACACTCACCAACGTTACTTGCTCGACCGTTGGAGCTGCGAAGTCTCTCTTAGAATCTTGCTCCTTCTCTGCCAACTTGCGGGATCTTGTCTGCTTCATCTTTTAGACTGAGAAGGAAGTACGAGAGGTGATCTTTCTGTTGCAACGCATCCACCATCCAACTCAAGGGTATAATAACCCAATATCTCTCATACTTCGATAGCCCAACTTCTCTCCAATACATCACCAACAAAAACTATCAACCAGCCTCAATCTCCTCGCCTCACCCAGCATTTCCCATACAGAAGGGCAGAGCAAGATGAGTGGTATCAACTTGAGCCACCTTCTCACGTCTGGTGAATACAGCGATTTGACCATCATTGCTTCCGGCGTCCACTTCAAAGTTCATCGTTGCATCGTCTTCTCGCAATGTGAGGCCTGGAAGAACTTGGCAGGAGAGGTAAGTGTCAGAAAACCAACAGAAAGAGAAGCCAACACCAAATACGCAGCCATACTAACAGTTCGGAACAATAAGAATAGGCAACTCGTTCTTCAAGGCTTTAGTTTGATCGAAGCAATTTTGCAGTACATGTACTCCGGTACATACGTAACCGAAAATATCCGTTGTCATGTTAAGAAGCCAACCCAAACTGGCGGTGATAGTGGCAAGACGGACAAGTCTTCGGCAGTCGCAAACGACTCTCAAGATCATCTTAGTTCCCATGGCTCGGACAAATTGAGTTACGAAGATCACAGTATGCTACTCTCAGCTTGCGTAATGATCGACGCCAAGAAGTTTAAGATGAAGGACCTTGAGATCCAGGCAAAAAACGCCCTGGTTGCCGTCGCACCGAGTCTTACAGAGCATGCCGATTTTATCTTCACCATCGAACACATCCTTAAACATTACCAAGACCACGAAGGTCTCGACATCGTGCTGCGGATGATCAGGCCCAAATTTCTCAAGAGCTTAGGTATGCGAAGAAGATTGCAGGCGGTCATGAAGTCCCATCCTCAACTTGCGATGGAGCTTATAGAGCCACTTGTATTGGAGCTCGACAAGCGGGAGATGGGCCATACGCACACTGCTCAAGACCAACATACCATGATCAAACGGGACTATGCTGGTTCTTCTACGGCGGTTGCTGGCCCTCAACCCGCCTCCATTCAGCAGGAAAGTAAGCGACCAAACGAAGAAGAGTTGGAAAAGCCGGAGAATAAAATCAGGCGCACCGGAAATTGAGCCGCAGTCTTTACTGAACGCAAATTGGACGAGAAGACCCGTCGACCGAGATTCCGTTTAGGGAGAGGGGAGATAGTATGCATTTACCAGCGCATTAAATCTGCTTCGTCATCTATCAATCAATGATAATTGACCTAGAATGGCTTGAGAGAAGGATAGCGATGAAATCTCGGAGAGAGCGGTTAGGGGTCATATGCTGCGTTGATTGCGCGAAAGGAGCGCCGGAGCCAGGATAATCGGTCTGGGTCGGAATGGCCTGCATTTTACCGATAACTTCGGTGTATTGCTGGGTGCGTCCTTCCTGACATATATACATACATACATACTGCTGCTTCGCAACTCACCAGTGCCCGCACGAGTATTTATTTCAGTGTTCTTGCTTTTGCTTGCTACTGGGTATCTTTCCAAGTCTACAACGGCTCTCTATCCCTTTTTGTTTATATATACACAACGTGCCAGATGCCCCCCAGCCTTGTTACAACACCATCATCTTGTCTTGCAACTCCCCCAACTTCGAGCGACGTCTTCATATCTCTCGGTTCCCAACAACTGGTGCTCTTGCTTCAGCTGCTCTTGTCCCGAAGCCGCTGCTAGCTTGATAACTTCGTGCAGATTCTGATGATTGCCCCATTCATCGCCCTCTATGTACTGTTCAACTTCTTGGTTGGTAGGCCAGTGCACTGGTCCCCCCTCCTCACTGTGCATTTCAAGCTCCTCGCGCAAAGAGGCCACTATGCTCTCGTCAAGCAATGGTTCTGCAAAGGCCCGGAACACGATGACTGCCCTAGAAAGACGCCTCGCGTCGGCAAGAGACAAGTCGCCGGCGGCCGTGGGGGCCCAGTCTCGCACAACCCAGCACAGAAGCAGAACCATTTCCTCGAGATCGCCAATAGCCGCGAGTGTGCGCATGTAGCCATTGATGTGGGAAGCTGTCACGCGTGGATCGACATAAGGCTGTCGTGCCGAGGCTTTGGTGGACAGCACTCTCCAGGCAGCTCTCAATCTTTCCGATGCTTCCTGGACGATATTGCAAGGCGTCTGGAGCTTGTCCCGCTCTTGGCGGCTCTGGAAAACCGGTGTGAGTATCTGTCGCCATGAGCCGGAAACGTCATTGGCCGAGTCGGCTTTCCGGAAGACGTGGGGACCGTTTGGTATCCCCAACTCTGTGCTCTGTGCCTGATAGAGTGACATAAACTCTTCGTCCTCCGGAAGAATAGTAGAAGTGGACGAAGCACGCTCAAGTAAGATGGGAAGTCTTGAATAGACAGCCTTGCGTACTGCCTGGGCAAATGAATCAAACATGCTCAAGCTGAGCGCGCTATGCTCCTCAGCCTTCTCCAGGACTTTGAGGGCCATGTTCATAACCTCAATGTCGTTGTCTCGTGGAACATTGTTGCTAACCATGATGTTCGGCCTGCCCAAGGCAAGCATGATAGATTCCCACGGTGCTCTCCCAGAGGCGTGAGCAGATTTCCATCCGGTTTGCGCAAGTCGGAGAGCGTGATGTATGGGGTAGAGCTTATAGTTGGGGAGCGAGTCGGGGGTATTTGCCGTTCGGTTGGGCTGTAGCCGACAAACAAAGTCGATAACAGCATGCAAAATATCGCGAGGTAAGTTGGTGGGCGGAGGGAGCTTGGTGGACGGGTTTGACGGGGGCCTCTGGTACTCTTTCAGGCACCACCTAAGGTTGCTCTTGAGTGTTTCGTCCAAGCTACTGTGGTTGGTATACTCCAGAGCAGTCTCGATGTTGGGGGCCTGCCTAAGGAGCCAAGCCAACGTCCGTCCCCGGATGGCCACGCCGGCGTTGGACATCTCCTCTATCAACTTGGGTATGCTGGGTGGGGTTGTCCGCGCTTTCTCGAAGTCGCTAAAGTTCCTGTCGTTGAAAGGGAAGACTTCTCTCCCATCCCCGGGAAGATTATGGTGACCAGGATCAGCAGGCTCCGCTGCGAGCTTCACCATCAATTCCCAGTAAACGTCGAACGTTGGTCTCATCCCAGGTTCAGGGGGGTTTTTGAATAACGCCCAGGCTTCTTGGGCGTTCCGAGTTGTCCGAATCAACGCTGCCCACGTGCCCTGCTCAACACGCAAATAGCGCGGGTAGTTGGCCCTCGTTTGAATTGTCGGTGAGCCATCAGGAGCCATGCCTCCCAAGACGTCCGTGGTCAAATCAATTTCCTTCTTGCTGTAGCCCCCCTCTTGCATCATGAAACCAGCCTTGACAACTCTACTGAGGTATTCTTGAGTGTCTGCCTTTTCTTCCATGCCGTCTCGCAATATTCGGTAGGGGGGCCACGAGCTGGAAAGAGTGCTAGCTGTATCTCGTTCCGAGGCTGTCTTCGGCAACGCAAGCAAGACTTGCCTGATTGCCCGATAACTTTCTTCCTCGATGATGAGCGGACGCTCTAAGCTGGACGACAGCGAGAGAAGAATTGTAATTGCCCTCCAGTTGTGAGACACATGCCCATATGGCGACATTTTCGATAGAAGCGATATAGCTTGTAGAGCACCGTTGAACACCTGACACTGAAGCTTGTATGCCTTGCCTGGATGTTGACAGCTTTGTGGTATACCCTTGATATATGCCACTGAAAAATCTGCTATATCCGGTAAGGCGTCAGGCTGAAGTCTGCTTGCATGGTGACAAAGACTCTCAACCACCCTATTGAACATTGACGGGGTCATTGCAGAGTACAGAACGGATGCCTCCACAGCATCACTCCCTACTTGTCGACTCGAGTACCATTCTCTGCAGTATTCCAAGAGTCCTCTGAAGGAGTCAGGGCTCAACAGTTGTGTGTCTCTGAGAAGATGGAACAGAATGAATGGCGGTTTGTGACACGGTCTGCTCAGAAACCTGACAACTCTCTTATCCGGCTCGCGCGGAACGAGAGTCCAAGCCCAATGCGATACATCCTCCGCTGTGAACCCCTTGCCCGACAAGCGGCTCAAGATCGCTGCCCATTCGTCATTGCTGCATAACAAGTCTGCGATTCTTGGATCCAATTGGGGTGTCCCGCGTAGGATCTGTTGCGCGGTGATGACGCTGAGCTGGGTGCTACTATTCCGCGCGAGTGATCGAAGGCTGGCAAGTCTCGGCTCGTAAAGGGGTTCGGCAGGAGAGCGATAGAGGTTCAAAGCGTAGGTGAGGAGTAGGTGGGAGGATGTGTTGAGGCGCCCGTTCGTGATTGGGCTTGGTTTGGGAAGAGGTTCGGATTGTTGATACGAAGCAGAGCTACGATCGATCACATCGAGTGTTTGCCAGAAAGGTGGCTTTTGAACAACGGCTACAGCCTGACTGGACCGATGTTCATGGCGCCGCGAATACTAGTCGAGGGTAGGCCCTTGTTAGAGCTGAGGATGGAGAGCTTCTGTATGGGAATATACTCACTGCTTGCCGGTTAGGAGCAAACACCCATCGGCCCCTGGTCAGGACAGTAGTGTGTGATCTAGAAATGGGCGGCAGCCGCATCGCCCCATCTTCGCTAGCAAAACTTCAGAATCCCAGGATTGAGATGCTTTGTGTCTGGATAGCTGGGGAGCTTGATGAACGTTAGCAAAAAAGAGGCCCGGGATTGGTCGCGAACGCGGGAAACTTTCCGCAGCGTCACGTCACGTGCGATAAGAAAGCTCCAGCCGATAAGAAGGAAGTCCCGTCCCTTGTCCTCCATGCCACTCTGAAAGCAAACGGTTGCACAGTTGCAGTTGCGAGACAAAGTTGTTTCTTAGCCACAGATTTTCTCTTTTTCCGTGTTCGAAACAGGAATGCACCTGTTCAATGGCGTTTGAAGTCTCAATATGCGCCCCTGCCAGTTTAAGATAGCGTCATCGCTCAGCCGTGGCTTGCACACTGCCCGATTCACTCCTCGTCCGCATCGATATTTCCACATCACGACCCCGGCAAGTCTGCCTCGAAAGCGCACTTTCTTCACTTCCAATGTCTACCTTTCCCAGAGCACCGGCGAGCCCTCGGCGAGGCAATCAAAGTACGAAAACGACGAGTCACCTCTGCCTGCGCCACCCAAGCGCAAAGGCGTCCGTTCAGCAGGCGCAAAGAACTCCCTTCGCCGAGTAGCGATCATAGCCCAACGACCGGCACAACGAGATGCGGAAGTCGCGTCGACAGAGTCGGTGGATGCAACCGCCTCAACTTTAATCAGCGCTGTGTGTGTCGCTGAGGCTTTCGACATGGGAGCAGTTTTGGATATCCTTCGGGCGCATGGGTTCGACATCGATCCGGACCAGAGTGGCTTCGAAGCGAGCGAGGTGGTCCACGCCCGAGGCGTCAATGGTGGAGACATCTTTGTGTTTCCCTCCGGGACAATTGTCACTTGGGCCCTACCCCCTGACGTCGTCACGAAGCAGCTGTTGAGTGCGGCGGAAACACTGTTGAAGCCAGCCCTTCGAGAGGTCGAGGACCTGGAGTACGTTTCCGACCCGAACAAGGAGACGAGCGGCATGAAGGGGGATATTGTGGTGTTGGGCACGAAGCTCGAGGAACGAGACGGCGATAGACTTGACACAACTCTGGCCAAGATTGCGTTCTCTTCCGGACTGGCCAGAAGCACGAAACTCGCAGTGCTCGAAAGCGCACTGACAGCATACTTTGAGAGTACGAGGAAGATCCCTTCGCTGTTGTCCAAAGGCTCCGGGCTGCCTTTGGGCAGAAAGTTCATCTTGCAGAAGACGGGCGAGCTGCTGAGCCTTCGCGCAAGGCTCAACCACTACTCGGAGCTGACGGACTCCCTCCCCGACATCTTCTGGGACAGCCGATCTGAACTGGGCCTGGAAGGGTACTACGAACAGGTTGGACGGGCATTGGACGTTAATGTCCGAATCCGAACGCTGAACCAGAAGATGGACTACGCGCAAGAGATTGCCAGCGTGCTCCGAGAGATGTCGAGTGAGCAGCACAGTACGAGGCTAGAGTGGATCATCATCATTCTCATTGCCGTTGAGGTCGTCTTTGAGGTGAGGAGGATTGTGCTCGAGTATAAAGAAGAAAATCAGGCCGAGGCGGTGGAAGCATAGGCAAAAATCTGTCGAGAAGAGACAGGCGGGAAACTAGGCAACATCAACGGGCGTTGTTGAACTTTGATAAAGATACCCAACTCATTGCAATTTGAAGCATCTCCAAGGCACACATCCTTCTTCGAATCCGGTGGCGCCAGTGCATTGCCTGTTTTGAGCCCGGTGTTTCTCGTTGTCAATTCTGAATTGATCGCTGTACCCGCCTGAATCGCAACATCGTTCAATATAAAAAACGAATCCCGTTCTGTTGCTCAACTCTCTGAAGTTAAGAGTACAGATGGTTAAGTCAAGTCAATGCATTTGTGTACCTTACGGTAGTTGATGCAAAGGACCCTTGGAGTTCTGGCAGGCACGCTAAGACTCATTGGCCAATGCTGCTGCAGGAACGGTTGCTAGCCGCGCTGGGGGCCGCCTTCCAAGGTAGCTAGCTTCATTGGTCTTTCCCAGTCCTGCAAGAGAACTAAAGGTGCGTCGGGGGTTCCTTCCCGTTTAGTTTGCAACCCACTTACATAGTACTTCCTCTGCCTACCTTATAACCCAGCACCTATTTGACCGGCGGCCAGTCTCTCAACACCAAACAAACGGAACGCACTATATGCATCAATTCGCCTCTGACAACTCGTCCTTGGCCGGGCCGTCTTCCTCACCTTTCCTTCTTAACCTCCGCTCTTACCATACTTACCCCGAAAATCAAAGCGCGTCGGAACAGAACTGGCTTCGCGACGCGCTTTTCAAGGCAATATTATCACTTACCCACAGCCGCAACAGCACATTGTTCACTCTTCAGTCTTCTAGACGTCTCCTTCATTTCTTCGAGAAATCATCTCATAAACACAGTCCCGGCTCCTTAGGCCAAGGCGTGTGGGAGCGGCGCCTTGCTTGTTGGTCTTGCCCGAATAACCAGCTTGTGGCGCGTGCACACTCGACTCGTACCTGCCTCAAACCACCTCAGTCACTTACACACTCAATGCTTCCTTACAGTCAAAGCTCGTGAAAATAAACAATACCATACGCCATTGAGACTCAAAAGGCCAATGTCATGCACCGCAACCGGTATGTTCCTTCCGCTTTTCCTAGAACACCATCCATCTCATTAACATTCTCAGTTAGGCAAGATGGACAACCTTAACGACGGCCTTCCCTTCGGCTGGGAGGACGCTGAATTCTTGCTGGCTACTGAATCAGACAATTGGGCGGGTTTCCAGACCGATTTCAGTGAGAATTGGGCAGCTGATCATGATCTGTCTGATGATGAAAACCGCATTACGCGGCAAGTATTGCAAACACCTACGACTTACATCGCCGAGGACTCACCAACGTCAGAATCACCCGAGCTCCGAGAAGTCGTTCAACCTGAAGCCCCTCTTTATGAACAGGCAGCCTGGGATGAAGATGGAGTGGAAGTTGGAACTATTCTTCCTGCTGCGCCCATCAACTCGGTGAATCGCATATCTGTCGACATACCCACAAGTACTCTTGTTGTGCCCCGGTACCTCTACCAAGGCGAGGAGCCTCCTGCCGAGCTGGCAAGAGAGTGGGCTGCCGTTCAGTCCTTACTGGAAGAACACCGGCGCGTTCACAATGAGGATGATGGCGACTACATCGAGTTTGATTTGGACCAATTCGCTGTGTATATCAACGCCACTACACCGGAGGGCAAGCGTTATGAAGAGCAACCACACCCCTCTGAGATGCGGCCGCTCCAACATCTCGGAGTCCGGTCCAACTGCTACCGGATGTTTGTGGACGGCATTTTGTCAGTGGGAGACAAGCGCTTTTTCATAAGAGGTGTACCTTTTGAGCAACTTCCGATTGGCACCTACGGGTTATCTGAATCGACTGTCGGCTCTGAAATCTGGATACGCTCACGCCTAAATGTCACGGTCGCCAGCGGCCAAGGCCCCGACATCTATTACCGCCTAAAAAATCCTTCGACGGAGTATCGACGCTACTACACCGGATTCTTATGGGTCGCCGACTTGACCAAGCATGTCGTCGATTACCTTTCCGCAGCCCTGGACAAGAAAAGACGAGTCGTCTTCCGAGATTTTCGCTCTGACTTCAATGGATGGCTAATGAAAAAGCATGGAGACTCTGAGGCCTTTTCTTTATGGCGAAAACAATATCGGAGAACAGACTTCTGCAGCGCAGTAGTTGCGAACCTAGAGTTCATCTACAAGGAGGCTTCTGGTGTTCTTGGATACAACAAAGTGGGATCAATCTACCTATGGAAGGAGATCCGCGAATTCACGGCGTACTTAGACGGCGAAAAGAAGGACCTCTCTGCGCCGACGAGCGGCATTTCTACTCCTTTGGCCTCTCCCTCATCCACCCCGAGCAAGCAAAAGCCGGCACATATCCCAAAGACAGTGGTAACGCCATATGTCGACCAGTTATTCAATCACCTGCCATGTGGTTCGATGATGGAAGCGCTTAGCCCGAGTTCTAAAACAGAGAGGTTGCGCCGAGACGTAATCAGCGTCAATCGACTTGAGCCATCTCTGAATGTACACACGTCGGCCAAGAACTTGGTCGGAAAACCCACCCTAACGTCTATTAAAGTTGGCGACGTAATTTCTATAACCAGAGACGGCGATAACAGCAATTGGGCAAGGGAAGTCGCTGCCGGTTTTGATGACGTCGACCGATGGTTTGGACTCGTACAAAAAGTTCACAGGCGCGATAATGACGAGAAAAGCTTCGACATTATCTGGATATATCGCCCTGTCGACACGATCTGCGGCAACATGAGATACCCTTGGAATAATGAGCTCTTCGTCTCAGATCACTGTTCTTGCAATGACTCAGCCCATGCAAAGATCAAAGAAGAGGAAGTGCTGGCTGTGCATAGGGTTGACTGGGGCGGTTCGTCTACCACCGATGCCGAATTTTTCTGCCGGCAGACTTACCTCCACGAGGAACGACGTTTCATAACCTTCCATAGAACTCATCTCTTTTGCATGCATAGTCAGGCAAAAGAGCAGAAATTTGCGTACAAGATTGGAGATACGCTTCTTGTTCGCCTAAAGAACTTGGATAACGTCGTCGAGCCATGCGAATTGGTGGAATTTTGCGACTCGGAATTTGCTTTATTCCGACTTTTACGCAGGAGACATCATCTAAACAACGCAAACGAACAGGTGCTTCCAAACGAACTTGTTTACAGCGACGAACTGTTGACACTTAGGGTCAAGAATATCCATGGAAAGTGTCTCGTTAGAATCTTTCGACCAGACGAAACCATTCCCGCCCCTTATGACCGAAAAGGCGTAGGGAATGTGTTTTTCATCAGATACCGCTGGCAGTCTGGACAACTGGTTGCTTTCGAAGACGGCTTCTCATCGCTGAGACAAGGCTTCAACCCGGCGAAGTCGTTTCGTAAGCTTCGTGGCGTTGACCTTTTCTGTGGAGGCGGTAACTTTGGCCGTGGCCTTGAGGAAGGCGGCGCAATCGAGATGAGCTGGGCGAACGACATCAACGTGCGAGCTATTCATACATACATGGCGAACACAACAAACACCGTTCGTCCCTTTGCAGGCTCTATCGATGACATGCAGAGACTCGCGCTTCAGGGCAAGTTCAGCGATAAGGTGCCGCCTATTGGGTCGGTCGACTTTGTGTCTGGGGGAAGCCCTTGCCCGGGCTTCTCTGTTTTGACAGTTGATAAAACTGCCCCTGAGCAGCGAAAGAACCAGTCTCTTGTGGCTGCTTTTGCGTCTTTCATAGACATTTATCGACCAAAATTTGGGTTGCTCGAGAACGTCATGGAGATCGTGCAGTCCAAGACCAGGCGAAACGAGGACGTATTTTGCCAACTGATCTGTGCCATCGTCGGTCTTGGTTACCAAGCTCACTTCTTCCTGCTAGATGCTTGGACGTACGGATCGCCTCAGAGTCGCAGTCGCGTCTTCTTGTGCTTCGCCGCGCCAGGCTTCAAGCTCCCCGAAATACCGATCCAGTCACATTCTCACTACATGCCAGTCACGCGCAGTAGGAACCTCGGTTGGCTTCCCAACGGCGAGTCAATGGTCAAGCGTCTCGTCATGCCGACACCTTTCAAGTTCGTCAGCGTCGCCGAGGCCACGGCGGATCTGCCAGACATAATGGATGGCAAGGCAGACTGCTGTGTGAACTTCCCTGACCACCGAACGGTGTCCAGCGTTACAAGGTCTATGAGAGCGCAGCTCGGCGTGATTCCAATGCACCCTTACGGCATGAATTTCTGCACGACGTGGAATGATGGCAAGGGCATCATGACGGCAGCTGAGAGAGATTTCTTTCCCAAGAGAGGATCAAGGGTCATTTCGGGTTCTCGGTCTTGGGGCCGCGCTATTCCGCACAATGTTATGCCAACAGTCACCACGACGCCATCGCCAACGGACACGCGCATCGGCCGTATTATGCATTGGAGCCAGAATCGTGTTTTCAGCGTCATGGAAGTCCGGCGTGCTCAAGGTTTCCTCGATCACGAGGTGCTCTTAGGACAGCCGAGGGACCAGTGGAAAATGGTTGGGAATAGCGTCTCTCGAGAGGTCTCGTTGGCTCTGGGTCTCTCATTCCGAGAGGCGTGGCTTGGATCCTTGATCGATGGCGAGGAGGTTGAGCCCGCCATTCGCGTTCCCCTACAGTCGTCACAGACGGTGGCCGGGGATATTAATGACGACTCTGAGGGCACCGTGGAGGCAGAAACGCCTCCTTCTGCAAGTTCAGGCAAAAGAGCCTCCGATTCATATTCGCCGCGGCCTCAAAAGAGAAAGATGAAAAGTTCGTTTGTCATTGAGTTGGTGGTTTCGAGGATCAAAAAGACGCAACAGACCCAGATGGCGCCAGGGACAGGAGAAAGTCTAGAGGATAACGAACCTCCGGAAGCTACATCGGCATCAAACTCGTCGAGTTCGAGTATCGAGATCATTGAGCTGGATTAGGAGAGGGAGAGGAAGGAAGCCTTTCATCAAAAGAAATAGACTCTGCGCAACCATTAGAGACAGCGGTAAGAGTTCGTGGGTTTGAAGACGAACCATACGGCGGCATCTGCACACATGGAGATATTGCATAGATGTGCATAGGACGCTATGGATGACATGCATAGCGAGGCGTCCATTACATAAAATGGCGAAAGAAGATAGACCACACAATACCACCTTGATCAAGACTTAGCTAATATCTACGTGATTTACCTGTGTGTCAGTTGGCCTGGCCTCATTTGGCAGCAGGTGTTCATATCACACGAAGGAAGCGGACTGTTGCGGTAGAACTCTGGTTTGGATGTGTATCAAGTGTGCTAAATAACAAGCAAAAAAACAACGCTATTTTCCCAATCCCTAAATTATGTGGTTTACGGCGGCGGCAATATGTAAGATCTCGTCTCGCCGCCAACAGATATTAAGTATTTCTTCTCTACACTCGGGCTGCTTCCCATCAAGCCTACTCTTCGGCCGATGCTCAGTCTTTCGTCACGGTGACTGTAACGGTCTCCCGCTCCTTCTGCGTGACCGTCACAAAGACCGTCAAGATGGGCGTGCCCTGCGGGACGCCCATACCGGGCGGCAGGCCCGCCGAGGTCGTGGGGCTGGACTTTCCTGTCAGCGAGGAGTGGGTGCCGGCGACAATGGTTGCGGGCGGCTCGCTGGGTTCGTCTGTGGGGATCGGGTTGACGATCAGGGTGTCTGTAAACGTCCCTGTCGGGGTGGCGGGGGTGCTGGCTGGCGTTGCGGAGGGTGTAGATTTTGGGGAGGTCGTTTGTTGAGTTGTCGTCTCCTCGGCGGTCGAAGTGCGCGTGCGCCGGCGAGATGTAGATGTTGTAGAAGGCTCTTCCTCCGCCGCTGTGGATGAGGGCGCAGGGACAGGTTCCATGGTCTTGGTGACGACAACGGTGGTGGTGAATCCCGGAGCCTGGGCTGCAGAGCTCGTCTCTGGACTTGCAGATGGGCTTACGGAGACCGTGTAAGTCGCGATGACAGTAGGCGTAATTGTCATGGTAACTTCCGACGCGATCTCAGACGCAGGTGGAGCTTGCGCCGGACTGGTCGACGACCCCGGAACAGGGGCAGATACCGGCGTACCCAAGATCCCACTCGCTACTTTGGGGTCATAGCACCCGACAATGACGCCCTCGGTCGTGTTCATCGGCAACGCGAAGCACGATGTTCCCGTTCCGCAGGACTGGACCGCGAACGCGCCACTGGAGCCGCAGATGCCGACGTTGCCCTTGATACAGGCGATCTGGCCGGCAGTACAGGCGGATTGCTCAGTAAGGGAGGCGAAGAGGCTGTTGAAGGTTTTTGCGGAAGCGAGGTTGTTGGCGGCGACTTCGGGGGAGACGGTGGCCGAGGCGGCAGGGGTGGAAGTGCGGATCGTGGGGACTTGGTTGTTAGGCGTTCCTGTGACCTGGAGTTTGGACGAGGGCGTTGAGAGAGAGATGGTTGTAGAGTGTGTTGCTGGAGCCGAAGAAGGGCTCTCTGGCGAGGTTTGGACCGGAGATGTCGTGGTCGGTCCAGCACCGACGATGGTAGATGAGGCGGGAGGGGAGGACGCCCCGACGTTGGTAGTACTGGATAAGATAGGGGCAAGAGTAGAGGATGCTACAGGCTGTTCCACAATACTCGACGTCGCGGCCTTGGTCTCACCCGGAACGGGAAAAGAAAAAGACAGAGACGACTGCAGCAGTGTTGTCTGAGTAGAAGCAGAGGGGGCGCCTTCAACCGGTGTCGTATCAGGTGCGGAAGCGGAGGCGGTGTTGCCAGGATATAGAGAGGACCCGTTCTGGAAGCCAGACGTGAGGTGCGGCGGTAAAGAAATGGTGCTGAACGTGGGACGGAGCAAGACCGGACCTGAAGTTGTCGTCGGTATCGTCTGGGATTCCGGGGTCGACTGAGAGTCTGCCGTTGACTGGACCTGCGTTGTGGAAGGAATTTGGCGTTCTGGCGATGTTGCGGGCTGTGATGCGGCCGAACTACTGGTAGTCGTTTCGGATAGGGTCACGAAGATTGGGGTCGGTGTGGTTCCATCCTGTTCATCTTGCACCTTCACCGAGACGGCAGTGGTAGTGGTGTCTCTGTTTTTATGTCAGTATTATACTTGAGAGACGATGGAGAGAGTAGAGACATACGCTGTATCCGAGGCGATGCTCGATACTGCAGCGACACTGTTGGTAGAAACTGCACTAGAAGTGGTGTTCCAGTCCCCTCTGAAGCTGTGACGAGTGTTAGTACTAGAAGAATAGACCAGGGTGGACTTTACCGACAATCTCTCCGCACGTCTTACTGGGCCAGCCTGCGTGGTCTGAGTGATCAGGAGGAGCAGCAAGACGTCTGCTAAGCGAATGGTGGAAAGCATGTTGATGTGTAAAGCTAGAATACGACGTTTTGGGTGATGAGTGACTCGGGGTCACCCTCTACGCGCACTGGAGAAGGGTTTTATGAATATTATGGTATCCAGAAGACGCGCTGTGCTCGCACAAACAAAAGAGGGGTGTGGTCTCGCTCAGGAACAAGGGTAATGATCAGCAAAGGATCATGAACCGAGAAGAAAGAGTGAACAAAAGAGAAGGATTGAAAACGTGGAGAAAGAGACTGAAAGGCAAAACACAAGGAAAGAGAAAGAAAAGAGAACGAAGGAGAAAAGAGAGAGATCGACGTCGATATGACTAGACACACAGGGGAAGGGACTGAGTTGGTGGGTGACGGGGTTTCGACACTCGTCAGATGCAAAACATTTGCGGATGCAGGCCTCATCTTGTATGACTGGGTCTGAATAGAAGGTAAAGAAAACAGCTACCAAGGGTCTAGACCTTCTGGCCTTGTCGTGGCCCATTCGAGCGGCCGGGCTGTGAAGGCATTCGAAACACTTGGTCCGCGACTGGGCAAGGTTGGATGGAGCAGTTTAGATGAGGGCCCGGCAGCTTGGAAACGTCGTCATCCAATGCCTTTGCATCTGTTCCCCATATGGGAGCCAGGGATAAGCTATAGCTAATAGACTGGGCTTCCGGGTCACTGTGTTTGTTAGGTCTTGCCGGGGGTGAGAAGCCGTGGTCGCGACATCGGGTGGCAGCAGGCGGCGGAGAGGTTTGGTTAAGCGCCTCGCAGGACATTGATACGAAATCTCTTGATGAGAGACATGGCTAAAATGGGCGACAATGGAACCATTTTTTTGATGAGAAGGGGGTTCTTGGTTGTCCTGGGGTTGTATATTTGTGGCCTTGTTCAGTGTTTCTGGAGAGGTCGATTGCAGACGCGCGGGAAGCTATTATTGGCAGGCCAGGTCCCCCCTGTCCCGTTCCCGTTCAATGCCTGCCAATCAAGCGCACAGCGCTTACACCACCTGGGGCAAGTGGGGACACACGGGGGCACTTGGCTCAACTGTTCGCTGTGGCGGCCGTCTGTGCTTTTCCTTCTTTTCACCTCGTCTCGTCCATTTCTCATTAATAAACCCGCCAGCCCTCTGAGCGGCTCAAACTCTAACATCCCAGGTTTCCTTCGTTTCTTTCCACGTCATAGTGCAGAACATCATGGTGCAGAACATCATGATCCAGTGTCGAGTACGCCACAAGCTACTCCTGCGAAGTGGCATGTTTCGGCCGAGTGTCACGCCACGACAACCGTCATGTCTTGACTGCGTCGGTCTCCCGACACCAAACGACGGCGAGTCACAAAGACGATTCCTTTCAAACACTTAACGCTCCTGAGACTCTCTATCTCTTCAGTTGATTTCTTCTGCCTCCCTTGGCTTCAGGCTGAGAGCTTTTCTAACAGCCTCTTGGCTTGGTGTCAGCCACCTCGGCCCGATGTTACCTGCTTTCTTGGCCTTTTGCCCACGCGACCAATTCCTTGATTGAGAACACAAAAAAGGCCCAATGAGACTGGACCCAAATACGCAAAGAACGAAAGGCACCCCATTGATTTGGAAACCATGCCTTATACGGCCAGTTGGTAGCTGATTCTCTGCGCAATCAACGCCCACAACCGTTGTTCAAAATGAACCGAGCCAACACATCGTTGCTGGAGGGCCAACGGGTTTGCACTGCAACCTCTGGGCGCAACGTTCTGCCGGTCGGGCTCTATGAACTCTGCTCAAACAAGACAGGTTCGTCCTAAAACAAGGACTGAAAGCATCATTATTTGTCGTTGCATGACATCCTGCGTCATCCTCACTTGGGATTCCTTGGGAGAAGCCTGCTCTGAGAAACCCAACGCAGAGCGCATGTTCTCATGTTCCATGGCGGTGTTTTTTATCCATCTCACAGAGGCTTTAACTGCAGAACTCCCCTCTTCATTCTTCCAACTTTTCGATAACTGCTTAGTGACCGAGGCGACGGCAACCCCTAATGTAGCAACTCCTTTTTGCCCATATGCGAGCTTCTCAGGTGTTCCGATGTCTTATCAGAAAACGATTACCCACGCACGTGGGCTGCACCGGTCGTGCCACCTTCCCCTCTCGTCCTATTTGCCAAGGCATAGACGGGGGTCCGACGACGTTGAAATATGCTTCCCTGTCCTCGCCTCGAGGAGCACGTTGCTCATCCCGTGGCGTCCATTGGGGCGAGTGGGGAACACTCGTCCGTCGCCAAGCCGCACCCCGGGCTACGAAGCGGCTTGGCTCTCAGGTACGCTGCCGAACCTCTGCACCAGGTGACGGATCAATTCGCCGTGGTCTCTTTAGAGGCTCAGATGAGCTTTCATCCTGGTAGACAAACTCATGCGCTACCAACGGCGCGGAATCTCCTTCCAGTGCTAAAGAGGAGTGAGTACGAATCCTCACGCCAAAGTCCCCAAGACACTATCGAATGTGATCCGTCATGCCAAGTCGTAAGTGATGTACGCCGCAATGAACGGCTGCAAGCGGCACATATGATGGCAAAAAAATCAGGTTGCAGGAGATGAAGCCAAGATCTTTTGACTTTGGGGTATTTATATGAATGAGGAATTTGCGGCTACCTTGATGGTCGTCCTTGGGATCTTCACCACTCGAGCTCACACCTTTATTGGTCTCCAGAGTCAAGATGCGTTCCTCAGCTGTTGTCGTCGCCGCCCTGGCCCAGTCCGTCCTATCGGCTCCTGATGTCAAGAACTTCATCTACATCGTCCCCGATGGATACGGCCCCGCTTCCCAGACTATGGCCCGAGACTACGTCTCCTTGATTGAGAATGGTCAGAACCCGAGGGCTCCCGTGAGCATCCAGCTCGCGGCCGACAAGATGGTAAGACATTGAGATCCGGCCCATGAATACTTCTGATCTAATGGTCATAAAGGTCATTGGCAATGTCCGCACTCTTGCGAGCAACAACCTCATCACAGACTCCGCTGCCTCTGCTACTGCTTTCGGATGTGGTGTCAAGTCATACAACAACGGTAGGCACTTCGTAACACATCTGCAAAGCAATCGCTAACATGAACCAGCCATCGGTGTCAACCCCGCCGGCGAACCAGTAGGCTCCATTCTCGAGGCCGCCAAGCTTGCGGGCATGAAGACGGGTCTGGTCGTTACCAGCACCATCAACCACGCCACCCCTGCTTGTGAGTAGCATGACCCTTGTCATCCCCGCGATCAACACGACTGACAAGCATCAAGGCTATGCGGCTCACGTTGCCGATCGCAACTCGTACGCAAAGATCGCGGAGCACGAGATCGGCTACGGCCACCCTCTCGGTCCTGTCGCCGACATCCTCCTCGGCGGCGGCCGGTGCTACTTCAAGCCGCAGTCTGACTCCACCTCCTGCCGCAGAGACGGCATCGACTTGTTCGGCTTCGCCGAGAAGAACGGCTACCACGTCATGCAGAACCGCTCGGCCTTTGACGCTCTCGACAAGGGTTTGGGCGACATCCGCATCCCCTACATTGGCCTGTTCAACGACGGTAAGTCTACCAAATATCTCTCCCGCAACAGCCACGGGGACTAACTACCCTCCAGGCCAGATGATGTACGAAATCGACCGCTCCCGCCAGCCCGAGCAGGAGCCCTCGCTCCTGGAAATGGTGGAGACGGCCCTCAACTCCCTCCACCGCGCCACGCATTGCAAAGACGAGGGCTACTTCCTCATGATCGAGGCCTCGCGCATCGACCACGCCGGCCACGCCAACGACCCAGCCGCCCACCTCTTTGACACGATCCACTACAACGAGGTCATGGGCTTCGTGCGGGAATGGATCGACGAGCACCCGGACACCATGCTCATGTCCGCCGCGGACCACGAGTGCGGCGGCCTGACGCTCAACGGCTTCAACCCGCTGCCGCTGTCCAAGGTCAACGCCTCAACCGAGTTCCTCATGGAGATCTGGGACGGTTACACCGGGCCCGACAAGAAGGCGTTCCTGGTCAGCGAGATCTTGCCCGAGTACGGGCTCGCCGACGCCACGGACGCAGAGGTGAACACGCTGCTTGCCGCGGGCTCGCTGGACATGGAGCTGGGGAACCTACTTGCGAGCCGCGCGGGCGTCCACTGGTCCACGGGCGGCCACACGGCGTCGGACATCACGCTGTACGGCTACGGCGCCGGGGAGAACGGGCGCGCGATCAAGGCCGACATGGCGGGCAACTGGGACAACACGGAGCTGCCCAAGTATATTGAGAAGGCCCTCGGCGTCGACATGGGCGAGGTTACGAGACTGCTGCGTGCGAACGGCACCGCGTGGGTCGGCAAGCGGGATATGAACAAGCGTGCTGACGAGCATGTTCATGGCCACGGCCATGCTCACTAGAGAGGAGCGGTTGGCTTTGGCCATGTTGTTGTGGCCGAGGCACATATATATATCTAATTCTAATACATGTACCGTTACCAAGATTGTATCTGAAAACTAGCAGGTCAAAACTAATCGGATGCTTCGCGAGTCAAAGTTGCACATAACCCTCTCAGACCTCACCCCAATACGAACCTCGCGCTTGAGATGTCCATATACACACCTGAGTAGCCACGGTTGAATAACCTTACGGTTCAAATTCGCGGATCACTTCTAGAATTTCGAGTTTCTCCGTCAAGTACTGATGAGCAATTGATAATGGGTTTGGCCTAGGGGTTCACTGATTGGTCCAGTTAGGGCGACTTCGTATTAACCAAGGGCAGCTTACCAATTTGGCAGTTCATCAAACATAGTTTACTATTGTCATCTACAGCAAACACCAAAATACGTCGGTAACCCCAATATCTCATCAATGTATTCATTTCTCGTTTCAGCTCTATTTCGCGGTGGTCAGTGTTCGACGCCGCTCTGGGTTTTCTCTAACCGCAGTTCAAATGCACACAATCCCCGTTTTGACGCCCTACTCCCAATGATCTCTTCACATCATGAAAGTCTAGTCGAAGAGCAAACTTCGATGGATCTGTTCAGAAGACATACACATACGGCTCAGACCCGTCTTTAGGCTTATGCTTGCCTTGGGCCACGCGCCGGTTGTGCACAAAATACACAGCTTCTTGGAGAAGCGCAAAGGCCATGCCCACCGAGACCATTATGATCATGGTCAAGAGGCCTTTGTCGTAGCTTTTATATATGTTAGTTCGTGAGATTCCACAGCAGCCGAGTGAGATACTTACAAAGGCAGGTCGTCGCCCCTAAAATACTGCGAGCCGACCATCAAGCCACTAATGGCGGACATTACCCACATGCTAAGCCACTCATCAACATTGCCTTGCCTTGTCAAGACGTGGGATGGCTACAACTTACGCGATTCCAATATTTCGCTCTCCGGGGTCACGGCAGTTGACCTGCAGCCAGGTGTTGTGTGCTGGATGGTAGCAGACGGCGAAGGCATTGATCATCGTCCACAATGCCCACCTGGACCACTTCCCAACATGCGGGTGGACGCTGCGAGCCACAACCAAGATGGTCAGGTAGCATATGTGCCCGAATATGACTGCCATTCCTCTCTTGTTCGTTATGTCGCTCAGCGTAGCGAAGGCGAAGACGACGGCCATGGCGAGGGAGGCGCCCACGGCGGCGAGGGCGTTGGCGCTGATTCGGTCGAATCCAAGAGCCCTTGTGGATATGTTCAGACACGACTTTCAATATCCGTTCTGTAAGGGCGCATGCTCACATGATGATTGAGGGTGTGTATGTCGTCAACGGCGACCAGGTCGAAAAGACGCAAAACGTGGACACGTAGTGCGGCCACCGCTTGTAATGCTTGACAGTCTTCCAGACGAGAACCCAGGGGATCTCGATGCCGCGAACGCCGGGCTTGCTTCCAGGCTCGTCAACGTCCATTCTCTTTCGGAGTATATCCTGTTCGTCTGCCGTGAAGCGGACGATGCCCGGGCTTCCCAGCGGTTTCGGCGTGTCGGGGGACCCGGGGAGGAGGAAGATGAGCATCAGCGCCACGAATAGAGTCGCTAGACCCTCGACTACATCCACCTGTCAGAACAACAGTCGCAAACAAAACTAGAGTCAATGCTCCGGAGGCGAATGTCCTTACGCAGAAACAGCCACTGCCACCCCTTCAACCCGCCCTTGCCTGCCAACTTTAAGATGCCCGACGCGAGCAGGGGGCTCAGGGCATTGCCGCCAAACTGCCCAAACATGAAGACGGCGATGCGCTTCGCCATCTCGCGCTTCGTGTACCACGTCGAGAGGGTGTACATGGATCCGGGGATGTAGCCCGCCTCGGCGAGGCCGAGCACGAGGCGGATGGCGAGGAAGCCGGCACGGTTCTTAACGAGGACCTGGAGGGTGGCGACGAGGCCGAAGAGAAGGACTTGGAGGGAGATCCATTTCCGGGGGCCGAACTTTTGTTGGCGTGTGGTTAGTCTGATGGCCATGATATCCTGAATGCGCTGGGCGGAGTGCGAAAAGGGATGATGATGATGATGAGCAAACACTTTGTGAGAACGTACCCATTGCAGAAGCAGGTTGCAGGGAATCTCCAGCACGACGGTGCCCATGAACATGAGCTGGTTTCCGAGGTTGATGGTGTCCTGACTGACGTCAATGTCCTTTGCGAACCCGGCCGTCAGAGCGCTGGCGAGGTTCATGCGGTCGAGCTGGAACATGAGGAAGCCGAGGACGAGGAGCGGGAGGACGGTGAGATCGATCCTGACATTCTGGTGAGCCTCATCCTGTGTACATTGGCCATGTGTCCATGCGATGGTGATGTGTATGCATACTTCCTCTTGGCCTTCTGCTCCTGTTCGATATCCCACTCCAGCTTGTCCTCTGACGCGATGACGGACCGGTCCGTCGGGGTGTTACACACCATCTTGTCATCGGTCCGCGAATCCATGGCTCTCGATCACCGGCAGTTTGCGACGGAAACGAACAACCAAACGAACCGGGCTAGCCCAGATGGCCGACTGCTTCAACTGCTTTTCACTTTTAGAGTCGGCCATCCAGGTTCCCTCGCCAGGCTCTCACAACGGCAGCCCTCACCCCCTGCCCCTGCCTGCTGTCGAGCCGTTCCCCATCTTGATCTTAGAGAGAAGCCAATGCAGCTCGCCTGTCTTGCCCGTCCCCGAAAATTACAGGGTCCAGTACGTACACCATGATGCAACCGACATGGAACCTTGATGGTCTCGTACACTTTTGAGCATCCATCTCCCCTAACCCAGAGAGCTCTTATCGATAACGCCGCTACCTAGAGAACGTCAACGTTTCCCCCAAGGATAACGCCATCGAGCGCTAAGATGACCAAATCCGCCCCTCCACGAGTCTCAACACGGCGCACCCCTGGCCGGAGAAGCGTGTCTCTCACTGTCTTCTACTATATTTCTGCAGCCCATCCCTGCGCGACTACCCCGTCAGGCGGTTTGCGGAGATGTGATTGGTCTGCTCCCAGGGGCCATTGGCGGGGTGCCACCCTGTGCCCCTCCACCCGCTCGCCCGCTGCGAGCCGGGACCAAGCTCTCGGAGACGTTTGCGCAAGTGAAAAGGTGAGCCAGATTCGCACTTTCTGCCAATTGCACGTGGCGGTTTCCTGGTGCCTGCCAATTCTATTTCTCTCCTTCTCTCTCGTCTCACCTTGTTTTCCTTCTCTCTCTTTTGCTAGTTTCTTAGATCTATCCCCAGTGTGCTAGAAACATGGGCGCAATTAAAAGAGTCGCAGTCATTGGCGCGGGGCCAGCCGGGGCCATCACCATCGACGCCCTGGCCCGCGAGAAAACATTCGACGTCATCCGTGTGTTCGAACGCCGAGAAGCCGCGGGCGGTTGCTGGTGAGTTGTTTTCCGTCTCCCGGTTTTATTCGTTTGCGTTTCCCCAATTGAATGCGACGCGGGGCAACGTCGCGCTGATATGGAGTGTGCTCTGGTACCTTGATGGTTCGAGATCCCGGTCGGCGCCTCCTCAGGTTGCTTACTGGCTATTTCTCGTGGAACATGGTACAGCTTGAGGCCTTTGCGTACAGGGTGAGAAGTGTATGAGTACCCGGATGGTCAATCTGAAGTCTGGTGAAAGTACACCGCCTAGTGTTTGAGTAACCTGGCGTACGTGATGTCGAAAGATGAAGCGAACGATGCAATCATGTACATCCAGCCATGGGACGACAGCAATGAGATGCGATGCGACAGAGCTTGATCAAGCTACCACCTTAATATGCGCTGACCATCCGATTCCCCAGGGTCGGCGACCAGACCCCTCCGCCGCACCTTACCGACCTCCCCGCCCTCGCATCCCGCACCGCCGACCGCCCCATCCCGATCCCGGAGACCCTCCCGGCCCGAACCCCGAAACTCCCGAAACCCTCGCCGCCGCGCTTCACCGAGTCCGGCATCTACCCCTATCTCGAGACCAATGTCGACGCCATCCCCATGTCCTTCTCCGAGGAGTCCCTCCCCGAGCAGCGCACCGAGAACTCCATCGCCCTGCACGGGCCCGAGACGCCCTTTCGCCATTGGACCGTCGTCCGGGATTTTGTACAGGGGCTTGTGAACCGCAACGGGTACCAGGATTTCGTATCGTACAGAACAACGGTGGAGCTAGCTGAGAAGGTTGGGGACGAGTGGAAGGTGACGTTGAGGAGGGAGGGCGAGGACGGGGATGAGTGGTGGATTGAGTGGTTTGATGCTGTTGTTGTCGCGACGGGCCATTACTGGGTGCCTTACATCCCCTACATTGAGGGTCTTGAGGAGTTTGAAAAGGCTCGACCGGGGAGCGTGATTCACAGCAAGCACTTCCGCGGACGAGACCAGTTCCGCGACAAGGTATGCCGCCTCTCACGAATGGACATTGAGCCATTGGACTAATCCGCAACCAGCGCGTCGTCATAGTAGGTGCCTCCGTGTCGGGAGCCGATATCTCGGTCGACCTCGTCAAAACCGCAAAGCTTCCCGTCTACTCCGTCGTCAACGGCCGCAAAGCAAACCTCTACTTTGGCGACGGCGCATTCAACCACCCTCAAATCTCGCGCCGCGCCACAATCTCCCGCATCGACGGTCGGACGGTGCACTTTTTAGATGGGACCTCTGTCGCGGACGTCGACAACATCGTGCTCGCTACAGGCTTCACCTGGACGCTGCCGTTCCTGCCTTCGGTCGAGGTCCGCAACAACCGCGTCCCCGGGCTGTACCAGCACGTTATTTACCACCGCGACCCAACACTGCTCTTCATTGGCGCCGTGGCGGCGGGCCTGACATTCAAGATCTTCGAGTGGCAGGCCGTCCTCGCGGCGCGCGTGCTGGCTGGGAGAGCGAGGCTGCCGCCGGCCGAGGAGCAAGCCAAGTGGGAGGCGGACCGAATTGCGGAGAAGGGCGACGATATCAAATTCTCGCTTGTGCACCCGCACTTTGAGGAGTACTTTGAGACTGTGCGCGCGCTGGCCGGCGAGCCGGAGAACGGTGTCGGCAGGGCATTGCCGCCGTATGACCCGTCGTGGTTCCAGGTCTTCCTCGACGGTCTAGAGTTAAGGAAGAAGATGTGGGTGAGGTTGAATGCCCAAGCACAAGAGGAGCTTGAGCAGGCGAAGCCATCCGCGAATGGCTTGGATAAAAAGGAGGCTACAGATACTTACGCATCATCAGCAAACGGACTAGAACCCGAGAAAGCCCCAATCGTGACGACGCTAGCAGCACCTCAAGAGGTTCAGTAGATATGAATTAATATTTTCAGAGTTGGTCGTCTGCGTGGAAGTAGCGAATGTGAGAGGGCATCGGTGCTGGTGATCCTGACAGCGTGGTCTGGCGTGAAACGGCAGCCGGAATCTGATTCGTGCTTGTCGTACGATAGGCTGTAAGTTCTGATAGGTTAGTTGCCGGACGAGAAGGTAAGCTGATAAGCTCCCCTCTCGTACGGCGTGCCAAGCTGATAAAAGCTGGTACTTCAACTAGCCAGTCATGAAGTTGCCCGTGTCGAGGAGAGAAGCCAGAACATCAAAAAAGCTGCTTGGTGTGACCGCCAGCCGACTCAGCCAGTCATGGCCAAGCATCGATGCAAGGATGCGGGCTCACTTGTGCCAAATAGAAATTCCCAGGGAGCGCAGGATCTACCATGCGCTTCGTTCTCTAAACCAGACAGATTCGTTCGTTAAACCCGAATCAGCGGGTGGGACAAGGGGATCGGGTCAAGTGCTTACATGGGGCGCCGTCTTACATCAGATGCGACGTAGTCCGTGAGTATCAGCAGCTCCCCCACATGGAAGATACAATCCCTTGAAACCCCATGAATCCTGCCAGCGCATGTTCAGGACTCGGCGCGTCCGAAAATGGGAATTTGCTTCTTCACCTGTGCTTATGGCGGGCGCTAACATAACGTTGGCCAAGATGGCGTGGCATGTGAAAAGGGCTGGTTTCCCACGCTCCAGCAGCAGCAGCTGTGAGGGACCGCATTGCGAGACTGCGAGGTTCGAATCAGCAACACCAACAGGCATGGACACTCCATCGCAGCCGCCGCCGAAGCCCTCTAAAGCAACGTCAGGCTTCGGCCTGGGTCGCCGCATCAGGGAGCTCCATGTCGACATCACGGGCATCTTGTACGGGCCAAGCCTCACGCCAAGCTTCCTCGTCAGCGACATAGTCGGCTTCTTTCTTTACGCCGTGCTCGCGACCGACTGGTCGACGATCTGCCACGAGAAACTCTACGCCTCCGTCCCGTTCCTGCGGAAGATCTCGGAGAACCTGCACAGCTTCTGGAACGCCTTTCGACACGAGCGGTGGCACCAGGAGGACCACGCGAGGGAGAAGATGGACAAGTGGTGCCCTCACCTGTACAAGTCGCCGCCCGCGCGGCTGCGGTCCTACCGCGAGATCCTCAACCGGCAGCAGGCGCTGAAGAACTGCTGCGGCGCCCAGTCGCGCAGTCTGGAGACGCGGGACGTGGCGAGGAATATGATGTTGCAGGCCGCCCTGGCATTCTGCTGGATGTGGGCGCTGTTCAAGGACCATCTCACGCTTGTGTGGCTGCTGGCGGCGATCGAGAACAAGTGCGAGGGATACAGAGACAGGATCGAGGCGTCCATACCGCCTGTATTCCGCAAGGGGGAGGGCACTATGCCTATGGCCCGAAGCGATCAAACTCATTGTTGCTTGCGAAGAGTCCAACGACAAATCAGCCGCGGCCACGACCTGGTCAGTAAGTTTGTGGAGCTGGAGATGTGCGACGTTGGGAAAGAAGCCGTCTGGGACGAGACGGAATGGTTGTCGGAGAAGGATGGTGAGATTCCGGCAGATATGGTCGACGAAGACCGGTTTCTTGTTAATCGCGTCGCCTTCTCGGCGGGCCTGTCATGGCTCATGGTGTCCATTAGTTGCGACTTTGCGACCTTTTACCTCCTTATCCTGATGCTGCGTGCCAAGAGTCGTCTCACGAAGTGGCTCTGAACGATGCAATACAATGGAATACAACACAGTACATTACTGAGGCTGCTGGTATAGGAAAGAAGACCATGTGCAAAAGAGTAGTCCATGACAATGATATATTGGGCATTTAAGTCATCAACACCGTAAAATGGGATATCGCTTTCCATGCAAACGCCTTCCAATGCAACTGCCGACCTAGCGTCGTCGTCGGAACTTGCTGTTGTATCCCGGCCCGCCCTTCGCGCCGTGGTTCTTCAACTTCAACCGCCGGAAATTCGTGTGCGCCATCTCGTTTACCTTTCTCACAGCCTTCTTGACTGTCCCCACCTTCTCCGTCTTCTTTGCAGCCTTCGTCTTTGTGGCTTTAGTCTTCGAAGCCGACTCGTCGAATTCCGCGTCCGAGCCGGATCCCACATCTGCAAGCTCATCTTGCATATCATCTGCTGCACCGTTGGCTTGTGTTTCCGGCACGGCCTCTTCGTCGCCTTCTTCTTCTTGTCCATCCTCGACTGGACCGGATGGCCGTTTGCTGTGAATAGGCCTCATGTTGACTCTTCTTGTCGTTCGCTTCTGACCCTTCTTCTTGTACACTCTCAGTGGCATTCCATCCCGTCCTTTCTGCTCTTCATCAGGACTGTCGTACAGGCCTTCGTCGTCGAAGCCACCCAAAGGCAGGTGCACCTGGCTGTCGGCAGCCAGCATCTCATCCCTCGGCTTTGGAGGCGCTTTTGGCCGAACGACTTCGCCTTCCGCTTCACGGAGAGCATCGAGGTCGTCATCGTTGTCCAGGTGTTCCTCCTCCACTTTTCTGAGACTCGCAACAATGGCGCTGAGACCCCGAACCATTGGCTTCCGGGGCAAACGTAAGGGCGGGGCTACAAAGTCGTCGTCCTTGGTAGGCGGCGGTTGAGTGTGTCTTTTAAGGAAGGACGGAGTGCTGAACTGAAGTTTCGATACAGTCGTAGGTGTTTTGGCATCAAGTGCCTCGGAATCCTTGTTCTTCAATGGCGTCATGAAGCTATCCAGCATCTGTCGTTTGCTTGTCGACATGGGCGTCCGCCCGAGTCTCGCATTATCCTCTTCGTCTGTGGGCGTTGCGCGCTTCCGCGGTGTCGTCATCGTTCTTGCATCGGCGGAAGTATTCAGGTCCCGATTCTTTCTTGACGGTGTGCCGAGTTCGCGCTCTACCATCAGGTCAAAAAGCCCAAGCACGCGGCCGTCGCGCTGCGGCGTAGGGCCAATCGATCTCGGTGCTGCGGGGCTGAATAGCGTTCTGGATATCGAGGGTGTACTGACGAGGCCAGCATCGTCAGGGTTCCATCTTCTCTTCGAAGGCGTCTCGGCATGTTTTTGTTTCTTGGAAGGCGTCGTCGCTGGCGGGGGTCTTCTTTTCGCTTCTTTGGCCGTGGCTCTTCTTTCGGAAACGGAGGGATCTTTCCAGAAAGCACGTCACGGATTTTGTTGTACTGTTTGTATTTTTGTGCTGCAAATGAACAATTAGTCACCTACACCTGTTGTGTTTGAGACTAAAACTGTACATACCTATGTCGGCGTTGCGCTTGATGTCGTCTCTGCCGGGCTTCTTTCCGTCATGGGACTTTGCCCAGGAGGTTTCCCAGCTCTTCAGCTCAGCACGAAGCTTCTGGGACTGCGACTCGTAATCAGCCCTCGTTTGGTCGTCCATGTCGAGCTGGTTGTCAGTTGAAAGGCATATACGTCATTGGAGGTAGGTTGACTCGACAGGAAGTGATGTGACAACCAGACCAGGTAGTCAAAGGTACCCTGGGCGGATTTTGATGTGGAGGCGGAGGAACGCGATCGAGACGCGACACTTGAAAACCACTAAACGCGAAAGGTCCACGGTCGCCCAGCAGCGGGTTCATCAGTGCACTGACCCCACGCCGGCCCCACTACGGATCAGCCTCCTATAACCATGCAACGTCCGGATACAGACACTTGCATATTCGGTGCTGTAGCAATGCTCACGTGTACGGATGACCCCTCACGACGAGGCTGAGAACAAAATGCTGGTATCTCTAGAAGGTCTCAGTATGTGTAGAAGTTCTCTACCAAAACAAACTGCTGATTAGTGCTACGATCTGTGTTACATCTTGGTCCTTCGCTTAGTCTTTTGACAGTGCCGCCTCGTGGCTGAGTCCACCAGAACTGACCACGACATGGGCAAATCCGTCCCCGCCCGTGACTTCACAGTCGGATGGGTCTGCGCCCTGCCCATCGAGCTAGCAGCCGCGGCGGAGATGATGGACGAGGAATTTGCTGAACTCCCGTCCCAGCCGACCGATTCCAACGTCTACTCCTTCGGCCGTGTCGGCGACCACAATGTCGTGGCTGCTTGTATGCCCGCCGGCCAGATGGGTACGGCCCAAGCAGCCACGGTAGCCAGCCAAATGAAGAATAGTTTCCCCTCGCTCCGGTTCAGCATCCTTGTCGGTGTCGGTGGTGGCGTTCCAAATCTCGATGAAGACATCGACATCCGGCTTGGCGACGTCGTGATCAGCCAGCCGGCAGGGCAGCATGGTGGAGTGATCCAGTATGATTTTGGGAAGACGGGGCCCGATGGTCGGATCACTCGCACCGGGAGCCTCAATGCGCCACCCACGATACTCCTTAACGCCTTGGCTAAGCTCCGCGCTAACGATTTTCGAGGCAAGACGCAAGTCCTCACCCATCTGTCCAAGCTCACTCCATCTACTCGATCGAGGTTTGCGTCGCCAGGCCCTGATCAAGACAGCCTTTATAACGCATCAGCATTGCATATCACCGGAGCCACATGCAAGAAATGCCGTTCAGAAGACATAGTTGACAGGGACGCGCGCGCAACTACAGACCCAGTTCTCTTCTTCGGCAACATCGCATCCGGAAATCAGGTGATGAAGGACGGACTTACGCGCGACAGATACAGTCAGGAACTAGGAGGCGTCTTGTGCTTTGAGATGGAGGCAGCTGGTCTGATGAATAATTTCCCTTTCATTGTCATTCGTGGCATCTGCGATTATGCCGACGCGCACAAGAACAAGCGTTGGCAACCATACGCAGCAGTAACGGCAGCAGCATGTGCGAAAGAGTTGCTGTATACCATCCCGCCGTTAGTGTCGAGCAATTCAGATGTCACAGAGGACTGTAGGTAAAGCACATAAATTGATAGCTGAGAGCCTAGCTAATACCTCTTAGTTCGTCCAAAATCCTACTTTATAGTTCCATTTGGACGAAATGAAATCTTTGTTGGCAGAGATGCGATGTTGACACAGCTTCTTGAAAGGATCCCCCCGAGTGCATATGAAGACACCTGCCAGAGAACTGCGATTGTCGGTCTCGGAGGGATTGGAAAGACACAAGTCGCAATCGAAGCCGCCTACCGCGTTCGCAATGTAAACCCGGGCTGCTCCGTGTTCTGGGTACCAGCCGTTGACATGGCTATGTTTGAGAACGCTTATCGCAAGATCGGCCAAGCGCTCAATATCCGAGGCATCGAGGACGACCAAGCAGACGTTAAAAGCTTAGTTAAGGCTGCATTGGAACAGAACGACGTTGGTAGCTGGCTTCTTATTATCGATAACGCCGACGATATGGAATTGCTGTTCACTGGCTCTAATAAGCTGACGAAGTATCTTCCTTTCAGTCGGAACGGCTCTATCCTGCTTACAACCCGGAACCTCCAGGCCGCAGTGAGATTTAGTCCTGGGCAAGTCACGCGGCTGCGTGAGATGAGTATTACAGAAGCTACTCAGCTCCTACGCAACGGCTTAGACAAAAGGCAGATCAACGATGACCACAGCACGGCACAGTTGCTCGAACAACTTGCCTACCTGCCTTTGGCTATTCGCCAAGCATCTGCTTATATGGCCGCAAACACAAACGTAACTGTGTCGAAATATCTCGAATACTGCAATTCTAGTAATGCTGAGCTAGTAAAGCTACTAAGCAAGGAATTCGACGATCAAGATCGATACGAGTCTATCCAAAACCCCGTGACCACGACGTGGTTGATATCCTTTGAACACATCTCACGGGACAGTCCATTAGCAGCAAAGTACCTCAGCTTTATCTGCTACCTCGGAGAGAAAGACATTCCGAGATCACTGTTGTCCCCTGGAGAGAACGAAATAGATACCGACGAGGCAGTTGGCACCTTGATAGCCTACGCTTTTATCTTGCAGCGCGATGCTGCGGACAGGTTCGATATTCATCGACTGGTGCGCTTGGTGATGCGGAACTGGCTGAGGGAACAAAGGAAGGAAGAAGAGCAGGTAACAGAGACGATTTACTGGCTTTCCAAGATGTTTCCTTGGCCACACCACGGGAATAGAAAACTGTGGATGTCCTACTTACCCCATGCGCAAGCGGCCTTGGAAGTACGGGGCTGGTGTACAGACGAAGAGGGGTTGTGGGATCTGCTGGATAGGACAGGGATAAGCAATTTTCTCCTGGGATATTATGGCAAGGCGGAGCAAATCATCTGGGAGGCACTAGTGCTAAAGGAGAAGGCACTGGGGCTAGAGAATCTGGACACACTCATGAGCATGAGCAACCTAGCAATTACGCTCGACAAGCAGGGGAAGTACAGAGAGGCAGAGCAAATGAATCGGCAGACACTTAAGCTAAGGGAAAAGGTGCTGGGGCTAGAGAATCCGGACACACTCATAAACATGAGCAACCTAGCAATTACGCTCAAGAATCAGGGGAAGTACGAAGAGGCAGAGCAAATGAATCGGCAGACACTTAAGCTAAGGGAAAAGGTGCTGGGGCTAGAGAATCCGGACACACTCATGAGCATGAGCAACCTAGCAATTACGCTCAAGAATCAGGGGAAGTACAGAGAGGCAGAGCAAATGAATCGGCAGACACTTAAGCTAATGGAAAAGGTGCTGGGGCTAGAGAATCCGGACACACTCATGAGCATGAGCAACCTAGCAATTACGCTCAACAAGCAGGGGAAGTACGAAGAGGCAGAGCAAATGAATCGGCAGACACTTAAGCTAAGGGAAAAGGTGCTGGGGCTAGAGAATCCGGATACCCTCAGGAGCATGGGCAGCCTAGCAATTACGCTCAACAATCAGGGGAAGTACGAAGAGGCAGAGCAAATGCAGCGGCAAGCACTAGAGCTAAGGGAAAAGGTGCTGGGGCTAGAGAATCCGGATACCCTCAGCAGCATGGGCAACCTAGCAGTTATACTTGATTGCCTAGGGTCGCACGAAGAAGCGGAGCAGTTGTTTGAGCAGACACTTAAATTGAGTAAGAAGTTGCTTGGGCCAGATCATCCCTTCACGCGTAGGGTACAGTTTGACCTCCAGGCCAGTTTAGAAGCTTGGACGGACTCTAGTTCAGTCTCTAGTTCGGCCTCTTAGATAGACTGGGTTTACTACCTACTGAATAAAATATTAACAGATGGCCCCTGTAGTTGGTGCACCCTTCGTTTTCCTGCGATCAGGTACCCTCCTGACCAGGATCCTGTTATATGGACGTGCCATGTAACAAATATTCTTATAACCTTTGCATTTGCCTGTTGCAAGGCGGTGCTATTGATTCGATTGCGTTGTGTAGGCAGCTATTTTCTATTATTTGGAACACGTTCCTGAGGAAAGTGAGGCATCTTAGCCACCACTTCTAGCTGAGCTTCTCTTCATCCGCATCTCTTTATTCATGCTTTCGCCCGAATGCACTTTCAACGTATCGCAAGCAGCCATTGCGCGGCGATTAGTCCCCTAGTGTGGTTATGTACATGTATGTAAGTGCGGTAGTTGAACGATCCTATTTTTTTAAAGTACAGTAATTACAAGGTAAAAGTGTTACAACGGCAAAAAGGATAACCCAATCAGCAGTTGCAGAAGGAACCCATTCGCTTGGGGTCACGTCACAATGGGTTTATCCTTATTTCTGTTACCAGACGTATGACCTAGTACTGTACATCTGCAACTGAGCGAGGCTGCCGTCTCCGGCAGTGGTGAAACCAGGCTGGGTACGACGACAGTTGCTTTACAATATAGATTTTGACATGAGCCTCCAAAAATGAATGAAAGAAACTCGACAATAATGTCATACCTAGAACCAAAATTCTCGTTCGTTTGGGACGTGAAAAGAATAAAACATCACAACTCAGGCTTCCGGCCTCTGTGAATTCTGCCCATAAGCATGGTGCGTATACCAACTCTCTAGGGTATCGAAGTCAGAGGCTTGGACGAAGCAACAATATTAAAACGGTCAGACTCTCGACACCTTGGGTGAATTGTTTTAGCTACCTTTGAAGTGTATGAAAGCAGTGGGAACAAATATGGAGAAGTTCGGGAGCAAGCCTGTGCCCATGATCCTTGCTACCGGAGCATGTTCTTACACTGATACAGTGCCTGCTTGCTCAATTTGACTATTCCTTGCTGCCCTTATGCGGCAGTCTGGGTCATTATGGTCAAGAAGCAAACTTTAGCTCCTTACGGTGGATGTAGTGCCTGGGGACTGGTCTGTGCCCAGTAACATCCCGAGCATTTGGGATTTGAACACTATCTAATCGCAGGTCAAGCAGTTAAACCCCGCTTACTAACAAACGTACAACACTCAGTCACAACCCCTCCAGACACAGCAGTTCCATCTCATCGTCCCTCATCACCTCGACACCGTCTTGCTCGGAACTCTGCACCTTTGGCATGTCCCTCGAAGCGGCAACCGGCGAGAACTCAACCTCCCGAGATCTCCATTCAGCCGTCTTGCAGACCACACTACAGGAGATATCCTCGCGATCGACCGAGCTCCAAGACTGCTGCGTCATCTGCCTAGAGGAGATCACCGAAGGCTGTGAGGCGCAACCCTGCCACCATCACAATTTCGACTACCTCTGCCTCGTGACATGGCTGGAGCAGCAAACGGCATGCCCGCTATGTAAGACTGAGATCAAGGAGGTCCGCTACGATTTCAGCGACGACCGACAGCAATGGAAAACGTTCAAAGCTCCAGAGCGGCTGCAGGAAAAGCCCAAAGCTGCGGGAACCTCTCCTCCGAGCCAACAGACGAGGCGATTTTACTCACAGGCGCGCCCCCGACGCCCGCGACCAAATGCGCATCCGACCCGGACCTTCACGCCTTCTCAAGACGAGGTGATTGCACGTCGGCGGGCCGTCTACCGCAACCAACTGTACTCGCTTCATGTTGGCTCGAACCGGATATCGAGGTACAGAGACCTGACGCCGCAGCTGTTCGCCTCCGATGCCGAGCTCGTCTCGCGCGCGCGCACGTTTCTCCGCCGAGAGCTGCAGGTTTTCGAGTTTCTATCACCCGATCACGATGCGCGATCTCAGGACGCCGACCCTGTTCGGCGACGCAGGGCAAACAATGCCGAATTCCTCCTTGAGTACATCATAGCGATTCTTAAGACCGTCGATATGCAGGGCAGCATGGGCCAGGCCGAGGAGCTGATCCAGGAGTTTCTGGGAAGGGAGAACACGCGACTGTTGCTCCACGAGCTCAGAGCATGGTTGCGGAGTCCCTACATGTCGCTAGAGAGCTGGGATCGTGCTGTGCAATACCCAGATGTTGTGCCTAAGCGGCGGCGATCACAGAGTCCCGGCACGGCCGATCGGGCGGGATCCTCAGAAGGCGCCGAGGGCATCTATCCTTCGAGGTGGAGAAGAGACGAGCGACGCAGGTACCGGCGCGAACCCTACGAGTCGCGCCGGTCACGAAATGACGAGAGATTGAGAGAGGCGACGGCGCGATACACCGTTGACTAAGCTCGGGGGAGAACGACCCAGACCATTTGATACCCCCTTATGTTTTCCATTGCGACGGTGGCGGAATTATTTGTGGAGTTTTTATTTATTTACTAGACTATTGCGACAGTCCGAGACAACCTCTAGAGCGGGACCGTGCATCAGCCCGCACTAGAACCTGGCATGACAGGGTCGATAAGCAGGGCATTCGACCTCTACGAATCATGAAATGTAACGCAGCAAGTCAAGTGCCGGACTGAAAGCTTATCCAACGTGCCGGAAGCTTCACAGTGCCGCCTTTGTCGCTCGCTCCTGGGCTGAATAATGGCGGGGAGTGGACTCGCCGATGAAATGAGGCACTACAGTGGAATGTGAGCAAACCCGCCGGGCCAACACTCCCTAATAGATTCCGGCCGGGTCGGGTTCCGACAACTGATTGGTAATCAAAAGACATCGGCACTTTGGGCGGAGTCCCGCCTTACTTTGTAAACCCGAGGTGGTCTCACAACGTATTTTACATCTTGAATCCCGTAACTAGTAAAGACTTGACAGACATCATTCGCCGTTTAATTTTTTAAAGTTTCTCTCACCACTGTGATCTATAGCGAATGAACGCCGTACGGCAAGCAAGCAAAATGACTAACATCAACATCAAAGTCATCTCAGACCCCGTCTGCCCCTTTGTAAGACTCTCTCACTGATGAATCTCATTGTTAACCCCACTAACACCATCTCCCAAAAAGTGCTACCTCGGCAAAGCCCGCCTGAACCGGGCGATAGACTTGTACAAGAAGACGTACCCCGGCGGCAAGGACGACAACTTCAACGTCACATGGCAGGCCTACTACCTCGACCCGACGGCGCCCACCAAGGGCGAGCCGGTCGTTGAGCGCATGGCGGCGCGCTTCGGCGCCGAGCGGCTCGAGATGATGCACGCGCGCATGAAGAAGATGGGCGAGGCCGAGGGCATCAACTTCACCTTTGGCGGCAAGGTCGGGCACACGCGCGACGCGCACCGGACGATCCAGCTGGCCAAGTCCAAGGGCCCCGAGGTCGAGAACGCCGTCGTGGACTCCATCATGAAGAGCTACTTTGAGGAGGACGGCGACGTGACGAGCTGGGACATGATTGTCGACGCAGCGGTGCGGGGCGGGCTCGAGAGGGACGAGGTGAAGAAGTGGCTCGAGGAGGGCAAGGGCGGCCAGGAGGTCGACAAGCAGGTTGAGGATGCGTACCGGATGGGCGTCCGTGGCGTGCCGCACTTTGTGATCAACGACAAGTACGAAATCGGCGGCGCGCAGGATGTGGGCGAATTTCTGGGGCAGATTGTGGCGGCCAAGGAAAAGGGCGGCCAGGGGTCGAGCGGACAGGACGGACTGTCATGTTGAGCGGTCAAACCCCAGCGTTCTCCTTTTCTTTGTATGCTGAATGAGAAAATGGAAAAAAAAAAAAAGTTCAAAATCACATTGTGTAATTCCTCGTCGCATTTTGGGTATCATGTCGTAAAAAACCATTGTAAAAGCGCCGTCCGACTTTCACATGTTGAGCAATCCTCCCAGGTCCTTTTCCATCGCCCGCAGCCGCAGCTGCAGCTCGCGCTTCTTCTTGTCGAGCTCCCGCACAACCTCCTCCTCGGCCCGCAGGTCGTCCTCCGTCATGAGGTCCTCGCCCTCGTCCTCATCTTCCTGCTCGTCCTCCTGCCCCTCGTCGCCCTCGTTCATCCAGTGGTCCTTGTTCATCCTCTCGAGCGCGGCCTGGTGCTCGGCGACCTTGGCCTCGTAGTAGGCCAACGTGTTGGTCTGGTGGGCGTACCGCGACCGCAGCTGCGGGATCCGCTCGAGCGCGCCGGGGAGGGCGTATACGCCGCACAGCTTCGTCGCGCCTTTGAGGAGGATCTCGACGTCAACATCGCCGCCTTTGCTGGCCGCCTGTCGCTCGCCGCGGCGCAGCTGCGCGTGAAGGTCACCGCCCAGGACGGCCGAGACAGCGGTGTGTCGACGGGGCCCGCCCATGCCGCCGACGCCGCCACGGGAGCTTCCCGGGGGCGGTCCGGTGGTGACTTCGCCCGAGGCGACGTTGAACACCGTCTGGCGGCGGCTGGTGGCGGGTTTCTGGTCGGGGTTCTGTGAGGCGGACGAGGATTGCGGCGGCGGGGGAGGGGGCACGGAGAAGAGGGCGCGCTCGTGGGCTTCGGTGTCGCGGATGAGGGAGGTAATGTCGGTGTTGTAGAGCATTGCGTTTGTGAAGATCTTCGGAGGCGGGAAGCTAATGCATCTGTCAGGAATTTGGCCAAGTATTTCGAGGGCACTCGATCGAATAGATTGCGGGGGAGCGAGGCGTACGGGAGAGAGTCGATGCCCTCGCAGGAGAGAGCTATCTGCTCCAGATGGATTGAGAGCATTGACATGACGGCGGTTCGGCTTCGGGACTCAGTTAGAGCTATTGAGATGTGTAGTTTGCGCGCTGTGGGCGATTGAGGTTTCTGCTGCTTCGACGCAGACCGGCTCCGTGGGATGTTTGGTGTGGGATTGAGAGGTTCAATGTTTACAAAGTGCCCCACCAAACAAATGGCTGTTTGGAGAAGAGCACCGGTGTCCCGCGTCGTTGCTCGGCGCACGGACCAGTGCCTAGCAGTTCATCCTATATTCCAAGTACCAAGTATTTTCTGTTTCAAGGCCGTCCATTCCTCATGAATTCTTCAACTACCTACGTCCGTTGGTCACGCTCTTAGTCTACCAAAATGACGAAGGCCATCTTCGGCATCGCAAACACAAGTGAAGATTTGGACAACCGCAGTCTCGGTGACTCCGCAGTATCGCGTTCCAAAGTCAACCTTGCCCTGTACTGTTCGACGAAAGCGATCAGTCCAAGGAGCAACATTAACGGTGCTGCCGAGGTTCGAGGCAGACATACCCAATCTGGACAATGTGTGTCGACATCGAAAAACTCGCATTGGGGCTGAAAGCTGGCTGCGACAGATCTGCGTATTGTCGTGGGCCGAGCTTTCTTCGCGATAATGCTGACAGCCAAGCCTTGCCCTGTCTCTCCCGAGGTCGGAACAGTCGACGGGTATGGCAGTTGGAAGTCAATTGACAACGATGCATCGCTGCACTCGGACCTACCCAGTCAGCTCATGGTCAGCCAGACCAGTCCCCAGCCACGCAGCTTGCCAAAACAAAACCAAACTCAAAAGTTGACCATAAGGCTGCAGTCTTGTTACACGGACTCTTCCAAGGCTGCCTGGTGTCTTTCGGCGAGGATCGCAATGTATGCCTCGGACCCCTAAGGATGACTCCCGGGTTGGGCGTGCCGATTGGCTGGGCGCGCGACGTCAGATATGACGACAACCCCGAGACTCTCATTGGCCTTTCTTCGAGCCTGCTACCTGTCTCCTCTCTCCAACGGTTTTGGGCGCATGGGCTGCAGCCTGTAAGACGCTCACATGCACCTCAGACGACCCCAAGGCACGGCTTACAGGGCTCTTCCGATTGCAACACGAATGGCGGGTCGGCCGCTATTGGCTTTCTTTTCGTGCATACGAAGGGAATCCCAGAGCCTCGCGTATCCTTTCTGTCCCTCTTGCACTGCCCAGATCTGACTGCATGCCGCTTCCGCGCATCTCATCTCGCTGTTTGCTCATCTCAGCCCCCCCAAAAAGAACAATGGTGGCACCTGAAGAAAGGGTAAGGCAACGGGCAGACAACGGCAGCGGGGCGGCGCCCTAGCCGCTGACGGCCGGCGCCCCCCTAATTGGCAAGTGGCCCTGGTCCAGTGATCAGCCAAGAGCGACGCCGTCGTCAATCTCGGCCCCTTCAGCCAACTCAGCCCTGCACCTGCGTCTCCTCTCGACCTTGATGATGGTGTGCGCACCCTGCGTACCGAGTCTACCTGGAGACTAGGATCTCCGGGTTGATGGCTGGAGTTTGTTCGTGTCTCACCGGCGCCGCCCTCCGTCTCCATACTCCTTCCCCACGATATAATGCCGCGTGAGCACCCACCTTCCTCCCGCCGGTCACTTGATCAGATGCCCTTCCTGTCACCGTCGTCACTGCTGCCACTACCCCGCGTTCCCTCTTGGCTGTATATTGTCCTCGAAATTCCCGTCGTCATGGCCGGCGGTCTTTTCTCCATCCCAGGCTTGGGCGAAAAGTTTGGGGTGCGCTATCGATCACGACAACAAAAGCGCGCCAACCTGCTCAAGGAGAGGATGGGCTCGACAAAATTCCTGGGCTCCCAGGTCGGAGGGAGCTCCGTCATCAGCTACTCGTATACCGATTTTCCCTACAAGCTGCTCGCCTGGGACATCTACTACTTTTTTCAGTACATCTGGGCGTTGCCGTGGATCGTCTGGCCCGTCACCCCGGCGAACTCTGGCGACCTCGACGAGCTGGCCTTTACGAGGCAGAATCTCTTTTGCATTTTTATGCACGTTGTTCTGTGTGTTCTGCAGATCGCCTTCATTCTGGCCTTGCCTTTCGCCATTCTTTTGCCAATCTGGGTGGCTGGCCTCGCTTTGGGCGCCTTTTTCGCCGTCAACTATCTGCTTTGCCTTTTGCTCAATGGCCCAACGCTCACATACACCTCGGACCCCAAGTACGCCCCAGAGCTGCCGGAGCACGCCCACGAGAAGTGGATTTTCCTAAACGGTGTTGCTGTAGGGTAAGTTGAGATACCTTACCTTTATCTGGTCTTTTTCCGTTTGTCGTTTAGCAACTCGACTCTTCGTGTTTTCTGTTATTTTAAGCTTTATGATCGATTGCCCCACTGAACATGTGCTGATCTCGTACTAGGGACCACTGGATGAAGAACAACCTCAATAGACTGGCGCTCACTTTCAAGCGGCCGATTCTGGGTATCCACAACCAGACTTCTGGAATCCTATTTGACGTTGTCGAATGCCTCATCCAACGAAACCTGGGCTACGCCACGTACGATGTGCGAATGTGCTATCGCATCGTCAAGGAGACGCTTTACAACCCGCAGTACTCCAAGGTTGTTTTCGTGCTGCACTCACAGGGCGGCATCGAAGGCGGTCTCGTTCTCGACTGGCTTTTGCAGGAGCTCCCACAAGACCTCCTTGCGAAACTTGAGGTAAATGAGCAAAGCTCCCTCATTCCCAGCAGAGCTAACAATACGTAATCAGGTATACACGTTCGGCAACGCCGCAAACCACTTCAACAATCCCCATCGCCATGTTTTGTCCCAGGCCTTGGCGCAGAGGAACCCCGCCGCCATGACTCTAACTACAACTACCACGACCCATGGAGGAGCCGCCGTTAGCAGTCCCATATCGCCAGTCACCAATGGTGACCTTCGCCAGGCCTCGAGTCTGAGCAACGGAAGCAAGACCCAAAAGAGTCACTCTGGCACGCCAAGCATCCCTAACGAATCATCGTCAACCTCGTCACGGTCGTCGACTGCGGCGCTAGACAGGGCCATAGGCCACGTCGAGCACTACGCCCACTCGACGGACTTTGTGGCGATCTGGGGCGTCCTCCACTTCTGCACGTCCCTGACTGCCGACCACAGCATGCCGCGCTTCATCGGGCGGCTGTTTGTGCGCGCCTCGGAACGCGGCGGTCACCAGTTCTGCCAGCACTACCTCGACGGCATGTTCCCTCTTGCTAGAGACCCAGAGACGGGAGAGTTCATTGGCGCATCGGACGAAAGCGAGTTTATGGAGAGCGAGATTCAGGTCGGTCGGCAAGGCGATGCCGGGGCCAACGCCCGCGAGGCATTCGAGGTCTCATATCTTGGCCGCGGGTTTTCGAACGAGGTTGAATTCCACGATGATAACGTCAGGGGAAGGCACAGGAAGAGGACCGTCAAGGTCAAGGACCTCTCCAGGTTGTGGCTGTACCGCAACGGTCGCAGCCCTCCTGAGACACCACCACTGCTGTACACGGAGAATGGCATTGTTAGGAACGCGACTTTGTAAGGTGTCAGTGAAGCTTTGATGTTTCGCTCGTAGTCATAGATTGATACCCTGCATTCCAAGCATTTGTATTTGTACATGTCCACTTTCACACTTTTGAGAAGTAAGACCAATGGACTCCATGTTTTTGTGAGATGTGTCTGAACAAGAGTAGTTGTGAGACGGGAAGTATGTTTAAGGCCTCCTTGATGACTCAGCTGACTGAGCTTCTTGAATAAAGGGCTGAGACACGCCGTGAGCGATGCGATTGCATATTGATCCACCAATTATGAATCTGAGATATAAAGCACATTTGGTGGTTCCGAAACAAAGTTCGGAGACGAAGCCTGTAGTTCATGATTCTTGCGGTGCATCATACCTAGTGGAAACGCGAATAGTCGACTTTGCACAAAGGTACAGGTGGAGATTGCAGCTTTGAGCGCGTTGTCAGTACTGTCTGCTGGTCAGAACTTATATGTTGCGTGAGGTCGAGTGGATATGCGCGAGCCGCAGAGAAGCAGTTGGAGTGAGTATGTTGTCGAGCTCTGTGTCGGGGAATTCTTATAGATACCTCCTGCAGCAGATGGATGAGTGATTACGAGTAAACAACCCCTTACACCCCCAACTCAGCAAGCGTCTGAATGTTTGCAGTTAAGGGGGTAATTAGATCATGTTGCGCTCGTATAAGAAGCAGCAGGATAAGAAATCAACCGATCCAGATACGAGAAATAAGCCAATCCCCAGGCACGGACGTCATTGAACAGACCCCTACGATGTAATTACCTAGAAATAGGTGCACTCCTTGCTCCAGACGCAATGGGGAAAGTGAATTCAATCTCTTGGCCGGCTGCCGAAAGCTTGTGGTCAAAGGAGGCGCTCTGGATCAATATGTGGTGAGTGCGGGAGGCAAATGAGTTGACGGTGGATCGCAGGCCCTGGAACCCGCAAAGATGACGGCCTAACCTGCTGACTCCACACGTGCCTTGATCAGCTCATTGCCCCGAATACGAATTTGATTCAATTCTAAGTGTTGAAGTGCATTCACCCCGAGAATTTCACTGACGATTCTGGAAGCGGGCTTGTGAGCCCCGTGGCCGTTGACGCTGGTGATAGTTTTCGGTGAAGACGTTTCACCGAAGGTGAGGATCGGTCGGCAGTGTGAGTGGAACCCGCCTTATCAGGATGACTCACCGACACCGCCATGGCGTGGCGGGTTGTGGGCCCCATGCTGCATCGCCCCCCTGGTCCCAAACTGCAGCGGGACCCTAGATATCCGTAAAATCGCCCGGGAAACAACGCCAGCGAACCCATGCCATGTCAAATCAGCATGGATCTGTTTTACACGTGTGCGAAGGTTTCAGTCGAGGCCGGTCATGCTTCCTCTCAGCACCTGCCATACAGCCGGCCACGGGGGCGCGGACATGGCTGTTTTGGAATCAAATTGGAAATACACATTTGCTCATGCGGCGGGTGGCCTGACGGTTCGTCAGTCACGGAAATGATTCATCTCGAGGCGGCTGATTACACACCGCCTCGAAACCCAATCACCGGCGTTCCCAACATCTCGCAAACACGGCTCGACGAGGGGTGGCGCGTCCCTGACCCAAGTGCCTTGGATGGTGTTTGGGTGTTTTGGCGCCGGACATTGGTTCCGGTTTTATCATCTTAGTATCTGAGCCAAGGGGCGGACCAAACCCAGACACACACAAAAAAATAGAAGCTTGAGCTTTGCCCACCGCATGCTTCAGCCCTGGCATCTGGTTCGCGCCGTCTCTAATCTTTATCGGGCCGCCGAAAATTGACGCAAGCCGGTCCCCTGCGCCGGGATCGCACAAGGGTGGGCGCGGTTTCCACCATTATCCATCAAAGAGCTTCACAAGCGGCGAAAGGGGAGGATTCCAGACGCGCCAGAGTCCAGAACGGCGACGAGGCCCCATAGAAAAAACTGGATATACCCGAGCGATCTCGAATCCGCTTGCCGCCATCCTCTTTTTTTTTTTGCGGCCTTGTCGCCCTATCTAGGTTGAGAAGTGACTCGCCAACAAATTTTCCAAACGGTCAAGGAGTCTGCTCGCTGGGAGTTCTTTAAGCAGAGAGGCCGCCCCTCGATCCTCTTTCCCTTCTCCCACACGAAACCCAAAGACATCTCGCAGACGAACGAAGAAAAGAATCACCCGCTATACACCCCATCGCAGACCCGTCATGAACTCGGTCCACATCAAGCACGGCTCCGTTCGGCAAGGCAAGTACGACGTCTACTGGAGCAAGGACAATGAGTGGGCCATTATCGATGACGAGGAGGACGAGGAGAACGAGCGCCGGCTGAAGGAGGCCTACCATCACCACCGCCTCAGCTCGCGATACCTGACTGCCGGCCTCTTCGTCGTCCTGGTGCCCGCCATGTGCGGTTTGCTATGGTGCTGCCGGTGAGTTGCCTATATCCCGTCATCTTTTTTTATTTTTCATTTTTTTGTTACCGATTCAGCTCACTAACACTTTCAACAGACTGAGACGGCGCATCTAAGCAAGTGTCGCGACAAAGTTTCAACGACAAGAGTCGACTATGCCGTCGGCTCACCAACCAGACCACGGCCGTGGTTCCGCCTAGTTCCACGCATTTCGCACGGCTTCTGAACCAACGCTGACGACACCGGCCGCGCGCCAAGACCGTCCCTCAACGCGTTGGTCATTACCATTTTTTTATTATTTCACGAAGCATCACGCAAATCACCTTCATCAAGCCGGAAAAAAAGATGTAATCACTTCTTTTTTATTTCTTCTGGCAACGAGGAAGCGCGCTCGGCACTCCACTCCGGCACCCTCTCGGCCGTCGTCTTCTCCTTTTGGGCATGCGACTGCTCGGCCGCGGCGATGGCAGCATCCAGCCCGAGATGCGCCGCGCCCTTGACGAGCGTCGCCTCGGACGACCCTTCGCCGCCGTCCACCAGCAACTCCGCACACGCGGCAGCGCCTTCAAAGGCCACGGCGCCGAGCGCCAGCCCCGCGGCCATCGGAACCAGCACGTCGCCGCGTTTCGTCTCGACCGCGAGGCCGCGGTCGAGCGCGTGCTCCTCGAGGATCCGCCGTTTGCGCCGGGCATTGTGGATGCGCGCCGCGTCGTAGGGGACCAGGAGCCAGGTCAGGCCAAACGTGAAGCCGCCCGCGGCGGTGTGCAGCGCCGCGCCCGTGGCGCTGCTCGCGAGCCGGCGGACGTAGTGAGATCGCCGGGCCAGGAGGACGTCGTCGGGCATCTCGGCGCACTTGAGGCGGTACGCTTCGGGGTCGAAGGGCATGTTTGCGCTATGCCCGCTGAGGTTGCGATTTGGGTTTGGTTGGTTTTGGTACGGATATATTGAACAAGGGTTTATTTTTGTTTTGGGAGAGACTCGGTCCTCGGGAATTGGTATTGTTTGCCTCGTATACTTCAAGTCATCGGAGCAGCGGCTCGACGAGAGCAGTTATACACAAAAGCCGTTGGCCTCAGACGTCACAATCGGACTTCTAGACACAGCCCCCTCATCACTTGGACGGATACACCGTATACCAACGAGATTGAACCAAGCGCATGAACTGCATAATTACAAACACGTCCCGGCACACCGCGCCGATGAGGCTGAGAAGTTTAAGCCTTTTGGATGCGCGCTCCTGTGATGATTGCGGGCCGAGGAATCGTTGCCTCCCCGAGCGCAGCATCCAGCCCGACTCGCGGCGCGAAGCGGTCGGGGTCCGGCAAGGGATCAGTGCGCCGGACGCCCCCGGATGGCTGGACGAACGTTATCTGCGGTATCTGCAATCTCGGACGACCAGGATGGGAGCTTCAAACGGCGGAGTTTCGGAGTCCGAGTATTCGTGCTGGTGGTGCAAGGAACATGCTCACAACGGAGGGCGCAGACCTGCTATCCCGTTTTCTCATAGTTTGCATAACATCTTTAAAGGCTCGGCGGGTTCGCAGCACGTCTTAATAGGAAGTCCCACGCGTAATGAATAATGTTTAATGGGAAATTCTTGCATTAATAATCATCAAGTCATCAAGTTGTGCCAATGCCGGTTGTCGTTCACTCGTCCTGTTGTCCCTTTGCCCCCCAAAAAACCGTACAAGTACACAGCGGCCCCGACGACCCACAACTTCAATTCAAACCTTCAACTCGACGTCGCGGCGGTACGTCCACGTGGTGGCGTCCGAGTACACGGGCTTGTAGCCCAGCACGCCCTCGACGAGCGAGAGGACGACGGTGGGCGTGAGGATGAAGGCGCCGCCGTACTTGTGCTCCGTGGCCAGCACGAGGCGGTCGATGCTCGCGCCAAGCCCAAAGGCGCACTGGTGCAGCCTGACCTCGACGGCGGGGGGCTAAACAGTTTCCCAAAAAAAAAAAGTCAGCAAAATCAACTTCTCTTCGTCCCAAGCATCGGAAAAAACCTTTGGGTCCCGCACCTTGCTGCTGATCTGGTGGTTCGTCCTGCGCCACCGCTTGAAGTAGTCGGCGAGGAACTTGAGGGTCGCGCTGTGGCTGCACTGGACCTCGATCTCGTAGGCGCCGCGGCTGTAGATCATGAGGTGGTAGGGCGGCTTCAGGAGCAGGTCGTCCGGGCGGGGCAGGGCGTCGGCGCGGGGCATGAAGTCGGGCGGCGGCTGGGTCGCCGTCGAGCTCACCGAGGGCCCGCGGCGGTGGGCTCCGCCGTTGGGGCCGCTGACGGAGAGGCGGCCCATGCGGGCGTCCATGCCGACCTCGGCCCAGTCGTCCGCCGTCGGCGAGGCCGAGTACGGGGGCAGCTGCTTGTGGTCCGCGAAGCATTCCTTGAGCTCGGCCTGGAAGAGCGGCTGGAGGTTCAAGGGCGTGATGCGCTGGTGCCGGGGCAGGGCGATGAGGAAGCCGCCGCGGTCGTCGGACCATGTCGTCGAGGCGTCATCTTGTCTCGAGACCTGTGTCGCGTGTAAGTGTTGGATTCTGTTTCTCCTCTTTTTGTGAGGTTATGTGCGTGGTGCGCTTACTTCAATGAAGAGTCTTAGTCTTGACCAGGTGATCTTGAGCTTCTCGAGCAAAGTCTCGGTCCACTCCTCATTCTTGCCATCGTCGAGGAGCTCCGTCGCGGCGCGGCACCATGCTATGACGGTGCCGGCGACGGCAACGACGGCGTCGGCCCTCTCGGTGTAGTCGGCGTCGAGCTCAGTGAGGAGAGGCTGCCACTCGGGGTTCACATCGACCTCGAGGCCGAGGACGTCCTGGAGGGCTTTGAGGGACTGCTGGAGGTGGCTGTCGTCCTTGGTCCAGTGGTCACGGATTGCAACCTTCACTTTGAGGGGTCTGAGGGATTGGTCAGTGTGTAAGTCGGGTGTGGGGCAGGGGTTGGTTCGCGAAAGGGGCGGCGAGGCTTACAGAGTTGTCATGCCAGGCTTGGATCTTGTTGGTTCGTGTCGTTGGTGAGATGGTGTGTGAGATCTTGATGAGATCTTTAAAGGAAAAGTCGGTTGAGTTTCTTGAATGGTGTCTGGTACGAGACAGCTCTTGTGAACTCTGTATGGGAATCTGACGCTTGATATCTACTTTGAACCGTGAAGGATGGACCCACAGATGCAGTGAAATGCGCGTTGACTTATCAGTCGAGAAATCCACCTCTGGTGCATCCCAGCGCCAAGCTGACCGCCAAGACGCGTCCGGCAGCCCGCAGCTGAACATGTGGCGTCACAACATCCCCGTCTAGCGAGGCGGAGTCGCTGTTCACACGTCAATTAGAGTCACACTTGAGAACCAAAAAACAAAATGCCGTGGACCTGGCACGTCTGGGTTTGAACCATGAACAGAAAATGCGACTCTGATTAATTGCGAATCTGGACTGCGGCGATCAGCGCATAGGATGCGGCCGTTCGAGGGTGGGACGGTCAGGTCAGATGATGAGCCGATGGTTTTTGCGCCGAGGTCACGGGACCGCAGCGTGCGAACATGCCACCGGTTCCATCGGCCTGTCGGGCAGAGACACTGGGGACTCGGGCAGAGTTTGGCGCTGTCTGACAGGCACGTGCCGGGTTGTGTCGGGGGTGCGGACCCTGGGAGATCCTTGAAATGGCTCTAGACGACGAGAAAGAGGCGGACACCGGGAGACGTTGTCGGACGGTCAGAGAAGAGTCGGAGGAGAAATAAAAAAAAAGCAGAGACGAGTGACAAACCACAGCCCGCGGAAACGGTAAACGGTCCGGACCGAGATGGGAATGGGAAGGTGGTGATGTCATGTGGTCAATCACCTGGGTTGCGCATGTGGGCTGCCTCCCGCCGCGAGCCTCTTGGTTTTCTTCCAAGAGTAATAACGTAACGTAGCACATGTGCATGCGTGATGCGTGCATGTATGCGTGCATGCGTCTGTTGTGTGTTGTGTTGGGTTGGGTTGGGTTGTATTCCAGCAGATTGTCGGTGTCGCAGACCCTGAGAGAGACAGAGAGCCGCTGCCAACTATCCAATGCTCGACTCCAACTTCGACTGCATCCAAGAGCCCAGCTTCAACTGTGTACAGGTCTGCAACTGCTGTAGCTCCGCACCCAAGACATGAGAAAGGGGGGCCCTCGACGTGTTGTGATGTAAGCTGCTGCGCCCAGGCAACAACCATCACGGCCATGGCTGCTTGGCGCTGTTGCGGCGGCTGTAGATCGGCCCAGGCCTCCCCGCTAAACTTCTTAGCTAGCTACCTTGGCGGCCCGGAGCCCCTGAAAAACTGCTGGGCACGGCGTGCACCGCGCCATCGTTGCGTTGCAATACCGTCGTGTCCACATCCGGGCAAAGGTCGGCGAGGACTCGAGTCCAATTCTTCATCTCAACCGCCTAGCCGTAGGGCTGGGCGCTAATTTGATGGCTCCCACATGAGTCTCAAAGAAACGACTATCGATCCTGTTGCAAATAGCCTAGTTTGTCGCCGAGGCTGAGTTTGTGAAGATGATCGCTGCCCTGTGAACCTCTGGATGAAGCTTGGCGAGGGCTGTTGACTGGCCAAGCCGACGACGAGGCTGTTTAAAGGTCACGAAGCTGAAAAAGAGGGCTGAATCCAGGAAATGAGTGGTGAAATTGAGGCTTTTTGGCTGCGATGCCGGTAGACACGAACGAGAATAAAACGCTGTCGAACCCTCTCACGATGCAAGTCTTCCAGGATCATCCAACGCCGACGTTGCCTTTCGATTTACTCCGTCTCCTTGGTCGCATCAACTGCCGTTGCTCGTAACAATGTCTCGCATTCCGCCCGTGGAAAAGCTACCGCTTGCGGTCCGGAAGAACCGTACGTCGCAAACTCCAGTCCCGCCAAACTTCCTCGGGCACTAACAGTCTTCCAGTCCGTGATGAGTGGGAGAGCAAAAAGGAAGACCTCGAGAAGGAGCTCTCCGACGTCCTCGGCGCCGAGTGGACGTTGAGCGAGATCAACCCGAACGAGCTCTACGCCTACGCGGGAGATGGCTACGCCAAGCAGTACCTTGGCAGCTGCATCGCCCAGTGAGCTCAACCCTCCCTCCTCAGACAATCCATCTCACTGCTTCGTCAAAACTAACGCCGGGATAGATACGTGTCCTCGGCCATCTCCAACCTCAAGTCCTTTGCCTCGACTTACGGCGAGGACGGTAAGGCGGAGCTCAACTCCATCTGCCACGCCCGCTCGCTGCTCCTCGACCTCGACGACCGGCCTGACAAGAAGGCGCGCGTGTCGTACTGCGGCGTGCTCGTCAGAGACGGCGGCAAGCTGGCCCTCGTCTTCGCCGAGGGCAACCTCGGCACCAACGCCGACTACGCCATCGACAGCGCGGGCCTGCTCAAGGCCCTCAACGACGCGCCGCCCGCCCCCGGGTCCGACGGCGCCATGAGCTACGCCGCGCGCACGTCGGTGCGGCAGGAGTACGACGAGCAGATCGAGGAGACGAGGAAGAAGCTGGCCGACATGCTCGAGCGGCCCGACGTCGTGCTCGTGCCCAACTTTGAGGCCAACTTTACAAAGATCCGCGAGGCCTCCCAGAAGAAGGGCAGCGAGGTGAGGGACGACTGGGAAGGTAACCTGGGCGGGTTCACGCGGATGTACTTTGAGGGGCTCGAGTACCAGATGGCCTACCAAAAGTTTGGGGAGGACGACCTGCTGAGGGAGGGCTTCAACGACGCTGTCGAGAAGGGGGAGGTTCACTTCCGCATTGTGGATAAGATGGCGTACGGCACGTATGGCGAGGTCGTCCTGGAGGACGGAGCCGTCTACGTTCAGGTATGTTGATACCGGCTGTGTCAGATGGTGGATCGTGGTGTTTGCTAACTGTTGGGTAGACTCGCCCTCACCACTTTGGCTCCAATGTGAGCTATGCCGCTGAGAAGCTTTTGGACCAGCTTTGATGAGTTGGCATGAACCTGTTGACAAGGAACCAGGAACGGTGTCTAGCATATCAAATACCGCACTAAAGTGATAGTAACCGAAACAAACGAGTTGGTACATAATACGTTCCGACGAGCTTCGAGCAGATTGAAAGCTCCGTTTCTCATCTAGCCCCGTCCCAGGCGTACTCTTCACTCCAATCTTGCCATTGCATGTATTGGCCATGGCTGCCTTCTCGGGTGATGCGGACAGGGGAGCAGCTCCTGGTATGGCAACTGTCACTAACCTCCTGGGACTCATCGTGATCCTGGTTACCTAGAGGCTTGAAATATGTTCCTTTTCATTAACATTAAAGATACATGAGACGTCTCTACCTGGACCTATGACACCAGCGACTGCTGCTCACGAGCGACCCGCACATCGCCGTCTCAAGAAAGGCGCCCAGGACGCCGCCAACAATACCGCCTCCCGCGTCACCGGCAGTGACGAGCCCGAGACCCAACTCCCGATCGCCCTGATCTCTTCGGTCCTCCCTGACTCTGGCTAAAACATTGATGTATAGCGAGCCGCCCGCAAACCCAACCAGGAATGCCAGGAGGAAGGCAATGTACGTGGATATGAGGAAGATCGCGTTGATGAATGCGACGACGGCCCACACACCCAGAGCGACGAGATGCAGTTTGAGGCCCCGCACCGGGAGGAACCTGATCGACGATCGCCCCATCCAGGTTCCTAGATACATGGACATGCCGTAGGTGGTATAAAAGTGAGAGAACGTCTCAAAGCCCGATCCGTCCAGCGGCCTGGCGAGACCGTACTGCAGCAGCGACAGGGAAGCGGACGCCGCGAACAGCGGAAGCATGTCCGACCGCATCAGGCCGCAGAGGGTCCTGAACGTCCTGCTGATTCCCACGGGACTGTTGGATCGCGACGCGCTCTCGTCCCGACCCAAAAATGACCGCCCTTCCTCAGCGCTGGCGCCTTCGCGGTCCTTCCCACGCTCGTCCTTCATTTTGCCCCTCTTGGTCAGATTCTGGGGCAGAATGATAAAATGGGAGACCAAGAGCATGGCAATGAGGTAGTAGATGTACCCCGTGGCGCTCCGCAGGACCTTCCCCGCACCGTACGTCAGCAGAAACGGCCACACGGCGTTCTCGAGCAGGCCCGCACCGGTGCCGAAGCCCCACCCGGCCAGCGCCGGCGCGCCGGCGTGCCCGATCATCCCGAGACATGACACTTCCGTCGCAGTGGACGCGACGGAGGCGATCACCGCGTTGACGATGCGTACGGGGGGGAGCACATTGGGCGGCGTGTCGTCGACGATGCGCTTGACGATGAACCAGCACACCGCGACGACGAGGGGTCGGATCCGGCACGGGATGCGGTGGATGATGAACGGCAGCGACAGCTTGGTGAGAAGCACCGGCAGGAGTTCGATCAGGATGACGACATGTCGCGGGTAGGGGATGATGAGGTAGTTGGCTGCATGGACGATGGAAGGGAGGATCGTGTTGGCGAGACCTTGATTTCGTTAGCGACGGGAGGCCGGGGACGGGTGTAGTCTAGTTGGTGGCGAACACGGGGACAAACTTACCTATCAGCGCGAAACCCCAGAATGCTCGGGAATTTTCAAATGAGCACTGCATAACGGCGGTTCGGCCCGCTGTCTTGCTTTTTGCCGCCATCGCGAAAGGGGGTTGCAAAGGTCAAAGTTTCGGAAACCCTCTCCCTCACAACGCGCCAGCAGAAAATTGTGCTTCTTCAACCGAGACATCGAAGCCATCGGAAACTCGTTCAAACGACTTTTTGAGGTCAGTCACGCTCACTGATCAATCGAAGCACAGTTGGCGAACCACGTGCTGTTGCCGTGAAGGCCAAGCATGGATTGGCGGTAGACGAGACCCGGCGCCGACGAATCGAATCCACCACGTGGGATGGGTTCGGCAATTGATAGGGGTGGGAGGCGTCACACAGGCCCCCAATCAGATAACATGAGGGCCACCGGGGAGGCATCGACATGCTTGATGATCATGCCTTGTCGATCGCATGGCTTTCGTATTTATCGGGTTTTAGGACGTTTCGGCAGTCGCGACAAAATGGAGCAGAAGGAAGCGTCACGCATCGTGACATTTCTCGCAGGTCCATCGTCGCGACAGTGAGCCGCACCCGTCATGGCTTCGAATCTCATGTTCTGGCGCCGGGGCTCCAAGTCCAAGGCGGGAAGCCGTAACGGGCTGTTGGATGGCGATGCGCAAGGCCGTCGCCAGGTTCCCGCCACGCCGGCGGAATGGCTGCGGGCCGTGCTGAGATTCGTCCTGCCCGTCGTGCTCTTTGGCATCTTTGGCTATGCTCTGATGAACTTGGTATGTCCCGCGGACTCATTCGCTTTGCTTCGCTAATTTACCACAGTCTCCCATGGAGGTCGCGCGCTTCACTGGCGGCGGCAACATCGAGAGAACGATCACGCGATCTCATCTCGAGAGCCTCCACAAACCGAGCCGCGTCGACAACGGCGGCTCCCGTCGCCTCAGGCTCTTTATGCCTGCCGATGGACCAAGCATCAACCTCTGCAAGACAATCATGTCGGCCGTCGCGCTGGGATACCCGATGCCCACCCTTCTCAACTGGGACGGGGAGTTCAATCGGCCGGACTGGCACTTTGCCGGGTCCCACATCGCGAAGCTGGAGTCCTTGCTGGCGGTCATCGACGACTTGTACGAGCGGGACGACGACGTGAATGAGAACGACCTCGTTCTGCTCGTCGACGCCTACGACATTTGGTTCCAGCTCCCGCCCTCCGTTCTCATCGAGCGCTTCCACCAGCTCAACCGCAAAGCCGACGCCCGCGTGAAGAAGCAGTGGGAGGACCAGGGCCTCAAGCCGGACTTCCCCGTGTCTCCGCCAACCCAGAACATCATCGTCACCACGGCCAAGGACTGCCAGCCGACCTGGGAGTCGGGCTCCGACCCGCGCTACGAATACTGGCTGGACTCGCCCCTGCCAGCGGACTTTTACGGCAACGAGACCGACCACGTGCTGCCGTACGTCTTCGACTCGGCCAGGAAGTACAAGAAGATCCGGCCGCGGTGCGTCAACAGCGGCATGATCATGGGCACCGTCGGGTCGCTCCGCGGCGCGCTGCGCAAGTGCAAGGGCAAGGTCGACGTGGCGGCCGCGGCCGGGCGGCAGCTCTGGAGCGACCAGGCGCTGTTTGCCGAAGTCATCGGGGACCAGGAGGTGTGGCGGCACTGGATGCGAGGGCTATCCTCGTCCTGGAACGGCCTCGTTGCTCAAGAACAGCTGGGGCGCCTGCCCGGGGACGTGCGGCGGATTGCAGATGCGGCGTTGGCCGGGGAGGAGTTTGAGTTCGGGATCGGTCTGGACTACGACTTTGCGACGATTCCTCCCACGTGCTCCTCGGAAGACGATGGGTACTTTGTCAAGCTCGACGATGCGGAGGCGATCAAGAGGGAGTCGGACAAGGCGGGAGTACCCGGCGACGTGAGGGTGAACAGCATCCCGCCCGAGCTGAAAGACGCCCCGCAGCCCATCCCAGGGTACGGATGGAGCAACCTGTCTCTCTACACGGACTTCTTCTTCGGCACCTCCCCCGTGGGGATCCACCACAACGCCTATATATTCGGCCTGAAGGCGTGGCGGCTAGAGAACTGGTGGAGCCTGACGTGGTTCTACCCTCACCTGCGGGAGCTGGTGACCAAGGCCTTGGAGTCGAACAGGAAGCTCGCGCCGTTGGCGCGGCTCCCCATGGACTCTGACGGCCGAAACGAGATGGTGTACTGGGCTTCTGAAGAGGGGTCGAGCGAGGCGAGCGTCAAGGTCTTTGATGGGTCAAGGGAGCGGACGGGTTATTCGTCGGTTGGGTGGGATGGCGTGTGCCAGAAGGGGGAGAAGAAGTGGTACGATGTAATATTCGCGGATGAAAAGGGGCCGCTGGCTGCTTGATCAAGGTTCATATAACCAAGCTCTGTTAATAAACTGTGAACATGTTACGAACACACCTTGTCTGCCTCTGTTATGATAGAGCTGTACATCAGGGTGTACATAAGACCCCGGATACTGAATGGAATTAACACTACGGAAATCAATCATAGTTTATCTACTTTGTAGTTGCGGTTACTACAGATTACGGTATTGCATACGTCTGAGTGAGAAGCCCCTACGGATTGGTTCTTTTTCATGCTCACCACACCGGGAGGGCGTAGAAGTCTATCAATATTGTGGACATGCCATAGTGACGACGCCGAGGGTAAGGTGAAGTATCCCTAGAGGCTTCCACTGCAGGCAGACACAAGCAGCACAGAACGGCTCGAAATTAGGCAGTAAAAGTCTACGAGCTCGTGCCTTGAATTACTGACGAGGCATCATGCAAACTCATTCTCTCCGCGTCTTTTCACCTCCGTACCCGCTCAGCGATACCCGGCAAGGATACCCATCAGTGGGATGCGCCGCGCCCGCCTCGACCATGAAAACCCTCTGCCCCCCCAGCCCGCTCAGATCCAGCTTCTTGTCCCCGTCGAGCTCGGCGTAGCAGTCCTTCAGATCAAACTCCCGCACCACGCACGCCAGCACGGCCTTGGTCTCCGTCATGACCAGCTGCTGCCCGACGCACAGCCGCGGCCCGTACTCGAACACGCGCCAGCCGCCCTTGGGCGGGTACAGCTCGTGCGCCGGGTCCGTCACCAGCCACCGCTCGGGGAGGTACTCGTCGGGCCGCGCCCAGTACTTTGGGTTCCGCTGGATGGCCCAGTGGAGCATGTTGACGGCGACGCCGTCGGTCGGGTACGTGTTGCCCTCGGCGTCGCGGAGGACCAGGTCCGCGCAGCCCTGGCGGATGCCGCCGGCGGGCGGGAACATGCGCAGCGACTCCTTGATGCAGGCGGTGGTGTACGGCAGCGCGTTGAGCAGCGCCGGGTTCTCGACGATCCGGGCCGGGGCCGATCGGACGTCGGCGCCGAGGACCTCGTCGTGCTCGGCGCGGACCCAGGCGAGGACGTCGGGCCGCGAGCCGATGTTGTGCAGGCAGTAGACGACGGTGGAGGCCGTCGAGTCGTAGCCCGCGAAGAAGAACATGCGCATGTTGCGCGTCATGATGCGCAGGTAGTCGGCGTCGAGCTCGGTGCGGCCGGCGTTGTGCGGCTGCGCGAGCCAGTTCTCGAGGGCGCAGTCCAGGACCGACTGGAACCGCTCGGCCTTGTCGCGGTTGTGCGCTCTGTTGTGCAGCAGCGTGCGGAAGCGCGCGTCGATCTGCCGCTTGATGTGGTTGTCGAGCACGCGCCCGCCGTTCCAGGTGCGGAAGAGGAGGACGGGGTCGATGCGCGCGACGAGGTTCTCGGGCTTGTGGGCGGTGAACTTGAGGCGGAGCTGGCCCTTCATGGCCTCGGCGAGCGGGTGCCGCCGCTTCTGGGTCTCGAGGCGCATGTTGAAGAGCTCCTCGCCAATGATGTCGGTGATGAGGTCCAGCATGAGCGGCTCGAGGCGGAACATGCCGCCCTCGGCGGCCTTGGCGCGGAGGCGGTCGGCAAAGGTGACGATGTTGTCGACGATGATGGGCACGGCGGCCGTGATGTTCTGGTTGCTAAAGGTCGGGCTGAAGAGGTTGTGCAGGTGCTTCCAGGGCCGGCCGTTGGTGTCGAACTGGCTGGGGCCGCCGGTGATGGGGTGGAACCAGCCGAGCAGCATCGGCGGCTTGTTCGAGCCCGCGACGGGGTGGTAGACGGTCTGGTGAGCCATCTCCGGGTCGAAGACCATGAGCATCGGGTCGGCCATGGGCCAGGTGTCGACGTAGAATGCGCCGTTCTTGAACGGCTCGCCGAGTCTGGACAGGATGTAGTTTGCGTGCACGCCGGGCGGCAGGCTGTCAAAGGCCTTCTTGGCCTCGAGGAGGTTGCCGAAGAGAAAGCTATGAGGGACGACGGGCTGTTTGTGGTGTTAGCGACGTACGCATAGTGTATCGGGGGCGCGGAGCTCACCAGTCCTTGCCGCCTCAGCTCGGCCATTTTGCCGCGATGCTTCCTTAGGAGCGTGATGAAGTAGAATAAGGAGCCAACAGCGGTTACTAGAACGGCCGCCGCGGCCGACCTCAAAAAGTAGGAAAATGCCCCGTCCATCTTGAAGGCAGCGTTGAGGATGTCGCTGGTTGGTTTGTCCGACCGCAACTTGACTCCTGTTACCGACTATGGGCCGCACCCGTCAAGACTCCGTGTCTTCTATGTCCCGTCGTTCTTCACCACAAGGCCACGAACTTTGATTCTTCCAAGATTGTAGACGGGGGAAGTTGAGAAGCTGACAGGATGAGCGGGAAGCTTTAAATCATTGGATTAAATCGGCCCCGACAAATGGGATGCGCTCCGATAAGCCAAGCTACCCCATACGGGGTGCCCGCAATTCGCACCATCCAATTTGTTGAATCCTGTAGGCACCCGAACAGCTGGGATCAGGGGTACATGCACAGCTGTCATTGTCCATTACAGTTTGCTAATTTAACGCCGTTCCCGATCACAACAACATCACTTAGGTCCACGCACGGCATGGGAGCAAATCCTGAAGGATAACCAGTGGGCTGATATTGACCACACGTAAGCCCAAGCCCTAGTCTCCATGAGTGGTAAAATCGCTTCTTTTTTCGCTTTGCAGCTAAAATCCTACGACTTTCCCTCAAACAACTCAAAGTGGTATCTGATAATGCCTCCATGATCCTGTCGCTTTGTGGTGTGGGGGGTGGTAGTGCCCGCCATATAACCAAATCCTTCCTGCGCCGGGTTGTTCTGTGATGCCTCTTTTCCTTGATCCTTTCCTTTCAAGCCTACCAAGTTCCAATGAATGGACCGAAACTCCAAAAAGATAAAAATAAAATACAAGAATTTGAAAAATTCCAAAACCCAAATGAGTAGCGAAAACATGAAGCGCTGCTCCGTTTACGAAAGCGCGGGATGTTCGCCAACTTCTCGCCTCACTGTCTGCGTCGGGGGGGAATCCCAATCTCAAGGTGTAGCTAGCAGCCACTTTCTGGCTGCAGGCTTGTGTAACAGAGAACCAATGGTGCATACTGAAAGAGGCCGCTGCTCCCTAATGGTGAATGACAGTATACCTCGCGGTCTCGGGCCTATAATGTAGTGCGAGACCATACTTGGATACTCTTCCGAATATTGGTCAACGACATTGGAGGGTAATGAGTGGGAGGCAGGAGCATGCTTTTCAGGCTGTGCTCTACTCAGGCTTTCAACGTCCATCTATAGACGCAATGGAGACAATAGTTGGCGAGTTTGACGTGCCGGTCCAGGAACCCGTCCTTTACCTCGGCACGCCGCCAGCGAGTCCAACGGCCACGGAGGATGTCAGGAGTTCCATGTCGTTGTAGGTCTGCTTGCAGCCCCTTGGCGGCTTGCCCTTGGCGAAGCCATGGCTGTAAGCTTCGCCCAGGACGCTCAAGTCCATCGTCGGGGTCTCGGGCGGGCAATCTCTGCGGACGACGACCAAAGAGGACTCACGCGACATCCTCCATACCTCGTCGCCGGCCCGGGTCTGGTTGGGCACCAGCACCAGAGCGCCGTGGTCTTGCGTCAGAGCCAGCCGGCGGCTCTTGTCCTTGACGAAGGTCTCGAGGAAAGGAACCTCGGTGTCCGCTGTGGGCGCGAGCGGACCGGTGCTCGACATGGCGTCGGTGAGCAGGTTCCTGTCGTCCAGGGTCCAGAACTGTCTGAACGACTCCGGGTCTTCGCCGGCTCCGACAGCCTTCTCAAAGTCGCCGAGCCCGGCCAGGCCGTTGAGGACGGGGCTGAGGAACCTGCTGAAGGACAGGACGATTTGGTCCCTGGTGAAGCCTTGGGGATACCTGTCGGTGGTGGTCTTATTGAGGCTGTCGCCGGATAGCGTCCGTATGAGGGTGTTCATGTGGCATTCTTCGTCCGGGCTCGGTGAGCGCATCTTGTAGACGAGGGTCAGGAGCTTGACTAGGGCAAGAGCTCCTTCAAGTGTGCCAGCTCCTCGGAGATGGCGACGACGGTGTCGACGTAGGTGCCGCCGAGCTGCACCTGTTCTGACTGGAGGTCGTCGACGGGCATGTTGTGGCCGAGTGGGAGGTTCATTGTTGGTTTGGTATGCGTGTATTTTCTGATATAGTCAAGTGGGAGGTCACGGCGTGAGGAAACGAGAAGGAGAAGGGGTTGGCAGCGGGTGAGACATATATCACAAAAGACCGGCCCAGACTGTCGTCACCATCCGCACTGGCGGGGTCATAATGGCCTTATCTAGCCGAGCCCTGATGTTTCCCTAGTTGCCGGGACACTGGTCGGCAGGGGTTGGCAAAAGGGACGTGGATACATGGCAGCGAGCTTCCGCCTGCTTCGTCCTATCCGGGGAGGCCAGTCCGGGGGGACTAAAGTTGGCTTGGTTGCGTAAACCGGCGGGTCTGCACACTCGCAAAGGGTAGGATGTGCGGGTTGGAGTGGGCTTGGTACTGGGACTGACGGGGCCAAGGCGGCTACGATGTCATGCGAATGGAGTCGGCCAAAGCTTGACCTGCGCCGCGTAGCCATGTGGAAAGGACTATCCGCTGTGCAGAATGCAGTATGCCTCATGTTGGGGTTGGAATTGGTTGCTTGGCACTGGGATAGCCCGGACCTTGGGGCCACAGTGTCACCCGGGCCTAATGTGAGGTAAAAATCCCCCTGGCACAGAATGCCAAAGTCCGCGGGCGACCGTCAGACATGCGTGATCTGCATCCGCCAGTTGGTTTTGTTGCAGCAGGTTGGTTTTGTGTGCACAGAGAACCAACGTTGTTCGGAGCACCGTACGTCGTAGGCCAAGGCAGAGGAGGTGGGATGGCTACGAGGACATGATCTTGTCTCGGCTATAGTGACGAACGAACGACTTGAGTGCAGGAAGGCGAACAAGATTTTGAAGGAGAAATGGAAAGCCAAAAAGTCTGGCAGAGATGACGTCGAGCTTGGATCCGCTTTTGACGGGCCCGGTTGTGTTGGCGCGCCTCAAAGAGCCGCCCCAGTAGGTAGGTACGGGGCAATCGGTACCTGCCCCCTGCTTACCGTCCGGTCGCTTCAGGGTCTGCTCATCCAATGTTTTGGGACCGGAACGCCGTCTCTCTCACAATTCCGAACTCGGTCGTAAAACTCAGTCCTGGTCGTTCGTGACAAGTTGGTCTTCGGAACCAGAATGTGGAGCCCGACACGCCCCGTTGACGACCCTGGAGGCAAATCTCAGCACTCCATCATGGCCTCCCGAGGTTAATTAGCCCAGGAATGCACACCCAGTAGCCTGTGTCACTCGAGGATACTGCCTTGGTGCTCATAGGACCAAAGTTCAGCTCTGATGTCAGCTTTGTCTCCCGTTCCGGCAAACCGGCACCAGCGACAATCCGTGTGTGGCCGGCGACACTGATCTGCCATCCCGCGTTGATCATTCCCTGCCATTCAGTTGGCTTCGGACGACCCTCCCTGACCCTTCAACGCACAATGTGTCGTGTCATCTCGTCGCCGCAACCCACTACTCACAACTCCAAACTGCCCTAGATATCCATAGTTACAGCCTTCGAAAGTATCCAACTCAATGGTCAAAGTCCTCATCATCATGGCCGACTGTGGCCATGATCCTACAGGTACCCTTCATCTATCTTCACCTCCTTGAACGGTTCTCGTCGCCAAGTCTCCCGTCATCGCCCTTTCGTGCACCTTTTACCCCTCATCCTCCCTCCAAATCGCCTCCCCCCCATCATCCCCTTGCTCGACGAGCAAGCTCCGCCCGGCTCCGCTCGTCCCAAGGCCCCCTGCAGTCTCCGCAATCGTCCCAAGACATCAAAACCCCTCCATGACTGGATCTGCGTCACGAACCCCAAAGCTAATCTGCTCGTTTGCCTCACAGAGGTCGCAGTCCCCTATCAGGCTTTCAAAGATGCAGGATTCGATGTAAACTTTGCGACTGAAACGGGCAAAAAGCCCCGATGTGATAGCCGCATGCTCGAGGGCATCTCCCAGAAACTACTGGTACGAGCTTCTCCTTCGAAAGACCATAACATCATCGTACATCAACGTCCCGCGGCGATGTAATAGGCGCTTGCAAATGCCCTATGCTGTTTTCTCGCGAGTTGGAGCAAACGTTAACGTGCGACCTTCTAGGGTGCCGCAGCTCCTGTTTTGAAAATCTACGACGCCATGGCCGAGTCCCCAGAGATGCAGAAACCGCTCTCCTGGACCTCCCCGGGCTTCACCCTCGATGATTTCGACCTTGTGCACATACCAGGCGGCCACGACAAGGAGGTCAGACAGCTCCTGGACTCGGCCACCGCCCAGAAGCTTCTCGCCGACTACTTCCCCAAGACCAAAAAGCCCGGTCGGAAAGTCGTTTCCGCCATCTGCCACGGCCCTCTGCTGCTCTGCAACGCCAAGGGCGAGGACGGAAACAGCGTCCTGTACCACTGCACGACGACGGCGCTCCCCGGGTTCTTTGAAGCATCGGCCTATCATGGTACCAAGTTGTTTTTAGGTGACTACTACAAGACGTACGGCGCCGGCTCGGAGAATGTTGAGAGTTTGGTGAGTGTCATCCGATATATGGGTTCGGCCCATCTCGCTATCGGCGCGAATACTCATCTCTTTTAGATGCGCAAAGCGGTTAAGGATCCTAGCCAGTTCAAGAGCAGCTGGATGCCCAACAAACCGTTCGTGTCTCTGTCTTCCTCTGATAACTGACCATTGCTCACATGTCTTTTCTCAGCTTCGTTGTAGAGGACACCGAGTACAACTACGTCAGCGCTCGATTCCCTCCAGACGCGGAAAAGATGGCTGAGATGACTGTCAACCTGGTCCACCTGGTCCAGGGTTTCAAGGATGGCGAGTCAGTGAGCGTATAGGTGCAACAAGTGGGCTCTTCGGACGCGTGTTCTGGCCTCCAGTAGTCTTTGCGTTTGCGACAGAGCAAGTCCCGCAAGCCCGCAGATCATACGCTGATCTGGAAACTGGCTGCCATGTTTCATAATGTGCATGTTTCGTTCAACAAACAGAGCCGCCCGCGAAAGGAGGGATACGCGCCGTTATGCAGGCACAAAACAGAAGATCCCAGTTCTGAATGACACAGTTTCACTGAATGTCGTCACTATGACCTCTTCTTGCAGGTGACAGCCTCTAGGAACAGCTATGTTCCCGGCATGGTTAAGCTTAAAGAACACATACTCGCCTGATTCGGGGACGTCCGGCGACCATTATGCTTGAGCGGACCGGCTCTATGCGTGTGCAGCGGATAACATAGGCCGTCGCCAAGAAGTTCTTTGTGGGCTGGGATGGTTCGAGTGACCCCGCAACTCAAGAGGCCTGTGAGTTGGACAGTTCCACGATCTTCTTGATAGCCTCATCGACGCCCTCGGCAACAATTGTAGGCTCAGTGTCGATCACACTGCCCAGAGCATCGATCCACCCCGTCCCACTCCTATCTATCCACGCCGACCGCCACCCAGCAGCCCTCGCGCCCAGGGCATCGAACGGATTCGAGCTGATGAGCCAGATCTTGTCTTCTCGTCCAGACATGCCGACTTTCCTCGCAAAGTGACTATACGTCCGTGGAGCGGGCTTGAAGCACTGCGGCTCTTCCACCGTGACTAGCTTCCCCGGGCCAAAAACCTGACCCATCCGCGATAGCCCGGGCGCTGTCTTCATCGACGTGCCCACCATGTCGTCGGTGCCGTTGGAAAAGACGTAGGCGTCGATAGACCCGTTCTTGTCGACGATATCCAAGGCCGCCTCGATCTCGGGGAAAGCCTGGAGCCCGTTGTAGGCTTCCATGAGGCGGCCCTCGTCTTCGGCAGACAGTTCGAGCTTCTTCTCGGCGACGGCGTGCTTCAGCGCAGCCCGCGTCAGCTCGGAGAACGGGCGGTAGATGCCTGCGTCTCAATGCTCAGCCGCACATTCGTTGCAAAGTAAATCATCGGTCACGCCCGACGAACCCATGCTGTTTATGCGCCACGTGTACTCCAGCTGATACCGCCGCCACTGCGCCGCCAGGTCTTTGGCGTTCTCGTCGCCGTACACCGTCGCCAGCTCCTTGGCGATGGACTCGGTTGACAGTAACGTGCCGTATAAGTCAAAGGCGATGACTGTCTTGGGCGTATTCTGCGCCATTGTCTTGGGTTTTGACCCCGCTTGGCTGATGGGTTGATAGGAAAGTGTAGCCTACGCCGTATGTCAGGGTCGAAAGTTCTTTCAAATTAACTGAATGTCACAATGGTCAGATGAAGGGTGTCGTCCGAACGTCTTTTTGGAGAGTTGTTCGCGGCGGCCTGCATCACCGAAACGCGGGGGAGACGGGGCGTAGAGCTGTTATAGCCCCCCACAGACGCGCGCTAAACGACCCTAAACCTCACTAAACTCGTCAGATCGGATGTCACGTCGGCCTAACGTCATCGACTCTCATCTCACCTCCACATGAATTTCATCTCATAGCTCACAACTCACCGTCGGTGCCGTTGCCATGAGGTGTTCCGACGAGGAGACGACCCAGTTTGAGACCTTTCGAGATTGCCTCTCGGCCGCCGTCGTCGAACGCGTTACGAAACCCACGCCAAAACCGAAACGGCGCTCCAAAAAGACAAATTCAACGTCTCACAATCCCAAATCTCAAAATGGGGCCGCTTCGGCCACCGCGAGTGCCGACGACACCCCGGTAGACGCCAACGACATGGTTGACTTCACCTCCTACCTCGCCTCCGAGGCCTTTGAATCCTTTCCCCCAGACCTCAAATCCCTCTCTCACGCCACATACACCGCCGACCCGTCCCTGCAGTCCCGTTATACCCTGCCCCTAACGGGCTCCGACGTCGCGGACATCCTGCCGACCCTGTCCCCCGACGTCGCCGACTCGTTGGTGGCGTACAACATCATTGACCCGGACAAGCAGGGCGCACATGAGTTCCTGGCGCCCGTGCTGAGCGAGTATCTTGCGGCCATGACGGCCGCGCCACCGCCGCCGAGGTCGACGAGGGACCAGGTCGAGGGGTGTGAGTTGTGCGGTCGGGATTGGATCGGGCTGACATATCACCATCTGATTCCGCGCATGGTTCACGACAAAGTTGTCAAGCGCGGTTGGCATCGGGAAGAGGAGCTTAACAACGTTGCCTGGCTGTGCCGTCTATGTCACTCCTTTGTGCATCGGTTCGCGGGGCATGAGGATTTGGCGCGGCACTACTATACCGTCGAGCTCTTGTTGGAACAAGAAGAGGTTGTCAAGTTTGCCCAGTATGCCAGTCGAGTGAGGTGGAAGGGAAGGTAAAGGCGCCTCGCCTGAGATGGGTGTAACAAGACTGCAAGGGCTCTTGATGTGAACCGGCATCCTAAGTTACATGAACTCGCTCCCTTGGCACTGACTGGCCTCAGGTAAAGGACGTTCTTGGTAGGCAATTCGAAGAAGGCGATAACAATCGGCATGGCTATACCTAGAATCATACTGTCTTGTATAATTGGCATCTGAAGCCTTATTTTTCCCTTCTTCTACCTTGACCTGTATAAGAATGTAATCATACAAGTGTACTGAAAAGTCCCCCTGGAATGGTCTCACACTGATCAACGACCCTGAAGAGTTACAACCACTCTCGGAGCAATTTACATAGCCGAAACCACTCCCAATACTATCAGGGGAATGCATGGTATTTGCGTCGATGGTCTTCGCCACCCCATCGAGTTCGCACTCTTTGTGGGTGAGACGCTGCAGCATGAATAAGCTCAAGATGCTCCGTCCTCCTACGAAATGGTTTGCGTCGCTTCAATGACCTTCAACCCGAAAGAGAAAATCCTTGACCGCTCCAGAGTCCCAGAAGTCCAAGGTTTGTTTGAAGCCTACGCGAAACCACGTTGTATGTTGTTGAGGGCTAGAGGCTGTATTTGAATCTAATGCAGCCAAAATCACGTTCTCCGCCGACACCATTGTTACCTGAAATCATTAGCAATGTTCATTACACCTCCTATTGCTGCGTTCTACCACACTCACCTGGGTGTCCGTCGGTACCATTCATGCCTGCCGTAACAAGTCAGTATACGTAACAGTGTCGCAAATCAATGAAGACTTACAGTCGTTTGGAACATTAAGCCACACTGAATATTTGCACCATGCCAGATTCCCCGTGAGGTAGAACGGATGCCAGTCCATCAACGGAGCAGTCGGGCTCAACCTCTGCTCCGCGAGGCCGCCCACGACACAATTTTCGGGCCACTCGACAGAAAGCTTGTACGGCGACTTGCCACCTTTGTGCGCCGAATTATCCCACTTCTGTCCCGGCCGGATCTCTTGGAGCTCATTCAGCCTATCGCATGCCCAATCTACCGCTTCTTTGAGGCCCTTGTCGCCCTGGGAAACCTTCTTGTGGCCTGGAAAGTCGGATTCGGCATAGCATTTCAATGGCCCTTTTGTCTTCGACCTCGTTTCCTTCTTTGGTACCGGCTTAGGCGGGATGATTGTCCATGCATACGTGCCACAACCATCCATCCAGGAGCCCTCCATGACCATCTCGTTGCGCTGACGACCGTAGTTGCCACCTACATATGTAGTCAGCCCGGGTCCCATGACGCATTGGGGAGGAAAGGAGGCAGGAAGTTCAACTCACATTCACCCATGGCGATCCACTTGTATGCATCAGTGCATGTCTTCGTGCACCCCAGGGACCCGTCCTTTGGTGACCACTCCAGCTGGACCATGTAGTCCTTGTACGTGTCCGGCTTCACGGGTGGGACCCGACGCATGAGTGGCTTGTTGGACTGCTTGTTCCCCTCGACGTCAACGATCCACGATAGTTTGGTTTTACGGCTCTTCTCGACCTCCTGACAGAACTGCCCGGTGACGCTGTGCTCACTGCCCGCGAAGATCTTCCAGGGCAGACCGGCAGGTTTGTTCTTGGAGCAACTGAGCGTGGGGTCTATAGGCACGGTCGACCCCTGGCTTCTGAGGTCAAACTCCATGATGATTTTTTCGATTTCAAACATTTCATCCAGCCCTATTCTCGAGATGATCGTGGCACTTGGCCAGCAGTCACAGTCCTTGAACTCGCCATCCTTCAGCGTACAAAATGTGTCAGATTTGTGGTTTATGAGGATTTGAATTAGTCTTGCGCCTGTAAGGGGTACTCACCTTGGTGCACTTGAGCTTCGATTCGTTGGATCCCACACACAGCGGATGATCACAGTCAGGCTAGAAGTAGCATTAGCCCCACCTAACTCTTCGCCATACACGATACTTGGTTTAAAATCCGTTTACCAGGGGAAACGTACCCAATCTTCGGAATCTTTCGGGCAAGTGCTCGTCTCCTGGCTTGGCTGTTGGAACTTGGCCTTGGGAACCGTCTTAGGATCGGGCACTTCGGCCTTGTAGGGGGCATCCGAGTCCAACGCATAGAAAAAGGCTCCGAGAACGATCGCGCCTAGCCCTCCCATGATGACCGTATCCGAGTTCACTTCAAGGCCCATAACCGCCAGAATATCTCTGATCACCTCTACGTTGGCAACCGCGGCCACGTTGCCCTGAGCGGCCAGCTCAGCTGTGTTGATGCCTCCTACTCTGACCAGCTGCTGGCTGCCTTGCCGTAACTCTTGCATCAGTCGTTCGTTTTGACCCAGCCGCTGGGCAACTCTTGTGATTTGCCGCTGCCTGCAAACCCCTACATCCGGCGCTTGTCGGCGGAGCTTGAGGGGACAGGAGATCTCCTTCGCAACGTCCTTGAAGATTGACGATATCTGCTGACGGAACCACTTGCTTAGAGCTATTTCGATCTTGCCCTGGGTATTCTTGGACACCTTCAAGCCCTGTTTCTCTGGTTCGCCGGTTGCTCCTGGCGCAGGGGGCTCAGTGAACCAGTCATCAACACCGATCCACTGGGAGAGCATGTCAGTACTCTTTCTTCTGTAGTTTGATATTGTCCATAGTAAGTTTACCTTGGTTGATGTTCCATCTAGGGTAAGATATTTGGTATCGACGCCGATGTGGACGGGTCTGCAGCCACACCCTGTTAGCTTCTGGTATAGACGTGAAGAAGTAGGTTTGGTGGGTTTACGTCGAAGCGGGTGTTGGGATGTCCACCGGATCGATCCCAATCTGCCCAGAGGCAGTGGGCGTAATGGCAGCAACCTGAATGCCGTCAATCACGGTTGGCGTTGCTCTGACCTGGAGTTGGGGGACAGCTAGGGCCCTGGGAAGAGCCGAGGACAATAGAAAAGAAACATAGAGCCAAATCATTGTGGAACCGGGTACATAAGATACTGGCGTGAGAGTTCGTACTTTGCTACTGTATTATTTGGAGGGGTTGTGAGATTGATGATAGTGGTAAAGGCGGTGGTAGAGAGCGCCTGATATTTATCATCTGCAGATTGTGGCTGCTGCCAATTGTTCTTGCGTTGGTTAGAGAACGCCCCCATAATGATCAATGTTGATATCAACACTGGTGCCTGTCAGCTGTGCCGTTAATAAAAATATAAACAGCTTCATAATTGGGTCGCTTCCCAGGACTTCCAACCAAATTCCCAAAGGAAGACCAGTACGAACGCCTGCATTTAGGGGCTGGGGCGTCTACGTCAGGAATTAAAGTGCCAAGCGAGTGTTGGTCCCTTTTGCCCCCAACAGAGCGAGTGCATGGGGACTATTCAAACATTTACACACTATCTACTTACTTAAAGCTGCTTCGTGATGTGAGTTCTTGGGCATATTGTTCTTGGCGAACGTCCAACAGCCCCCATTAAATCCATTGATGTTGGGACGGCCCTCGGGGCCTTTTATCAAAGAACGCCTTTCCTGCGGCCCTTCAGGTCTAGAATCTGCCCCCACAACAGGGCTTCACGCTTCAAAAGGCCTATCGCTCAGTTTTAATAGTAACATGCTCCCCCAAAACGGCGAATGCATGACCGAAGGCGACATTCGGGGCGATGCAAGAGTGGCATCACCGCGCCGTGAGATCAGAGGCCGCTAATACAATTACGTTCGGTCAACGCACCTTAGTTGCAACGACACAGACTGCCCTCATGTTGATGTGACAGCTCAGTATTTCCAATGCAGCCAACGTTTGCTGCCACTGTGCCGCAAGCTGGCATGCTTTTGGGGGGGGCGCCTTGTTTCGTCTTAAAGCTGAGGAAGGCTCTGGTTCAGAGCTCGAAAAGTGACACTGATTCTTGGCACTTCCTGAGGTCACGACCTAGGCCTCCGTACACATGTTGGCGAGAAGTCGTGTTGTTCCAACAATACTTCCCGATCAAACCAGGAAACGACATGTTGGCCGAGACAAGAGGGTACCACACAAAACGCTGCGGATGACAATACTTTAAGCCAACGATGGGGGCTATTATGCAGGTGGTTCGTCGATTTCGGGAGGGCGTTTAGGACAACGAACGTCTTCTCTGGGGCTGAATGTTCGATGGCCAGGAAACTTGAGTCTGTTGGTTGCGAATGAGACCCCTGATATTGTACAGAACACCGCTTATAAAGGTGCTTAGTTTTCCTTTCGTGATAGTGACGGACAGATCTAATCACTCGCTTCATTCAGCCTGTACGCGTTCTATCCAGCCGTCTTGTCAAAGTTCAACATGCTTCTCAGTATTGTCGTATTCGCCCTTCTGAGACCAGTTCTTGGTGTAAATCGATATGTGATCGACGAGAAAAGCTGCGGCCCGCGAGGTGAGTACGAAAAATATCTTGCAAATCTCAGCAGTAGGCTCACCTGGTGCCCATAGACTCGGAAACGTACCGGAATGTTGTTGATTCCGTCGAGACCGCTCTTCGGTGGGCTGGAGACGCCGCTTTCGAGTTGGGAAAACCCGAAAATGAACGGCACCCGGCCATCACGGAGAAGGCAAAGTGGATTCTCGGCAACGATCCCGCCTCGATCAAGAGGACACAAGGTAATGTGCTCCCCTCTTGTTGTAGGCACCGGAGCGACACAATTGTAAACACAGACCGAATCCTGACACAATGAGGCTAACGGCTTTGGGTGACAAAAAGAGAGATTTGCCAACGTGGCCAAAATGACACGTGTAGATATCGATGCCTTCGGACAAGATTGGAAAGCTATCAACGACTGGAGCGATGTGGTAAGTAAAGAGCTTTTTGGTACCATTATGAATATAAGCGACTAACGTCGTTAAATGTTTTCTCTAGACCATTCTTTGTGACACGAAACATTTCGTCAAGCAGGATTCAAAGGGTAAATCCCCTTACATATGCGAACTTACGACCTCTGGGATCCCAGAAGGCAGTACCGCCTATAATTTGATTAAGGGTGGAGATGAGCCGCAAGCAGTTACGCTAAGCTGGAGGGACTCAAATACTCGAGGGAACCCAAATCTCGCTACCAAGCTAAGGGGACTCCCATCTACGATCACAATCAACCCGAAGTACCTTAAAAAGATCCGAGAGGCCGGCTGGAAAAGATTCAACAAGGAACGTATCCAAAAAGCGATGAGCCCAGATCTAGTTAAGAAGGTCGACCAGGGTATAGAGAACTTCGCCAACAAATTCCTCAATGTTTTCGGGGCAAGTACCGAGTTCCAGTCAGACGTCGATATCCTCGCGACGCTCGAGGTTACTTTTCTACACGAGGTAAGAAGACAGGTCACTCGGTTCCAGGTCTTGGATAACTTGCTCCATTGGTTCCCTGAGGCTGACGCGGAATCTTACGTCTAGTTCATGCATACACGAGCTGGAGGACATGCTGATGACGCGCCTGATGGCAGCTGTTACCTGTGGCACAATGTTCTGAAAGCGAAGAATGAGAACAACGCTGGTATTACAAACCGCTCCTCTGGTTGAACCTTGCACACCTACTGATATGTTGTTGTAGAAAGCCTCGCGTACTTGGCCATGGTCATTCAGTTGATCACTAACTTCAAACTTCATGTTACCCAAGCAGGTAAGGTCATCAAGGTTGGAAACTAAAAAGATAAGGATTCTCTGAAACAAGAATGGAAGCAGAGGCGCTGAGGAATGACACCGGTCTTGGAACGTTCGCAATGTATTTCTCTTAGTTTTAAATGCGTATCACTAGGTTCAATCATAGAATTTTGGTTTGAAGACCAAGTTGTTACTCAATTCCATCGGGACCATGCCCTTCGTCTGGTCTTCCACCCCAAAGAACTCTGCGGTTTATTCTCTCTCGGAGCTTTAGACATGTTATCGGCTGACTCGGTGTACGTGTAGGAGTCGAAAGATGAGAGGCCGACGGCCACTAGGCCACTGAGTAGCGACTCCGAAAGACCCCATTTCGTCCGGGTAATTTCTGCATTGTTTAATTAGAGGCTCTTCACCGGGTTCTGCCCATATGAGGGAGTAGCCACGCTCGCGGACCCAGGACGGGATTCCCGACTCGAACTTTTCAAAATGGCCCAGGGCTCTAGGGATGGACACTGAACTCAGCAGAGGGATGAGCCGCTCATCAAACTGGGGTATACAAGTGAAAAATTCCCGAAAACCAGCGTAAGCGTTGTCCTCCCAGATTGAGACATCTTCAAGTCGCCGTAGACGGGGCAACTCTCTACAGAGTTGGGAATACTTGGAGCGGTCACTGTGCCAACGAGCCCGTTTCTCGTCCATGGGGGTTTCCGGTTCCATGAGGATGTTAAGTGACAGATGGATGCTCGAAATTTTGTCGACGATTGGCGAGCCCCGGACAAAGAGGTAGTTGTGTGCCGTTTCCACGCGGTGGAAAATGAAGCTTAGCTCCTCGTATATGATGTCGTGAAAATCGAGGTACCTGTTGACGCATGTTAGCTGGTGTTCACCGCAGCAAGGTGTTTGCATGCATGGATAGCATTCAAAAAAGTAAAAGGCCTTGGTCGTGACCAAACATGTGGTTGGTACTCACATCATCTTGCAAGAAAGCAAAACAGCCAAAAGAGGCGTCGGCTCGCTCGCCGATCCTTCGGCTTCGGCCATGGCAGCCTCCTCGCACCTCCAGTGGCAATTCCACGAAGACAAGAGGCGACGCGCCCAGATGGGATGGCTGATCCTCCGAGCCTCACCCATCAGCCGTCGCAGCTCTACCTGACGCTCGTCTGGCCCGCCCCCGTCCTCGTCGTCGTCGATAAGGCAGCGGGTGTGGGTGTACCGCCCGTTGGCGACAAAGATGTGCTGCCTGCGGCCCGCGGCCCGCAGCAGCTGCCGGTAAATGGGCTCTCTCACCTCGTACGGCAGTCTGAAGAAGACGGATTGCCTTTGATGGTGGGCCGAGGCGCGGAAGCCGTCGGCGTCTGGGAACTTCGGCCCGGCTGCTGGCTCGGGAATCGTCGGCGAGGCCGGTTCGGCCTCGGTGAGGACGTGCCCGCCGGGCATGACGTCGCGGAGGAGCCCGCTGTATTCGTCTTCCGAGTCTTGGCTGGGGCGGAAGCGGCTCTGGAGTCGGCGGTGGAGGGACTTCATTGCGGATGTTTTCTGTGGCAGCAATGTCGTTCGGATAATAGGTGGTGGAGTTTCGAGTCGCAAAGATGGGCCTTTGTTATTGTTGGTAGTGTGAACGTACGGGATCCTGCAGGCTAATATACTTGGGCGACCTGATTTCTGGCCCCCGAGTTTGCTGTTGGTTCTGCTTCGCTGCGCCCCCGCGCATGCATGCATGTTTTGACTGCCAACGAGTTTTGGTCCCTCTCGATGTCCGCCCCCAATACCACATTCACGTCGACAGTGGGTGCCTGCCGCATGCCGTGACGTACAAAAGTGCGCAAGTCATGCTGCCATCATGTTGGGAAGGCGGACAGTCATGCATAACTTTCGTTGGACTCACTTCACATCTGCCAACGGCATGTGTACAATACAGACTCAATGTGGTATCGTTGTATAACATCTCAAAAATAGCGAGAGTGTGGTATAACAAACTGCAATCCGGGAGACCTCGGAGATGACTCCTTCCGTCCCATCTTCCCCCCTTTTTTTAGTGTCGTCCGATCATCGTCTGTACGCCGTGCCCATAAGATATAGTAAGATGAAGTGGTAAAAGTACAGACCATGTGCCTGTAGGCGCCGAAAAGAAACTCGGAATCAAAATCAAAAGGGTATATCCATTCCTTCGCGTCGTTCTCCTCTCCTCTTCGTCGGCAGTGAGAACCTCTCATTCATCACTGACTCCTCTTACGCTTCCGCTCCCACGCGTTCTCCTCGTCCCCAACGATATCCGACTCCTCAATCAGGATCCTCGGTGGCGTCATTCTCGACGACGAAGCCAGGGGCGGGCTGATCGGCCCAATGCTCTCATCGCTTCCCTGCCTCCTGTGACCCAGCAGCGCCTGCCTGTCGCTGCGGCCCTGCACTTCATCCTCATCCATCTCCGGCACCGCGACCAGTACGTGCGAGCTGCCCCAGCTCGGCGCGCGGACCATGTTCTCCCGTGTGACGACCTTGCCGTTGGTAATCGATCCGCTGCCGACGTAGCTGTCGCTGCGGGTGAGGTTGTCGCTACCCGGGCTGGCGACCCATCCGAACTCGCTGGTCATGGCGCGCTCGACCATGTATCTGTCGAATTGCGTGTCACGCTCGTTTTTGTATTGCGATGGCGTACGCTGGACGTGATCCGGCTCGGTCTGTTGTTGCTGTGCCACTTGCTGCATTTGTTCCTGCTTTTGGAGGCCGGCCATGCTCTTGACGGACGACGTGGAAATGCGGCGGAGGGAGCGGTCGCCGAGGCTGAGACCGCCGATGGAGAGACGGCCGTTGTAGGATGCCTCGCCTTCGAGGTCATTGAAGCCGTAGGGCTTGTGGTTGACAGGGTAGTGGTAGTCGTCGTACTTGGTGAGTCGGCGGTAGGTTTGGATCGAGTAGATGCCAGGGATGGCGACGAGGATGCTGTGAAGTGTTAGTAATGTTCTTCGTGAAAGAGCTACGAGAGGCCCGATGACTTACAGGAGAAAACAGTCCAAGCCAAGTCCAACCACCGAGAAGTGGCTGTCTTTTCTTTGTAAAAAGACGACAATGTCCAGGGCCAAGGTGGCCAGGGAGCAAACAACCTTCAGGACGTGGGTGAAGAGCATGGTCCACGGCGTCAGGGTCTCGGCAGCGACTCTGAACATTTCGTATACGGTAGAGACGAGGCAGATCAGGGAGAAGCCGATGTTGACAGATTCCCATCTACACGCTAGGATCAGTACTTGAACCTTGTCAACAGGCAAACATACACCAATACTTACACGACCTCAACCATGGGGAACATGCCCCTTGTTTGCTCCTCGGTCTCCCAGTTCTTCACCGTGTCGAACAGGCGCCATGAGAACAGGCCGATGACGACGAGCAGGACAAGCAATTGTAGAATCCAAAAGGGTACGAGTAAAGCCACACGCCATCTGGCCCTGTCGAACTGGGCTTGTTGACGATGCAGAACCATGTTGAAGTCGTTGATGGAAGGACAGTGATCCTGCGAAGGGTTCGATGATGGCAATCGCAGATGTTGTTTGAGGCTTAGAGAGACCAAACTTATGGACACAAGGCGATTCTTGGGGAGTTATAAGCAGAAAGAGTCTAAGACAAACAAACAAAACATTGATGGCAGGGGGTGGGTATTAGCCGCAGGCGGACCCAACAAGCGCGGGGAGCGAGGCTGTGACGAGGCGATCCTGGGATGTCAGAACTGTATTGAGCGAATGTGTCTGCAATTGCTATATATAAAACCATGATACCCAGTGAGCTGGGAAGACTGAAATGAGCATGGGAGAGGAAACCCTCCACGGCCAGGCTGCAGCATACCGATGGGCACTAAGCCCTGTGTGGGAAACGGCGCTCAGTCCTAGAATCTTGCACCTAGGTAGATTGGCTGGGGCACCCAAGAGCCGCTCTGTTGTTTGTTCAAAAGCGGTGAATCAAATGAACAGCCACGATGGTGCCATTGGGCAGACACGTCCAGGTTCCCGCAATAAATTGCCCCTGTCAGCCCAGCACCCAGCCCACATGGAGGACGTGATGAAGATCATGGGTGGAAGGCTCCAGGAATGGCGGGAACAACGGGGTGCCTTTGCTAGCCAACGACGGATAGTTGGAGCCTAGCAAGCAAGCTAGGGGTGTGTCGGGGCCCTCGGACAATAGAGGAAATTAACGCCTTCCCGCCAGCTGTAACACCAACGCCGGCGCGGCTCCCTTCTGTCGCCTTTGACCCAAGGGCGGGCAGTTTCGTCGAACATCGGAATGCTGTCCCGACTACTGTGATGCGTCGGATGGCGTTTGCGGCTGAGATCTGGGCCATGCAATATCGGTTCAGCCAGCCAAGCGGCTCGGGTCATCAGTTCATCTGGTCTCCCTCCTCGAGAGGGGGCCAGCCACGCGTTGGCAGACATAAACAATCAAGCTGACTACATCTGGACAGTCGCAGAGTGGCCGACAAGCGCGGTCCCTTCGCAGCGCTGGCTGTAGAGGGACTTTGGTGGCAGGCGATCCACAGCTGTCAAGAGGATGCTTGCTCGAAACCCACAGCCTGCCCCAGTTGCTCGCTTGCCCTGGCTCATGGTGGACTAAACAGGCAACGCGAATTCCCAGGTTTGCGGCTCCCTTTGGCCAGGTGGAGGGTCGAGCAGATCGGGGGTTGGCCCAGGCAAGCCTAGTCATCTCGCTAGGCGCTTGTCTTCGTCCTTCAGGATCGCTTGTCGAGGGCGTTGAGACGCGCTTGTGGTGGCTGCGCAAAGCAAAATGAATCATAAGTCGGTCCACCTGTGAAATCCCCCGCCCAATTTTGAAATTGTGTCATTTTGCGGCACAGGCAGCCAAATTGTTCGCCCTCGGGGCATTGGCCTGCCGGGCTGTGAAGGTTGTGACCCTGGCGAGACTCTGGGTGGAGAGGAACAAGCTCCCCGATGAGTGGCCCGACGACTTAACGTGGGCTACTGGGCCGGTTTTGTTGGTTCGTTTGGCGATGTGGTGAGCTCTGCTTGGCTCCCAAGCGTCCACGGTGAGAAAACGGCATTCTCAGCAGGGCTGGCGCGGTGGAGAGTGGCATCGAATCCGGCCTAGTTAGAGACTAATTTGAGCGTCTCACTGCTGACGCCAGGGACAAGAGACACTCGTCTGGTCCCTGTGTTGTTGTTGGCCTTGCATGCAGTTTCGTGGCTGTGGCAGATCAGAACTGCAGGCTGCAGCTGGACGGAGAGCGATTTGCGCAGCTTTCGTTCGACAGCGTGCTTGGTGGTGGGAAAGGTGAGATACTGTCGTGAGGCCGGGCCCGGCTGGTTACGACGAGCTTAATTGAGGTCGGGCTGCGTGACGGTCATCTGCATGGTTGCATTGGCTGCGACTCTGGAGCCCATCAGCACGGAACGAGTACCCATTCATTCAAGCAGGCTGCAGCAGCACAGCACAGCATGGCATGGTTGAACAGGGAATGTCGGGCTAATGTTGGCTGCCGGTACACGTGTAGGTAGCGACATGGCCGCCAGCTGGTGCATAAATGAAATGAAAGGTAATGCAGAGACGGAGATTCATAAACTGACGGTGATGAACGCCTCAGGCATAAATAACGGACACACGGTACGAAGCTATTGACAGTGGTCACCGGTGGACGGTAGTGGACGGTAGTGTACAAAGTGGGGCGGGAGTCTTTCCATGAGGTGGTCTCGTTTGTGCCTTCCCATAGTAGTAGTCTGTTAGACTTTCGCATCTTCTTTCCGCTCTTGGGACGCATCTGAACTATCCAAAGGTTATTTCAACATTCGCTGTCCGTGTGACAACTTTTACCGGTTGCTTCTGGACGGACGTTCATCTGGACACCCACTCCGTCTCGAAGCTGTGCTTTAGAGTTTCTGTCAAAAATACCAACAAGGGCCGTTTCATTGGAGAGATAGGATCTCTGTGCAACGAGAACCGCTGCTCTCGCTGCCATGCACGCATTACATACAGGCATGCACCAGTTGCCCCTCTAACTTGCAGCATTGACCTGTGTTGGCCGTGGGTCATGCCAACGTCAATCGATGTCAACTCGCCAGCACTTAGTATCATCACCATTTGAGTCCTGTCGGATCGACCATTGTCAGCCGAGAACTCCGGATTGCACCCACGAACCCAGGCGACCGGAATGCAATACCCATGGCCATTGCGAGTCTCACCCAACACCAACGAAACATCAGCCCGTATTTCTATTGGTCCTCCCCATTCAAAATCACGCCAGTGGGCCTGTTGTTGTGGCCAATCTGGAATTACATATGGGCGGTGTGGAGCGCTTCAAACGAGAAGGGCCTTGTTGCAAAAGACGCACACAGTCGACAGACAAGACCACACCTCCGGGATTGGATGCAACATCATAGTGTAGTTCCCATCTTGGCAACGTGTCCATTACATCCACGCTGGAAGATTGCAAACCCCACGGAAGAACCAGAAACGGGCAGTTGCACTGCCGGGGCCCCGTCTCCCACGCAACAGCCATGGCATCCAGCGGAGTTGCTATTCAGCAGAGATTTCGGGGCTCGCTTCTCGACGTGAAGCGTGGCTGAGCGGAAAGATGGAGAGATCAACCCCAAGTTCGTCATCATTGATGGAGACTCGTCTTGGTGGCCCAGCCGTCTGCAGCAGAGCTGGGCTCACTTCGTTCCGGGTGACCCCTGTCGCCTGCCCACAACGCAGTGGACTTGGCACGTTTAAGCTTACAGGCAACTTCTTGCTGGCCTTCCCCAAGCGTCAGAAATAGAAACCAGTTTCTCGGCCACAACACCATCCGGAAAGCGCTTGGAACATGCCTGTCAGGTCACCGCACCGAGTCAGTTTGACGTCTTGGATGGGTGAGTGACATGTTGGTAAGGATGCATTGATTGATAGACATCATGCCATATGCGCTCTTGCAGCACCCGTGAGTTGTGATGAACCGTGACGTGAACGATTTTCATGAGGGGAAAAAAAGGCTGACAGTCAAGCAAGCGAACGTGTGCCGACTGCTTGCCAAGGTATATTTCAGAATTATCTGCCACAATGGGCTCGGGGAGATGCTGTCACCCAAAACCCGCTGATTCCGGTCCCAGATCAAAAAAAATAAAAAATTAAAAGCCAAATCGGTTTGATTGATTTGCCATGGTGCCTAAAGTCGCCCTGAAGTCCCCCAATCCCCGGTATTGCCGCCAGATTATGGGTTTATGGGCGTAGTTTATATCGTTGCGTATTGTGGTTGCGGTTCGTAAAGTGTCCGTCGGCCTCTCTAATAATTTGCTCCTCTCTTCCTCCATTCCGAGAACGAAGTCTTGGTCGTTTAGATTTAAAGACCGGCCTCCTTGTTGGCCTGGTAGACACCGGCGCTGTTGAAAGGAACGATGTTGCCGTTGGCGTCCGTCATGGCGGAACCGTCGACGGGGACGCTGTTGGCGACGGCATCCTGACGCTTCTCGATGGCTGATGGGATGTGTTAGTATATCCTCATTCATCCTCTCTCGGGTCCTCAGTGGCGACGTACCTTCGGCAGGAGCAGCAGCGACGAAGGCGGCAGCAACGGCAAGGAGGGTGAAAACGGAGTACTTCATTTTGGCGGTGGTGAAAAAGTTGGTGTTTTTGGAAACTGAACGAGTGGTCGGCCGGCGACGAGCAGATAAACTGTACAAGAAAAGAAGGTTGGCAAGAGGTTAATCACGTTTAGTGAATGTTGGTTTGAATAGCAAGAGTAAGATGGAAACAGAACATCAGGAAGGAGATGCACCTATTTGTATGCCATCAACAAGCCCGCGTAGACACTCAGGGGGGGTGGGGTGCCAATTGTTCATCTGTGCCGAGTATCACCATCGACATCTCGCATCATACAAGCAAGCTATGGGGGAGGCAGCCTCAACGTTGCAATGCATGGCGTTCCTTGGCCACTCTTGGGCCTGCCATCCAATTCTTGGACTAGCGGTTCAACGATCAAGCCGTCTTTGCCGTGTCATCAGTTGAGATCAGCGGTTCCGGCTTCCTCGAGCCCGGTTCCATCCCTGGCCCATTGTATAGCCACAGCCTCGACTCCCTGACCACTCTCCAAGAGGGAGGGGGGGAGAGGCCGCAAAGAAAAAACAAGGGATCACCCGGTGTGTCATCCGCAATAACAGGAACCGTGCCAAGACATCCAACAGTAAAGTTACCATAGCCAAAAAATCATGGACCCGGGGCTGGCCCTTTCCCCTGGGCCTTTCCCCCAGCACCCCAGGTCCCTCTCGTCCCGTCTAGCCGTTTGCTTGCGTCGAGCCCACGCCAGGGAAGCGGATTGGAGATCATCGTCTGAGAGGAGCTGATTGCGGGAGAGACGAGGCTCCAGAGGGCGATGTGGACGTCTGAAACTGGGCTGCGACGAAGAAGCCGCGTAGCACTCGTAGCAGCGGCCCACTAGTCAAAAGGTGAGTGCCATGTTGCAGAGAAGCCCATCAGCCATTTTACCCGATACCCCTGTCACCAAGGCTCGGACGAGCGAAGATCACACATGAGGACGTTCGCTTTCAGCAGGTTCCGGTAGCAAAGTCGGCAGGGGAAGGCGGAGCTCTAACACGGCGCCTGGACCCCAGATCCTGTTTGGCCGTAAAGCCAAGTCTTCACCCCGGTGTACCTTATTGTGAAGCTTAGCCTTGGCCCAGGGGCCTTGATTTGTGGAATACCGGTATGTGGGTTAATTGGAGTCCAATTTTCCACAGAATAGACTGGTTCCAGGACGGGCTCCTCTCACTCCTTCAATGCCAGGATGACAGGATGACAGGATGAAAAAGGCGTTCGGACCAGTGTCACTCCCGTTCAGGAGGCGTTTCGAAACTGCTCATCCTTGCGGCAGCAACGTCAGGGACACACTCTGCCACAGGAAAATCATTCGAGCGGTCCGCGGTTATTTTTAGCGTTTGCTCACGTTTCTCTCCACGTGAGCGGAGCGAGGCGCTACGTTTGGCTGACTAAACACTTTTCTGGGGCCTTGGGGGCTGCTCCAGCCATAGCATGAATTGGCACTGGGAGTTATGCAATGCACTGCTCTCGGCACAGCACAATACAGCTGCACCTGCACCTAGGTACCTAGGTACATCACGCCTGGGGGCCCGAATCGCGGGGTCCATTATCTGGAGTGGGGTTCGGTTGCCGATCCCTGTCTCTTGGTGTCAGCCTAAAGCCAGAGCTACCATACATCACCTTACCTTGGAGAGATCTCTCCCGCATGTTTTATCTCTTCTTACGCCAACCTCCAGCCTTTGTACATTCGTCCACCTCCGAATCGCCCGCGTTGCCAACCCCCGGATCGACTCTACGGAACGCTCTGAAGCTCTGTCCGTCCACTCATTCCAGTCACGCCACCTCGTTACCTGCCCTTCGCTTGTGCTGTCCCCCCCATTTGAAACGAGCTCATGGCTTCCGTGGAACATTGCCTCTACTGCTTCGAGGCTCTCGCTTCGCACCTGGAGAAGCGGCCGGGCCTCTCCCTCAAGGAGATCCAGCGATCATGGCCCGAGTACGCAAAGACCCTCGGTGACGGCAAGGACGGCAGCAAGAAGCTCCTCCCTGCCTTGCAGCGCCTTGCCGAGCCAGCGAGCGACTCGGCATCCGCCTCCTCCGGCTCGAGCTCCTCGCTAGCCGCCGAGACGCCCGCGACGTCGACCGACTCCCTCCCTGGCGACGACGACGACGACGACGACGAAACCATCACCGAATCCCCACTCTTCGTCACTTGGAACACCATCTCACCACGCTCGGGCCACCGCTCGCTGCGGGGCTGCATCGGCACCTTTGAGGCGCAAGAGCTCGAGGACGGCCTGTCGAGCTACGCCCTCACGTCAGCGCTGCACGACATGCGGTTCCCGCCCGTCGAAGCATCGGAGCTGCCGTCGCTCGAGGTGGCCGTGACGCTGCTCACCAACTTTGAGGACGCCGACGACGCCATGGACTGGACCCTCGGCGTGCACGGCCTGCGCATCAGCTTCACCCACCACGGCAAGCGGTACGGCGCGACCTACCTCCCCGACGTCGCCGTCGAGCAGGAGTGGACCAAGGAAGAGACGCTCGTGAGCCTCATGCGCAAGGCCGGCTGGATGGGCAGCAAGAGCAAGTGGCGCGACGTCGAGCTCAAGGTCGTGCGGTACCAGGGCAAGAAGGAGTCGTTGGAGTACGGCGAGTACAAGAAGTGGGCCGACTGGGTCAAGACGAACAAGGCCAAGTCCGGCTGAGGGCACATTCGGCCTCATGCCCCTTACGATGGATGAATACTGGCGTTAGATTTTGCAGAGAACTTTATGGGGTTTTTTTCTTTTCTTTTTGGGAGTCATGAGTTAGGCGACAGGTTACATGGAGATAGAAGGCTCTGGTCTTGCTGGGATAGACAGAAGAAAGCCTTTGTGATAATACAGATCCATCACAACTTCGTTATTTGCGACCAAAGATTGCCTTGCTTTGGAACGATATGTTTCAAGCCAATGCCGCGACAAGATGACGCCCAACCCCCTTGAATTTTTGAAGATTCATTCATTCTAGAACAGATGATGGGTATCACTGGTCGATTCGCTACCGGACCTGTGATTCACATGGTATCTAGCGTGCCTCAGCTCCCGCAGCCCGAACATCAACAGACGACATACGGGTAGTCGGCACATGGGACGACCCGGATCTCGGCAATACGGCAAGTCAGTTGCACTGCACCCGACTCGTTGTAGGGGCTTCATGTCTAAAAAAACTCTCCGAGCCTACCTGCATTAATGAAAGTTGTCCTTAGCTTGCACACGTCAGGTTACGATGGAGGCAATGGTTAGCGAGAGAGCACCCTCACCCACAGCCGAGGCGGGCATTGGATCGCAAACTTGTTCTTGCACACGTTCTCACAGACCCAGCAGTTGACGGTTTTAAGGAATGCGAGTTCCCCGCGGTCCCATGCACTAACGCAATTATTCCGAACAGTGAGGTCGCCTTATACAACCAGCGGCGTTCAAGCCTTTGGAGGATACCAAATAAGTGATGCAAGTTCCCTCTTACACGCTTTAGAATTGCTTAACCTTTCTACACCCGCAATCTCAAACACCTGCTTGGGCAAAATTCTCGTTATATCAAGATTTCGGGACCCGCTAAGCAAACCAACCTTTTTCGCTGTGGTCATCAAACTTGTATCGAGGCCGAGATCAGGATTTGCAGGCACCCAACCACCCACCGCCACCCAACTTTCGGCAGTCTGCGACGGATCACTGTGGGAAAGTATTCAACAAGATGCATTGGACGAATAGGGACACATTGCTTGACCAAAATCAATTTACAAGACCTTGGGTTAATTACATAGATGTTCCCATAAACCCAACCGAGATCATAACTTCATAATCGTGAGATAACCCATGCACGATGTTTCCTCCCTACATGGGATCTGTACGTTTTTCATGATTCCCCCAAAACGCCGCTCATGCAATATTCTACGCCCGTATGACAAACCATGGTTGTTTCTATAGAGGGGGGCCTGCTTTTTGTACATTGCGACCCGGCCAGACTAGTACCGCGTCCGGCTCCGACTGCTCCGGTAAACGTTGGCAGGCGGCAGCGGGGACACGCTCGCCCTCTTGTCGTACACGACGGGCTGCGAGTACCTGACCTCGTTGATTTCGTACGACGGGTGGCGGTGCCTCGAGCGCGACGTCTCGTGGTGGTAGCGGTGCTGGTGGCGCCTCCGGTGGCGGGCGCCGGGCGACCTGCCGCGGTACCGGCGGTCGTGGGGGTCCTTCTCGGCCCAGTCGTTGGGGCGGCCCCACATGCCGACGGACTTTGCGATCCAGAGGAGCAGGAGGAAGCCGACGATGGAGCCGATGACGATGCCGGCGATGGCGCCACCGCTCAGGTTGTTGTCGGATGCGCTCTGTTCCGTCGTCTCGGGCGTCGCGGTGATGGTTGTGACGACTTGGCGGGCGAGGAGGCTGCGGAAGGGTCGCGAGAGGGTTCGTGTGGGGGTGAGGGCCGCGGCGGCGCCGGAGAGGGCGTCGGAGACTGGTGATACTGGCGCCATGGTTTGGTGGTGTGCCCGTGTAATGTGTGTCCGGTGTTGTGTAAGGAGGCTTGGGCACCCGAAGGGAGATGGTAGTTCGGATGACAGCTTACACTCCTCGAGCAACGGGGATGGGGGGAGACACGAAGAATAAATACGATAACCTTAATGACAGCCAAATGACGACAATCCACGTCTTGCGCAGTTCCTTAGCAGAGCGGAAGAATTCCCGTATTTCTCATTGACCCAACTGCCAAGAGTCTTTCCCAATACCTATCCTCGGCGAGTGGTGTGCTATGGGGCTGGGGCCCTGCGTGCAAGTCATGGCCGCACGGGAGGTCGTATGGATGTGACAAACAGGGGCAGGGATGCCATGAAGAACTAGTGATCTGAGTTCATCACCGGCGAATTGGGTGGTTGAGCGGTGGTTGACGAAGGGTGTGAGTGGGCATGGATAGAAGAGATACTTGGACAGATCCCCCTCATTACAAGGTAGATCTTGGATTCGACTGTGCAGTTGGCGCCTCGGTAGATCAGGACTCCGAACCACCTGCATCCCGGTTTGGAGCAATTGGAAGCTTGTTCAAGCTGCAAAGGCACGAGTTAACCAGGCTGCTTTGGTCCACCTGATGCGGCCCATTGACGCTCGACATTGATGCGTTGTTTTTTTAATCAATCAATGTTCCGACTTCCAGAGCAGGGAGGTCATTCGGCTTTACGCAACGAGCCTTATCCTGGCACCGAGTCGCCCCACCAAAGGAGACTTTGATAATGTTTCGGGGTGTGTCTATTTGTCTGAATCGACCGAGCAGGGCCTATTGTGATGCCAATTCATTGGACATTCACGAGCGGATCTTCCTTCCTACTTGGAGCAGTCCGGGCCAGCAAGAGGTTAGCGACGCTGGGAGAAAATTTAAACAGCAATGCGGCTTTATGAGATCAATACCCAGAATGAAGCAAAACTGAGAGGTTGTGCGCCATCACCTCTACGTCACTGGCTAATACGGGGGCTGGTATAAGAGATATAAGCCCGGAGCCTCCGCGCTGCCGTCATTGGTCAATCCTCCGGAGTGGGTAGTCCGGTTATGGTAGAAGTGCGGGAGGAGAGGGCACCCCCACTTGCACCGGAAGCTGGCGCCCAGCCCGTCTTTCGTCTCTATCATCCCGTTGCCAGGTCGTCCGCGAAGGACAGGGAAATTGCGCTCTTGTGAGTTAATTGGCAAGTATTCATTTCCTTGTCCCTGAGGCTAGTAAAACCCTCTCTCCCCTCGCATGTCTCTGATCTCGATCCTCCCGGCCGGGCGGAACTAGCGTTTGTCTCTCCCTCTTCAAGTTGGTGTGAGGCCCACGACACCATTGCCCGGCGCTGGCCATCCGCTACGCGCTGGCAGTCCAACGTAGCGCATTAGGATGCCATTTGACGAACCAGCGCCGCCTGACGGCGTTGCATCCAATTGGAGACGGGAACCTGCCTCACCGCCTCTGTCGCATTGAGCCGTTCAACCTGTTGCAAGATGCTGGTCGAGAAGCTGCACCAAGCCTCCCCTATCATGCGACGGTGCGGTGTTGGGCGAGTCATGTTTTAGCGAATCTTTCTTTCACCGAGCTCACCGAGCTCACCTCGGCCGGGTGCATCGTCAATTGAGCCCCGTTTTGTGACTTTGAGCGGAGCCGAGTCTTGAAATAGCTGATCGCCAGGGACGTCTTTCCGCTTTAAGCTGGCGGTCAAAGATGCCATTAATATGGCAGAATCACGGTCCGACTTCTTGGCTCAGCGCCATAAATTGCAGGAGAACCTCGCATGGGGTATTCCATGGGACCCGACCGGTGAGCCTGGACGCTTTGAAACAAACGGTTCCATGTCAGCCCGGCCACGGGGTAGTCCTCGCGGAAAACATTCTCAACCTTCTGTATCAAATTAACCACATGACGGCGGCTCCTCCGGCCGCCGCGCGACCATCCACACTGCCTTTAAGAAGACGGCGGCCCGCAGCCCGGGTCTGCCGAAAGTTTATCGCGACGGGGCCAGTCGGAGGTAGACGACGGGAGCCCGCTACGGTGGGGCCCCGATCTGCGCCGACATGGGTGGTCTTGGCGGCGGGTGCGGGATTGCGTTTAAGGCAACTGGGGAAGACTTGCGATCTGCTTCAAAGGGTCACGTACATGGGGGATATAGAAGACCTTGGTAAATGCCACATTTGCATTAGTGAAAGAGGTCTATGATTCCAACAGCCGGTAAGCGAGTTGCTCCATGGCCTTACGTTCATTCTCCCTTGCGCCCTGAGTCATTCCGGGGTTTATCACACGATCGCTTGTTGAACCGGGACGCGCTTGGTTTTGTCGTCTTACTGAACGGGTGAACCCGAAAGCAATGCACGACGGCAATACTCCTTGAGCAAGCCGATGGCCTCGACCCCACCAGCCGCCTCTTGAGAGCATGGCATTCGCAGACCAACCTCGATCCTGCCGATATGACCTTCCAGTCCACAACCGCTGTCCCAGGACACGCCCAATCAAATCAATGAGGGTGACAGATCATGATATCGACGACAGAAACCCATCACCCGTTACCGGACTCTCCCCCTCCAGGTAAAGTGCTTCTTCGGTTCCGCCGCCAACGCCCTCATGGCCTCGACATCACCCGTCTCCGGCCCGTTCTCAATCGTCCCCGCCTCCACCGCCAACTTGGCATACTTGACCGCCATCTTATTCCTGCCGAGCAGGTTGAAGTTCAGCGCCGCGGTGGTATAGGCCCCGGCCATCTTCGCCTCCAACCTCTCCTCCACATGCAGCTTCAAAAACCGCTCCACCATTGCCGTCGTCACACTCGCGCCAATATCCGAGAGCTGCCTGTCCAGCTCCTCAATCTCCAACAGCCGCGCGTCCGAGGCCGCGGCCTGCTTCTTGGCCAGCCCGCACTGCGAGCACCCGCACTCGAAGCCCCACGCCCGCTTGGCGCGGTGCTGCCGCACGGAGCGGATGCCGAGCGGGTCGAGGTACGAGATGGTCAGCTCCTCGCCGGGCTTCACGGGCCGGACAACCGTCGTGCGGTGGCGCAGGTCCGGGCCGATGCGAAAGGCCACGTTGGGGCGGCAGTCGTGGTTGTACCGCGATACCTCGGGGAAGTTGCCGTAGTGGTGACCGTCGCCCTGGGCGCCGCCGCCAATGTCCATCTGGAACGAGTTGGTCGCCATGATGTCGCTGACCTGGTGCCCACCAAAGTGACCCATCTGACCCAGGAAGCTCTTTCGCGTCGGGGGAGGGAGGAACTCCGGGACAGCATCGAGGAGAAAGTGCCGGTCCGCCGGGGGAGTGTGCTCGATAAAGGCGCGGTGAGCAAGCAGGACTGGCGTTTTGAGCATGACGGTGTCGCCTCGCGCGAGGGTCTTGTTGGCGATCATGCCTAGGCCTTTTCCCTCGACCTGCGTGATCTCGAACGAGGGTCTACTTGATGAGGGGTTTTCGTCGAGCGCTTCGGTGTGCAGGGTCTGCTCCAGGTTCTTCACTTTTTGGACGTTTTCTGGCGTGGAGATGATGACGATTCCGCGTTCATCTGCGAAGCCACGGTTTGCGTATAGGCAGTAGCTTCCCGCACATCCATGGGGGCCCGTCCAGCCCAGTGGTTCGGGATTCGTCGTTCCATTTGCCCGCGTCTGTCCCAAGTCTGCGCCCTTGCCTTTCCTTTCTGTTGTGAGATCCCAACTTGAGCATTCCAACAGCAACTCCTCCAGTGGCGTCCAGGGGCATGTCTGCGCCCAGCGCGATTGCGCATGGGCCTCAGATGCGACCGTGTAAGACGCAAATGCGAGGGGCAGCAGTACTGATGAGGGAACCATCCTGGTCTTTCTTCTCACTTCCAAATAAGCCAACAATATGGTAGTACAAAGGTCAAATGTCCCTTGACAATAGACATCAGGTCTGCATTTTCCGTCAATAGAGTGACGTGAAGTTAAAGTATCCTCTAAATTTCGGGCATGGGATGAAAGTTAGGTCGTCTTGGCATCCCTAAGAGAACCCCACCAGTTTCAGCAGTGCGACTGAAACCGGAAAGGGGACAGGGAACCAGCGAAACAAGGGCGCTTTTCGCCGTCTGGTGGCTTGTCTTCGTCTCATATGGCCTTGGAACGTAGCAACTATTAGCTCAGAGACTTCCTGAAGGAAATTCGACTTTACTCGCCTCGCCAGTTTTCCTCACTAGTTTTGTTTTCTCAAGGCATATGCTATCGGAGAAAAGTCAGTTTCGATGGGGGATGCAATCCAAAGGCCCTAGGTTCGCAAACCCCTTGTTTTAGGTAGTACTGGCACAGTACTGTTCTCTCTTCAATTCAAAAAGAGTTGATGTCACAGGGAATCCAGCATGGCTTTCCCAGGAAGCTCCTCCAGGCCCACAACTATTCAACTATTAAAACTCCGCGCAGTATTACAATAACGCCTGGTCTGTGAGTACTGTGATTTTTAGAAACGACGGTCGTTTAACCCCTGCGTTCTGAGAGAATCGGTCTAGTTGTCAGGGTTAATCAACTGGCTCAGCCCATGATGAGGGCTACTCCTCCAGTGGGAAACATGAACCCGCTCGAATGCCTCGTAAGCAACAGCACTAGGTGATCTTTGGGCGCTACATCAAGTTACTCTTAGATTTCATATTGTTGTTAATTTAGGGACTCAACGGTGCAAAGATTGTAGCACAGGGACGGGCTCCGATTGTCAAACATTGGGCAAATACGAGGCCTACTATCTAGAAGTACTATTCTTGCTGTTTTGCGACGCCGAGAATCAGAAGAACGATGCGTTTCAACCAAGACCCTGATCCACAATACTCAACCTCGAGGCTACCAAATGTGGGAACTCCTATTGATATGCGTGTGCTTCTACCCGACCACCGCTTTGATGCTTTTACCATATGTGAGCTGGAAACCTTTTCTCACCTCGATCGGAGCAGACTCATGGTCACTCACCCTGTTCTATTACTTGTCTATAAGACTCCTCGAGTCAGCAGCGTTGCAGTTGGATACCACTAAACACAAAAGTCGTTTGTAAGCAAAGAGATCCTAGGCCAACAGAGTGTCACAGTCAGTAGGAATATTGTCACCTTCAACGCGGCCGCATGCATTCATGATTCTTAGAAATGTATCTGCTGCCACGGCCGAGACGTACAGCGCTGCTACGGTGGCGAGGAGTTAGAAGCGCATGGTCAGGAGAGATTGGCGATTGTTGGTTGGTAGGGTTTTGGGGGAAATTTTCTGGACTTGTGGGGGTAACAAGCGGGAATAGCAAGTTTAAAGAACTTCATATCATGGTATAGAATGCCACGATACTCTTTTGTATCTTCAAGAACATGGAACAGGACGCCGATCATTAACCGCAATCACTAAGCACATCAGTAGTTGAGTGGCACGAGCCGGAGCAAATCAACTCTAATAGAGATGACAAGCTTTCCGGCTGGGACGTCTGAGTCTGAAACTTCTGGAAGGAGGCATTCTCTGGCCCAACCTTCTGATCCCCCAATCCACCGACAGTTCCTCCTGACCTTTGTTTACTTATATACGCACTCCATTTCCGACGCCCGAGCAGAAACAACGAAGGGTTCGAGATATTCGCGATGTCCGACTACTGTTAAAACTGAGCTTAAACTATCTATATTGCAGTTGTTTTACCGGTGGTGTAGATAGGCGTTGCCATAGAGGCTGTCTTGAGCAACAGAACATTCCGATTGGGGTTTCACGGCTTCACTTTATTATATTATATCATGGTCTCTAGCTGCTTCTGATCTGGTTCTGATTTGGTTCAGCCATGCTCATGAGCATATAGGTTGCTACGGTGCGTGACAGTAGGACAACGTACAAGAAGAATTAAGATTATGTAGTGTATACGAAGTCATGGACTGTTCAACACTAAGTTGCCATGCCGTGTGCTTTGAATATTGTCCTGGCAACGCTTGCCAATACTACTAAAGGCGTGATGCATTATATTATCAATGAGTATTTGGGAAATCAGGTAGTATGGGGCAGGGTATTGATTTTCCGACGAAACAAGCGAGCTGTTGATAAGGACGGAACTGTTGACTCGAATGAACCAACGCATATGACAGTGTTTAATTTTGTGCGCCATTAGAGTGACCTTGATCCAAGGGAGAAGCAGGGGTAAGGCAGGCAGCAGAGTTCAAACTGTGCCCTTGCCATAACCCCTGTCATACGCATAAAATGAAGCTTCCTTGGCAGAGGAGTTCACATAGGTACCTATTCCACACAATATATCATTTGAGTAATCACCTTTGACCCAACGGGCACAATTCACTCAGCAACCAGGCATCATATTCGATTACTTCAGCCTTCGATTCTTACGAAGAGATACTTCCAACCAATTATTGAGCTCAACCTTTTGTCTTCGAAATGCGTCAGTATTCTCCGCCCAGTGATGATCATCGAGATGCACTCCGTGGCGATCGCCTGCCGTCAGTTGATGACACAGATCTTCGAATTTGTGTGATACATGGCATTCGACACAACTACAAGTTTGCAATGTCAGAAGAAGTTCAGAAACTTTTTTGGAATCAGACCAGAGAGCTTTCGCTCGCGCTCGCAACGCACGCCTCATTATGAGCGATGTCGTCCCAGAGCTAGCGGCTGATGAAGACAAGCCATACTGCATCTGGTACCCAGATGTAGCAAGCGAGGACACGTACCGCCAGTTGGTGAAGCGCTATCCCGACATGCGGTATACTATCGGTCGAGCCTGCGCAGTGGCTGGCTATGCCACGCTCTATCACGAACTTGATCTCCTCCCCGAGGTCTCTATCGCCGAAGAAGCTAGGGATAATTCGACGAATGACGGCTCTAAGACGATATTCGACGCTATCATGAAACAGCCCGCCTGCTATGCGATCCTCAACGATTACACTCGATCTTGCAACATCGACAACCCTTTGTTCCCTGCGTTCATGAACAGCGACACAGCGGTGCAATCCTCGTTAGACATCCGATTAGGCTTAGATAAGTACAAGAAGTGGTGCGATCATTACTTTAACATTGCCGAAGACTTTAACGTCGGCGAAGTGTCATCGGAGAAGACCAACCGACAGACAATTGGACCGGAACATGTGGGGCTTTTCTATACACCGCTTCTCTCGCATCTGCCGACCACCAACAAAGATCCGCTCATTATCATGGCAGCATACGAGGGAAACATTGAGCGTTATGTACGTCTACGTCGGCCAGTCTTTCTCCATGACGAAGGCTATGCCATTGTCCGTGGGATATACCACAACACCACGTTCGCCAAGTGGTGGTCCATTGAAGTGAAACGTACATCTCCGGAATGGGACAGCGTCATAGAGGATGCTGTACTTGCGCGGTTTATCATGGTTAACGACCTGTCACACATAACCCCTGTCAAGCCGACTTTGCATCGTATACCACACTTGATTTGGTGGCCTCTGATTCCGGCAGAGGCGACATTGAGAGAGCTTCTCCGTCGTCGGCCAGAAGCAAAGCTTCAAGTTGCAATGGCATGCATCGCTGGCGACTATAGACGACTTTGGGACGAGCTTGCGCCAGAGCCGCAGAGTGAGCTCATGGACCAGGCGCGGCAGGATCAATTACATCCAGAGGCTACTCCCCACTGGCCACGAAGTCCCAATAGGAACTACTATGTCGGTTATCTGGAGCAAAAGGCGAAGGAACTGAAAGTCCCCGTTCCGAGAAGCAAGCGTTCTGAGTGTGAAGATGCAGCGGTTCGCGATAAGGAGCCTACGTCTACTTGGCTTGACGACGAAATCTCTGCCCACCCCTATGCCTTGGTTAATTCCTATCCCGGTGGCAGCGTCTACCAATGGGGTTCTCAGGCGATTGCATCGCATTGGGAACTGTTAATTTGCTCGAGCGAGGCTATGAGACGGAAAGCGCAGGAAGAGGGTGGGCTCAGGCTATACGACGATGAGATGATACCGTGAAAGACAGAGTAAACCAACCAGGCGAAGAAGTAGACAAACAATTTACAGAAGATGACGTTGATTTGAAGTATTGACACTTACATTCAACTTAATCACTATGTAATAGAACTGGTATGCCACATCTAGGGATATACATCTTACTTCGCAATGTAAGCGTTCGAATCGATATTCTATAATGCATTGTAAGCTGTTTGAACATATGAAACACTGAAAACTCACCAAGTTCGGTCATGACGCTGTTTTGGAGTGTTGAAGACGTCCAGCCATAGTGCTTGTTAAATCTTCAACTCTGGCCTCTCGCTTTCGAAATACGATGGAATCACCTACTAGTCAATATTAAGTATTAGAATCGGGCTTGAACTACCATCACTGAACAATGGGCTAACAGAAATCGCTTGGTAAACCATACCATTGACTAAGTCATACTTGGGTCCTCTAGCAGTTAGATGAGCTTAAAAGGGATCGAGAGGCTACGATTTCTCGGCTTATGTTGCGAGAGTGCCCATTCTTTGACTGATTCACACGTGTAAATGTTCGCTAGAGAAATAACTCCACGAGGTATCTGAGGACGACCCCTCATTATGCACCAAGATGGTAAGACTACATCTGCGGTCAACTGTATTCCTATGAACACCGAGAATCAAGACAATTAGCAACTGAACGTACTTCAGAATATTTTCAAATGAAAGATGCAAAGCACTGTGGGTAAGGACTGGCAAGTACATTTGCCTCTTGTTTGGTCTTTAGCTCTGGTTCGTGCAGCATATAGACACCATCGGAAAAATGGAAACATATAACACTTTATTCTCAGCACTTGGCTTTCTTGTCTCCTATGAAATTTTCAAGTGGATATTTATTGTAAAGCAGCGGTTGTTGATTTTATTTCATAATTTTGCTTTCTCTTTTTTGTCAGCCTCACTCACAGCTCCTAGCCGATCGCGTGGCATTGCTTTTCCGAATGATCGTGGCATGAGACTGAGAAGGCCGGTCGGGAAACCTATCAGTTGAGGTACTAACCGGGTTCTTTGATTCCTCTACTTAAGAGGGCGTCATATGGAAGGATCCTAAGTTGCCAAAGATGCTACTCACTGGGCCTGGTTCCTTACCAAGATGGAAGGTCCAACGAATGTGCTTCTTGCTCCTTCTAAAAACAACTTGAAAAGCTTGGAATTAATATCTGGTTTTCTTTTCGTTCTTAAAAGAACCTTCACTCACTTGTTATAGAAGTCGTTGCGTCCTTCCTTTGCTCGGTTGAGCCCCAGCCATTGCCGTCTTGAACAACTTGTCTCTCCCAACCACTCCTTCACACCCATCATTCTCAATACTCTGATTATAAGAAGAGAAGATCAACCATACAAACGTCGGTTGTTACACTACGCATTGTGTCTTCTCCGGTCTCACTCATTGCTTGGCTACGGTTTTACTGCCATTCTTCATAGGGGCAGATGACAGTTCTTACACCCTTGGAATTCTACTTCGAGCCCTAAGTAAGTCTTTCACTAGGGTCCTGAAAAGCTTCAATCAAGTACGCATTTAACGTCCTTTCAGAATGGCATCGTATCTTTCCCGAAGTCGTCATGGCACTTCTCCAGACGAACAACTTGCATTCCTTGCTCTGACCCACACCATAGATCAGTGGAACTCCGAATGCCCTCACCTTGCAAGCCAACTGCTGGATCACACTGATCAGCAACTTCTCTCCGAATGCTATGCCGCTCATTTGATGCCCGTCGCACGCTCGTTCTGGTGGAACGGTGACAACGCCTTTAGAGCGAAGAGTCAACTTCTCCCTGAGAAATACCCGGCGGTCAAAGCATTCGCTTGGAAGAGGAGCAGACCAAAAGCGAGCGATATTCTCAGGACTTGGCGTAAAGACGCCGCGCTTCTATACACAGAACTCAGAAAAAGTGGAGGGGATGATGATGTAGGCGGTGAAAAAGTATACAAAGGCATCGAAGATGAGACGGAAGATGGCCCTAGCGTCTTGAAGAGTTCCGCCGCGGAGAATGAGAAACGCGAATTCGATGAAAAGACGAGAGGAGCCATGGTAGTGGCAACAAATCGATACACGAAGAGAAAAGCGAATGGAACACTCAGCAGGGTCGAGACGCCAAAGAAAGCCAGAAAACGCATCATGTTTAACAAGGAAAGCTATGAAGACGATTCCTTTGCGCTCTGTTATCGATCGAACGCGAAACCGACAACTCCAACACCCAGGCGAGCCGTTGCTACGATGATAACACCACCTCAAAGTGGCGAATCCACTCCCGCAATTCTAATCGACTCAGGTGGTGAAGATGGAGAGCTTGGAGCCACGAGAAAATATCAAGATCGTAGAGGTCGCCAACATCGACGTCGTGAGCATGAAAGAACGACCGATACTGCTGCGGCTGACCTGGCGCCACTGAATATCACTCTCGTTCAGACTATGGCATCAATTGAGCCAGCCGAGGCGCCAACCCAAAAGCACAACTGCCTGACAACACTCCAAGAGGCGGTGGACCTTGTTGAGAAGTCACGCGACACATTTTCTACCCAGGAGCGTCAACTCAAGAAGTTGGAGAAGAAGTTGGAGAAGCTGGGCAACACGGTCAAGAGACTGGGCAAGGCCGTTCAACCCTGATCAATCGGATTTCGCATTCTTCTTGAGGTGGATCACAGAGAGGGTGTGAAAGGAGAGTTTCTCGGATGAGGGATTTGGCGGGTGAATGATCCAGAACCAGAGGGAACTTTGGGGATGCTCCCCTCACTATTTTGCCTAATAACTATCATAGAAGCAATCTTATTCGTCAATCCAACCCCATCTCCCAGTCTTGCTTCATGGTTTTACACTTGTAAGCTACCAGTCATCCCAAGAGTCAAATGACGAGCAGTGGCAACTTTAATATCTAACCTTGATGACTTCACTTAGCAAACGAACGGAAACTTCGGATGTGCCAAGGCGAGAAAGTAAACGATGGAGCTATCTATACGTGATTCAATGCGCAAACGTCGTTTCCGACTCAGTCTCCGTGGTCGGGAACGTTTCATCGTATAATTCTGTTGGTGGTAAGACCCTCTGCTTATTTGCGTTTACTTGGCCTAGGCCTTGGCTCCCCTCGCCCAATCAGACGAAGATATCACATGCGGCCGAGAATCATTGTTCTACGACTAAGATCCGCGCACAGAGAACAAACAGACGATGTTCGCTGCTCTTTCCCTTCTTTTTCTTCTCCACTCTAATATTCCTATAACTTCCGCAACTATGGCGAGTTCAGCCACTGCAACTGCGACAATGGCGATCAACCGAAAGAGATCCAAGTCTGAGGCTGAAGGGAAGCTGAGCTGCGACAAGCCCGCTCCCTCCATCGACTTCAACGATGCCCCACTCAATCCAGCTGATGTCATTTCACTACCAAAGGATGAAGATGATCTCGAAACGCTAGTTGAGAAGATCAGTGCCCTGGCGGAAGTCGTTTCCCACAACCGCAGTCTAGCCGTCTGGACGGGCTTTGCAGCCACGCCGAATCCCCAAAGAGACCCTTTTGCCATCGCCAAAGCAGAGGCGGACACAAGGGAGCTAGCACTGTTCAACCGTTTCGATGAGATTGGCCGACGGCTACCCGCATCCAGGCACTTTGACGTCCTGAAGAACGTCAAGCCTTTGGAAAAGGAAAACAAAAAGACGGCTGCACGGTACGAGGACATGGCCTCGTGCGTCGACGAGATCTTTGGGACCCAGGGCGCCATCAAAGAAAACGTGTGCTGGATCGTGGAGAACATGGACGCCATGCTACCCCTCGTCAAGTTTTATCTAAGAGTAAAGCGGGCGCGAAGGAACCTTTTGGGGGGCCAGGAGAGCCTGACGAGTAACGAGCTGGCCGAGTACCAGACGGTTCGCAAGATTCGGAGTGTCCTGGGGGTGAAGATGCAGAAGTGCCGCACCGGGAAGCAGTCTGACAAGCGACTAAGGGGGTATGATATCCTGTTGTTAAGACGGCAGAATCTGACCTCTCCTGTCTTGAAGTGTCAGCGGGAGGGCCAAATGAGGACGGAGGGGGCGAGGGAGGTTGAGCAGATCCGCGTCAAGCGTCAACGTTGCACAGCATGACAATGATCACTTTCAATTGTTCAACAAGAATGAAACTGACGACTGCGTGTCAACTGTCAAACACATACTCTGGCAGATGAGCGCTGATATGTTTAGCATTGCTCTTCAGCTTCGTACCCGAACCCAATCATATTGTTGGTCCTATCTTGCCTCGGCGTCTCTATGAGCGGCCCATCATTGTGTTACCTCTTCAAGCTGCAACTCCTTGTCAATCATCAGCTGCCCTCCAGTTTGGGCGTCTCTGCGGACGCCCATCTTGTCCCTCTGGAATATATTGACATAGAGCGGGTATCTGGTAGTTGTCAGCGTCCGATTTTATTTGCAATGGTTCAATCAAGGTGCCAGCAGCCAGAGAGGGCACTTACACAAAAGATAGGATGAAGCCCATGAGCGGAATACCATGGCAGTATGCGCTTTCTTCCTGTCTATAGCAGCGCAGCCCTGGGCAGGAACACACATCCCCCGCCAATGGAAGCGCACACAAGCGAGCTTCCACGATTCGGGTGCCTGCCCAGTCCTCGCACGCCGAGCATGAAGACGGTCGCGCAGCAGGCGGATTCGACATAGAGGACAAGAATCAGCATGGCGATAGAGGTTTTGCTGCGCGTGGTGATGGCAGGGATGTCGAAGACGGCACAGAGGTCGAGATAGACGACCAGGATGTAATGCGGGAGAAGAGGGAGATGGTCATGATGCCACCGGCGATGCAGCAGCTCGCGGCGTAGGGGCCCTGGCCAACCGCGAGCATGTCCGAGGCTCCGACCTTGGTCTTGCTGGCGTCCATGCAGAAGTTGATGCGTGTCTGCGAGTCACTTGCTAGGTACGCCGAGGCACGTTGCAATCGAGGCAGATGCATGTGGGGACATACGGTGATGGTGACTTGAGCGCCAACGTAGCAAGACTGCAACAGATTTCCAGGAAGAGGTTATAGTGCTTCCCAAATGGACTGGGTTGTACTCGCCAGTCTCGGCCTCCTGGACTTTCATGTCGTCGTCGGTGATCTCGGGGAAGGGTGAGAAGAAGGCGACGACTCAAAAGTACACCCAATAAACGTTGAGGAAGCACTGGTTGTTGTCGTCTTCGTTGATGGTGTTTGCGAAGAAGACGCGAGACCGTAACGTTTGACGGGCAGCGTTGGCTCAAGTCGAAGACAGCCAACAGCAAAAAGAATGTTTAAGTAGAAAACTTGGATATACTGGCGAAGACGAACATGAATCAGCACTCTATACAGCACTTTCCGCATGGCATCTTTCAATGAGCCTAGAAACCTGCATGCATATTCAATGTACAACTGCGACGTGAGCATAGCCAAAGTCGACTAACCAACTAAGCAATATCTGTCACGCCCGAAACCAAACGAGCGCTATGTTGACAGCTCCGTGTGTCCTCCAAGTCGAAGTCTTTATTCCCTCACAGCTCGTACACGTGATACGCGTAGATTGTGATTGAATGTCGTCCTCATGGCGTATATTACCGTTCGATAAGCCGGTCGTCCTTTCGGTCTCTCACCAACCAACCAACGAGACCAAACAGCCCCCATTTGAACGGTTACATCTCCATGATGAGATACACGGCCAAGTGAGTTCGTGCATCGCTTCGGAGCATCGGACCTACGACCCGGAAACCCCGCGGCAGGACTCCTCACTGGCGTCAAGGCGTTGATAAGGGGCCGCCCAAGGGCTGGCACATTTGCCCTTGCATTGCAGCGGAACGGTGTCATGCTGGGTCAGTGGTAACGATGCATTCTTGTTCCCTCCTTCTACCCGCCATACCTGGGAGCTATCAGTGCGTACTGCGTGGGAAAGGAAAAAAAAAGGAACGGTTGCAATCTGGAGGTTGGATGGACATCTCAAGGGGACAAAAGGCACGGGGTGCCAGTATGGGAGTTGGAAAAAAAGATGTGGTCCGTGTGTCCAGCACTAAGAGCCGAGAACCTGGAAGATGTAGTGCGCCTTCATCAACCCATGTTTAATACTCCCGATATAGGGATTCTGGGCACAGCTCGAAAGTTTCAACGTTTCTCACCAAACACCTCCATATGTCTTCAGCCATGAGAAGCCTCCGAGCCCCAGCCCCAAGACATATGCACCGGAACCGGCGTTGCCGACCCCCTCCGCAGTCCACGTCCGTAGGCCAAAAAGCCCCACACCCGGCTCAAACCTCCCGACCCCTGCCGATTCGCCCGAGCCGATGGTTGTTTCCTTCGGCGCGCCTCCCGAGCTTTATTGGATATGGGTATCCTCGTACCCCTCGCACGTTGACGACAAGCGAGAACACCCACAGGCAGTCACAACCTTCTGTCGCTGCTTCATCCCGAGCTCTGCTAAAGCCTCCCGGCATGGAACCGAAAGGGAAAGCGACCACCGTCTCCCATCTCGTCTCCTCCCCATCCCACACCTGGGTCCTCCGCGTCGGGGCAGGTTCGTGCCAACAAAACCGCGGGACCCCGGATTGCCCAGATCGACTCCAGAGTCGAGACCTGTGTGATCATTCATGACGAGGGTTTGACCATTCCGCATCCAGCGACAGAATGTTCCATCTCTCAGGTTGTCCCTCTTTACGAAGCAACGTTCCCAATAGATGAACGAATTAAATATCGAAGGCACTTGCAGAGGCACACAAAGTGCAGTATTCACATATGGTCAGGTCACTAAAGGGAGGTTTTGATGATAGACGCAGTGCGTCTTGCAGTTTGCATTTTCCATTTTCCTGATCCTCTACAAGCGTAATCCAGATTCAACTCGTCCAACTACGAGGGATTCGGAGAGACTACCTCGACCGGTTTCTAGCCCGGCAAGTTTCGCCCCGTTCGACATCCCAATTTCTCTTTCTAAGGGCGGGCATCTCCACCCTGGCCCTGTTCTTGGTCGGGGGTAGGGTTCAAGAATTAGTGTCCCTCCCTCTCAAGACCCTCCAGCTCCTTGAGCACGGAGGACTTGGTGCCAATCTTCTTCATCTGGGTATCCTCGAGCTTCTCGCCTCCGGCCAGTCTCATCTCGAGGTCCTCGATGGCTCGCACCTTCTTCTGCAGACTGCGAATCTTCTTCGCGTTCGGGTTTTGCGAGCCGTCGGCGCCGCCATCAGCCGCGGGGGCAGCCTGCTGAGCTTGCACATTGGGCACCTGAGGCGCGCCATTCTGACCCCGGTGGGTGTTGCTCCTGTTACGATGCTGACCGGCACCAGGGTTACGAGAGTGGCTGCGGTGTCTGTGGTTACCTCCGGCACCGCCACGGCGCTCAGGGCTGCGGCCCTCGTGGCCCGCTCCCGAGCCAAAGTCGCGAGGGGGCGGGGCAAGCGAGGCGCCACCTCCGTTCTGGCCTTCGGGATTCGCGTCACCCTCCTTCTTCTTGTTGTTGCGCTTCTTCTTGTTCTTCAACGCCGCCTTTGACAAATTCTCATCGCCTTCGGCAGTGTCGGCTCCGGGACCTTGGGGGTTGCACCAGGAACGCCGGCGAACTCGGCGCCAGGCACACCACGACGAGGGCGTCCGAACCCGTTAGGTCCGATGGGCGCGGAGCCGTTGTTCATGCTGATGTGAGCCGCACCGCCCTCGTCCTCTCGCTTGAAATGAAGCGGCGTGGCGAGACCGCGGGCGCCGGGGGGCGGTAAGCTCCCGCAGGCTTGCTGGGAGTCTTGACAGTGCCGAGGTAGGTGGCCGCGGATGCGTGCGGGGTGGGAACCGGGTTCAAGGGATCTCCACCTGCAACCTTCTCGGTGGCTTGGGGCCTCCAAACAACGTGGTACAGCTCAACCATGTCCTCATTGTACATGAGGGGACCGCTGGCATGCCAGATCTTGATGCCGTTGTCGACACGGAGACGCGGAGAGGTCGTAGCCGTCATGATGTAACGACTGTCGGGGCTCCACGTGCAGACACTGGGGTTACCACTCTCAATGGTGTGCAGCTTGCGGAAATCCTTCTCAAGGTCATACACGTCGATCTGGCCTGCCAGATTACCGAAACCAGCAACAAGGGCGAAACGTCCAGTGGGCGAAAAGATGATGGTGTTGCGAGGGCCCAGGGGAACGAGTGCGTCGCGACGGCTCGGTGGTTGAAGATGGTGGACTTTGCGGGCATGTATCCGTAGACGACACCAAACTCCTTGGAGTTCGGCGACCAGGTCACATCGTGAATGGGACCTTCCTTGTCAAGACTGACACGGGCGTCGAAAGAGCCGTTGACGCTCAACAGATAGAGCGTGGTCTCGCCGTAGTAGCTCTTGTTGGACTTGTCGACATCGGTCTGGGCCAGCACGAGGATGCTGGTGCCCAAGTTGTTCCACTTGAGCTGGACCTTGTCGCCCTTGAAAAAGGTCTTTTGAGAAATGGGCGAGGTGAATTGAGGCACATTATAGACCTTGACGGCGGCAGGTTGTCCCTGAAATATGAGTGTCAGCATGCTAGTTTCCATATTCTGGCAGCGTTCTTGTCACTAACCTTGCGCTCGGGGATGAAGACTGCAACGGAGTGAGAGCGGCCGGGTGCAAGGGCAAAGTCGGCAACGCCCTCGACTCTCAGCTTGTTCCAAACGGTGCCCAGGTCGTGACTCTCGTAGAACTGGACTTCGTTGGTGACTTGGCGGGCACAGAACTTCTCGTCGGCCGTGTACTGAAGGTTCCAGCCTCCCTGGGACTTCTGGACGTACTTGCCCAGGGGCAGCTTGTCGGCGCCGGCAACACCCTCCTCAACAGTGCGCCAGACCTTCAGGTTCTTGGTCGCATCTCCGTTCTCATCCTTGGCAGGGCGCTCCCAGGTGACGAGGAACGTACCGAGGGGCGAGAAGCCGAGCTCGTAGACATTGAGGATGGGGAGGGCAAGAACCTGCTGGCCGTTGGATGCGTCGACAACCGTAACAACTTCGGGGCTCGCCCAGGCAAAGTAGCGGCCACAGGGCGAGTATGCACAACACCGGAGGTTCCCTTCGGGCTTGTTGAACCCAGCGAGAGGCTGGTAGGTCGGGGCAGCATCAAACAGGCCGATGCCCTTCTGGGTTCGGTAGGCAAACTGCAATTGTGAGGACGCCATGACTAGTCAAAGTCACAGTGTGTATCGTATCAAGAGCAGGCGTGCCGGTCGGAAGGATGACGTTCTTGGGGTGGGATTGATGGTTCTTCTTCAATGGGATCAGAGATGAGAGGTCGTCGTCGTCGAGATCGAAGTCGTCGAGGTGGACGGACAAAGGGCAGATGAAATGGCTCGATGCTTGGATCGGAGGTTGCTTTGAGGCGCACAGGAAAACGGGGAATATGCGCGGGTGGGCTATTCCGGCGGAGTCCTATTTTTTGCAGCAAAGGAAGCTTTGTTGATGATCTGATTCGTCGTCGTCGGTCGAGCGAAACAAGAGGTGTTTGTTGATTGATGTTCTGACGTCGGGTGGAATACTGTAGAGTATGCGGCAGAGCTGAGCGCCGGGTTGGCTTTGAAGCTTTGTCGACGGATGACGTGTGAATGGGTGGTCGATGGCTGACGGGGCAATCTTGATTCAGAGATGGGGGTTCGGAATCGAGTATGCAGACACACGTGCGGTCAACAAGGACGCGGAGCAGAGACAGACGACAGAAACGACGACTGTTGGGAGAGGAGGTGAGCCGTTGGGCTATAGGGGAGACCCAAGGAAGAAAAATAGGGAAGAACGTGAGGAGGGGAGAAAGGGAATGGGAGGAGAGGCACCCTGAGGGGGAAATTGACGTGCAACGGTGCGTGTTGTTGTGTGGGCTGGAGGAGGGAAAGGGAAGGGAAGAGAAGGGGAAGTGGGATTTTGTGAATATTTTTTTCTCGCTGTCTGGTTTCTGCCAGCCAGTCCCGTCAGACGTCGCCTCTGCGCACCGGGTTTGCCTTGGTTGTGGCTAGCACACCCTGGCCACTTTTTCTGCCCGAGCTCACCTCGCCTCACCCTACAGGGCATTCGGGGCCTGGTGGCAGCGCTGAGTCTCAGGTCCCTTTGGCTCCGCGGCTTTAGGCACAGCGCAAAAGATACGTACCCTGCGCCATCTTACCCGGATAAGGCGGCTTATGTAATGCATCGACTGGGCAGCGCATCTCACCTCACGATTCCCACAAGTTTCATACTACTTACGTCGTTTGTTTGTTGTCGGTTGTTCAGAAGCCCAATCGGCATGCCTGTCGAGGGAGGATGGAGCATTGGGGAAGAGGTGTTTCCTCATACAAGACATCTCAACGTAGCAACAACAAGGCCACCAAGACGAGCAAGGCAAAGCGAGGCATTCGAGGCATCGCCAAAACTGGGGGATCGGATGCTGGGACAATGCCGCGCTTCTACCCACGCGGACCACAGCGCGGAAAGCGTGGTGTGTGGTGCGTGGTGCCCACAAGTCAGTCAGCCAGTCCCGGGTCTGGCCTTGGACGATGGGTTCTCAGCGCCCAGGGCGTGGGTGGCCCTGCCCGACCTTACCTTATCCAAGGTAGTCTCGGCTGCTCCCTCAGTGAGCAGTCCTTTCCTTCTCCATGCCGAGATGCAACCAATCACATGTTTTTCATCCGCTTACGGCGCCGGCAGAGACAGGCGCCCTCCGGGGTCCTGCACAGGGGAGCACTTGCAGCTGAGACAGCGACCTCCAGTTGCTGCCCCGTTGCTGTATCATTTCAATTCTGCATCGTCAGGAAGGCGTGTCTTACTCATCGCTTCATTACATCCTCTATTGGTCCGTAAGCTCGTCTGTCTGTCGCCCGCAACGACGACTCGCCGCCTTCTGACGCCCACAACACAAAACAGACAGCCTTTTCCTGTTCTTTCTTTACCTTCTTTTGTCGTTTGTTTTCCCTTTCTCTTCCGTAACTCATCTTTTCATTCTCTCTTATCGACGATGGACCTCGATGCAACATATGTCAAGACTACCTGATACATGACCCCGGTACTAACACCTCTAAGCAGCCACGTCCTCCGACCGCGACAGGGACATGATGGCAACCCTGATCCGCGCCGCATGCACCACTTGGACTCCGACCTCGTTCTTCAAAGGTCCGCATGAGAAGGATGGAGATTACGCCCCACCGGTACTGTTTTCCCACCCCTTAATGCTCTGACTGCGGAGATCCCATTTACATGGCTCGCTTCATCCCAGCTACCAGGCCAAGAACGCTTATCCCTGAACACTGAGATGGCGTTTTCGGAATATCCATAGCTGCAGCTTCACGGCCAGCAACCCCATATATCACGGATCACTCACTATTGAGCCTTGTCGAACCGTAGTATATTGCTTAGCGGCATTCATGATGGCTTTCCTCGGCGTCACCCGCTGACTTGCCGATTCGAGCCACCCGTATCCCCGCATCGATCGACTTCGAGAATGCTACCGACAAGGTAGCATCCGATATTGGTCATGTCTAAAATTGGCAATTGAATTTGGGTTTCTTGCAACATTGCCGTCGCTGGGATAACTAGGGTCGTTCAATGGAACTGTGACTAGCTATATTCGCAGTGCTAGGGTAATTGACTGTAAGCCATATGAGCTGCAATCATGTTGTGGTAGCCTAAAACGATGGCAAATCTTCATGGCGGACTATCAAGTCTAAAAGGACTATTTCGCCGAACAATCGGCAGCGGTGTCAGCCAATTCTGCTTACGGCTTTCCGCTGCTGTCATCACCAGCTCTCCCGGATGAGGCTCGGGATTGGACATCGAAATCGCTGCGAGCTCAACGTCATAATCTGACTGCTGCGGCTCACCCCTCTCCGAGTCGGGCGTGGCTTGAAGTATGGCGATCGAGTCAACACTTCGCAACCTCGTTCTCTTCACAGTCGACGCCCTGAACGCGCGGCCCACGCCCCAGGATGACAGGGAATTGATACACTTTTTCGGGGTTTCCTTCCACCATGATGGCGGCACCTGAGAATTGTTTGAAGATCCTCCTCTGGCGCTACGTTGTTCTAGAAGATGATTAATCGAGGGGAAGCAAGCGCATACCATACCGATGGCGAGCTCTCCCGTCCTGGTGCACCGCGGTTAGTCAAGCCTGGCAGGCGGCAGCTCGCGACACAGAACACAAAGACTTACACCGTCCAGTCAACCGGCACAAAGTCAACGGTCGGGTCCTTGGTGTCCTCGAATCTGACCACCAGGAACATCCTGTAGACTGTCACCGCAACGCCCAAACCACCCGTCCCCAAAAGGGCGACGATCTTGACCTTCTTGGCCGTCGAAACCCTCAGCTTCCACGCCAAAACGATGGGAACCCCCAAGATGACCAAATCGGATAATATCGAGATCGAGGTATCGTACATGAAGAGTTTCGTCTGATCGATGCATTTGAAGTTGGATATTGACGGATCCCAAAACGCCTGCACGGGGATGCACACGGCGGCCTTGGCGATTTCCGCCGGGACGTAGCAGAGAAGAAAAAAGGCCAAAAGACCGTGGAGCGTTCGGGCGACTACTGTGTCGACGGAGAAGACACGCACGGTGAGGAGCAACAGGGCCGTCTTGGTGAAGAAGGCTGCGGGCGAGTACAACAGGGAGCTGATATACATCCACTGCGGTCGGAGGTGTCAGTAAGATGCCTTCTCGTGGCTTCCGGGTCCTTGATACCTTTTGGAGCCCCGCGTAGTTGGTCGCAGTGATCTCCCAGAAGTGGAATCCTTCACCGTAATGGAGCTCTGTGTACACTGTTGGTTAATGCGTGGACATTGTATCCTCTAATGTGGGCGCGTACTCATAAAAACGGTCGAGTTCAGGACCACGGTGAGTATCTGGACGGGTCAGAAACCGATGTTCAACTCAAATGCCGGGACATGAGCTCACCCATCCAATCAGACAACTCCCTGTTCCCCGTGTTAGTCAAGCTGAACCGAGATCATCAACGCTAAGAAGAGAAAAAAAACCCAAAAACCTACAATCTTCTAACCGAAATTTTCCATTCACCGACAGCTTGACGTAGACGCGTACGGCGAAGAAGACCACCACAATGGCCTGAATGAGGCTCATGTATACCAAGTGCACCATGTGCCCGGCGTCTCGCGGGTTGTCGAAGTTGGGCGTCTCCCCGGGAGGCGGCGGGGCCGCGCCGGTCGGACCTGTGGAGCTGCTCATCACTGCTCAATCCGGCCCATGACGAAGAGTTGTTGGTACACATCGATGTGTTGTCGGCTGTGGGGGGCAGCTCAAACGGTGATAGTATCCATTTTCTAGGACAAGTGCTATGAAGGACGAAGAAAAGAAAGGACGGACGATTCCCACGCGAGACCAGACCGTGGGATCCGGTGGGATAAAGAAGGGAACGATGGAAGCCCACTACCCTCGTCGACACGTGCTGCAGCAGGGAGGGAGGAGGCTCAAAAAGGGGGGGGTAAGGGGGTTGTTGACATGGCATGGCATGGCATCGCAGTTCGGCATTGAGTTTCGACATGTTGATGATGGTACAGGGAGGGGATGATATGCAAGAGACACGAGTCAGCCCCCAGCTAGGGCCCAGAGGTTGAATGCCGTTCGACTGAGGCGGGGTTTGGACCCAACCAGGCGTTCTGGAGGCCGTCTGGAGAAATGTTCGCAGTATATGCACGTGCGCGATTGGCCACTCCATGGCAGATACGGAAGCGTCTCGTCTCAAGGTCGCCATTCGCAAGTGGCTCCCCGAGTCAACGTATAGAGCTCCTGGAACAATGGCAAAGTATATCTACGGACGGACCTGGCGTTGGTTAGGGACATCCATGGAGCACATGGCTCGTAATGTTGGCAAATCGACCACCCAGCCAGGTCGCGAACCGGCCGATCATTGGACCGCCTAAACAAAAACACTAGGTTCAGTCAAAAGAAAGGGAAGAGGGCGAGGTTGGACGGATGCTGTGAGGCTCCGATACACCCTTTCCTTTCCATTAGGGCGAGCAAACGAAACCCACGATCCCGGGCTGGCGGCCGAGCCGGTCGTGTCGAAACGAGCCCAGCAGTCTGGTTCGACACAATGCCAAGACAACCCGACGCGAGTTACAGCGACGGCCGCCCGTTCGGCTCGGGTTGATGGCTGCACGACGTGAAGCAGTCCTTCGGGCGAGAGCAGCAGCCTGGGGAGAGGCCGTCGAGTATTACGCAGTTCTCCTCCCCGATCTTGGGTTCTTGGCAGAGAGGCCTTCTTCTCTTTCGTCGTCTCAAGCGAAGGGGCCTCAGGCAAGACGTCGTCATGTCAAGGTCGTCGGTCAGAGTTAGGTTGCACGTTGTGCCCCCGTTTCGTTTACGCGTTTTCTTGATTAGTCTACACCTCCTCTACGTATGGCGGCACTTACTACCGTATCTACTCGGTCAACTCGCCTTCCACTTTTTCTTGGGGTAACGCAAAGGGGTAAGGTGGCTGCTGAATAGGGGATAGTGTACTGGCAGAATCAAGGATCAGTCAGCATCCGAGCCAGGGGGTCCGAGGGATCAGAAACGTCAATTATACCTAGAGGTCCCAGGGCCGAGTGGGCCGCTGGACGTCTTCGGCTGTGGATATGTACTCTGTATTGTCCCCAGCAGCATGTACGTCAAGGATTTCTGGGTCTGAAAGCATCTCTTGTTTGACGTACTTATCGCAATCAAAGGTATCCCATCCATCCCATAGAATAGTCTCAATTGGCGTATCCTTTACCTTGATCTTAGCTATATTGCTGCCATCTGGGTGGCCAGATATCCCATATTGGATAAAGGATTGCCGGACCATCTGGGCAGCCTTGTCAGCAGCCAGCCGGCTGGCTGCTGCTGCCACTGTATGGGTAACCATAATACGCTTCATTGACGTCGTCCAGACAAGTGGCTGGCCAGCTGCCTGGGCCAGCTGCTCTGCGTTATAGACGTAGTCGTCTGTTGCTTCAGAAAGCCACTGCTTAAAGGGCTTATTGACGGCAGTATCGAGAGGTTGAAGAAGGGAGGTTATGCCTAGCGGAATAAGGCTAGGCGTAATGTGGTTGGTGCGAAGTTGAGATAAGATAGATGAGGTCTTGTAGAAGGTAGTAACGTTTATAACTAATAGATACTCTTGCCTAGCTGTTAAAGGGAGGAATTCTTTAGTTATCTACTTATTGAGCAGATACTCGTTATTATAGGCAGTATCGTTGAATTTAATAGTAATCTGGCTATTATACTTATTGCCTTTGTTACCCTTAATTTGATTGCCTTAATTGCTGGGCTTACCGTGAAAGATAAGCTTAGGTGTTACGACCCAGGAAAGCGTTGGTTAACGTAACCACCTGGAACGAACCCACGAGGGACCAGGGGACATTCGGGCTCATGTATGCATGATCACGGCGCTTACGGGCAAGGGTCGGAACGGAAGAACTATGGACAGATCACGTGATGATAAGAAAGTGATCAAGAGATAAGGTGATCACTGGGAGCGATCACCAAGTGAGCAGCTCACCCCGGACCCACTCTAGTTGATCACCATCAACAGCATCACGATAGGGAGACATCAGTATATAGACAGGACTTGAGCCTGGGGCTCAAAGACTCTCCATAGCTCTTCAGCAATCAACTTCGTGATTCACTCTCTCATAAGTGACTCTTAGATTATCCTTCTGTTGTGAAGCTATAAAGCTATCTACGCCTAGACGTGCCTGACTGATCACCAGACACCAACAGACCAGCAAGATTACCAACAAGACTTACCTTACTGTTACCGAGTATCGACCTCAGCTGCCTATTAGCAGAAAACACCACTGTCGGATATCTGACCGTAACACTTTGATTGCTCCTGTTTAGTAAGTTGACCTTGATACTCACCAAACAGTAACGATGTCCTCCAAAGCCACCCCGACTTCATCTAGCGGATCCAAGGGAAAGGCGGTCGCACCCCCTAAACCCATGAGCTTGGACCAGGAAATGAAGGGCGCCGAATCCTCTAGCGACGAGGACGACAATGCTGAAATGGCCAAGCAACTCAAGAAGGCCCACAAGGACATCGCGGACATGCAACAGATGTTCAACAACAACGCGGCACTCCTTGACCAACTTCGGGCTGAGGTCCAGCAAACCAACAATCTCAGGGAAGAAGTTCGCACTCTCCGAGCTGCTGCCAACATCATCTCGACCCCAGTGGATGGGCGGGAAAAACTCAAGCTCAACTCCCCCACCACCTACGACGGGACCCCTGGAACGCTTAAAGGATTCTTGATACAGGTCAGGACCTACCAGACGTTTCACTCTGGCAACTTCCGTACGGAAACGGAGAGAATCATCCATGCAGGCACCTTCTTCAGAGGACGAGTCCTCTCTTGGTTCGAACCCTACCTAGAAGACTACCTGGACAGTGAGACGCTGGAGCACTGCAACCTAGAGACCCAGCAAATCTTTGGGAGCTTCGCAGGATTCGAGTACGCCTTGAAATCCTTATTCCAGGACCCAGACGAGAAACGACAAGCCGAGCGAGACTTGGCAAATCTCAAACAAACCAAGTCAGCCACCAACTACGCTGCAGAGTTCCGAAGAATCTGCGCACGACTTGATTACACCGACGACACCAAGATCTTCATGTTCTACCAAGGACTTAAGGAAGAAGTAAAAGACGAGCTATCCAAGCTCGACCGACCCAACGACTTCCTACAATACGTGGAAATCGCAGTCAGAATCGATACCAGGCTGTACGAACGGCGAAAGGAAAAAGGAGAAGCACGCCGCCCTCAGCCGAATACCAGCAAAAAGTATGTGCCGCAGGGACCTAGGAACTCGCAACCCAACTCGTACTGGCAGAACAACCAACAACACAGTAAGCCGAGCACCTCCTATGGGCAACACAGCGGACCCATGGACGTTGGTGCTGCAACCAGGAAGCCTCACCAGAACCACCGGGATCCGAAGGACTTCAAATGCTACAACTGCGAGAAGCCCGGCCACATAGCTAGAGACTGCAAACAACCTAAGCGACTCCAGAACCGACCCGTACCTGAAGGCACTAGGAAAGCCAACGTAGCAAGAAGGGAAGTTCCCCACGAACAAAGGAACTGGACCACCTGCTTCGACGACAACTGTTTAGTTCATCAAGAACTGAAAGAGCAAGCCGGATGGTACCCACAACAGCCCAAACCCAGAACTGTGGCAATCTCCCGACGAACCCAGAAAGGAGGCCACCCAGAACAAACCACGGTTCAGCAACTGGAGCAACGAAACCAACAGCTAATCACCAAGCTCATCCGAGCCAAGGAAGCTGCACAAAGCAAGGAAGACAACCCCTGTATGCCCGACACCCTGAAAGTCATCGAGGAACGACTCCAACTACGCATACAAGCCCAAGGGAACTTCCAGAAACAATGGGCACTCGAGGAGGACTTCGAGAACGCTCTCAAGGAGGAAAGGAGCATCAAACCTGGGAAGCCCACTAAGATAGTAGCCGTGGGACGGAAGCAACCACGACGACCCAGATTTTCTCCTCCAAAACTCGGGTTCAGGGAACCCACACCCCAGGAGTCGATTGAAGTACTTGGCGAGAAAACAAGCTCTGAAGAAGAACATGAGGAATCGCTTGATGAGTTCGAACCCTCGAGCAAGCTCGAAAGAAAGGCTGCCAAGCAACTCATGGATCTCAGAAGATCAAGCCAAACCTCTACGCAATCGACATCCTACAAGGATATTGAGAAGAAAACCAGGACGATTACATTCACACCATTCTCAGAAGAAGAAGAATCCTCTGACGAATCGGACCCTGGACGAGAAGTCTTCCGTGAAAGGGAAGCACAGCTCTACGAGGCCAACCAAAGCCCAACTCATTACGACCCGGACGAACCAATAGCTGCGCAAGCGAATGTCGACTTCAGCGACGACCCGATGGTCAAAAGGGCTTGGCCCACCAAAAAGGACTACCCTGAGTACCGACCACAGTACGAAAAGAATGAGGACGATCAAGAAGTCTGGTTCTATGGAACAGACGATACCGGAATCGACGGGAAACCAGTAGTATCCGTCCTAGAGGAACCTATATTCGGAGACCACGAGTACCTCGACCAAAAACACGCACGCCACACCGAAGTATTCTGGGCCGATTGCATCTACGACGAATGCCAGTTCCACCTCCAGGACAAGGAACTTAACGACTTCTTCCCTCGACGAAGGAAGCAGCAGCCGATTCCCAT